ACCAGCGGAGCCAGTCACGAAGGGAGGGAGGGAGGCACGCGAGCAGGCGGCACTGCCTACCGAGAAATCTCGAGTCGAGGACCGGTGAGGTGATTATTTCTATGGGCAGTAGGTTCCGAATAGCCGCCTGCTGTTGACTCGCTCGCTCTGCAGTAGTGGTCTCCATCGGTGCGACAATACGGTTCTCCAGTCGCGAGAGGCGTTGCGTCATGGCACATCGACGGCGTGTCCTCCATCTCGCATGCCTGACGGAGGAAGTGTCCCATGCTTACTTACCTCTTCTTTACTATTTGTATGCTAAGTCGAGTAGCTTGCAGGCAGACGCTCGAGTGAGGTGCTTTAAATATTGCATATCTAGGCAGGCAGGACTAACAATGTAGGCCCGCTGAGGCAACAGTAGACCGGCGCCGTGCCACTCTGCCGCCTGCGTGCATATCGATGAAGAAAGAAGCAACCTTGCAGGCCAACGTAAGGTACACCATACACTACCTAGATAACGGCCCTCAGCTTCTGACAGTTAGATCGCCCATCGACATTCCCGCCTGCGAGTGATGTGCGCATGGCATGGCGGCTTGCCCAGGCTGCTACCGCCACGACGCAACCGCCCGCCCATCAAGTTGCTGTAGTACGGGCTTGGTGAGCATGGCAAATTCTGGGCAATCGTCAGGGCCGCCCAATGGAGGAAATTCGGCCGGTCGTTCTTCGGTCCTGCTTGCCCGGAAGCGTGCGGAGGGGGTCTGCTGTTCTGATGCTACTGGCAGGGCCGGCGGGTGGGTGGTAATGGTGGGGGGTGGCCACGAGGAAGGGGGGTTAGGTAAGGCAAGGAAAGGCAAGGGCAAAAGCTTGGATCACCACCGTTGCGAATTGCGGGGGATGTGCGCTGTGATGTGCTGTACCGTACCGTACTGTACCGGACCGTACCAGGAAGAGAATATGAGAATCGTGGATGGCATTGTGAGGGGGCAATGGAGGGAGATCTGGAACAATGAAAAACTGGGTGCGCCACGATTGGCGAGGTTGAAGGGTGTGGTTTTGGGGTCATTCCCAGAATGAGGGTGTAATGGGGCGATCCTTCACTCGCTGGGGTGCATTATTCCATCAATATTTCTTCACGGTTTGCGACGCTTTACCCCACACACGGGTCAGCAGTGAGACGGATGATGTCTTACACTTCGTCAGATATACTGTACAGTACACGCCATAGGACCATCTATCTACCCATAGGGAGGAAACGGTCCATGGCCCGGGGACCAGTAGCGCGGCCGAAAGGCGCGGGCATCAAGCGAATGGGTGATGACGGGCAAATCAGGCGAGCTGTCAAAGTAATCAATATAATAGGCGAACAATCAGGTCCTCTTGCCGGTAGCGATGTGATGAAAACGGAAGCCATGACTTCCTTGTCGGTCCTGATAGGGATGTGTCCAGGTGAGATTTCTCCCCCCGACCCAAAGTAGATCCTCTATCAAGGAATCTGGATATATATTGGAAGCAATGTAACGCAAAGGAGCCTGCTGTATATGAGTAGGGCAGCATGGAGCGGCCCGGGGATGGGTTCCCTAGGTAAGGTAAGGTAACCCAGCCTCGAATGATCGAGTGCCAATGGGCAGCACACGGCCTGGTACCGCCGCCGCCAGCAGATCGGTCGGTCGGTCAGTCCTTCTGGGAACGCTGTGCACGGCCTGCATCCCACCAGGTCGGAAACAGCTAACAATCATCCCAAGTTTACTTACTTTGCATCTTTCGGGGTACCGCCCATATGCGTCCGCTGCGCTCGCTGCAGAGGCAGGGAGGTCGTGTGTAAGAAGAGGGGAGCATATCCACCACGCCGCAGTGCGCTTGATAGCATCTGAGATATGCATCCACCTCATGCAACTCAGCTGCATAGCATAGCATAACGTTGATATCTGTCCCTTCCTTCAGAGATATAAGAGGCGTCTGGATGTCTGGACTTTCCATTGATAGAGCATCGTAAGTCGTTACTCCAGTACTGTAGGTAATGGAAGGCTAGACCGCCGCCGACCGATTCTGAGGGCGAGGGCAACGGGCATGGCATGGTCTAGAGCGAAACGGTGCGATTGAGGAGGGGCTGGGACGGAGGAGGGAGGAGACGACTGTCGTCACCGTCCCCCATCTCCCATCTCCCATCTCCCACTCTCCTCATGCTCATACTCATGCTCATGGCTGGCTCTCGCGCTCCGGGCTACCTCACTCACATTGACTAACTACTACCTAGTAGCGACGTACGTTAGCTCGGACACCCCGCTTCTATATCTACAGTAGTGGTCCGAAAGAGGCGCCAGGAAGAAGCGAGGAGGCCGAAAGTGCAGATCGGGGCATCTCAGACTCGCTACGCATCAGAGAAACAACCGGATCGTTGAGATAGAGGGCGGGCTGTCTTGGCTTTTGCAGTGCCTGCCAGATTATATATGCATATTCGTTCATATTGCCGAAGGGACCTCTGATGATGAGAGAGAAGAAAAAAAAGCATTACCATTGCGAGTAGAAACGGTAAAGCGAGCCGAGGGGCGGCGGACGGTGGTTAAGTCCGGCTAAAACCTTGCCTCCACAGGCCAACGAGGGCAAAGCCATGTGGCCTGTCTCCATCTTGATCCGTCCACCTCCACCGCGCGCGCTGTGGCCCGTTGCCCGCGACACTGACACTGACACTGTCAATGGCACTGTCATGTCGCTGATACCGTCTTGCAGGATTAGTTCAGATGTCCCCCATCATCCCAGTGCGGTGGGCTGGCGGCTGTCTTACCTCAACAGGGCAGGCAATATGGTGTGGCCAGAAGTACGAACCCCAGGCCAATGGCGACCCATGCTGGTCCTTCCAGGGGTCGGTGAGGGGTGGGGAGACGCCATGCGACCCTGAAGAACCAACAGGTCTAGTCGTATGGCTGTGGTTGCATACAGAGATACAGAGATACAGAGATATACAGATATACATGAGGTACATACCTTAGGTACAGATAGATATCTATCTATCTTACAGCGTAAGCATTTCTACTGTTCACCTCTCTCTCTCTCGCTCTCTATAGGCTGGGTTAGAATGCCATACCTAGGTAGGTGCTTATTGCCTGCTTCTCTTGCCTTAGCCTTTCTTGCCAACTGCTTCCATGCATGTTCGCCGCCTTCTGCAGGACATACCTACTTCCAGGACAATATTCCTCCCATCCACCCAATGCATAGACATTCAGCAAACAAGATACGGAAGACTTACATCCCTACATCGCCTCCAATGTAGTCTTGTCCCCACCCTACGTAGCAAGAGTTGCCGCATAACGTTATGCCCGTTTTTCTGTCTGTCTGCAGCTCTCGAGAAAAGTGAGCCTAGCACTGGCCCTAACGTGACCTGCGTCTGGGCTCGCATCGCTCGATCATGGAATTCGAAGGCGCCGCGGTGCCTAGTGGCGTTGTTAAGCTGGCGCTATCTCGACCCCAACGCCAGTAGTCCGGCGTCTGCACGTCCTTGTCCTCCTTCTCCTCCTCCTCCTCCACCACCATCCAATGCAATCCAATGCATCCACAGCCGTTCGTTCGTTCGTTCGTCCGTCCCTTCCCTTCTCTGTCCTTCACTCGTCTTCTTCCTCTCCTTCTCCATCATCTCTACTGTGAATGTACCTATGTACCGCAGTCTACAGTATGCACCAGGTCCGTAGCCTCTAGCCACCCTTGTCGCCCTCCGAAGCGACCTGCAGGCAGTTCCATCCTTAGCCTGTGCCATTACCAACCATCCCAGACTACCTAGACTATTACGGACGGAACTGCGGTGCTGATTGCTACTCCAATTTGTAACCAACAGCTGCTCCTCCTCCTGCTGCTGCTGCTGCTGGGCGGGCTGGTGGGCGAGCCGATCTGCCCCCATCCTTCTCCGGCCGGTGGTCACTAATACAGTGCACCGCATGTACCTACAGTACCGTTAATTAGTGAGGGAGGGACCTCGAATTCCTTGGGAAAGCGCGAACCGCTTCCCGACTTAGCACCGGCCGCGGCTGGCTAATACCTTCCTTCCTTTCTCCTGCCTTTCTCCTGCACCGTACCTTCCCTACCTGATCCCCCATACCATCCTAGACTATCTACGCCTTAGCTTGGTAGGTAGGTAGTTAAGATACATACCCTCACGCTTTCTCCTTCTCACACACACACAACGCACACCACCACCACCACTCCCACGCATACGTACCTCTCTCTCTTCTTTCTCTCTTTACACCTTGCCGTCCTCCTTGACCCAAGATTCGATTATCCTAGAACTCCCGCATTGCTTTCCCGCACCCCGGCGATCGTTTTGAATATTGCTGTTCGCACCTCTGCTGGGGCCGAGTTGTGTGCTGTGCGCTGTGCTCCGCGCCACTGGGACGAACTCCCCGGGCTCAGCTTCCCCGACTTTCATCCTTACCCCGGCCCGCCCAGAATAGGTGCTCGACCCGAGCCCGCACCACTTCAGTACAGGCCAGGACAGGCACAGCACAAGAACCTCGAGCGACCCTCTGCGCCACAGTCTCGCTTGCTGCTTCGCTGCTTGCTTGCTTGCTCTCCTTCAACTATTCCAATCACCAGGACACGAGCGCCTCGTCGACCCTTTTCACTGTTCCTGACCATCAATTTCAAGCCAAATAATTCGCTCGGATCGAGTCAATTGCGGATGGTTGGCACAAGCATCGCCTGCGCATCTCGCTGACAGCACCCTCCCGCCCGCCAACCACGAGACCCCCCTCGAAACCACGCTCCGAGCTGCGACAACGTCCCAAATCCTACAACAATGTCGTCGCTTTTCAAGAAAGTGAGGACCGCCAGCTCGGTAAGTCAATCGCCAGTCCCGTTCAACTGTCGAGGGCAAAAGCGCACCCACGGGCATATCCAGCGCTGCTTCTCAAATGCATCCTGTCGCCAAGGCTGACGAGTGATTTCTGCTTTAGGGGGCCATGAGCCCAGCGAGTACGGTCTCACCAAAGGCGAAGAAGGAAGAGCCCGCACCGGAAATGACTCCATTAGAGAAAATGCTCCAAAATGCTGGGCCGTTACGGAAAGATGGCAGTGACAAGTTCTTTGGCATGGAGAATGTAGGTCCTCTCGCTCGGAAGCCCCCGATATCTTGGTTGCGATTGTGCTGACTTCAGTCCTATATGTAGTTCGGAAACACATGGTACGCATAATCACCTTAACTTTGACTCCGGTATGAGACTGACCGTGGAACAGTTATTGCAACTCGATTGTTCAGGCGCTCTACTACTCCGAGCCGTTCAGGGATAGCGTCGTCAATTATCCCCCCTTCTCCCCCTCAGACACACCAAATGGGCAACGCTCAAAGGTCCCTGTCCAAATCCGACCGCCGATGAACGGCAACACGCCTTCTCCACAGAAGCAAAAGGGCATCACTGCTAAGGAAGCTATGGCGCAGCGGAAGGCAATCAACCAAGGTCAGGTGCCCCCTGGTCAGCAAAGGCCCGAAGACAAGCCCGACTCCCCAGAGTACAAGAAGAAACAGGCCATGATCAAGGGCCCTGTCTTGGAATTGGCGCAAGAGAATGCCGGTGCGTATGGCATGGATGAATGCACATTCACTGGGCTCAAGGATATCTTCATGGCCCTCATCGAAAGCTCAACCCGGACAGGGGTTTTGAGCCCTCAACGATTCCTGGAGATTTTCAAGCGCGACAACGAAATGTTTCGAAATTCGATGCACCAGGATGCTCATGAATTCTATGGATTGGTTCTGAACGACGTCATTTCTAACGTAGAGACGAACGCTCGACGAGTGCGAGAGCGCGAGGAGATTCGAGCCAAAGACGGGCTGGCGGAATCAGTGGAAAATGCCCTTGGTGCCTCTGCAGCTGTCATCAAATCGCAACAGGCATCAGGCACCAGGTCTCCAGGGACTGGTTGGGTTCACGATATCTTCGAGGGTGTGCTAACATCGGAAACGAAATGCCTCACATGCGAGACGGCGTCACAAAGAGATGAGACGTTCTTAGATCTTTCAATCGATCTTGAGGAACACTCTTCGGTAACATCCTGTCTGCGGAAATTCTCAGCCGAGGAGATGCTTTGCGAGAGAAACAAGTTCCATTGCGATCGCTGCGGTGGTCTCCAAGAAGCAGAAAAGAGAATGAAGATCAAGAGATTGCCGAAGGTCCTCGCTCTGCACCTGAAGCGCTTCAAGTACACCGAGGATTACAGTCGACTACAGAAATTATTCCATCGTGTTGTGTACCCGTACCATCTACGCATGTTTAACACAACCGATGACGCCGATGATCCGGATCGGTTATACGAGCTGTACGCCGTTGTCGTCCATATCGGTGGAAACGCATACCACGGCCATTATGTGTCCGTTATCAAAACTGCTGATCGAGGTTGGCTGTTATTCGATGATGAGATGGTCGAGCCAGTTGATAAGCACTTTGTGCGAAACTTCTTTGGGGAGAAGCCGGGCATGGCTTGTGCCTATGTGCTATTCTACCAAGAGACAACATTTGAGAAGGTCGTTGCCGAACAAGAGGCAGAGGGCCTTGAGGAGGTGAGATTAGTCAGTGAGAAGGCCGATATTGCTCTAGGCAATGTCCATGCCAACGGTTCTGCACCATTGTCCAAGCATATGACTGTGCAGCCAATCTCTCCTGTCGACGAGCATGAGCCTCTCGCAACCCTCAATCACGCACAAACAGCACCAGACATCACTATTCCTCCAGCTGTAGCTCCAGTTGCAGCACCGGCCCCTCAACCAGAGCCCTACTCTCATCCCTTGAGAGCTGCGCCTCCTCCAGCACCAGCAGTGGTTACAAAGGCCGACCAGCCTCCCAAACCGTCAAAAGAAGACAAGGAACGAGAAAAGAAGGAGGCTAAGGCCATGGAAAAGGCCCGCAAGGTTGCGGAGAAGGAGCAAGCCAAAGAAGACGAGAGGAAGAGAAAAGAACGCGAGGTCAGGCTCAGGGATGCCCGAAGGAATGAGGCAGAAGAGTTACGAAAAGCATTAGCAGCCAGCAAGGCATCGGCCGTCGAAGACGACGAGAAGAGGAAGAAGGAGGAGCCTGCCGCTGCCAATACGGGCTTCTTGAACCGCTCGAATCGGGGGAGCAAGTCCCTGTCCCGGAAGAGCTTTGGCTTCCTCGGCAAGGACAAACCGGAGAAGCTACCGGAGGGCGTCGCCGTCGAGAATGGACACAGTGCCGAAGGGCGGCCGTCACATAGCCAAGAGAAGCCCTTAAAGGAGCGGTTCAGCTTCGGCCTAGGGAGGAAGAAGAGCAACAATGTCCTCTCGTAGGATGGAGGGCTCTGGGCAGGAACATCTATGGCGTTATCTAGGCGTTTTGTCCCAAATTTCGGATACCATGGTCTCGCATCAGTTGTCGCAGAAGCGGCACACATCAAAAAAGTTTAGCCAAGTCGCATGTTGTCACTCTGCATTGCAAGCTGGTCGGGAAATGTATTTGTCTGTCTATTGTTCGAGTCTTCCTCTTGTGTATGACATTGAAGAAGGAGGTTGAAGAAGAAAGTAGTCGTCTCACGAGCAGTCTGGAAGGATTTCCTCTTAAACTGCGTTGCTCTGTGCAGCGGACCTGAGCACGCACGCACTATATATTAGCAGCAGCTTGCTTGGATAATGATACGACCTAATACTATCTATCACGATACAAGCATTTCATTAAGACTGGCGGGCATCTACTGAAGTTTGTTCTGAACGTCGTTTGCAAGCATGCATGGGTTGTGTGGCATCTTGGGATAGTCAATACTGTATAATACACAATCATTCTCAAGATATATACAGTCCTAGTTCTAGACTTCAGTCATTATTCCCCGCCGTTCTGGACCGTGACGTCTTCATTATAACTAGGTCTCATCAAGCATCGTAGTATATAGCTCGTTTAGACACTTTATGGTCACGCTGGCCGTTCACCGCTATCCAATGGGTGCAGTGTCTTTTCGAACCCATACGCGAGCCCTGCTTGTCATATTTTGACACCATGTGTGCCACCAATGCCTTGAACCGCTGGTAAACGCCTCTGTGCCTATTAAGCGGTGACGCGCCAGACCACCATGCTACCAGATATGGGGAACGTAGTGCCGTGGTGGTGCCTCCATTCGCGGCCCCCGTCTCAGCCGAGGATCAGCTCGTACACTATTATCAGGGTGTTGATGACTATCAGCGGTACTAGAGAGGCAAGAAAATCACGTTAGCCCACGCCTCGAGAGCAATTGGAGGCACTGCACATGTGCACGACCCAGACCCGTGACGTACTTCTCATGAGCGTGCGCACGCTGGCAATCAGCGTTATGATCTTGGACTTGACGCTGCCGTCGGGGCCGGGCGCCTGGCCGAAGGCTGGGTCGTACGAGGACGGGGAGAGGTTGACTAGAGCCAAGGGCAGGAATGGTTAGCTTGCGTGTCTGTCTTTCTTTCTTCCCTCCTCCTTTCCTCCCCTCGCGGCGGGGAGAGAGACGGGGCGGATAGGCAAGTGCGAGAGGGGCTGGGTTCTCAAGACGTACTGCGTGCGAGGAAGCGGTCTTCGGAGAGGACGGCGATGGCGTTGATCAGGAGCACGGAAACTGTGCGACAAGCAAACGGGTCAGTATTCGGTTGCGGCGGCGAGGATAGGGGGGGTGCAAGATGATGAGCATGTCTTACCGTATAAAAAGCTCCCGAAGAAGAACATCTTGCCAGACTGGGTCGCTCGCAGGAGCAGGAGCAGGAGCGAGCTTCTTGGCCTGGTCGGTGAGAGTTGTGTTGTTGTCGCCGTGCGTGTGTGGCCGATGTGTGGTGTAGATGGACAGGTTGGCTGTGAATCGAGCTACCTGTCCGTCCAGCTTGGATGGCAGGTGGATTGAGAATGCGCTGCGCTGGAGAATTGGTTCGACCGAGCCGAGCTGGGTTATAGTGGCTTCCAAGGTTGTGGTGGACGGTTCGGTTAGGCTTACTGTGTACAGTACTATAAGGTATGAAATCAGGGGGTGCTTCATGTGGCCATAGCGCACCTGAGGAATAAGGTCGTGAAAGCTCAACTTTTGAGAGCTTCATCTGTTTCTTGTTCACAACTTCACCTCAACTGATTCAATATGATTCCCTTGACTATGAGGAAGTCTCCATAGGGTCATATTGGATGCCGTTCATTCCTTTACACGCCTAATCTGTCTTACCTTTCCTTGGATGCGTGCAATATGAGATTCATAGGCATGTTGCTCACCCTGAGAACCTCATTGCGATGGTAGCTAACCTACAAGAGACAGATGTGCCTTTCACCCTCTTATTGCCCGCAGTGGTAATCTTCCACCTAGTGGTTGCTCCATACACAAAAGTTGAAGAGTCTTTCAACATCCAAGCTGCGCATGACATCTTGGTCTATGGAACTCCCACCTCCAATATCAACCAGAAGCTGTCTACAAGCTATGACCACTTCTCCTTTCCCGGCGCAGTGCCGAGGACCTTCATCGGCCCTGTTCTCCTGGCCGGAGTCAGCCAGCCCCTTGTTGCGCTCGTCGGCTTCGATCATGCCCAGCTCGTTGTGCGCGCTGTCCTGGGCCTCTTCAATGCCTTTGCCCTCGTCTTCTTCAAGTCCCAGGTTGCAGGAGCATGGGGCCCCAGCGCGGCGAGGTGGTATGCTATGCTTCAGGCAAGCCAGTTCCACGTCATGTTCTATGCTTCGAGGACACTCCCGAATATGTTTGCATTCGGTTTGAGTAAGTCTGCGTCATCCCCGGTGGACTCGTTACGATTCTTTTGCTGATGTAGAGAAGCAACCATTGCTTTCGGTCTACTCCTGCCTAGCACCAATGTGCAAAGGTCCAACGCACGAGTCCGTCTCGCGGTGGCATTGTTTGTTTTCTCTGCCGTCATCTTCCGGTCTGAAATTGCCATCCTCCTGGCCACAAACGCTCTCTACCTCCTGATCATACCCCTGATCTCCCTGGATAGACTCATCCCAGCATTCCTCGTGGCTTTCATCGCATCAATATGTATCTCTGTGCCAGTCGACTCCTACTTCTGGCAGAAGCCCATCTGGCCCGAGCTCTGGGGCTTCTACTACAACGTCGTTCAAGGTTCCTCCTCGAACTGGGGCACCTCACCGTGGTACTATTACTTCGTCTCTGCGCTGCCGCGTCTACTACTCAACCCCCTAGCCCCCATCCTCATCGCCATCCCACTTCGCTCCCCTGTCTACTCTCGACTAGCAAACAGGTTCGTCATCCCCAACCTGCTCTTCGTCGCCATCTACTCCCTCCAGCCACACAAGGAGGCCCGCTTCATCTTCTACGTCGTCCCGCCCCTAACTGCCGTTGCCGGGCTCGGCGCATCCATCATCACCACGCGCCACACGAAGTCCGCCAGCCCGCTATGGACCCTCGCCTCCTGGGCCGTCGTGGCGTCCATCCCGCTCTCGCAGGCCATCAGCGCCGCCATGCTCCTGCTCTCGTCGCTCAACTACCCCGGCGGCGAGGCCCTCGCCGCGCTGCAGGCCGTCGTGCGCGCCGACGAGCACCTCCCCGCGGCCGCGGGCGCCGTCGTCCCCGTGCACGCCGACGTGCTGGCCTGCATGACGGGCGTGACGCTCTTCGGCGCGGCGGCGGCGGCGGGCGGCTCGCGCTTCCCCAGCCGCAAGGTCACGATGGACAGCGGCGACGGCATGGTGGTCGGGCGGATCGCGGGGGGCGGCGACGCCGCGGCGCTGGTGCTGGTGCTGGACAAGACGGAGGACGAGGCCACGCTCGGGGACCCCCGCTTCTGGACGCGCTTCGACTACCTGCTCGTCGAGGACGCGGGCAAGGTCGTCGGCGGGCAGTGGGACACGGTTGCTGTGGTGGATGGCTTTGCTGGCGTGGAGGTCCTGCGGCCTGGAGCCGAGCGGGCGAGCTCGTCTGGGGAAGAACGTGTCAGGAGGGTGGGCAAGGGCGCCATTCTTGCAAGCTGGAGGGATGCCGTTCGCAGATACACGGGAGGATACTGGGCCGGTCCGAGGCTGGAGCCGAAGATCAGGATCCTCAAGCGTGTGAAGGACTCGGAGAGGAGCACGGAGGTGACGTCTTGAGACCTGCGGTCAGCTGAGTGTAAGACTACATATTACAAAGTTCTAGATTTCGTCCACGTCCTCCCGGTGGTGGAAGGGAACTACGAGTCCTATGACGAGCCTGAGTTTAGGCAAGGCAGCATCAACCTCACGAGCGTGGACCAGGGTCCATCTCAGAAGTCAGGCTCGTTCTACAGCATGTCACAGGGAAAGAAACAAGACTCTGTCATGGTTGTATATAGGTATGGGAAAATCATAGTGCAATTCCACCCAGCCGGCCACCCCTGATACAAACAGAATGCTATGCCTGCCCCTTTAAATAGCGCAGAGACCAAAAGAGTTTGACATAAAAGTAATTACAACGAAGGTCAACCACAATTTCCACAGCGCAGCTCTTGTGTTCTACGGGCTCCCGGCTCGGTACCCCCTTTTTCCTAAAACTCAACACATTCTATTTCTGCTGCTTGGTTCCGCCCCTCATCCAAGGCCTCCCCTGTCGTGACGACCATCACGGAATCTCTCCAGTCTGTTCCAAAGTGAGGTCTCATACAAGGTTCTAACAAAACTTCTGCTATGTCCGGCCGGGTGAGCTTGGCACGCGAAGACCAAAAGTGGTCAACAGGGCGAGCAAGATTGTCGTTGTCCTTCCAATAAACTCCTTTTCAACGCCTAAGCTCACTGCTGATTATATTTCTGTGATAGCACGAGACAAAACGGATGGCTCCGCTAGGCTCGCCAGACGCCGACTTTCAGAAGCGAGCAAAGGACATATTGGCCGTTAAGAGGAAACAAACGAAAGCAGTAAGGATCCTCAAAAGAGAGTTTGTCTTGGTCTCTCCAAATACTCATACTCGTATGCATAATGCCGAGTTCCGCCTCGTCAATTTGCTTCAGACGTCGAGTGCGGACGGTCAGTGTGATCGGGGCACCAGGCAAGCTGACGCGGCTCAGCCTATCCAACGCACCTCGAACACTGAGCGCTCCGTATGTCAGTGTAGCTCCGTTTCTGGCGTCGATAGCCAATATTGCGTTGCTAAGGCGGCTGTTCCTACAATAAATGAAACACGGAGAAGCAGCGGAAGAGTTGAAAGAGGCTGTGTAAGATCAAAACCACAGCATCTTCTCCCTAGGACAGGCCATTGAAACCTGCCATCTAGGGAAGGCGATTGGGCTCGTTAGTTGATCCGAGTTCCGCAGACGAGGCAGTTGATTTCCTCTTGCCAAGTCTTCTCACCACCTTCTACACCTTCACGAAGATCCTTGATCTCCAACACAGGTGGACTCAGGTCCATCCTTACGGTGGCCTCGAAAAGACCCTCATACGGCTTCGCCTTGGAGTCTGTTATTGCAGGGGAGTCGACGGCCTTCTTCCTTGGCCTGCCGGGCTTGCGATTCGGCGTGCCTTTGCCAGGGGTTTCCGCTGATGGGGTTTGATTGTTCAGAGTCGGTGTCTGGTCCTCAGGGGCGACAGAAGATGCGGCAGCCTCATCCTCGTCAAGTCGCTTCACATCGACATTGTCGTTGACCTTGACAGAGTCGCCCTCGCCCTCGCCGTCCGCCTTGACATCGATTGAGTGCTCCGCAACAACAGCGGTTCCGGTCTCTGTCGGGCTCAAAGGCCGCTTGGCTTCCTCCTTATCTTTATCCTCCTTGATAGATTCTGCCGGTTTGTGTGGAAGATCCTTGCCCAATCGCTCGTACGTCTTCGTCAGTGCATCATGTTTCAAGCATTCTTCATGTAGCCACTTGCGGCAGTCCTCGTTGGAGCAGCCGATCAAGGTCTTGTCGGGATTGCCGGGGTTTCCGCATTTGCAGAGGGATTCAACGGTCTGAGACAGAGATAGGTTAGCAATTTGATTAGCCTTCAGTCAATTGAAGCATTCACTTACCGATAGCTCGAAAGTCCGCACATCAAGAGCTTGCCTCCAGTAAAGCGCATTTTGAATGTCCTCGTCGTTCTCTTCGTACCACTGGTTGACCAAGGCTTGCTGGGTAACACTGACCACATTGATGATATCCACTGCGGAGGGATGTGTTAGCGAAACGCGATAGATGGGATCTGGTTTTGGAAGTAGGTCTTACTATGATTAGAGGCAATCAGCTCGTTCATTCCGTGGTATGGCTGGCGACCATGGACAGTCTTCTTTCCATCATGGGTATGTGGAGGAAGCTCATCTGGCCAGTACATCCAGTACACTCGGGCATAGACGTGATGCTCGTCACTGGCTCGAATCTCAAGGATTCGCGCAACCCAGTCGTCATCAGATTTCTGGCGCGGTCCCAGCTGCTCCTTGTTCGAGATTGCCTTTTGGCGCTCGATGGTGGACTCGTTCGCGACGTAAATGAATCCTTCGCTGAAGTACTTGACACCGTTGACTAACAAGATAATGGTCAGGATTGCCAAGGCAGAAGTGAGGGGACATGGGATGAAGAGGTTCACTTACGGACGAAGCTATTGTAGCGTGTCATTTCGGACCACCTCTTGGCCGGCTCAACTGCGTAGTGGATATCCATTGTCTCGTATGTCTTGAACTTGCCACTGGGCGAGAAGGGAGACATTTGGATGAGCACCTTCTTATCCCCTTCGTCGCCATCTTCTATATCGCGCCGCGGCTTCTTCTTCTTGCGCTCCTTCTCTCTGGGGTCCACCAGCCTGATTGAAAAGGGGCATTCCGCCCTAGACTCTTCGGTCTCTGTTCGGGGACGCTTGCGCGCAGCTGCCATCTTGACGGGAGTGGTGGTAACGGAGATCGGACTGTGATTATAGCCGGGAACACTATCAACAAGGAGCTTCTCCGATAGAGATGAAGCTTCGGAAGGCTTGGTCCTATCTGTGACAGGGGATATGGAGTCGCAGAAGTGGTCGAATACCTCGAGGTCGCGAGCGCGACAGCAGGTCTTGGTGCGACTATCTGACAACGGGTGCGGTGGCTGGGAGAGAGGGGAAAGGGTGATTGATGGGGGCGGACGGGCAGGATGAGCTCAAAGACAAAAGCTCACCTTGTCGCGTCGCACTTTTGCAGAAATCAAATCGCAAGCCGGTGACCAGTCTCTGGACAAGGGCTGGCCCAGGCGTGAGATGCACAAAGGCCAATGGGCGATGATGGGAAATGATTGCGCAAAAAGTGAGGTTGTGGCCACGAGATTGAAAATCGCGTCGTCGCTTTGCTGGCTGCCGGGGAAAGAGGAGAGGAAAAAAAGTGGCTGTGAGGTGACCCCACTTTTTAGGCCGAAACTTTGAGGAGGTTGGGAAAGCAGCACTAGCAACGCCCAAAGAGCTGCCAGCCCGAAGTCTCCCGTTAACAATAATCTTACACACCCAATCCGAAGATACCTATCTACTTACCTACCGACGGAAGGGACGAGTACCTCGCTCAGGTAAGGTGGGAAAGAGCTAACGTAGGGAATGCGACGGAAGACGGCACAACAGATACCCTCCGAGATAGAGCTTAAAGCTAACCAAGATAACCGACCCCAATACGCCTGGTCAGGGGAACGCAGACGCCTTTGAGTATCTACATCCGCTATACGTCCCCGAGGTAGACAGCAGTCACTCCTGTAGCCCTTATCTCTCCAATTTGCCAACGCTGAGGAGGCGCTCAGGCCTAAGAGCCGGTCCGAGGTTGGGGATTTTACCTACCTAGGCAAGGGAAGGTAGGTGCGTAGTCGATAGTGCAACAGCACCTCAGCACCACCAAAGAATGCAACAGATTGCTGGGGAATGCGGCATGCTTGTCCCTGCCACGAGTTCGGCAGGTCGAAGATCAGTACAGATCACCCTGCCTTCCTTTAGCCGCCAATTTTCACGAGATCCACTGATCCCCGATTGGCGACCTGTTCAATCACTTGCCGGTTACTTCTGGCCTGGGATGTGAGTGTGTGCACAGTTGCAATTGCATTTTCCCTCCAGTACTACCGTATTACAAGAAGGTTGCAGAAATTTTTGCCTGCCAGAAGGATGATAATGCCACCTGATATGAACGCCATCGCTATGCCACGAGAAAGACAGGTATACGCTCCTCTACATCAAGCTCGCTCTCTTTCCGTCTCAGCCTCGGTGTCGTCTTCATCGTATCGAGCCAAAATGGCCTGGCTCTCCTCACTTCCCGTCTCTGATGAGCTGTCTCGCGTTTTGAAACCTTCAATGACTTCGGCGAGCTTCTCTCCCTCAAGCTTCCCCCGCTCGACATTTACAAAGTAAATCAACGGCGCGGGGAAGCCAACGAGACATGCCAGAAACCAGAATGCTGGCCGGATTTCACCAGAAGCATCGATGATTGCGCCAACAATAGCGGGCCCGAACACGCTCGAGCCTTTATCGGTAATGGCGTACAACGCGTAAAAGGCCGCCTCGGATCCAGGGGGGATAAGCTCGCCATAAAGCGACCGGCAGTACCCACTCAGACCACCAAGCACGAAGCCGTAGACAGCAGCAAGAGGATACATCTCCCACGGTTGCTGCAATCCAATGACGCCCCAATGTTTCACAAATGGTAGGTAACCCAGTAACCCATATATCGGGATCAGCTCGAAAAGACCTATACAGGCGAGAATCGTGTGATGAGGTTGCAGACCACATTTGCGAGAGATGTAAGACCAAGAGAAGGCGCCAATAATGCCTGCAGTGGTAGAGATGACATTTATCATGCCAAGCGCCCAAGGCTCCATGTGTAATTGAGTCTTCGCGAACAGAATTGCGGTGGAAGACGTTGTCGCAATGGCGTCAGAGAGGAGAAACCAGGCGGCAAGAAACAAGATGATGTCTATCAACCGCCGCGCCAACTGAATTGTTCGGAATAGTGACTTCCACGCATATATGGTATAAGATATCCAGGCGACCGCGCCTTTCTTGGTAGAGGTTGCTGGCAACGGTGGTCCTGGTCGTGGACGCAGCCACATCGCAGCTGGGATAGTGAAAGTCGCCCACCACGCTCCAATCACACACAGGACAACCCGTTGTGACCACGTCGAGTTCTTCATTTGAATGAGAATCAGGATCGCCATACACTGCAGGAAAAGACCGGCGAGGTATCCAATGCCGATTCCCTTGGCAGATATCTGGGTGGATAATTGCAGCTCCAACGACGTTAAGTCCTCGTGTGTGCGAATTCGGGTGATTCTGTGCCCTTCAGCATGTTCACCAGTGGGGAGTAGAGCTGCGGTGGAATCTGCAAGACCTGGATCTGTATCATCGCCTTCTTCCGCTTCATCCAAGGCGTCTGATGCAGCATGCCTGCCTCCGGAGCCGAGTGTAGATCCTGGATCGGAGTACTTGACTTGGGGGTGGTGTCGAACCAGAAGTGGGAGGAACGAGTTCAAGAGGACGAATGAAGCCCCAAAGGAAGTATTCGATATGATGGCCAAAAGGGCCCCGAGTAGATAGACATCCTTTGATATGAAGATGTAGAACATAACGGCGAAGCTCCCTATCCAGGCGAAGGCGAGCAACAATTTCTTCCTATAGTTGCCATGATCCGCAGCGCAACTTATGCTGACTACGAGCAAAGCTTGCAGGAGAACGCTGATACTGAAGGTGTACATGGCGAAGCTTGCCGTATTCACCTCCACGCCAAGCACCCAAACAATACATTGTCCATCATTGCCGTGCCTATCGGAGCTTGATCCGCAAGGGGATTTTCGATCCGACAGAAGGACACCGTTTTCTCGGGCAAGGCTTTCGAGGAGAATGGGGATGAATGAGCCTGTTTCATCCTGTTGTCAGTTACAATGGCCTGCAAGTTTCTTCTTTTAAAAAGGGGGAGTTCATAAGCTTCGTAGAAGTGGATGCTTTCGAGGCGAGCCATAGGGGTCGAAACTCTGCCGTGTGCAGCAATAAACAGCTCGGACAAGGGATAACCGTACCAATTCCTACATTACTGTCAGAAACATACAAACAGATCACAAATGGTGAAGCTTGTGCCAACTAACCACAGATCACATATGTCTCGGCAGCAAATCCATACATATACCAGCCAGCAAGCTCCTTCTGGCTGGTGGGGCGGGAGTCCTCGCCGGGATAGCGGGCGGGTGGGGAGACATGTCCATTCGAATTCGACGTCATCCTGTCGAGGTCGTCTGACGAGAATGCGCTGCTCGAAGACCGCTCGTCGTCGGCCTGGAATGAGGACGAGTGGGAGCGAAACGACTTGTTGGAGATATGGGACAGCCTGGAGAATAAGCGCGGAGCTGGCGGTGGTCGTTCCTCGTTGCGAGGCGCCATCTGGGTGGGAGGTGCAGGCGGTCCGCCGAATTAAGAGCGACCTATAGGTAAGGTGTGCGCTTGCAGCGCAGGACAGCACACCACAGTTTGTTGTAGTCACGGGCCAGGGAGGGTAAGCTTCCGCGCGCGCTGGCTGACGGACTGTCCTACCTGCCTATCCCGCGTTGTGCTATCCGCCACGGTTTCAGCTTCCCTGTAGCTTGAACCTAATCTGACTGGCCATTCAGCGCGAGGTAGGTAGTCTTGCCTCGTGCCGTAGCGCAGGGCAAGGCCAGGAACAGCAATGTCAACGGTCGGGAATTAGAAGAATGGCCACAGGATGCGGTCGAGAGTCTCGCGCAGATTGAGGAGAAGTGCAAATCCCGTCCTAGGAAATAGAGAGAGAAAGAGAAGAAAGACAGGATAAGGACAGCAGCCAGTGAAACTTGACGTAGGCAGGCAAGGATCGCCATGGTCATCCCCCATCCACCGAGCCACCCTAGGACAGACTGCATAGTAGACCCTCTGACCCCGAGAGCCTGCCGGTTGGCGCTAGAGACAGCTTAGGCAACCCGCCGTATGCGAACTATTTTATGTTTTATGGGGTTGCTCCTTCCCTGTAAGGTAGTAAGCTCTGGCTCTGGGGAATCCTCCAAGCCAATACGAAGTGATTCGTGTCTCGCACTTGCCGTTGAGACAATGTATGCCTTCCTCAGCTGAATGAAACCTCCCATCACCTGCAACGCGACTTCCATATTCGCCTGGCAAGGGCTATAGCTTCCAGTTCGTGGCTAGAGACCCTGGAGACATCCCTGGGAACCTTTCGAGCCCTTGGCTGGTCGATGCTGGCCGGCCGCAGGTCAAGTGGCTGCCAAACGGGTTAAAGGCGGGTCAATCATGCCCAGAAGCTGCTAGCAATGTTACCCCAGATTCTGGTTCTGAGATAGCTTCAGACCATAAGGGTCAAGGGTTGATCGGCTCCACGCATCGAAAACATGCAAGCTTTGACCTACAGTAGCAGAAACATGCATCACGCTTGAATACGTCATCGGTGAAATCCCCGAGTAGTTCACTCGTTATCCTCTTCAGTCCTATTTGGTTTCATCCAGAATCATCATCATCACACGATATGGGAAGCAACTTAGATGCTCCGTTTCGGCTCTCGAGTCTAATTCGAGATGTCACGAACTCAACGTACAGCTCAGCTCTTCACTTCGGCAATTGAGTTAGTTTACTGGAGCAACTGGAACCTTGTCGGGCGTTTTTGGAGTTATGTAGTAATCAGAATCTCAATTCATAGTCACGAGAAGGTTACCATGACCTTCTCTTGAACTGATTTGACTTCAGAACCATATCTCGTTTAATGTCCAGAATGTATCATGTTTAAGTACCAGCAGCCAAGAATAATAGAATCATTTTGATCACATTTTTACTTCATCTTTAGCCTCTGGTTTCCTTTTCACAATCCTCATCGGGGTTCCTCCTCGTGCCGCCGGGATTCTTCAATCGCTGAATCGCGGCTAATTAACTTCGTAAATATTCGGATGCTAGTTGGCCAGCGTCGACAACCTAGACGCCAAGAACGAACGCTGCTGGCCCCCACGGCTCAAGCCAACATCCCAGGGCTAACTTCAAGATGCATTTTCTGTAAAAGAGGAGCTTGATCCGTGAAAACGTCCACCACTATCCCAAAAGACTGTTCGCCAATTGATGTTGTCTATAACCTGCTTGCCTCTTGCGATACCGTTCCATGTTCCAGGTCTGTAATCTAGGATTGACATGATCGACCGTGTAGGTCTTGTCAGATATCTTCTTATATTGTATACTCGATATATAACAGGCTATTATCGACAACTCCACGCTGCAAACCCATATCACTTGCAGCTCAGTCACATACCGCGAGCCTGGGCTTGCCTCGTACAAGAAAGGAGACTGCTGTGTCAAAATCGGGGGTTTCTTCGGAGAGTGGATGCCGAAACGTGGGTTTCCTATATATCGAGCCGTCAGAACCTATCAGCAATAGCTTCATTAATCTGCCGGCCCAGGTGACCTCAGGGTGTCCTCCATTCCCGGCATTTAGCCTCTGCCATGCACCCCACACTCGAGGCTTTTCCGTATTTTCATATTCGCTTTGCTGAAGACGTCGTACTTCAGGACCTCGTCTCCGCACATGTTTCTTACTACTCCTTATTGCTCCCTGTTAATATCGCGGGCCGTAGCCACCGGAAGCTACATACAGGATAACCGAGACGCGCGCAAATCATTCGCAAGGACCTGAGGTTTCTATGGTCTTCTCCACAACGAGCAGATTAAACCTCAAGCTTTTCCGCTGTCCATCATCCGCTGCCACTACCACTGCCAGAAATATGGAAGCCAAGGTACAATGCCATCCGGGCGGTTCGGTGCAACCGTCTACGGGGACCCGGCTCCGAAACCCCCTTTCTTGGGACCTGACCGGGATGCTAGAGACAGCTACTTAAGGCGGCGCAGTCCCCTCTTCAGATATTGATTGATGTGCATCCCAAGGCTCTAGTCGACAACAGCAGAACCCGGAAAGCAGCCCGGTCATCCCAGCCCAAACCATGAAGTTCAGCTCCGTTCTCCTGCTGGCGGCATCCGCCGTCGCCGCCCCCGTCGTGGAGGAGCGCCAGTCGGCGACGAGCATCGACGCGCTGATCAAGGCCAAGGGCAAGCTGTACTACGGCACCTGCACGGATCAGGGGCGGCTGACGAGCGGCAAGTCGGCGGACGTGATCAAGGCCGACTTTGGGCAGGTGACGCCGGAGAACTCGATGAAGTGGGACGCGACCGAGTCGTCCAACAACAACTTCAACTTTGCGCAGGCCGACTACCTCGTCAACTGGGCCGTCCAGAACAACAAGACCATCCGCGGCCACACGCTGTGCTGGCACTCGCAGCTGCCCGGCTGGGTCAGCAACATCCGCGACAAGGCCCAGCTGACCAGCGTCCTCGAGCGCCACGTCACCACCCTCATGACACGCTACAAGGGCAAGATCAGGGCCTGGGACGTGTGCAACGAGATCTTCAACGAGGACGGCTCCCTGCGCAACTCCGTCTTCTCCCAGGTCCTCGGCGAGGACTTCGTCTCCATCGCCTTCAAGGCCGCCCGCGCCGCTGACCCCGACGCCATCCTGTACCTGAACGACTACAACCTCGACAGCGCGAGCTACGCCAAGGTCACCACCGGCATGGTCGCCCACGTCAAGAAGTGGCTTGCAGCTGGCGTTCCCATTGACGGCATTGGTGAGTCAAAAATTCATAGATACCCATTGAAATGTACACTGGATCTGACCTCTGCTCTCCCCAGGATCCCAAGCACATCTGAGCGGCGGACAGGCCGCCGGCTTCGGCGCAGCCCTCAAGGCCCTCGCCGCCACGGGCGTCAAGGAGGTGGCCATCACCGAGCTCGACATCCAGCAGGCGCCCGCCAACGACTACGCGCAGGTCACCAAGGCGTGCCTGGACGTGTCGACCTGCGTTGGCATCACCGTCTGGGGCGTCCGCGACCCGGACTCGTGGCGCGCCAGCACCAACCCGCTGCTGTTCGACAGCAACTTCAGCCCCAAGGCGGCCTACAACGCCGTCGTCCAGGCTCTCCAATAGAGCGTCGTCCCCGGGGGCGAGTTGGGAGGAAAGGGGTGGGGGGTTGTTTGGTGGCATATGATGCCTATGACGAACCACCTCCCATGTACATAGCTCTCCTCGCAGGTGCAAACCGCAAGGTACCGCACGGTTTGGAGTCGCACGATTCACGCTTTCTGTACGTATGAAGCCCATATTTTCAAATCCACTTAGTGAGTGGTCTGTAAATAGCAAATTCAAGAATTGATATAAAAATTGAAGACACAATGGCATCCGTGTCTTCTGTCACAAGCTATCGCAAGACTACTAGCTGGTATATGCCTTGCATCGGTCTAAGTTTTGAGGGAAATTTGTCACTCTGGGAAAATGATATGTATGCTTGAGGCTTCCTGTTGTGAAATGAATTGGTATAGTGCAATAAGCAGTAGGATATCATTGGTATTTGAGAGAACACAAACGACCAGAAAAAACAGCAGCACGCGGCACGATAGCCGGCCGGCGCGCGGGGGGATATTAAACTCGGAGGTGATGCGAACAAAGCATGAAAAAGCACGAGCCCCTCATCCGCGAGAGAATGACTTCCAGCCGCCACCAACTTTTTCCCCTTCGCCCCTTTTTTCGAGCTCGTTCCTCTCTGAGACAGCGCCAGTTTAAGTCAGGTCCGGAGAGGTCCAGACAAGAGCCTTGATTTATTTCTTGAAGGAGCCGAAGATCTTGTTCTTGAGCTTGTCGGCCAGGCCGGTGGGGACGAGGTCCTTCTTCTCCTTGGCCTTGTCCTTGTTAACGACGTGCTCGTTGCCGGCGCCGCCACGGCCGACATGGTAGTCCGAGTTGTCCTGGCTCGGCCGGACCGCGGCCTCGGGGACCACCTCCTTGTCGAGCCGCGGGCCGCCCTTCTTGTGTGCGTCGCCGATGTTGGCCGCGCCTAGAAAGCAGGTTCCTATGTTAGTCTTCATTCTCTATATTTGCGCGCAACTAGTTTCTCCAAATTCGAAGCGGCGCTTGCCCCAACTTGCGCCATGGCTGACTCTTTGGAAGCAAGCGCAAGTGAGTAAGTGATCCGAGTTCCGTTAGAGCCAAGCTAGAAAGCTAAACAGGTCCCGTCCTAGACCCAACTGGTAGCCTTATCGAAAGAGCGCAAAGTTGAAATTTGGGGGTTGGGTCTTGGCATGCACCGCCCTGGCCCGGGGCTTCGCTAGGCGCTACAGATAAGAGCTCTCCCGTAAAAACAGTGCCCAGTGCCCCAATCTGTTGACCGCGCGCAATGACACATGGGCGAGGTTGTCATGATGGTTTGACAGACGGACGGGACCTGCGTTGGCTGGCTGACTAGAGCTAGGCTGACGGAGTGCTCGGTAGGTTATAGAAAGGGTAGGAAAGAGCAATATCACGAACCTCCTCGTCCGGTGCTGAATGCGCCGTCATCGTGGCTGCCCTCCTCGCCGGCGCGGACAATCTCACCGTCGACGTACTGGGTGTTGTCGGGGGTGATGTTGCCGGCACCGCCGCGGCCGTGGGATACTTCGGGAGTCGTCATATTGTTGTATGTTTGTGTGTTGGCTCGTGAAGCTGTTCGGCGCATGAGCAAGGCTTGAATCTTGCGGTGTAAGTGAGAGCGCAACCTACAATTTATGAGATTCGGGGTGTCAGTGTTCTCGTACAAGGTCGAGATTGAGGTGGGTGAGTGTAAGCTTATTATTGTATGAGGTGAGGCAGGGAAGAGAATCGAGAGAAGGCAGGAGGCAGGAATGTGAAAGGGAAGGAGGAAGCCGAACGCTAAATAGCATTTATATGTGGCCCGGTTTCTAGGCACTGCTGGTGACTGTATGAGGGTGTAAGAGTCAGTCGCGCGATAACCAAATTGAGAGACTGCGAAGTCGGTGGTGGGCGTCCTCCTACCAAGCTAATAACGTTAATAATGGCTGGGAAGAAACTCTCCAAACCCGGCAAAACCTCCCTGTCATCACATCATGGAAAAGCCACAAACCTACCTACCTACCTGCCTGCCTACCTACACAGGTACAGTACCGGTACACATATACGTTCACATGTATGTACACACAGGCTGCACATGCTGCACAGGCACTCCCGTCCCTTAGAGGTGCGGGATATAGCGCAATTCCCAGGGTTGGTTGTGCTGCTGCCAAGGCTTTCCAATGAGCTTCATGGGTGCCTCGGGTGCCTCTCGCCTTGAACCATTCAGCTCTGCTCAACCTGCGTGGGATCTACAGTAACCCATTACGAGACTCGATTTGGCAGCGACACCACGAAACGCGGGATATGCATTGGATGCTGGATGCTGGATGCTGGATGCGCAGGTGGATGCGATATTTCTGCTCTACCTACCTACTATTAGTTACATATGACGACGACGTTTGCCCCATGCATGCCCTGCACAACCTGCCGCATGAGAAGCAGCACGCAAATGATCTTTGGGACAACGGTGACAGCAGGGTTCCAGTTCAGTGAAGTTCAATACATTCATTCGGCCACCCACCGTGAGGTGTGCCACTACACGATGCATACCAAGAATACCGGCAGCTAATTCTGGCCTTGCTTGGCTTCCCCAGTTGCGATCCCATGACCCACCACCATCTGACTCGCAGGGTTTGATATCAGATGTTTTCGGCTTCTTCACAACCTCTTGCACTGAAAGGTGCTATATCGCTCACCTCCGACAACGTCTGCTCCCCTCATGCCCAGACAGGAAGGGAAAAAAAAATCTGGACTGCAAGCGTGCAGCAGCATAGAATTTTCCAGCATCCTTATTATGCGACGCTCTGAGCAAGGGGGATGACATCAGGCCCCCCGACCCCCGTCCAGTGCTTTCTTGTCTCTTGAGCGAAACTAACGGAGCTGCCCATCCACCCACTGATAAGATGAAGCTGTCTCATTAGCTGGGCGTCCCGGCCGTGGTAAAGCTCGTTTGTCAGTGTCAATGCTGCGCCAATAGAAGGCGCCAGCCCTGGCTGGTCCCCTGGCAAGCCAGCCAAGCCACTGACAGCAGCCCGCCCGCTGCTGATCAGCGCTTCCGGCTGTCTGCGTGCCGACCACCGGCCGCGCCTACACCCTGCGCCGGGACCAACGTCAGCTCCGTGTTGCTTACTTGACGGGGCGTTTTGGAGAGTATCTGCCTTGATTCTTTCGGATTTCTTGATCCCTGATTACCATACCGGTTGGAATAATGGAGAACGAGTAGATACCGGGCTTTGCGCCCTATAAAGAAACGCGAAACATAAGGATCATTGTCGCGTAGACACTCTACGACGAGGACTAGTAGGCCGTACAGAGACTGCTTTTTTCATCAGCCACAATCATTCAGCACATAGAACCAAAGCAGAATTTCACAGAATTAGTTTATTGTAATAATAATTATACGTCATAAGCGAGGAACGTGATACCTCGACTCTCATCTCTCAATCCGGCACAAACGCCATCCCCTTTTTTTTCTCATGTAACCAGCCAGGTCCAACGGGTATGAACATCCAGGACAGAAACCGTCTCTCCCCCTTTCTCGCGGCTGAAAAGCAAGACCGCGAGCCGAAGCGATTCAAGTACGAACGTAGAGAATCCCTAGTCCTGCCGGAACTCCTCAACACAAATCTCTTTCCACTCTCTCTGTGTACGTCTATAAGTGATGCATGAAGAAGAAAACAACCGTCCGTGCTCACAACACCAAACGTGACACACTCCTTTCCGTGAATGCTGTAGACTGAGGGTGACGGCACAGTCTGGTTGAGAATGAGGCGAACGCCTTAGAGCATCGCGTGTATTCAAGTCGAATGTTTCGAAAATGTGAGTAGATGGTGATCCTATGTTCTTTTTTTCCCTTTTTTTTCTTTTTCTTTTCCGTTGCTGGTAGCTCAGACGATCTCTCCAGCATCTTCCTGAGCGAGCATTGCTCGAACATCTGCCTCAATGGTCTTGGCGCTAATATCCTCAGCATGGCCGGTGATCTGGCCAGCAAGCTCAAGCTTTCTCTGGCAGGCCTTGTGAACTAGCTCCTCGATCGTGCCTTTGGTCAGCAGGCGGATGATCTCCACCTCGCGAGTCTGGCCGAAGCGATGCGCACGGTTCTCCGCCTGGATGTCGTCCTGCGGGTTGTCGGACTGGTCAAACACGATGACCTTGTTCGCGGACGTCAAGTTGATGCCAGTGCCGCCAGCACCAGTGGTGAGCAGGAAGACGGGAATGGATGGGTCGTCGTTGAATTCGTCAATGATGAATTGACGATCAGTCACCTTGGTGTCGCCCTTGAGGATGCGGTAGTCCACATTGGCAGATGCGAGACACTCCTCCAGGATCTCGAGCACCATGACGAACTTGGAGAAGACGAGCACACGGTCGCCGTTCTTCTTGAACTCTCGAATCAACTCAAGAAGCTTCTTCACCTTGCCGCTCTCCATCCAGGAAGCCTCCGGAACGTCGAACTTGGCGATACACGGCTCGTCGCGACACCAAAGATGCAACTTGAAGTCGGATTCACCCTTCAGCTCCTGGATAAGCTTGCCCATATCATCTTGCATGAGGCGAGATTGAGGAACGTGCGTCATGAGCACCTTGGCCATAGCTTCAACCTTCTTGTCTGTGAAGAAGCGTCGGAAGAGCTGGCCATGAATAGCCGCCTTGCGAAGCTGCATCCAAGGGTTATTCTGGTCATCTGAGCGACCATTCAGGCGGCCGATGGCGCGTCTCACTTCACGGCGGTAGTTGCCTTCATACTCTTGGTAAACAGACTTCTGACTGTCGAGTAGATCGCAGTAGACCACGCGGCGGGTCTTCTCCGGCAAAGTTGTCAAGACGTTCTCCTTCTTTCTCTGCAGGATGAACGGCTCAAGAATGGTTCGCGCACGGTGGACGCGGTCACTTTGCAAGACTGCTCCTTGGCTCACCTCCTGTAGCGAAGCTCGGTGAATGAACAGATCCTCAAGAGCCTCCATGTGATCCTGGAACAGATCCGGGTTGATGAAGTTGAGTAGTGCCACCATCTCCATGATGTTGTTCTGGACCGGAGTGCCTGTCAGAAAGAGCTTCCAATCGGCATCAATCCTGATGAGCTGTTTGTAGATTCTCGCAGTTGGATTCTTGAGTTTGTGAGCCTCGTCGAAAACAGCGACGTGGGGCTTGATGCGTTTCATTGCGACGATATCTTCAATTCGGTTGAGCTGAGAATAGCTCGTTAAAACAACGTGGTAAGCTTTGGGATCCTCTCTGATCTCGTAGGCAAGCTCGTCACGCTCTGGCTGCGAGCCACTGTAGATGATCAAATTCATGCCTGATGAGAACTTGTTGAATTCGGCTTCCCAGTTGGCGAGCGTAGTAGGTGGTACTACGATGAGGACTGGCCATGGCTTATCACCTTTGACAATGCCAGATTTGTAGTTCTCGACAAGTAGCGAGACGAATGCGACTACCTGGCAAGTCTTGCCCAGGCCCATGTCATCCGCGAGGATGCAACCGAACTGCTGACTGTACAGTTGCCATAGCCAGTTCATGCCAAACAGCTGATACGGTTGCAGTGTACACTTGCCCTGCATTGGTTTTGGCTCGGAAGGGAAAGGTAGATCTTCAAAGGCGGACTTTGCTGAGGATGATTTCTCGGCTCCAGATCTCTCAATCTTCCAGCGATTCAATGTCGCATCAATCTTCGCGCCCTTCTTCTCACATAGGGTTACAACTTGGTCAATGGCATCCAGAGTCTCGACGAACTGAATGAGTTTGTCGACAATGACTTCACCGACCGCGATCTTGCTGCGCTTACCCTTGGCCTTACCGGACCATAGGACAACTGCTCGAGCTTGTTCCAGAGAATGATATGGACGATGCTTGACCATGGCCGCAGCACGCTCCTTCTCCGCAGCCTTCATCTTGGTAATTGCCATGAGGTTCTCCACCGTACAATTCTCAAGATATTCGAGAATGCGAGAGTAGCTGCCACTGTCTAGGCTGACACGTGAAGTCGGGGAAGATGGCTCTGGCTCGGATGAATAAGTCTCGTTATCCACTTCATCCTCGCTGACCAGGTCAATCAATTGAGTCCGACGGGTTGGCTGTACAATCTCAACTTGTGAAGAGCTGGGCTCGGCGCGAGGCTTAAGTCCTCGCTGTAACCGACCTCGAGATTTGACAGGCTGTGGTGACGGGGTAGGCGGGCCCTGTGAGGTTCGCGAAGAAGAGGCAGAACGACTGGAGCCTTGAGACGATACAGGCGAAGTGGACGCAGACGAGTTTCTAGCGGCATCTGAGCCAGCTCTGGCGAAGGCCTTTAAGATAGACGGTTGGGCCATGGCTTGTCTCGCGGGAGGGTTGGAGCGAAGAGACGCAACGGCAGCATCCATATTCAAGCCATTCTTCTGGAGCGCCTTCGTGCAATCATCCATGCTGTAGCTATTGCCGACTTTGGCACGCACTTTCTTTGCCAATTGCTGGACTCTGACACTCGACACCTTGAGCTGAACGGTTCTATCGGGCAGCGCCTGTTTCTCCTGATTGTATTTCGATGCAGGAGGAGGTGTAGTCTGTCGCGGTTTGAAGGAAGACGGGCGGATGTCGCCGCGAGTCGGGCCATCATCATCGTCTGAGCTGTCCACGACATACACGGGCTCGTCCAATTCGTCGTCACTCTCCTCGAGTTTCCGCTTCGGGGGAATGCTCTTCTGCTCGACGCGGGGCGCACGGAACATCGTACCTGCGGGAGCCATGGCCGTCGCGAGTCTGCCGCCGCTCACCGTCATTGGGAGCTTTCGGGGTGGGATTGGCGAGGAGACAGGCACCTCGATCTCAGCCTTAGGTGAGGACGAGGTGAAGCGGGAGGGGGCAGGCTGGAGAGTGGTGCGATTGACGATCTGAGTTGGCTGGGTGAAGTAGGGAGAGGACTCGGGGACGTGAGTCACGGGCTCATCTATCTCGTCATCGCTATCGGAAATATAGATCGCCGTCTTCTTGACGTTGATACTCGGCGACGCGGGCACGAAATCAGATCGTGGCAGAGCCATTGGAGGGGACGAGAAGTCCATGACGAGCAGGGGAGATACAGGAAGATTGAGATTTCAGATACAGTGGTGGTGAGAGGGGAGGCAATGACTTGTGCGAAAGGTTACAGTTGACAGAAATGTGAGAGTCGTAAGGTCGGATTGGCGAGGAACCCGCCTCGTAAGGTTGTTTGCGGTGAGAACACGAGATGCGAGTTCTAGAAAGACATGCGAAATGCGTGCTGATGACCTCGCTCCTTCTTGCGACGTGGAGTAAGGAAGATTCGCAAGAGACGGTGAAGCAGGCTGAGCGAGGTCGAGGTTGGGAATAGGCGTTGGGTTTTGGAGTGGAAGTGGGAGTTGTCAGAAGGGAGGTGAGTGCTCTCCCTGGGTTTTTGCGTGGCGGTTCGGCGCGAGACACGCTCAGAAATCCTTAGAGAGCATCAACTGCCCCACCACCGAACGCGCTAGCACGTGGAGGGGCTGGTCAATTAACTGAACAAAATTTATACTGTCCAGTCCCCCCCTATTGTTCTTATTCAACAGTACAATAGCAAATGACGCACAATACAAAAGCTCATTTACTCTTCTGAATTAATAACGTCATGTACATGATGTTATCTTGGGGAGCATCTCAAACCAAATTATATTTCGGGTTTAATAGACACAGGAAGACGGACTGGATAAGTGGCAACCAGGGAGACTAGCAATTGGATACAATGCGGTGGGCCTTCGAGTGAAGTACTGAGACTTACCTAGTCCAACCAATGCATTAACTCAACCATACTTCTGCATCTTGATTCTCGCTACAACAACATCCACATATTAGCATTCACAAATTTAAGCCGGGCCCAGCATCCTTCTCGATAACCTAGTCAGGAATTACGGAACCCTACCACCATGGCGACGCGAAGAATCATCTCGAGCGAGAAGACGCTCCTGGAGAAAGATGACACCGTAGGCTCCAGCCCAGCAGCCAACGAAAAGTCCAACATCACCCCGGCCGTCCCGACGTGAGCAGCACCCTCATCAGTGCTTCCCGCCGATTTACTGATTGCCCTTGTGCAGGGACGTGATAGTGAAGCTGCTGGCATTCACATTCGCCATGATTGTCTTCCCGATTGGCTCGTACTTCCTCACTGTGAACACCATTTTCAACGGTAAGTGATGCTCCTGGGTCCCTGCCCTTGTACGGACTTCTGGAGGTCCTAGTCGGCTACATGAACTATCGAGACATCCAGACCGATGATTGAATCTTCGCTGACATCCAGACAAGGAAACACAACGTTTGCGGGCGCAACGGCTGCCGTCATGGCTAACGTTGTGCTCATCGCATATGTGATTGTGGCGATGAAAGAAGATCAGTCAGACCAGCTCGGTGACGGTGCATCGAACGAGAAGAAGAAGGATCGTTGAAACCATCTCTATTGCATCATGTCCACCATAATTCTTATGTGTTACTAGTAGCATCTTACCAAAGTGCATGAATAATATATTTGACGAGGCACACAATTGCTTCTGTTCACGAAATGCGTGTCACAAGAGAGAAGGTCTATCAACCATGAAAGATGTGTCTCATGAAAGATGAGTTTGCTCTCCATTGTCAGCATACTGCTGCTCTCAACCTATGATGGTAGCAACTAGATTAGGGTCCCGCTGTGCCCCCTTATCCTTTCGTCTATCTGTGGCTCGAGTATATGTGCCGTAAGGGAAAGTGAAAGGTGATTAAGTCTAACCGCGAGCCAACAGATATCATTCCTTTCAGTATATCCTTCCCAGTCGTCATGAATATAATGGCACCCATCCTACTTACGCCAGTACAAAAATCATGTATGTATGTACTAGAATTCCATGTCCGTTTAAAAGTCATCTCACGCCGTCATGTTCAGCGGTGCGTCATATCACCGCCACGACTCACATCCTGACATGCTATTGTTTTGACCATTGTGAGCCAAATACAGCATAAGTCGGGGTTTTCGTAATGGTTCGTTCCAAAATTGAAACCAATATGATCTTTGGAAGAAAATCCTGATTCCGCACCGGTCTGGGTGCACAGTGGAGCCAGGGTCAAGGGGTATCGAATTATAGAGCTTTCACGGACGGATCGCACCAAGCATATCTACCTAAGATTGCTTGCTGAATCTGCGTGTGAACCAGCTCTTGCGCTTCTCGCCCATATCTGGTCGTTGCTGCTGGTAGCTATTCATGGACGTGTTGGTCGTAGGCTTCCTCAACATGGAAGCATCCTTTCGCGGCACCGGCGGCGCAGCCACTGCTGCATTCTGGTAACCATTCTGCTGCATATGACCCTGCGGCTGACCGTTCATACCGACAGTGAAGGCGGAAGGCTGGTACTCGGGGGTCTGGTTGAAGCCAATTCCATAATCGTTCACAGGCTCCTGGCGCTTCGGCGGGGATTGACGACGCTCAATGGAGCTGTTATCGCTGCTCGTGGGATCGGTCTGATAACCAGCCTGTTCGCCCGAAAGACCACTTCCTCCCGATCCCGATGCCACTGTCTCATAGGATCGATGGTTGTTGGGTACTGGATAAATGTTCTGCTCCCCTTGTCGGAAATTGTTGAAATGCGGTTCCGAAGCGGTTCGGGGGTATCTCTGGCGTCCGAATTGTGGGTTCGGATATGCACCATTTTGACCTCCTTGTTCGTACAGACCATCACGAGTCATTGCTCCTTGTCTAAAGTCGAGTTGACTGTCGTTGGCCCTGATCGTCGAAGTAGGACGTCCGCCATAGTAGCTGTCCTGAGGGAAGCGACCACCGTCTACAAGGCCGAAGTTAGCGATGTTCTAGTAAGGATGGTTGTTTAAAATCATACTGTTGCCATAATAACTGCTTCGTTTGTTCCAATTGGCAACGGATTCTGTGTCTGAATGTGCAATTTAGTAAGTATGTGGTTTAATGCTGTACCGGAAGCGTGGGAAAATTTACCTGATCGAATGAAAGACTTCCTGTTATAGCCACCATCAATGGCTGCTTCGAAACTTCGAATTGTGTCTAATGGGCGCTCCCATCGGCTTCGAGTGGGGTTGGATCGATCGGGATCAGCTTGTAAATGTCAGCTCTAGAATATGCAGTCAGAAGCTTATTGAGCATACCAATGGGATTGCCAAAAGCATCTCTATGCTGGACGCCTCGCAGAGAAGCCAATTGCGATTTGCCAGTTGCCGCAACAACAGCTGGTGACGATATGTTAGTCTTGTTATACTTAGATGCAGTCTACCAAGTGACGTACCTGGTTCGGCCTCGTTCATGGCCAAAGTCGGATCGGCTTTACTGTGAAGGCGCTTGGCTTCCTTCTCGGTATGTGTCTCGACCAAGTGTACCTTGTCCTTGCTGCCACTGCTCTTATGCGACTTCTCTGACTTGAAGCTAAAGCCTCTTGATCTCGGACGGGGCTTCTGAACTGGTGGGGGACCTTGTTGGTACTGTTGTGGCTGTTGCTGATATTGAGGTTGCTGGAACTGCTGCTGCTGCTGCTGCTGCTGTGCCGAGTTGTAATATTGCGGTGGAGAGAAGGTCTGCTGTTGACCTGGGGGCGCAGGAAGCGGATGACGGTCTTGAGCTGCCATTGTGACTGTGGACGGGGGAGCTATGGAGTTTTGTATGGGTATGAGCTTGGGGCGGTTGGCGCCGTTACGACTGGGGGTCAAGAGTGACAGGGCCCTTCGTGGATACCCAAATTGGATCGGTTTCTTTGATCGAGGATCGTCTTATCGCCCTTTGGCGGCGGCGGCACGTCAAAGTGGATGGAGGTAAGCTGGTCGTGGGCGTAGAATAGTGCAGTGTAGTCGCAGGCAGGCCTGGGTGCGGTGTCCACAGCTGTAGAGACGATGGATGATAGACAGCCCTGGGAGGTGGATGTGGATGTGGAGGCTGGCGGCACTGCTATCTGTGGATCAGTGGAGCCTAGAACGAGCGTCTCTGTCACAGAATCCAAAGAAATCAAGGCAGGCCTGTCTCGCGTGGCTGGGATGTGGTCGATGCTGGCGCAGTAGGAACGGCCGGGCAACGCAAGCAGTGACAGGGTTCAGTGTGCGCTACTCCCGGAAACATGCACCTGTTCGGCGGTTTAACGTCCAAGTGCGGTGGATGCTTGGCCCCTCCTGCCCTAATTTTAAAAGCGGTTTCGAGCGCTATCTGGTTGGATGGCAATTCGATGGACGGATGGCACCTTCGTTATCAATGGCGTCGGTGGTGGTGGTGGTGGTGGTGGTGGTTGTTGTTGTTGTTGTTGATGATGTGTCGGATGATATTTAGAGTGCAGGTACCGTGGGAAGGTTTGATTGACCGGATATGATGGAAGACGTTTTTTGTTTGCCGGTGATGAAATGAGGACCGTTGGGAGGCCGCGTTTAGACAGAAGGATGTTGTGTGTGGTGTGAGACTGATTGATCCGTGCACACCTATTCCCCCTTCTTGTTTCTCGTTTCTTTTGTCTTCCTTTTCGTGTTTGTCCAACCCTTCCTTATTGAATTCTTTTTTTGGCCCCTACTTGAATTGCCTCTCTTTGCTAGGCTGGGCTAAACTGGGCTGCAGGTGAGCTGTTGATGCAGCTGGCTTCTGCTGATGGTAGGGGGGCTGGCTGTGCCTGGGCAACCCTTTGGGATTCTGCGGGCCAAACGGAGCCCCTGGTTTGGGTCGGATTTGTTGTCGAGGGGGGGCTAAAACGTCTGATTGACGGGGAGGGTTTGGGTGCCAGTTAGCTGACGTCAAGTTGACCCGAGCTTCGCGGACTAGGGCCAGCGTAGTGGCGCAAGGTGCTGCAGATAATTAGGTGCTTTCGCGCTGCTCTACCGTTTCAGATGATGGGGATTCCAATTTCATCGATCAAAAAAGGTCCGCTTGGTGCACCTGGAGAAAAGAGGATCAAATGTCAGCCCTGCTCGAGAACATCTAAGAGAAGGCCGGGCAGCTGCATATAAGAAGCACTGCGAGCCAGACGGAGCAGAAAAAACGGTGCACCCGGCCGGCCTTGCTATAGCTTTTTCGAAAAAGCTTACCCAATCGCGCTAGAAAAAACGAGCAGTGGCGGCCACGCGGCTTTCCCCAAAAGATCGAGAGCGAAGGACTAATACGAGGAAAACTGACAGTCGTAAAGTCGGTCGGTCCCTCAGTCAGTCAGTTGGGCGGGCGACAAAGGGAAAACGAAAGTCGAGAAGGAATTAATATTATTGCGAGGTACGGAACGAATGTCGGGTTGTTTGCAAAAGGACGACCGAGCAGGAGGTCACAAGAGACAGCCGTACAATGGGAAAGATCTTGTAAGTGGGAAAGTCTGGTAAAGGCATGCAGGGTGAGTCTGCATTTTAAGAGAAGCCGGACCAGTCAGTCATTCGTGTATACTATGTACTATGGAAGTGAAGGTGGCTCATCCCATCGCATCCGCGTATGGATGGATTGTGTGTCTGCCCTAGCACGTCTGGTTCAACTTGACCTGACCTTGACGTATTGCAGTGGTCGTCCGTTCCCCTAGAGGAAGGGATGTGGTGTGGTGGCCCGCCCGCATACGTAGGTATCGACCCTCAACTCACCCATGCCTGTGTGTGTACCAGGTGTGCGAGAGTACAGCATGTACATGCGTGGAGTGTATCCCCTCGACAGTCTACGTATGGAGGCACGGCATAGCAAGCATCATCAGTGGAGATGCTCGCCGCTCAACGCTGTGCTGATTCGCCTCTGGCCTCGAATCACTAGAGGCGACGGCTTGGAGATTTTCGTTCTCTGACGGGTGAGACTCCTTCCGCAGGTGACGGCCTATCGAGTGGCGCCGAGCCTCGCCGTGGGCCGACGTTATCACGGTACAAGAGCTCCCCACGACACATGCCAACGCTCGCTCAGGTACATGTTCAAGTCTCAAGGACCGAATACCTCGTGTTAGGGTATCCCCACTGCACCCTCCCAGAATGTCTTATGTTCGCGAGCAGAGCGACGACGCGCGGATCGCACGTTTGGCTCCTCAGGGGATGCGGACACTTCAAAATCCCGCTGCTTGTAGTAGCTATCTGCTCCCACAGAATGCGACCCTACAGAGGACATTCACCGAAATTTCCGAGGTGCTGCAGTCTAAGGAGTTGTGCTTGCCCAACGGTTCATGATGGCGATCCTATCTACATCCTCTGCCTTCCCATCGAAACCTCGGTGGTCCGTAAGTAGAAATCCCCCTTGGGGACATCGTGGGCTGGATCTTAGCTCCCATTGCACTGCGTAGTGGTAGTGCTATAGCTCCACTCCTATCGATATCGCCATCGAAACGTGGACCGGTTCCCCTCGCTACTAAGACGACTATGTTAGTTAGTGTTGGAGATAGATGCATCCTCTTAATGCCTAGCCAAACTTTGACGCCAACGCGTCCAGGTACTCCGGAGCTCCCGCGGTAGTTGGCAACTGTAGTAGTTTGTGGCTTCGTGGCTTTCCGTTCCTCAGCTCGCCCCCTCGCACAAAACAAAACGCGACTCTCCTGTGTGCAAGTCTCACACAGTTATCTCGGCTCACCCAAGCCAGCGGTCGATGACATAAGACAATCGCCGTGCCTGGGCCAGGAGAGTGATCGTGGTCTGCCGGATGGTGCTGCGCCTCCATGCACTTCCCTATCACGCATCCATCCGTCCATCCTTGTTGACGGATTCGCATCTGACAGTTGGACGAGAGTAGGCTCCCGATAATACGGTAATCAGTAGCTTGTCAAGCTTGTCCACATCAGAAGATAGTACATACACTCCTGTTGTATTTGCAAGCAAGTATGTACTCGCTACCACTCCCTGCAGTATCGAGTATCAAGTTCGACAGCGGCAGGGCAGCCTAAACTGCAAATCCCTAATGCACCAAGCTCTTTGCTGTTTCGACCATAACCTGCTTCTGCTTCCCGCAGTTACGAAACCTGGAACTTAACGGCATGCTATACCTCCGTAGCCTGCCACGGGTGCCGATGCCAACCTTAACTGCCTCATTCCGACACAATCAATTTGTCTTGACAAGCATTCCGCATGTCTCTATCTATCAGGCATTGTCAAGTCTGTCTGGACACAAAGTCCCCCGCGCGATAAGGCAGGTGGAAGAAGCCCCGTCCCGTCGTCTCAATTGTCACCTCAGTGAAAGGTCCAAGCTCCCCCCTGGCTAGCAGTGCGACCCTAAAACCAACAGTGCTAGAATTGATCCCACTTTCCCCACGAGCCCTTGGATGATCAGCGCTCGCTCCGTTATAAATAGAGGGGCAATGAAGGCAATGCAGGGCCAAATGGAATGAGCCAACGTTTTCGTCAGAGACTGCCAATTGTCGATATGTTGATCAGCTGTTGCCAATGAGACGAACAGAGGGCCACATATGAAAACATGGAAGACTGCCTGCAAACGGCGCATCGCGGAGAGGATGCAATTGTAGGTATGGCAGTGATGGGCGCCGAGCAACAGCCTCTCTTGCCTCTAATGGCTCAGACGACGTGGCTCACTAATAAGGTTGTGTCAGCTTCCACCCGTCTACAGAGTACAGTAGCGCTCCTCCCCCGGTACGGCAAGGGTTGCCCTCGTACTCGAATCTTGATATTGAGAACCTTAGAGCCGAAGAAGCCGGCCACTAGCAAGAGCAAGCCCACAGGAGTTGGTGTGAAAGGTCCAGAATCTCGCAGTAGAATGAGGCGCCGGAGGCCCGGCAGTGGTAGATCTGCCCCTCCCTTAACCAGCGGCACGACGACTGTAAGGCAGGTTTATGCAGCCAAGCCAAGAACTATGAAAGCTGAACCACGGAGGACTTGGTCATTATTGCATGTTCGTGCAGCTCTGTATCCCTGAAGGAGCAAGTCTCTACCCCTTCCAACCGTAACTGATAGTGAGTAGTCCGTCCGTACAGGAATGATATTTTTGTCCCCATGGGAAACCTGATTGGCCTGCGGCCTCGGAAGACTGTCCGCTCACCACGACAAAGTTGCCAGGGACGTGTGATAAGGATTAAGCATTGTGAGGGATGAACTTGGACTGGGTAAGATGTCAAAGCTATTCAAGATCCTGGAAAGTCTTCGATGGACAAAGTAGATACTGGTGTAAGCAAGAACCGGACACTATTAAAGGCTGAGTGCATACCTACCTACCTAGGTAGGTAGCCTGATGGGATAAGGGCTCCGATAATGCAACCAGGCAACTAATTGGAGAGGTGCATGTGCCCGATAGACCCATTGCATGCAAGCCAGCTTCTTCTCGGGGAATTTTCACGGTTCATAACTTCTTTCATAAAATTGACCCTTTACGGCCTAAGGAGTACCTGTTCGTGCTGGAAGAGCACCACTGTACCCTAGCGGGCTTCTCAGGTGCCTCGCAGCGGTCAATGGCTTGCCTTGTACTGTAGTTCTCTTAGAATCTCCAGAATAATATCGCTGTGATAAGCAAATACGCAAGAGAAATGCTTCGACGTGGCACATAAATATAACCAACATATACGAAGGGATCCAGGCATGCGGGCTGGCAGACACTTCAGGTCTGAACCTTGTCAAAGAGTTTGATCGTACCAAAAATCATCTCAGTCTATTCACACGAAACCATCGTTGGCCTTAGTATTCAGTCCAGTAGTTTGGGGATGGGTCACTTGAGCTTGATAGAGACCTCCACGCCATGTCGTCAGTCATTATCTCGGGTGTGTGAATCACAAGCTGAGTACCAAATCCAAATCAGAAGCCACAAGAAATGAGTATGTTCCAAAGACAAGTTGGGTCGGGGTAATCGCAAATTCATCGTGACTTCTGAGGAACGAGTTATGTTGATTTCAAAGTACCATTTTCATTCAAGTCCTAGGAGATTTAACCCCATAGCAGTACCGGCTAGTTCCCTTCCTCCATCGCATGTAGTGTCGGGCAGCCTTCGTTGTGTTGGACCAAGCACATGAAAACCATCGATTGCACGTCGTGGTTGGTAACCGCCAAGTTGATTTGATGCTAAGCACAAGGCACACCTCTTCGGCCTTGCTAAACCCTAATGCAGCCAATGAAAGCCATACCACTCAACTCCGTCCTGAACCGTTGTTTATATCGAGGATGGGTAAAGCATGATGCGAACAGACGCGCCGAAAGATCGTGCGGGGAGGGGGTTGGTGAACTTGGCGCGGACGACTCCCGAGTTGCCATGCGGTCTGGTGACCTTGCCCCAGATCACCCTGATGTTGGTGCCTCGCTTCTCCTTCTGTGCGCGGTAGACATAGGCGACCTTCTTGCCGAGGTAGAAGCTGCTCAGAACGTTAGCAACCATATCACAGTCTCAAAGAGACTGTCGGACATACTTGGCAGCACCGGTGTCATCGACACCCTCGATCTTGATCAGGCTCGTCTTCGGGTGGGTCGTGTGACGGCTACGCTGGTAGCTCAGGTGGCGACCCCTAGAGTAACTTGGTCAGCCTCTTGCTCGTAATGTTCTTGTAGTCCGTCTCGGTTTATCTCGTCGTTCTCGTCACCCAGTTGCGGTATTCGTGTTCATCGTGGATTTCCCGCCGACCCATCTGAAGGACTGCTCAAGACGAGCAGATGTGCATGAGAGAACTTACTTGACGTATACTATAGACAACGGTCAGCATATATTTCACCAAGTAGTAGCAAGGCGCGCGCGAGGTTTCGCGATGTCACTCGACGACGTCGCCGACGCCTCGCAAGTAACCCGCCCACGTCGCCTCAGGATTGGAGTATACTCACATCTGTGACCAGCTTCTGAAGGCATGTTGACTGTGCCGATCAATCGATCTTTCTCTCCGTGCCAGTTGGGAAGGAAGTGGTTGATGCTTCTGGCGTTGACTGATCCGAACTGAGGCTAAGTCGTCGACCGCGAAAAATCCGGTGCAGGTGCGCTTAGGGTTTGTGGAAGGAAGAACGAACGCTAGAGGACGGAAAAATATTTTGGCCGACATAAATTTTCGTGGGTCGCCCCCTGCCACTTCTCAAGTCGGGATCCATACAAAATGTGGCTCACACTTCATGGCTTTGTGGCTTGACGGGCTGTGCACTGACCACCCAAACCCTGAGTTTACGTCATCGGGGACCTAGATGCAGTTGTTGCGATCGCGGAGGAAAAAGCCTCAGCGCAAGTAAATAGATCTTCTCTAGGAGGGATAATCAATTGTTGGTGTAATTAGTCTCTAGAAGTCTTCTATCGATAACAGATCATGGCGTGATGGTATCTCTCAATCTGTTCATGCAAGTTGCCAGGTACCAATACCCAGAAAGGGTAATCTTGCTACAGTCATTTGGAGATGAGGCAGGCGCAGTGAAGGTTGAGCATGCCATAATTGCCGTACTGAAGGAAATGAAAACTGCAAACGGGCCGCGTTTCTGAGACGCTACCCAAGCTGGGAATCCCGAGATCTCCGGGTATCTTGAGGTCGAACCAATAAACCTAAGAGTTGCGGGGTTCTGCTTCACTTGGATACCATTACTTGTCCCATGGGGCTACGTGCAAACGACGAGTTGTACTACCGATGTGCAGCGTCTACCTAGGTAGTCGAGTAATAGGCTACCTCAGATAGCCCAATTGCTAAGGAACTCCGGTGCGAGAGCATAAATTCTGGACATATCTCTTCTTTACTGCCAGGATTCACTACTAATTAACTGAAGGAACAGCTGAACGGCAATGGCAACTAAAATAGGGCAACACGGAGACTAGAACTTCGAGGCAATTAAGTCCGAAAAGATTACACTATGATTTCATTCCGTGGTGTTACAAATGGGAGTAGTGGGCGGACACTGGAGGAGTTCCCGGAACTCCATTGTAAGAGGGGTGCAAGAGTTAGGCGCATTAACAAGCTAGGTGGGAGACTGCCCCAGCTGCCTGAGCTACAACAGTGAAGAGAGCGGGCATGGGGGAGGTGTGACATAGACGTATTTCAGACGTCGATGCTACAAGTTTCGCAAGGGAGCCCACCGACGACATCTCACCCCTACAATCAACAAATTGCCAGTGCACCAGGAGCTTATGCTTCAGAGCCAGACCAGACAGACGTGGAGCCGCAAACGACGTGCAGGGTCTGAAGAGAGAGAGCGACCACTTGGGGGCCCTGCCAAGGCGGGTTCGTGGTTTTAGGAGGCGCTTTGAATCTATCGTCACTTTTTGCCAGTAAGGTAGCAAGGTAAATCTGAACAGTTCCTGTACCTACTGTAGGGGAATTATGTACTTCGCTGTACGGTACAGCACACCGCCAGCCCACTCGCAGTGGAGGATGCAGTTTGGAATTCTCAACGAGAAGCGGCTAAGCGAGAATCTAGCTTGGTTTATGTCAACATGTTGGGCTTCTCTGAGGCTTAATCCCGCAGGTGCCGCTTTTCCCCTTGCCTTCTCCAGCCAGCTGACCAAGCGAAAGATATCAGGGTCACAACTCTCTGATAGCATGTTGGCATTGAATCGAACACATCGGTCATTAATCCGCGATCGCCGCCGCGGTAATTGACTGAGCTAGGTATAATTGGCAGGTCTGCGAGTGCGCATTTGATGTCCAGGCGGAAAAGTAGAGGTGGCTGTTAAGGCATCTAACAGAAGCAGCTTGTCCTCCAGTAAGAAAGGCGGGACACTGAGTAAGCTCCCCTCCAGGTGCGTATCTTGCTTAGCTCCTCCAAGTCTGCGCATCACCCCGCCGGCCGGTGCGTTAAAACAAACCCATTTAACCCCAATTCCTAGACAGCGGAGCTTCCAAGTCTTTACGTCTCTTTCCCATCCCCCACGCACTCCGACCGAAGCTTTTCTTCTTGATATCCCTTCCCCCTTCGACTTTGTAGACCTTTCCTCCGTCCAACCTGCTCGTCCAAGGCAAAGCAAACATCATGGCGACCGACATGCATTCTGCAGCTGCGTAAGTGACCCCGCCAACACGCCCGCGATCTTTCTCATTATTATCCGCCCGGGCCAATTCGAGCGAGCTCGTCCGCCGAGCTCGCAGCTCGGTCGGACAGACATGGCATCTCTCCCAAGAGTAGTGTCTCGATCTTTGCGCATTGCATGGCAGTCCCATGCTCGGACGTGTTTCTCCAGATAGAATGATGCTAACATGACCTCTTTAACAGCGCCTTGGAGCTCAAGGACAACACCGTCATTGTTGTCCTCGGCGCCTCGGGAGATCTGGCCAAGAAGAAGACTGTAAGTCGGCCCAGTAGATCCATGTTGTCACTATATCGTAATGCTAATCTGTCCATAGTATCCGGCATTGTTCGGCCTCGTGAGCGCCTCCCTCTCAAGCTATCCGCCTTATATCCTCACAGATGACTAATTGCCTCGAAGTACCGAAACCAGTTCCTACCGAAGGACATCAAGATTGTCGGATATGCTAGAACCAAGATGGACCACGAGGAGTACTTGAGGAGGATCAAGTCTTATATCAAGACCCCTACCAAGGATATGGAACAGATGCTTGAGGAGTTCACGTCTATCTGCACCTACGTGTCCGGCCAGTACGATCGTGACGACTCTTTCTTAAACCTCAACAAGCACTTGGAGGAGCTAGAGCAGGGCAGGAAAGAAGCACATCGCCTGTTTTATATGGCTCTACCACCCAGTGTCTTTACAATCGTCTCCCAGCACCTAAAGAAGTGCTGCTACCCGAGCAAGGGTATTGCCCGTGTTATCGTAAGTGACCTCGCACTTGCTTATAATCCCATCACTGACATGCCGCGCGCGTCATTTTAGGTTGAGAAGCCGTTCGGTAAGGATCTTGCCAGTTCAAGAGAACTTCAAAAGTCCTTGGAGCCAGACTGGAAGGAGGATGAAATCTACCGTATCGATCATTATCTTGGAAAGGAGATGGTCAAGAATATCCTAATCCTCCGATTTGGTAACTCCTTCCTTGGAGCTACCTGGAACCGTCATCACATTGACAATGTGCAAATCTCTTTCAAGGAGCCTTTCGGCACTGAGGGGCGAGGAGGTTATTTCGATGAGTTTGGCATCCTACGAGATGTCATGCAGAATCACTTGCTCCAAGTTCTTACCCTACTCGCCATGGAACGTCCCATTTCATTCTCCGCTGAAGATATTCGTGATGAGAAGGTCCGAGTTCTCCGAGCTATACCAGCGATTGAGCCCAAGAACGTAATCATCGGCCAGTACGGCCGATCACTTGACGGCAGTAAGCCATCATACAAGGAAGATGACACTGTTCCTAAGGACTCTCGATGCCCCACATTCTGCGCGCTGGTTGCGTACATTAAGAACGAGCGATGGGACGGCGTGCCTTTCATCATGAAGGCCGGCAAGGCTCTCAACGAGCAGAAGACAGAGATCCGAGTGCAGTTCAAGGATGTCACGTCCGGTATCTTCAAAGACATTCCTCGAAATGAGCTGGTCATGCGAATCCAGCCCAATGAGAGTGTGTACATCAAGATGAACTCCAAGCTTCCTGGTCTCAGCATGCAGACCGTGGTTACTGAGCTCGATTTGACCTACCGACGACGGTTCTCCGATCTCAAGATCCCAGAGGCATACGAGTCGTTGATCCTTGACTGCTTGAAGGGCGATCATTCCAACTTCGTTCGTGATGATGAACTCGACGCCAGCTGGCGCATCTTCACGCCACTGCTGCACTATCTCGATGACAACAAAGAAATTATCCCTATGGAGTACCCATACGGTCAGTACTTGTGTGAATGTATCAGCTTACGCTTTGACTGATTCCAAATGCTAGGTTCCCGTGGTCCTGCTGTCCTTGACGACTTCACCGCATCCTACGGATATAGGTTCAGTGACGCTGCCGGATATCAGTGGCCCACTACGTCCGCCGCGCAGCCCACAAACAAGTTGTAAGTTTATGGATGACACGAACCATTTTGAGCAAATGGAAATCTAGCTGGGATGAGTGGATCATAGTAACACTTTCCCTTGCAGTTAGTTAAGACAAGAACTCGATATCGCTTAATCAACGCCAGGAGGATTTCTCCCTGTATTCTACTGGCCGTCTTGACTTGGAAGGAGTATATCCTTGATTAGACCCTTAAGAGGAAGATGTCATGAGGTTATTGGCATCTGAAAGGTTCTTTCAGCATTACACGGGAGGGGAGGCAATAGTACAGATATGAGCTTTGCTTTCTACGGTTAGGAGGATAGAAAAATCGACAAATGTCTTGCTTTTTGTAATATCCTAGGCCCTGGCCCAGCCATAGTGTTTGGGGTTTTTTTTTGTTGGGTTTTTTTTGCTAAAACACTCAAATTACCATTCCACATTTTAACGAACCTCCCCAAGCTACCATCTACAGAGCCTACAGAGCCTCCCTTGCAGGTTTGTCATGGTTAAATGCTTCGATCGCGCTACCTACTGTCGGCATTATCTTGGTGTTTGCGAATGTTCATCTTCGTTTATTACCGACAAAAAGGAAATACTAGTACACACCCATCAAATTTAACCAATATCCAGCGATCTGAGACGATTTTCGCAAAGGATCAAGAGACATGATACAAAGTAAGTGATCCGTATTCAAATGCTGGTATTGAAGTTCAGCTGAGTGACCTACCTGTACCATGAAGTAGGAAGCGGGTAAGCTGGAGATGCAGGTGGTACTGTAGATCCACTACTAAGATAAAGATAAGATCTGTCACGTGATACTGTCACTTTTCCCTACCTATTCGCATCTAGCGACCGCGGCGGCGCGAGACAAAGGGACCAGCACCTCACCTTTCTCATCATTTATCCTACCGACCACGAGGACCCTTGACGATCGCTTTCGACGCAACAGTATTCATATCTTCCTGCACCTCCGTCACTACCTAGGTTTCTTTTATTCTCACCTGTGATCCGACCCTGCGTCGTGCGTCGCGGTCCCAACCTCGTCTCTCAATAGCAACGTGACTTTTGGTGTCAGCTTGCATTGGCGACTCACTCTATACGGTCGCACCGAGAACAGGACTTTCCTGATTGCGATGGGATTTCACGCCGGATGCTGGAGCGCTTACATATGATCAGTCGGACGGGAGACGCCAGTAATCTGTTGATGGCTTGCGGCTCGCCCTTGCGTCGAACTACTGATGGTTGCCGACCTTCGAACGAGCACGAACCATAAACACTCGACCTAATTAATCACCTACTCTTCCACCTTAAACGCGATTTTATAGCGCCTCTATTTGCGATATTGCGCCAGGTTCTACGGCCAGGGGGGCGCCGCTTGGGGAAGCTCAGATCTCAGCGGTAGAGGTCTTGAAAGAGGTTGTTGCGCTTGGTGCTCCAGGCCGCCAAAATGGAGATCGGGGTTCAGAATGGCGTCCTGACCAACCATGATAGAGATACAAGGGTCAACGGCATCAACGGCAATGCGATAGTCAAGCGAGAGCCTTCCCCAGAGAAGGGTAAAGGAGCCTCGGGGATTAGCACATTGAATGGGACCTATCACGGTGCGATGGATGTGGACGCGCCTCAGGGGCAGGCATCAAGCAAGGCGCTGCTTTCGGATGATCGTTCCAAACTAGACGACTTGCCGGAAGAGATTGTCCATATCACACAGAACTTCATGCCCCTAGGTCTCCTGTTAACGCGGCTTGCGCAGAAGTCTCACAACGCCATACAAGACAAGATTTTAGAGATGGCCAAGATGCCACTGCCACAGGTCATGAACGGCAACTCAGACACCCACAGCAATCCCCTCGACGATACATCGGAAGAGAATCTTGCGAAGAAGACGGCGCTTTTGCATTTCGTCCAAGACCTCCATGCGAAATGGGTCAAGGCACTCGTTATCACAGAATGGAGCCGGAAAGCCGATCTCGTTAGCAAACTCATTGATCTCAAGGCCCATATCGATGTACAGATGTTCAAATACGATGGCGCTCTTGACCAGATAGTAGATGTCAAGAGGAACCTATTGTATGCGCGTCTCCCGAATCCAGACCTCAAAACTGCCTTGCAGGTTTTGTCGACGGGAGATGTGCCCTGGATGCCCGAGGTAAGTTTACTGTTCTGCCTTTGTAGCCTTGTCCCTAACGATGAATAGTTAAATTACATCGAGCCACCGCCTCTTACTCCTCAAGAACAGCTCAAATGGATTGACAACCTCAATACGCTCTTGTCAATAAGACTAAGTCTGGATGATCACGACAAGATACCCTTCCATTTTCGTGATTATAGTGTAAGTTCGGGGCGAGTGACTTTCAAGGTCAAAGGAGAGTTTGAGGTAGACCTCACGATTGCCGACGAAGACTTTGAAAAACAATTCTGGTTTATCGACTTCCGCTTTCTATTCACTCCTGCACCGAAAGAACTCTCGGAAGGTCTCAGAGCTTTCCTAGAGGCCAAAGTCAACGAAGCACTCGCGAATGAGGGGCTAGATGGATGCTACCGGTTCCTGCATGAGTTTGTCTTGACTCACAAGATCAATGAGTTTAGTCGTCAAGCTCGTGAAATGAGTCGCGACCGATGGACAGATTCTGTTCGGGTTGAACGACTGAACAGAGCCATTTCTATTCAGTACTGGGCATCTCGATATCTCCAGAACGGACCCAAGAGCTGGGTTATCCTCGGTGTCAATAGTGGGAGGAAGACGACAAATCTTGTGGACGCAAAGGCCACAAGTTCTCTCAGTCTCCGATGGTTCAGAGACAACAAGGAGGTCAAAGACATCGACATATTGCTGGACAGCGATGTGGTTTCTGCGGAGCATCTCCTGAAGAGAGTGATCGCCAGACATGTGGGCCATATTCTCCGTACCATCTACGACAAGTTACAATCAAAGCCGCGCTTCATGAAACGTGAGGCGGCCATGTCACTACACCTCGACAAGGACGAACCGATGCTGTCAGCTCTGGAGGTGCAGTTGACGTATTGCGAGAAAATTACTGCCAAGATCGATCCAATCACAGGATTCTTCGCAATGTCACCTCATTCGCGAGTAGTCTATGAAGGCGAGCATCGACTTAATTATAGGTCAAAAGACCCAGCAGAGGAGGGGTTGATATCAATTGAAGGTATCCGTTGCGTGTCTACCATGGAAGAACTCAACCGCCGAGGAAAGAGCATGGGATGGATCGGTAGTCCCCGACCAATTAAGCCCGAAGAAGTCAGAACAATCGTCAATTCTCGTGACGGAGTCCAGTCCTTATGGTTCAAACGAGAAGGGTGGGACCCGCGATGGTATCTCATGCTAAGCCTTAGTCTGAGTGGTGATCAATGGTGGCTGGTCGAGTTGTGAGTACTCTGTCAAACTGACAGTGATCCGCATACTAATGCTTTCCTTAGAAACCACAGTCAACCAAACGCTCAAATTAAGGCTTACATGCCCCTTCCTTTTTCTTCAACAGACCCTAACCTGTCGGACAAATTCTTCACCAACTTAACTACCTTCGCAACAGGTGTCCTCTCACAATTGACGGATATTGGCGTTTTGCGTAGTAGGCGTATCGCACACGTCATACGTCAAGTGCCAAACTCCCAACTGTCACCCCAGGTCAAGATCCCGGCGGTGTATGTAAAATTGTCAGAGGTTCTCCGAGCGAGCAGCGGCAAACGCCAATGGCAGAAAGCCTCGTGGGCTGCCGACGATGTACGCATTGTGTTTGGCGGTATCCAGAGATTTGTTCCAGAGGATTCGAAGCAACGCCAGTCTACAGCTTCGCACCCGGACAAGCGACTGACCGTATTTGCCGAGGCTCGAGTCTTGGTCTCAGACAAGAAGAAATTCAGCTTGTTGAAAGGCAATGTCGATCACGACGTGACCTACAACCCTCGAAGCGGCCAATTTTCATTGCGTCTTCGTGCTGAGGTTGGACAGTCGATCGTTGATTCTCTTGCGAATCGCCTCCAAGCTATCGACAGATTGGTCGATTTCCTCGAAGCCATGTCTAAGCACGGGAGGAGGCTTCAGTGCCAAAGTGTCACTCTTCGCAAGGTCGTCTTCAGTTACGGAGACCCTGCACCTGAAGACTCTCAGACTGGCATAATCGCAACAGGTTCTGCGAGTCGTTATCAGGTGGTGTTGGACTTGGCGAGGGGCGAGGAGATTAGCATCAAGCTTCAGAAGGGGAACCCGCACCTTCGAGTGCTAGACTTGCTACGAAGATTGGTCAACTCGCCAATAGGATTTGAGAGCCTACCTTTCTGGCTGTCTTTAACGCTTCCGATGTTGCGGGGCTTGAATCTAGTTGAAGAGTCCTGGCAAAATGTTCAACTCAACAACCAGGGATCTTTTACCATCTTTCATAGGGCACTCGAGTGGTTGACGCTACGGTTCAATTTTCCCAGTCCCCAAGGCAAGCCACCCCGTCAAGTCTGGTTTGACGTCCGACTCAAGTCTAGGAATGAAGAGCTCTGGTGGTTCTTGTGGCGCTCGGACAAAGATAAAGACGCGAAGGATGAGTTCAGCAGCGTCCTTCAGCCAATATGGAATGATAGGGGCGAGCATTGGCGCGGGCTGAAATCAAGTGCTGCGGCAAAGACTGCTGACGGTATTGAGGAGCTTCTCATAAAGGTCAGCGAGGCATTAAAACCGTTGACCGAACTTGATGGCAGTGAAGTCGAGACCAAACTGGAGTCGAAAGGAGGCGGCGATGTTGTCGTGATAGATTAGCGTGACGTATCGCATCGGTGTCGCTTCGCCACACAATCCAAAAACCAAACACCGAGAGCGCTTGACGGATATCCAGGGGTATTACGGGACCCGCATATAGATGCCATGGTCTTTCAATCATGGTCTCCAGACTTTTTGTGTAGAGATTCCATCGAGGGAACAGGACAGCGATGAAGGAGACGCGCTGAAGTCATGGCCTTCGGCCAGTGGCTCTTGTGGAGCTCAGCGCACTGGATGGTTATCTAGTTCTCACTTTTCTCGATAGCGAAACAGCATATTAATGATACCAAAACAATTGTACAACTACAGATCATCTATGCTCTCTATGTAACATGTATGCCTATTTATGCCTGAGCTTGCGTCCTGTGACACCTAGCTCCACGACGTCGCCAGTATAACTATGCTTTTAGTCTAACCTTGTCCACCTCCATATGAGGAAATATATACAATTCGCTTGTCTTGATTTGTTCAATTTCCGTATCTGAACGGCACTTTATTCTTCATGTATGGGGCGAGATCGGGGCACGCCCGAGTCGCCCACGCTAGACCAGTCTCGCCTACATGGTCCAAGGGGTTCGTATGTGGCGTCCCGTAATCTAGGTATCCATGCCCAGCAACTTGCAGCGCGGCATCCCGCCCAGCCCGCAGGCTCGGCAACACGCCAGGCGGCGTATACGAGCCGCCGGCGACAGTCAGCTTGCCGCGGAAGGCATCGAGAAGCTCGTTGTGCGCGGCGTGCATTCTCTGTCTGTGGCCCACGTACTGTTGCGGGATGCACTCCCTGCAGATCTTGGTGGATGCCACGACGCCCTTCTGCGCGGATTCTGGGATCCCGAGCTGGCGCTGCACCGTCTCTTTGGCCATTTCAGCGGCTTCTTTCGCGTCGGGCCAGTTCTCCGGCGGCAGCCAATCCCAGTGGTGTCCGCCCAGCATGACGGTGAACTTCGTGCCCTCGACGGTATCCATGCGGCCTCGCTTCAACACGGTCGGATCCTGAGGACGACCGCTGGCGGAATCGCGATCAGAGTCGAAAAGAACACCAAGTGCGCAGTGAGGATTGTTCGCTGCCGGGACGGAGCCCGGGATGAGGTATCCAAACCCGCTGTGGGGAGCATTCAGGTTAGGCGTAGGGTACCAGAGGTTGACGACCTGGATAGTGACGGCTTTTTGCTCTTTCAACGTCGGTAGAGAATCGCCGGTGAGCTTGCCTAGTGTCCCGCTGAATATCGTGGAGATGACTTGGCCATATTGCTTTGCCTCTTCCGTCTTGCCACTGTGAACCTATGGACAGGATTAGCTCGATCTCTGAGCCGCAAGTGGCTGGTAAAGGGCAGTCTGACTTACTTCCACATTTTGAGTCTCCTCATTGAATCGAAGTGCTGTGACTGATTCACCAGTCTTGAGAGTAACTTTGGGGTTCTTCCTCAATTTGTCCACAATTGCATCAGTTAGGGTACTGAAGCCGTTGAAGAACCCAATGAAGCCCCAGTCCATGCTCATCCTCGCTACATCAATAACATTGCCATTACGTGTAATTATGTCATGCGCCGAGTATATGTCTTGTAGTTCGACGAACATCCCGCCTTTCAGAACGGGTTCGACATCCAGCTGGTCATTGAGGAGCAGGCGGCGGAAAAGGCCAGACTCCATGCTCAGCTTCCAGACGTCACCACCATACACCCCGTGTATCAACGCCGAGAGCAGATTGTTCACCACATCCGGACGGCCAAATTTGCTCGCAAAGTACTCGCCGATGGAGACATCACGCAGGGTGTAGTCGCCGAGGGGACGGGAGTTGGACTCGGCAGGCGTACGTAGGAAGTTCGCCAAGGACGGCAGCATACCCTTGAATAAGGGCTCAGTCAGGACATTGCCAGCGGCATGAAGCCAGGCCCTCAGCGTCCCCATAGGGTCATTCAGATCAGTCACCGGCGCTGTTACGTCCACAAGGTGATCTGGATGGTAGATATACCTCCTCATCATGGGTCCTGGATTCTTGGGCATGCAGTATACATCCTGCTCGAGCCCCAGGCTGTCAATCTAGTGGTATAAACGTCAGCACTGATTTTCAAGAAACAGCGGTGAGAAGCAGGAGAAGAACAGAGAAAGTCGTACGAGATCCCACAACACGAAGTCATCCCACTTTGGTGTATTTGTTTGGGCGGCGACTGTCCGCGGTCCACGTTCAAAGACGACCGTCTCATCTTTTCCCTTTGACCGCACTTGAACTTTCTCTGTATCTACCCAGCCGCCCAGTCTGTTATTGCTCTCGTATATCGTGATCTTCGCGGTGGGATAGAACTGGGTCAGGTAGTAGGCTGTCGTTAAGCCGGTAATGCCGCCTCCGAGAATCGCGAATTCTTTGCCAGGCTGTTGAGGCTGTAGCTGTGAAGCGAAGCTCGTCAAAGCTCTATTTCTTTCGAAATCTGATATTCTTCCGCCTTTAGATACTGATTGAGACCCTGAATGGCTCGCAATGGATCGGGAAAGTCTCAGTCGCCAGCTATCCGCAAGACATCTCCTGCAGGCATGCCGTCCACCTATCGTCCTCCACGCCCCCCATAGGGTCTGGGGTGTTGCGTTTGTAACCATCGCACGCACGCACTAGCCGTTGTAGGGGCCTAATTACATTATGCAGGCATGTCAGCTGATCTGTTTCGCGAGCTCTCAAGCCGTGGTGATTGTCCAGCTTCAAATTGTTTGAAAAGCTCAGACCATTGCAAGCCTTGAAAAAGTTAAGGTACCCCAGATTCGTGTGGGTCAGGGAACCATTCTGCTGGATCCTAGCATGCGCCCCGCCTAACTACCTAGGTACGTGGAGTCGTCATCGAAAGACGGTCACCCAGCTAAGCGGGCATCGATTTATAGGTAAATGGAGTTACATGATGGGAGGATGTTTTGCAACATTTCACGCATGACAGTCAAGTTTGAAGTTCAAAATTAGGAGACGGCAAAAAGCAGTGTATTCCGCCATCACAACAAAAGGTATATAGAGGCTTCTTGGCCTGCCCCATGGACGCACGCAACGTGCGTCATTTCAATCCTCCCAGTCTAAACGGCGTCCCTCTGCTCGGGATCGCATGCTATCCTCCAACGCCAAAACGATCACTTCCAGAAGGACTGGAAAGTCCTTAGTGACATATAGTACAGTCCATAGTTTTCACAGCAATCCCTTGACACCATCATCTCCCTCCCCCGCTAGATTTCCAAATGCCATTCCACGAAACCCCATTTCTGATGCATCACACCGGTATATCAGTATAATCAGCGGCTTCAAGCATCTCGTGGTAGTCGGTGGCGTCAATCTCCAGAGTGAAGGGACGTGGCTTCTAACCAACAACTTCCTGAACACCTGTGGGCTCCGTATCCGCAGCTCCTGGGATAACCACATCTTCCGCCGCGTTCTCGTCTGTAAACTTCCTTTCACTGATGTGTTTGGCCCCATCCGCCGTCCACACTTTGTCCTGGAAAGTGCCTTTCTGGCCTTCCTCGTGCTTGAATGTGCAATAACGGTTGGTGCAAGGGCGGAACTTGCACATGACTTTTGTGTGGGTGAATTCGCAGCCGGGAACACTGCAGTCACCACCGTTGCGGCATAGCGGCTTGCTCGGGTGTTTAAAGGGGCAGCGTGGGTTCTGGCAGTTTGGCCAGAACTTGCAATCCTGCTCATTCTGATGCGCAGCTTTGGTGGCCGGCGACGGGTGGCGTCCGACGCACTTTCGGTTCTTGCAGGCGGCGCCAAAGCCACAGACATCATGAACATCGACCGTTGTACCAGCCGGTGCTGCAGGCGACTGGTGGGCAAACTTGCAATCCTTGTTTGTGCAGTTCAGATTGTATTTGCAGACGGCATCGTCAGGGTTGAGGGCCTCGCGCTTAGCACCGCCCATCTCGACGTCGTCGCCTTCAGCTCCAGTCTCAGCTTTCGATGTGTCATTCGAATGTGAGCCATGGCCATTCTGATGGTGCCCGCCTCTTCGAAAGTTGCCGCGATGGGGATGTTGGACCCGATCTGAAAGAGGCTTGCCTCGACCTTGGTTGAATCCACCATTGTTCATGCCATTCTGCATCATGAGCTGCTGTTGCATTTGCGCCATCATCTCGGATTGTTGCTGGAGGAGTGTCATCATGTCCATGGGTTGCCCTGGCTGTCCAGGCATCATTCCCCAGTTCATGCCCCCAGGTCCTTGTGGTCCACCCATGTTGGCAATTCCGTGCGCTATGCTTGCAGCCCGACCATTTGCTGTGCGTGGTTGCCGACCGGCGCCCATTCTCGGTCCTGTTGGAGGTGTTCTTGAATGTGTGTTTATCCTTTCATTGCCACTGCCGCCACGTACCCGATGGAGCACAGAGTCATGCGACCGGTCCATCGCTCTGTTGATTTGTCCCATAATACGCTTTCCTTGGCCGCCGCGGTTGTTGTTGTTCGCGTTGCGCATTGCTTTGGGACCAGTAGGTCTGGATGATGTTAGCTCCTTATTCCCTGACATGACGCGTGGCATGGATACATACGCATTGAATTGTCCCTCATTTGCAGCGCTCATATCCATATCTTGATCTCCATCAACCGTTGTGGAGTCTTGAGACACCCCAGTCATACCATCGCCCTGCACATCGGTGGGATTGAGCTGGGCATTGATGATGTCGATTTGTTCGAATAGCCATCTCGAAAAATCTCTGGCGCCAGGATCATCGGATCCTAGGTTCAGTAGATCGCCGGACAACTCTGCTGCAATCTCGTCTTGGGTCTTGCCATTGACAAGCATCAGGATGATGTATTCCGACAAGGCGGAGTCGTCGCCGCCGCCTGAAGCCCAGCCGACCTCAACAAGCTTCGGTTGGATCACGGAATTGAGCGCTTCCGCCAGCGGCGAGTTGAGCGCGATCTCGACAGGCATCGTGAATGTGATTCTAGGAATGACAGAGATTTTGTTGCGCGAAGAAAAGAGATCGAGTGCGGTGGCGTCGAATGCGAAGCAAGGACCGCGACAGGTGGGACGCGACTGTTAAGGCTCGGCGTTTCTAGGTGGCAAAAGTGCGGCTTTCCCACGACAAAGGTTGTATTGTCTCAGAGAACTAAGGGATTGTCCGTCGAACAGAGGACACCTCGCAGTCGCAATAAAGGGCTTTTCGTACGGCTCTCCGACGCTTGGAGAAAGGTGACGAAGGTGCAAGCAGGCAATGGAAGGATGGTTGTCAGCTAGGTAATTTTGCTGGAGTAACCGGATCTAAACTGAGGTCACGTGCAATCTTTGATGATGACAAAGCCGTCTCGGACTTGGTGGCATTAGCATCCAGCTGCCACCATCTGTAACTATCCTCCGCCAGGGTAATACACCTTGATTCTTGGAGGGTGCAGATACTAATTGTTGAAGAGTCGTGATACTTCAAAACATTGAACGTTCTGTCTATTACAATAAGTCTATCAACTTCTATAAAGATAGTGATTCCTTGTTGATGAGTGCAAATGATACCCTTGCTGACCTAGTGTTTACTAGGCGGAGGAGTATCTCGGCACTAACTCGTGGAGAGAGGTTATTAAATGAAAAGAAATATAAACTCTAGAAGCCCAACTGCTGCATTGATGCACATGATTTCTCGAAAACATATTTATCGTGGATGGGTCACTGTTCCTCCTCACGTTTCATTGTCATCGCCTCCACACTTGACTACTACAGTCTCCAGAACTATTTTCGGTGTCGTAGCATTTTTGGCTCGAGTACGCAACAAGGCTGGAAAATTACCAACTGGCGAACAACCTACTTCTATCTACTGTCATAAAGTATAATACGGCACAGTGAAGTTATATCTCATCATCTTTCCAACTTTTGGCTAGCTGCGGAAGATCAAAAGCCGCGAAAAGCAACTGTACAAGATAGTAACACTACGGTACCCACCAACAGCGCATTCTGGAGTAAACTGGTGCTGTCCCTTATGCTGTCTTGATCGGCGTTGCTCTTATTGGTTGGTTGCCAGTCCAATTTTGTGTACTTAATGATGCCATGCATTGATATGCCGACGACCTCACATTAATTATTACGACAATGACCAAATGCCATAACCTTTATACGTCTCTCAGTCGGTGCTTCTGATTGCCATCCGGCCTTGCTGTTGTTTCCTTTCGCGGGGATCGGCTCGCATGTACGCTCTGCCAGGCAACATAATAGCCTGATGCAGGGCAACAATCAGCGGCGATCCGATCCAATTCCGTTCCTGTTTGCGGCTGTCTCGCTAGACCGTAACCCCTCGGGACTGCGTGACACACCGCGCAGGCAGCATCATCTCGTCTTCAGCCGGTCATGTTCCTTGCTTCACGGTGGCTCTAGCTACCACTCTCTCTGATCAACTACTCTAGCAAATAAGCTCATTGGTCTGGCTTCTCGCTGCGACTGTGTCATTGCTTCGGCCATAAATCTCCGCTCCCACACCTCAACTCCCATCTCGGCGCGGAGCTATCAGCATGATAACGTGCCTCTTATGGCCTGCCTTGCCTGCTTGAGCCTGCAGATAAAGGTTAGATTGCCCATATGTCAAGCTTCTTCTATGAGACTACAAGGCTCAAGGTAGTGCCCGATACTCGAAATCCTCCTTATTGATAAAGCCTTCCGCAGCTCGTTTTGTTTGGACCGAGTCTGCGATCTCAGTTGATATTATCTCTACTGAGGCTTTTGGGTCTTTCATCCGGGGCTTGCACACACTCGCTAACACCCGCACTGATTGCCGTAACGTTGCGCGGGAGCGCGAGAGAGCCCCTCCCCCAAAGGTTGGATCACTTTGCAGCTCATGCGACGCGGCTTGGGAGCTCTGGCCCATTTCCTCCATAGCTGTACTTCGAAAATCGGGCCAATTCAACGATCTTGTCGGCTGGAGCTGCCCAGTTCTACTGGTTCGTTTAATATCTGAAGTCTGGCCCAGTCCAGAGTGTCAAGGGCTTGACTTAAGTGTCCAAGGAGGAAGTACGACGGGATATTACATGGTATATTCAACAAAGATACCCAACCCAGCTCTACATAAGGCCCAAATCCCCTCAGTGGCTGCCAATTGATTGATTGGGGACGCAGCTGGTTTGCTGCCTCTGTCAATTCCATCTCACAGCCGTTGACCAAAGCAGTCAACATGATCCTCAGGCTTGTGCTCTCCTTTCTCCTCAGTCTAAGCTCCGTCTCTGCCATTTGGCCCATCCCGCAGAGCTACACCAATGGTTCCTCGGTGGTATTTATAAATCAGAACGTCGAGGTGACCTATAATGGAGGATTTGTATGCTGGTCTTCTTCTCCTGACAGTCCCTGCCCTGATGACGGCGTGAATACTAAGAATGATCTCAACTTACAGCTCCCTTATACGTATGGCTATGAGCCGTTCAAATTTGACAGCAAGCAGATTGTCCAGGCCGGTGTCTCACGTGCACTAAGTTCCATCTTTCACACGAACTTTGTGCCTTGGAAGCTCCATAAGAAAGGCTCGGATTACGAGCCAAACGTCCACGGGAAGATAAATTGGCTCAAGTCCCTCGCGATCACCCAGACGGGTAAGGACACGACTTTCAAGCCGGCAGATGGGCAGGTGGTGGACGAGTCCTACAACCTGACGCTCAGCAAGGATGGCAAGGCTAAGCTGACCGCAGTCTCGTCAATTGGAGTACTGAGAGGCTTGGAGACGTTCACCCAGCTATTCTACAAGCACTCTGCCGGGCCGTTCTGGTATACCCCATATGCGCCGGTTGCAATTGAAGATGCTCCCAGGTTCTCTCACCGTGGCGTGCTCCTAGACGTTGCAAGAAACTTCTACTCTGTTGATGACATTACAAGCACAATCGACGTTATGGCCTGGAACAAAATGAACAAGCTACATATCCATGTCACGGACTCCCAGTCGTGGCCTCTCGAGATCCCCGCTTTCCCAGACCTGGCAAAGAAGGGCGCGTACAGACCGGACTTGGTCTACAGCCCTGCCGACGTGAAATACATTCAAGAGTATGGAATCCACCGTGGCGTGGAAGTGTACCTTGAGATTGATATGCCTGGTCATATCGGATCCGTGGCTTGGTCGAAACCCGAGCTGATTGTTGCATACGACGGCTTTCCATACTACTGGTGGTGCGCTGAGCCACCTTGCGGAGCCTTCAAACTCAACGACACGGCGGTCGATGCCTTCCTCGAAAAGTTGTTTGATGACCTGCTCCCTAGAGTCGCGCCATACACAGCATACTTCCACACTGGTGGCGATGAGCTCAATGCCAACGACTCGATGCTAGATCCCGGCGTCAGGTCAAATGCCACAGAAGTTCTCCAGCCTCTGCTTCAGAAATTCATTGACGCCCAGCATTCACGTGTGCGGAAGCACGGCCTTGTGCCAATGGTTTGGGAGGAGATACCTATCGATTGGAACGTGACGATCGGCAAGGATACTGTTGTCCAAGCTTGGTTGAGTGATTCCTCTGTCAAGGCTATCACCAGCAAGGGCAACAAGGTCATTGACAGCAATTATAACTTCTGGGTAGGTGCAACTGACAAACATGAGTGCTTGAGTTATTGACTGATCAATAGTACCTTGACTGCGGTCGCGGAGAATGGCTTAATTTCGACAACGGCCTGGCCTGGGATACCTTCTTCCCCTTTGACGACTGGTGCGGGCCGCTAAAGAATTGGCGACTGATCTACAGCCACGATCCGGTAGCCGGCCTGACCGACGAGGAGGCGAAGCTCGTGCTCGGCGGCGAGGTTGCGGTCTGGAGCGAGACCATCGACCCGGAGAACCTCGAGACTATCCTCTGGCCGCGAGGCAGCGCCGCCGGCGAGGTCCTATGGAGTGGACGGACGGATGCCTCCGGCCAAAATCGCAGCCAGCTGACGGCGGCGCCGCGCCTCAACGAGTGGAGGGAGCGACTGGTTGCTCGAGGCATCCGTGCGAGCCCTGTCCAGATGACATTCTGTTTGCAAGCCGAGAACGCAGTAGAATGTTCGTATCCAATGTGAAATGCCGCCGCAGATATGAAATAAAGTAAAGGCCGTACTTCTTGTACATACTCCTCTACCAGGGTAATAAACGTTAATTTTCGAAGGGTGAAGATACTCAATGTTGAGAGTCGCAATACTCATCAAGATCTCGAAGGTCCTGTTTATTACTATGGGTCTATTAACTTCTATGAAGGTAGTGACCTCTTATTGAGGAGGTAGTGATAGTTACCCTTGCCGAATAAACGTTTGTTACCATGGCGGAGGAGTTCTTTGAGCTACTCGTCATGACAGGATATGAGAATTAATGCATGTGCGTCCCGCCCGGGATGTTGGCCAATTGCGAAAGCAGACTCTATCATATGTTTCGAAAATCGCTAATAAAAGGCAGAATAAGTCATGGAAACTGGTGACATGTGGCAATTACAATCATCATGTGGGTTCCTGCCCAGACCTCTCCTGCATTGTGCGAATGTTTCGAAGCTGAAGAGGCGAAGGTTTAATTCAGGGGTAGAGCGGAGGCTGATCCTCTCTTTCCTGCTCCGTCGGTGTGATAATCAAGCCTACCAGCCGTGTGGAATTCCTATGCTATTTAAACTCTGACTAGACTTATATACGCATGAAGTGTGGGCTCAAGCAAATCCGGGGTAACATAAGTCGTTTCTTACGACTGGGTAGATGCATCACAACACCTAGAGCAGGTGACGTTTCTTGCATTGGCTTCCGTGCGGGGAAGCAAGTATCTCGCACAGAGTGCCGACCAACATGTGAAAAGGGACCGCTCAGCCAATCTCAGTTGTAAAGATGTAATGGGCCGTACTTTTAAAGATGTTGATCATTTGTTGGCCGGTTGGGTTGTATAATTCTAGTGCCGATCTACTATTTTAACGTTCAATATAAGGAATGCTAAATTGTAGGTCAAAGCAAAGTGTTGACATTCGAGGCCTAAATACCAGTAACTCAGAAACTCAACAAACACGACGCTGCCATATTATCTAAGGGCAATACATATATCAAATAGAATCAAAAGACAATGATAATTCAAAAACACATTTCTGGGATATCATCGTAGATCCCATGTCACACATCCTCGCGATCTCAGAAACTGAGCAAATTTCCCCGCCTTGTGGGCCTCGGTACTGTCAATATGAGGCGCAAGCGAGCGCGGAACGAACCCGAAGTCACTGGAGCCCCAAGTCTTTTAGCGAGGCAAGATACGATATGAGCTGCCTATACAGTACGTAGATTCGTCGTTTAGAGAACGAACTAACTTCTGTGGTCTGGTGGGGAGTGGTCCAAAGGAGCATCGGCACAATTGTATTGTGCAAGACTTCGGTGCTCGGTGAGTCGCTTAAGCAAGCAACAAACAACCCGGTCCGGGGCCTAGCTGCCGGTGTGCTTGGCTCTACCCTCCATGCCAATAGGCAATGAGGTAATAATTGGCCCCTTTCTCTGTGAAACTGGTCCACACTTGTTGGTTAGCCATGAGGGGAAAGAAGAAGAAGTGGAAACATGGGGAGGAAGATGGAAGGAAATACGGCCAGCAAGCACCCACCCCGGAACAGCGTGATGCGGCAAACGTACATGGAGTAGACCGTTTCCAACAGATCCGACGGCCGTAGCAGGTAATGTGATAGTGTGATACTACCAACTATGCCATCCATAAAGGTCAGGTTCACCCCAACTACCAGCCGCGCGTATCCATGCGGACTTGGCTAGCCTCTTCGTGATACCAAATATTCCTCTTCAAGGTGGCTCTGTACTCTTCCACGGCAGATCTGATTCAAACCTTGAGCAACAACACTCCAAGCATTTGCACTCTACGCGGTTGTAACCCGAAGCCTTGCAGGTCCATTCCACTTGGCGCGGACTTACAGCGTCAGCTATTTCGATATATCCTGTTGAACACCACAAACGACCCCGAACCCAATCTCAAATCTTAGATTGAAGTAGACGGAGCCTGTTTTCTCAATTAACTTGGCCCAGCTGAACACTCCAACATGGCTCTGGTCGAGGAGACTATGGAGCATTTCTCCGTCGGGAACGCCTTGCTATTCCTGATTTTGGGGTTTGTCCTATACCAGGTTTGCAAGAGAATTGATGAAATCATTCGCATGCGACGACTAGGCGTGAGAGGTCCCAGAATACCCAACAAGCTACCCTTTGGTAAGACTTGCCGTCCTCGCCAATGCCCGAAGGTGACATCCTCATATACGAGGATACCAACTAACACAACTACCTAGGCCTCGATCTTGCCCGCAAGACTATCCGCGCAACTATGGAGCACAAGAATTTGGAAATATGGAGGAGCCTGTTTGATATGTGCAAGTCATGGACGGTAGAAACCCGGGTTGTGAACCGCCGAATATTATTCACGGCCGACCCGGACAATATCAAGGCCCTATTGGCAACACAATTCGGCGACTATGGGAAGGGGAAGCCCTTCCACGAGGAGTGGGAACCGTTTTTGGGTGACAGTATCTTTGCTACGGACGGAGATATCTGGCACTATAGCCGACAACTCATTCGACCACAGTTCACCAAGGACCGTGTAAGCGACCTGCACTGTTTCGAGAACCACATCCAGACTTTGTTCAAATGTATGGCGAACGGCGGTGCTCTCGATGGTGAAGATCAGGAAATCAACATGGCGAGTGTGAATGGCAGAGTCATGGACATCAGCGATCTCTTCTTCCGTATGACCTTGGACGTTGCCACTGATTTCCTGCTCGGTAAGGACGTCAAGTCTTTAACGTAAGTCATCCCAAGCCATGACACTTGTCGTATTCCCATAACTAAGCTAACACACTGGCTCAGCACCCACCAGCAAGAATTCGCAGAGGCGTTTGGTGAAGTTCAGCGAGTTCAGAATCTCATCACCAGAGCCGGACCACTAAATCGGCTGGTGCCTCGAGGATCATATCGTCGGGGGTTGAAGGTCATCAACACCTTTGTCAATCAGTATGTCGAGCGCGCACTTCGGCTCAGCCCTGAAGAGCTCGCAACAAGGACAAAGTCAGATATGGGATATACATTCTTGCACGAGCTCGCCTCCTTCACCCGCGATCGCAAGGTGCTGCGGGATCAATTGGTAGCTGTTCTCCTTGCAGGCCGCGACACTACCGCAGGCACCTTATCATGGACCATCTATGAACTAGGTCGCCATCCCGAGGCCGTGAGAAAGCTGCGTGACGAAATCACCTCCGTAGTCGGCCTCGAACGCACGCCGACATACGCAGACCTGAAGAGCATGAAGTACCTCCAAAATGTGATGAACGAGACACTGCGTCTCTATCCCTCCGTCCCATTCAACGTGCGCTTGGCCTTGAAAGATACAACACTTCCACACGGAGGAGGCCCAGATGGCAGTTTGCCGATGCCCGTGCTCAAGGACACACCAGTCGGCTACTCAACCCTCCTGATGCAGCGCCGCTCCGATCTGTATCCTCCCATCAGCGAGACCTTCGCCGATCCACAGATGTTCTCACCAGACCGGTGGTTTCACTGGCAGCCGAAACCATGGCAATATATCCCATTCAACGGAGGCCCGCGCATCTGCATCGGGCAGCAATTTGCGCTCACAGAAATGGGTTACGTCCTCGTGCGCATGTTCCAGCGTTTTGAGCGCGTTGTGAGCTACATGGACGATATCGACGGCGGCCATCCAACGCTTAAGGCGGAGATCGTGCTTCAGCCTGGTGATGGTGTTAAAGTTGCTTTTTGGGAGGCAAAGAAATAAAGTCCTGACGATACCAGGTGCAAAGATGTCTTTTATGTATTTGATGCGTACCAATTTTGTACGGTAATGATGAATGATGACCTCTCCCATTCAAATTCAAGCACGAAAGCAGATTGAATAGCAGGAGCATAATGGAAAGATAATGAGATGGCTTAAGGACGTCGTGGGATTTAAGTGCTTATGCTTATTGGCACGCGGCGGCAGTCCAAGCGATGAAGTGGACCATCATTCCCGTTTGAAACTCCCAAAAATCTCACTACCTACTTGCTGTCTCTTTCATTTCCTAAAAAGATCATCCTGGGCACCTGAATAGTCATTGATTGGCTGCAAGTCTGAGGCGCGGAGTTAACATACGCTGCATGATAGCTGTGCCTTGGCCTACTGCAATTTCTGTTCCAGGCATTTCTTACATCTTATAAGACTGAAGCGATCGTCATGACAAATCGTTTCCTTTCAAGAGATAAAAAGATCATTTGATTTCAAGACGCTAAGCCAGGGTTAAGGGTCAAGGAGGAGTGTGACGAATCATCGACGAAGCCCGCATCCAAATGTACAATATGTACCCATTAGTCTGATGAATTCATTATATGACTACCTCGTCAGTGGTTCATACCCAGTATGTAAGCAACTATTTCTATCAATTGATCCATGCGAACTCCGGTAACGCAAAAGTATGCTAGTCCACAAACTCATTCAGTTGATCTTGTAGCTTTCTCGAACCGCCTCGCCAAACCTTTGGATGGCCTCCTTCATCTTGTCGGGTGTTGCAGCTGCAAAGGTCGCGCGGAAGAATAATCCGGTGGGAGCCTTGCCCTCTTCCGGTATGAACCAGGACCCTCTGGCCACAAGCACCCCCTTTTCGATACACAGGTCGAAAATCTCCTCTTCAATCTCGAGTATACTACGACGGCCCGCTTGAGGATGTCGCTCGTAGTCAACGTTCAACCAGTGCTGAAAGATGGGTTAGTTGAAGCCTCATGACGGAAAGCCGTGTTAAGGGGCAATACTTACAAACATGCCTGCAACTGGGGGAGTCCAGCTCACGACGTCCGGCAAGAAATCCTCACATGCGGCTAGCATCACATTCCTCCTTTGCGTATACTCCAGACGCAAGTTCATCAACCATCGCAGGTACCCCTCGTGACCCCACTTCTCATCGAGCATCTTGTAAAGTATAACTTGGGAAATACCGCTGGGGCCTTGGCTAGCCACCTCGGCATGCCTTATATAACGCTCCACGATTTGCTCTGATGCGGTTATCCAGCCAAAGCGGGAGCCTGGAACGACCACCTTCGAAAACGAATCCATCCGCATCACTCTTCCGTCAACATCGATGCTCAGAAGAGACGGAATGAGTGCGTCCAAGAACTCCTCCACGGAAGCAGGTGGCGGCACATCAGGAGCATCGCGCCCGGTGTAGGGTTGCATTTGCAGGAAGTAGTACGGCTCATCCTCTAGGATATAGATATCGTGCTTCTGACAGACTTCGTAAATGGCTTTCCTTCGCTCGACGCCCTGCGTCGCGCCCGTCGGGTTCTGACCCGAGGGCACGGTGTACAGCACATGCGGTTTTCGTGCTCCTCGCTCACTCTCATCCCAATTGCTTAGGATCTCATCCATGCTCTCTGGACGAAGACCCTGTTCATCCAACGCCACTCCAAACACCTTCACTCCGAGTGGAGCTGCCGTCTCCAGGGCAGTGGAAAAGCTGTACTCCTCTGTGAGGATGGAGTCGCCACGCTGCCTGTCGCAAAACATGCGCAGAGCCTGTTCCAGGGCGCCGGTACTGCCTACCGTCAGGGCTGTCCGCCAGTCCGCATACGGCGGGTTGCAGACGAGCTCGGTGTGTTCGGTGACGAAGCGCATCATCTGCGCAGAGCCATTGGCCTGACCATAATTGAGCGCAATTGAGAGGTCGTAGACGCCGTCATTCGTCTCGACGTCATACTTGCCTATCGTGACTGTCTCGCCCGAGACGCGGGTCGCCTCCTCGCTGAAGTCGGGCGAGACGGGGATCTTCATGCTGATAGACTCTATGGGGAAGTTCTCCGCGCAGGGGAGCCCGCCGCCGAGGGAGATCATGCCTGGCTTCTTCAGGTACTTTGCTGCTTGTTTGAGAATGCATGGCTGTCTTGACAAACTCTCAGCGCTGAGGTGATCTTTGACGAGTTAGTATTGGCGAGATCATGGGTTTCATTCCGCACTTACTATCCCATCTTTTTGCCATTGGCTTTCCAGTGACCTTGGACAACGCATTAAATACCATTCTACGTACCCTCTGGGTCGATTACTCACAGGTGCTTTGAACATATCACTGTCCGAATAAGCTGCCGTCCCAGCAACGAGCTTGCCGGCCGCAGCCCTCCTCTTGAGAATGTCATTGATCGTAATCGCACCCCTTGGTTTCTTGGTCGGTATGGGCTCTGCATCAGGAAGCTTCGCAGCGGTGCCAAGAGCCTCAGAATAGCGCCTCGCGGCGCCGTGGATGAAGCGTCCGCTCCGGGACCCGGCCTGCGACCGGCATGACGCCGAGGTCGGGGCAAGCGTCCGGAGCGAGCTCAGGACGGTGCGGCGGACCATTGTGCGCCTGTTCAGGATGTAGTTGTCCCCTTGTGGTTACGAGCTGTTGAAGATGCCTATGACGGGATCATGAAGAAGGGATACTTGACTTTCCTGAGAATTAGGGGTCTTGCAAGGTCTCGATACAAGGTTAATGAAATATTATCTAGTCACAATCAATACATGTAAGTCAAAAGATAAGAAGGGCGATAGCGGTCCACATCGTGGAGACGGCGGGGCACGCCGTAGCTAGCCGCCAGTACCCAATCCCGGTGTGTGACAATGTCCGTTCATGCTTTCTCTCCCGCCAGGTGACTCCAGACATTCCATTCAGAGTACGTAATTAGGGTCAACAAAGACAAAGGGTTGACTAATTGTTCGGTACGAGCTGCGCAACCGAACGAAACAGACCTAAGATCATTGGTTGTCAAGCAAGGCCAGAGGAGGCTTGAAATTACGTATGTCAGAATTCATCACTGGATTGGGATACGGTGTAAAGAGAGAAACAATGAGAAAACATTGACTATGTTTGTCTAAGCTGAGTTGTATGCAGGTAATTATATACCCATGCTGTGAAACTGAGAGGTATCAACTGTCGACTTGGCTCGTGTAATGGAGACCTTCTGCGAATCGACTCAATGACTGACGTTTATGAACAACTCCGCTGTAAGCCAGAAAAGGCCAAATCGAAAACAGCACGCTTGAAAATCACACTGCCCGTCAAACTCCATATAATATGCCTATATGAAAGACGTCATGAATAGCAATACTAGAAAATGTTGTCCTTTCAACAGGCTCCCTATCTTCTCCTACTTCTTAGGCAATGATGTCGTTATGCTTCAGTAGCCAAAGCTATCGTGTTGATGCACCGGGCATCTTCCGGGGTGGTTGACAAACCATGCCGAAATGCAAGACCTGTGAAACCGGCATAGACACTCAAGACGTGCCATGGGCACTCCGACTTCGAACTCTTCAAGACAGATCGTGCACTCTGCACTGTCCACGCAGTCTTTCTCTGTCGCCAGATATGGGAACATGCCTGTACGTCGAGGTGGAACGGGTGGCGTGGGACTCTGGCCAGGCTCTGCGCTGCTTGATTCTCCGCCAGTCGGAACACTGCCGTATGTGCTGTGAGCCGTGATGCAAATGGTTATGTGTGCTTCACGTAATGACTCAAAGTTGGGTAGGTTCCGTGGTGGTAGCTCACGGTGACAGACAGGACATTCGTCTTCCTCGGCAATCTGTGGTGGTGCAGGAGGTAACGGCCGCCTCTGTGCGGCTGATGAGGGTCCAACATCGAGAAGTGACCGATGCCTAGATGTCATTCCAGGATGAACATTGGACGAAGAGGCGTACGGATGATAGGTTGGTGGTGTGCCGGTTAGAATGCGGTTTTGTGTGGATTGGAAACTGCGGCTACTGGAGGATATGCGGTTGCCCTCACCCGAATGCTGAATCTCTTGTCAGTGTTCTGTCAAAATTTACATGCAGGAAGAGACATACCATTGTAACGCTCCTGTTCCTAGCGTAAGGGTCGTTTCCAGGAGGCGCAAAGTAGGAACTAAAACGGCTGGCAGGAACCGCATTAGGAAAACCTCCGCCGAGGCTGCTCTGGGACCGAACATGGCTTCTGGCTGTGGGCGCTGGCGTATCCTGACTCTGCTGTGGCGGAGCTGTGTTCGGGTCCGGGACGCAAGGATTGCACAATCTAACTCGCTCTCCTCCGCCGAGGCTGCTGAAGTCCGCATAGCCTCCTTCGCCACTAATGAGAGAAGACGGATATCTCTGTAAGCCAGGTCGCGGTGCTCCTGGCGGTGTAACAATATATTGGTATGGTATGGTGATTCTATGTGGTGAACATGAGTTGCAGACCACCCTCCCACATTTCCTGAGAAGATATCAGTATTGCCGTAGCTCGAGTATGCCATCCACCCCGTAACTACATACCTGCAATGATGTTTTCTCACAAATATGCTGAATTGAGTGTGGCATATTGGGCAGAATGTTACTTCGGCATCCGGCTGCCAACGCGGTAGTACAATATCCGGGCTGTCTCCCGCTCTTCGAGAGCTAGTTCCTGATGTCTGCGTGCCAGCTGCGGACGCTCTCCTCTCACTCGGTATTGGCGGTAGTGGTGGCTCTGGGCGCCGAGACGTGCTCGAGTCCCTTGACTGTGCTTCCTGTGTAGGAATAGCAGTTAGAGCCGCTGAGCTCGAGGCACGATCTTCACCGTTGTCGCCATCGAGCTCTACGGTCGAGGTACCGTCTCGATAGATCGGTATAGGCTGAGATGGAGTATCAAGCGGGCTAGATGTAAGATCGATTACTTCTGGTAATGTTCTTGGCTCTTGCAAAGACGGCGGCTCGTTGGTAGCACCACTTTCTGCAGTCGGAGTATCGTCTGCTCGTAAATCGAGGGCTTCTCGAAGAGTCAGATTGCCAGAAGCAGGACTGGCAGCATCTACGGATGAGCTAGATCCTGCTGCTGACGGCTCTGGAGACTCTGCCTCCATATCTGATGGCTCTTGCATGTCTTCGTCTTCGCTCTCGCTCAGAGGAGAAACATCCTGGCCTGGCCTGTTCTCTACTCTGCCTGACCCTTCGTCATCTGATAGCCGCCTATCCACTACATGTGAAGGACAATCGAAGTAGCGCGAGCACTCTTGATCGTGGTATTCGGCAGTGCGCCATCGACAGACTGCACTTCTCGGGGCAGACTCGTTGCTGCTATCAAAAGAGCTGCCCGACACGGAATCGCTGAGGTCTATCGGCTGTGAGGCTGACCCTCCGGCATCAGGACTTGCCATCCTGAGACATCGGTGGCGGGGCTTGGGAGTATCGAGCAAAGAGGTCGAAACTGGAGAATGTCGATGGAAAGAGCGGAGCGGCAATCGGATACAGCGTGCTATGCCGATGGAATGCTTTATAAGCCAACGTCTGCCAGACTCTTGGAAGAGGCTGATGATTAAAAGGGTCAGTTGTTATCAGGTCCGAGCCAACGGATAATGTTTGGTGTTGTTGGAGGCAGCTGATTACGGAATGACTATCCGCCGAGGAAATGGACGTTCAGATCGTTGGTTTGATGACGGTACTCACAGGTTACAGTAATGGACTGCTCGTATCTTGAACGCCTCGAGGTTCTACAGCCTTCTCCGGAGGCGAGGTTGTCCTCCCAGTCAGACTATCGAGTCACCGTAAAAGTGATAAGTGTTCTAGATACCGAGGGGCAACGCCGGGACACGCGACCGACACTTCAGGCGGCCCTACCCTCCAGACCGTACATGTACAGACCACTAAGACACCCTAGACCTGGTCACTAAGGCAAGGCAAGGTTGATCCACCAGCGCCCCCATTTCTAGGCATATTCACAACGCTTATCGCTCTTATCGCCATCCTGAGGTCACTGTGCGTCAATGCTGCTAGGCCTGTCTCGGCGGACTTTCCGGGCCAGGCCGAATCCACGATCCACTGCTTGATCCCCTAAAAGACGCTTGACCAGAACCGCCTATTCCATTCTTCCTGCCAGCATTTTATCTGACCTCCAAGTATTTCAAGTCTCTATGAATACGTGCACTCCCACGGCACGACCTTTTTCTTTATATATACGGGTCAAGTGGACGCTCGTGATAATTACATAGTTATTTGTAGGCTTGATGTATCAACCCTCAGTTGATGAGAGCCGCCACTAATACCTAGGTACCCCGAACACTGACGGTTGCGCTCTCTGAACAATGCATCATCTCATGAGATTTATTACGATGCTCAGGACATGTACTTTTCATCAAGGGACGAGTCTGACGAGTCTAAATTGGACATCTTGGTTCTCTATTAATTGGAACAAGCATGATATGTTCTAATCCTAGTTTCCTGATGGCTTCACTCCTTCCATCCCCTTCCCATAGTCTTCGCCGAGCTTCTTCCCGCCAACCTCTAGGGGCTGCGCTTCTTGCAGCACATAGAGCATCCTCGCCCATTCGGTCTGGCTCTTGTTGCGCCAGGCGTGCATGGTGCCTCTCTGGATGCTGACGTCTCCTCTCCTCATCAGCCTGATCTCGCCCGAATCCAGCACCAGCTCGATCTCGCCCTCGAGCACCACGCCATAGTCTAGTGACACCGTTCGATGCATTGGGCTTTCGCCGCCGGGCCGCAGGTCGACAATTCGCAGCACTGTGCCTCCGGGGACGACGACGCCGGGGTTCTTCTCGAGGTACCGGGAGTAGACGCTGATGTCTGCTCCTCTGCTCATCTCAACCGGATACTGGGAGGTGGTGTAGCCCAGATAGAACTTGTCGCCATTGCCGGGATCGGTCGCCGGAAGAGGCTCTGGTATCGTTGTGCTGAAGACGGCCTGCCCTTTCTCATCATGGTCGGTAATGAACCGATTGGGCGGAGTGAGCCCCGGTGCCTGGCCTGCCATTGTTTTGATAAGTTGTGTGTAAGTGCCCAATATCTGTATTGGACTGCGCAGTGTACTGGTTGCCGCGAGTAAAAGGGGTAGCTGAGGAGGAGGCTCTTGCGCCTTTCAAGATCTCCCTTTCACTTTGTGATATTGCACATGCTCCGATACTGCTGCATCCCCGCACCCCTCCCTCTCAGAAGCCGCAATTGCCGGTCCGGATGAGCCTTTGTCGGCCTCTTTAGTGCCAGCCGGCCGTTGCTACAGAGTCGTCCTCACGCGGGAAGTGGAGGGGAATGGCGTCGGGCGGCGGGGCCGGCTGCGTTGCCCATTTCCACGCCGAAGCAAACCAAGTGGATGGCTGCAACAGCTCCAGTAGCCCCTGGCACGGCACACCTTGGATGATCATCTCGATATCGTGCTGTGTGAGATGCGTTTCAGATTTTCTTGAGATACCGTAGCATTGAAGAGATGAGAAAAGTGAAAGGAGCATTTTATGGCCATATTACTATCAAATTTAGTAGCAGCTTCTCGCAAATCGTCGGAATGGCTGCCTTTGGGGCTGTGTTCCCAGCCGTTTCTGATTCTGACATGAGATTTGACCCCAAATCTACTTACAGACAGGCTAGCTGCATTCCTCCAAACATACGGGTAAAGCCTAATATAACCACTACTTCACAAGCAACTGCCAAACTCGCCCAAATAAGTTGAACATCTCGACCAGCATCTGTTCACACGACGTCCTAACAACTAACAATGACAGAGAGCCATCTTGAACCGAGGACTATCTCCATCGGCTTACCTGCCTGGATTGCCTGGAGCTCCTGCGGCTATCTAATTACGCCAGGATCTCGCTCATAGCGGCTAAGTGGAGACGACAATTGACAGGGTCGTGTCATCCTTCAGCCTTTTCGCCTCCAATTTGTCAACCAGCGAGCGGCCGACACGTCTGATAAGGAGGCGCCAGAGCTGAAAGGATGTAAGCTGACAGGTCGTTCAATCAAACAACCAGAAAGGGATCAGCGTATTTGGACTTATTGCAGTTTAGGGTTAGCGGCCTGACAATGGATTCCAGGGCTCTGGATCCGATGCCTCGCACTGGGTAGTTTGATATCAAGATCTCCTTTCACATGGCGGCCAAGACGTTGCGAAACAGCCCGCGCTTGTCATATAAGATAGCTGATATTTGAAGAGAGAGGTAGTCAATTTCTTAAAGTCCAATGTTTCTTCTTTGCATTGATGTGGCCAGCTGAGAAGTGAAGTGACTGCAAATCAGCATATCTCGAACCTTAGAGCCTTGTAGCCAAAGCCTTTAACACCTCTAGACTAAGCGCTGGGAGACAACAGAAAAGATGGTAAATTTCCTCAACTTTCTCGCCACATAGACGAGAAGTACTAAGACCTCTCAGCGCGGCTTAGTGCCACTGATTTACATGGCCAACGAGAAGCTTGCTTCGTTGGCCGGGTTCCCTGAATATCAGGACCAGACTATCCCGTACTTCGCCCTGGGAATCTTCCTTGTTGTCGCTATCTGGATTCGCATGCAAGTCAATCGCCCTTCGCGGACAACGAATAAATCGAGGCCCTAATCGCATTTTTTCGGGAAACGAAGCAGCCAGATCGTGTAAAGGCTCTCAACGGTATTAGAGTTGTTGAGGAAATGGGCCGGCGCAAAGGTTTATCTTTGAAGACAGCGGCTCGAAATTGACTCGTGTACTGTTTACCTATCGAAAAATCGGTGGAGGGCTTCAATGCGATTCTCATAGTGGGAGCATCGGCCGTCCAGACTAAGTCGACACAAAGGGGTACGGAGTTTTAGGGTTGAATTTAAAATTTATGTTGATGGGCATGATTGTTGTACTCAGAATACAATATGGAAAATACCATTACTCTAGAGGTCTACTCAGGTCAATATTGTGTCAGTCTTACTCTACTCAATCCTCCTCGCCGAAGAGACATCGGGGACACCCGTCCCCTCCACCACCTTCGCGCTGACGACTTCGTAAATAGGGATTTGCGCCAATACGGACGTGACGTGATGTAAAGTTGGCAGAGCATCCCAGTCCAAAGCATCAATCTTGACGCTCGCCGTCTTCGACCTCGCCACAGTGCTCACCTTGGCGCTCTGCACCTTCGACTCCTCCTCGTGCGGCACCACCACGGCATATTCAGCGTCAGATTTCCCGGGCACACCGACCGCGGGGATGTACCGGTAGACCAGAATACCGTAGTCCGCTTCGCCGCCGATGGTGCCGTGCTCTGTTGACGGATCGTCTTCCTGCAGTTCCGGCAGCACGAACTCGGCAAACTGGGCCCCTCGCCATGAGGCGATGACTCTGGCGGAATTCGCTCTTCGGTACATGGTCAGGTCGCAGAATAACTTAGGCATGCCCAGCTCCTCACGGCCGGAGACGATAGGATCACACAAACTCTCAAAGAGAATGGGCATATATGTGCCGTTGATTGTCGTCCCGTCCTTCTTCTGGTACTCGACACCGTGGACGAACAGCCCTAGGTTGAGATACCCTTCGCCGCCGAGCCATTGCATATGATTCAGCTCTGTGAGCGAAAAGCTGGCCAGACATATCGTGTCCGCATTCTTGAATTTGAAGGACTCGGTCGGAAAGAGTGTTTCAAGGAATGTTCTCGAGGTCTTGAACTTGATTGAAGTTGTTCGGAAACTCCTCGTTGGTCCCTCCTTCAGATTCCGGCCGTAGGCGTCTTGCCGCGGTCCGGGGAATGGACCAAAGGCAATCGGCATCCTCCAGTACATGTTCGTCTTCTTAGCCCACTTCCACCGCTTAAATATATTGGCTGAATTATCGAGCTCGTCGTGGCCGAAGTTGTGGTTCGTGTAAGCCATCACTAAGCCGCCGGTCAGCATTAGCATGTCTTGGTATTAGACAATGACTGTCTGTCTTACTGTCAATCTCTGGTTTTCCATCCTTCCAGTCTTTGCCTGCTTGGCGCGAGTATTCTTGGATAGCATGAGCTCTCTTGTATCTTATTTGCTCGTACAACTTGAGTCGTTCTCCAACCGCTTCAGGGGCTGTACCCTTGGGCAGCACAGTCGAAATCGTTGCTGCGTCTTCTATTGCTTGGCCGGCACCTTGCCCCTGATCTAGGATATATTAGATGTGACTTATAAAATTCACAAAAGGAGCAATTCTTACGTGGTGTAAAAGGATGCGCGGCGTCACCAATGAGAGCAAGTTTGCCTTTAGTCCACGTAGACAGTTTTTCCATATCGAGCAACTGCCATACTTTTACGACTTCAGGATTGACCTTCTTTATTAGTGCCAATAGAGCTGGGTCGAAGTCTTTGTAGACTTTTAGAACTTGTTCGATCGAGCCTTGCTTGTTCCACTCTGCGCAAGGTTAGTTCCCGTTTCATGCCCATTGGTATCTCAACACTCACCATCGGATGGAGTTGCATGAGACTCAGTATCGGGATGGATGCAGACAAAGTTGAACAGATCGTTGTCATTGCACGGGTAAACTACAACGCGGCGATCTTGCCCATACCACATGAGCAACGTATTCTCGTTCTCACCAATGTGTTTTGTAACTGGGTCATCTCGAGCAAGTTTGCGCGGTATCAAGAAACGGAAAGCCGCCTTCCCCGAACCGAAGAGCTCGGCGTCTTTGATACAAGCTCTTGTGATTGACTGAAAAACGCCTGTTAGTAGAAAATATGAAGCGCTACTAGGAAGAAAACTTACAAAGATACCGTCAGCGCCAATGACAAGATCAGCAGAGTTCGTTGTGCCATCTTCTAGCTTAACAGTACCGCTCTCAGGATCGACTTGGACCACCTTGGAAGAAGTGTGCAGCTTTGCGGGAGCGCCAATGCCGTCCGGGCCCGTTGCAAGCTTCTTGAGCTGGTCGTGTAGATTGACTCGATGGCTCAGCAGCCAGGGATGTTGCCAACGTTTTAGAGATTCGACTAGATCAATGTCTTTGATAACACTTCCCGTTTCTGACATCTCAATCAGATGCTGCATTGGCGTCGCGCCAAACGTCTCTGCAAATATGCCCCATCTCCGTAATATTCCGTTCGAATTCGGGGCCAGGTGTACTGCTGCACCAACTTCATTGGCAAACCGGGATTGTTCATAGATCTACAGCCGTTCGAGTCAGTGCATACTGCGGAATTCAGTAAGTAGGGGCGCCGCACCTCCACCTCGTGCCCATTTCGACGCAGTCCTAGGGCAGCAGACAGCCCGCCAATACCAGCGCCTACTATTGCAACCTTCAATGGCGAGGGATGCTCATCTACTAAAGGGCTTTCGGGGCCGACTTTTATCGGACTCGCAATCAAGCCATCCACGGCGACGCCGTCACCGTTCACCGCTCCCGTGGGCTCTGCCATCGTGGCTGAAAAGTGATCTGATCTCTAAAAGGGAATGCAGTATCTCGGCGTGTGGGCGAATGTGACTGGTGATCTGTCAATGCGGTGTCTTAGCCGGCTAACAATACAAGCCAGAACGGACGAAGCAAGCATGACACGACGAGGGTACATCCGTTTTCAATGGACAGAGGGGGTCTAGGTATACCAAGCCCTCCCTCCTCCTTCTCTTCCGAATCCTAGATCTACTAGTCCACACAGGCCTCACGCACACACAAAGATCGGCCGAATACATCACCCTATGTCCGAAGCCCACCGGGTCTCGTCATGGAGCCGAATGGCTTCACTCTACGTCCATGTGCCGGGGCATACAGTGGCAGCCTAGCCTCACCAACTCGGCAGGAGGCCAGGGTAGCCCAGCCAAGAGCTGCGAAGGAGAGTTTGGGAAGCATGTTCATTGGAAGCCGTATCCGCGTGTCATCCATTCGATGACCGCAGAGGGCAGATCGGAACAGCCCCACCACGGGATGATGGGGTGGACAGTGGGCACGAGCACAGACAGGCAGGGCCTCTCCCGGCGAGACAAACCGAGAGCGCGAGGAGAGGAGAGAAAGAGGAACAAGCTCGTATGGCTCTGGCCTGTAAGTCGTCGGTCGAGACATGCAGGAAGAACCACAAAACTAAGGGGCCAGGACCAAACAAGCAACAAACCAACAAGCCAGGAAACCAAACTGAGGCGGACTAGCCAACCTGAGGTGTAACAATGGAGCAAACAGATGTGAGTGCGGTGCTCCCTTGGTGGGGGAGATGGAGGGAGGCACACACGGGTCGGATTTCGGAAGGCGGGGGAGAATATGTAACCTCATGCAGATGCAGCCAGGGAGATAGTCCCGGGCCCGCTGCAGTAAGCATCCAGAACCTACCTCTTCAGGGACGATCGAAGGCCCAAATTGGGATTGGATTAGGACTATACGTGCGGGAGCTAATGAGGCGATGAGAGAGATCATGGACCAATCTTGGGGAGAATGCGGAGAAGTAAGAAGGGTCTGACAGGCTATCTGCACACACTGTAATCGACTAACATTTCGACCGTGGGGAACTGCCGTCAAGTGGATGGTGGAGAAGCTAAACAAAGTATACCACAATACAGCAACGCATAACATCTCGCTCGAGATTTCGGTATATGAAAGAAGGGACGAAGGAGAGCTTGAGGTGTTATGCATGGAGATCTGGAATACTATGTGCATCACAATCAACGATCTAGAATTAAACCTTGCCGATATGACGACGAAGTGTGTCTCCTTGTCTTGAAGCCGTTAACACAACCAAACGGAGCTCAGCCGAGAACCCCTCCGTAGCTCGGTATTCGTCCGGCACCGCAATGGCGGGCCGGTGGACTTCATCATACAACCCGGCAGTTCACTGCAACAAAAGCGCGACACACGACACTTTCCAATATCTTGAGTCCTATAGTTTCTGGCCAATCACCATCTGCGTATATTATTCACCATGGCCGCTCCCATCGTTGCGCTCATCACCGCCGGCAGTGCCGGTCTCGGCGCCACCACAGCCCGGCTATTCGCAAAGAACGGCATACGGGTCGTGATCAACTACGGCACCAACACTCAGAAGGCCCAGTCGCTCGTTGATGAGCTATCCCAGGCCTCATCGCTCGAGAAGGTTGACGGCCGAGTAGATTTCCATGCAATCAAGGCCGACCTCACGAAGAGGGAGGATATCAACCGGCTTGTTGATGAGGCCGTGTCGTCTATGGGCAAACTCGATGTTGTCTTCTCCAACGGCGGTTGGACACATATTAGAAATCTGCAGGATCTAGATGACAATGTCTTTGAGGAGGATTGGGACAAATGCTTCAACATGAATGTCAAGTCGCATCTATGGTTGATGCATGCTGCGAAGAAGCATCTGGATGAGACCGAAGGCGCATTCATCACCACTGCTTCGCTGGCGGGAGTGAAAGTCAGTGGTAGTTCTCTGGTATGTTGTGTAATCCATACGCTTGAATATGTCGTCATATTAACGAATCATATAGGCATACGCTGTCACAAAGGCAGCCCAAATACACCTAGCAAAGGGGCTCGCCATTATCGCAGCACCTAAGATCCGAGTCAACACAGTATCTCCTGGACTACTGCTGACTGTAAGTGCCTCGTTCGATCCGAAATCAATAGCTTTGCTAACGAAATCTAGGATTGGGGTCTTCAGTTCCCAAAGGAGCGGATTGAAGCGATGAAGGAGGCGACGAAGCTCAAAAGACTGGCCACTGTTGACGATGTCGCAGAACAGGTCCTTTGTTTTGCAAGAAGTAAGAGTGTGACTGGGACGAATGCGGTAATTGACGGTGGACTCTCACTTTGAGAGGCTGAAGGAAGTGAATATGTTATTTAGGCGTCGCAGCATAGACAGTGAATAGACGATCGAGTTGACCGAGTCTTGAAATCAAACGTCCATTCTAGGCTACGGAAAGAAGGTAATTCAGTGGAAAAAGATGCCGCTAGTCAAAGTAGAAAGGGATGGGACGAAAAAAACACTGGTCCAATTGACAAAAACTTCGACCCCCTGGTTTGAACTCGAGGTGTACGTGTTTATACCTGTAGGTGAATCATTATTGTGGTCGGTAATGCAACAACATGACCGACATGATAAGACGGGAGCAGCGCCAACTCAGCCACTAAGATCATGTGAAATATACATTCTAATTCTACTTTAACCTTATGGAGTAGATGGGAGGAGAAAGTGGTTATTGTGATGACAGGCTGCATGGAATCACTTCCTGGGATCGGTCCAATGCAATCCCTCTCACCTCGAGCTCACTTTTATCATCACTTCCTTTGCTGAACATCAATTTGCGTACTAAATATAACTAGCCGACATTAATCACTCGTAAATTTTCTTCCCTCTTCCTGTCTCACACGACCGGGTGCCAGCCAAGCGTACCGCGGAATAACAAAAGAAACGTGGTGGCTTATTCTCCCACCTCCCGATCGTCGCTCCAATGGATATAGGAGATAATCGGCCAGTGCCAGGTAACATGCCGGATCTTTGTGCCCCATATATACAGAGGCACCCACATGATGATCACAGCGGCGGCAATGCCAGCCATGGCACCATAGGCATTCTGGTAGCCGGATTCGGCCACCCAGGGATTAGTGTAAAATGACAAGAGAAATCCGAACAAAGCTAACATACAGGTCAGTTACATGATACAACAACTTTCTGCAGGGTAGCAAGACAACTTACATTTGAAGCCCATGACCGCCAAGGTGATCTCACCAGAGACGGGGCGGTAGGCATCGATGACATACACAAGACAGACATTCGTGCCTTGTGCGATGGAGAAGTTCACTTTAGAGTGTTAGTATCGTGTTCTGAGACTTTTGGCTAACGTTTTGACATAAAGACACTTACAGAGACCAAGCCCTACGGTTGGGCACATCCAGTGGAGCTTATGCTGTATCCCTACACCGTACAAAATGAGTGCAAGTGGCGTCGTGATGAGGCAGGGAATCATGGCCGGGAGTCGCATCTCCGGTTCACGAATACCGCCATTACGCTTCGTAAACCAATCAGCTACGATATCTCCCATATGACCACCGGCGGGAATGCCGAGAATGGAACCGATGACGGCAGAGATGAAGCAGAGGCCGACCTGCCAGGGCTCGAAGTTGTATGTAGCCTCGAACGCAGCGTCCACGTTGGATGTCACGGCCACCAGGAAGCCAATTGTGACGGACTGGACGAGGGCTGCCCAGAGCACCGGCGGCAGGCAAATAAGGCCCAGGGGTCGAACAACCATCTTGAGGAAGCTCTCGTTCGTTAACTTCCCGTTGTAGACTTTTAGGGTTTGGAGGTATGTCTTCCTCGGAGGGATAGGCGTGCTTGCTTGTTCGATGTCCGACACGGCAGCGCCGGATTTCTCGCTGGGCGCCCTTTGCGTTTGACCTGGTGAAGTGTAGGGCACGTCTCGTATGTATGCAGTTTCGGGGAAGGCGAAGAAGGCCACCAACAGGACGAATCCGACAATGGCAGCGGCCACTTCGTAGATGACTCTCCAGTCGTGGTTGATGGTAATGAGTCTGTACGGCAATTAGATCTCTGTAAGTTCCGACGTCGATTGCCATTCGACATGAAAACTTACCCAGCGATAATGATACCAAAAGCGACGCCGACTGAGAGGAATGAAGTGTACAGCGCCATGATTGTACCTCGTTCATGGAGGAAGAACACATCAGCGATCGTGGTAGGAGCTACGCCTCATTAGTCCTGCGTAAGAAGATGTGTATTTACTGAACGAACATACCAATAGTTTCGGCAGCTCCGGCAGCAAATCCCATGATGATTCGACCAGCGAGAAAGCCGGAATAGGTTTTGTCAAAGATGAGCCAGATCGCACAGGCGAGATAGAGCGTGTAGCTCATGAGGTAGACAGGCCGACGACCGAACTTGTTGGCGATGGGAACCCAAAAGAAGTTACCGGTACCCTGCAAGAGAGCGGTAGTCGTGAAGAAATACGCGACCTTGGCAATGTTCTTCGAGAAGCCGGCAGGATCAACAGTCGGAGGCGAGTCTGGGTAGAAGCTCAGAGTTGTACGCACAATGGCGATGGTAGGTCCGGCTGCAAGGAAGTTACACCACATCATCGCCAGGCAGATGATGACTGCGATCATATGCTTGTACCATTGTGGCCTGAAGCTGTTGTTAGATTCGAGTATTGTATGGACAATCTCCTTTTCACAACGTACCAGTTGAGAGGATCGTTGGGATCCTTGGACGGCGTCGGTATCAAGATGATTTCGTTCGTTTCTTTGTGTCGAAGTCTTACGTTTCCGAGAGTTCTCTTCCTCGTTCTTTCGACCTTCTGTTCCTCTGTCCGCTCCGGTTGTAAAGCCGGGGCGATCTGATCTTCCTCCGCCATGTTGTTGTTATTGTTGGCAAACCAAATAAGTGTTTCAGGGGTACCTCGTTGTTGAGGACTAGTGAGGGATCGTTCCTAGTGGAAGGCTGAGTCCTGAGCAAGTCTACGCCAGAATGCCTGAAAGCATGTATCGATGTGTGTGACCTGATCCTGTGTACTATATAGGAAAGCCAGGTCGCATGGCATCTGTCCACGAGGTGCAAAACACAGATGTCTCCTTGTGGTGCCGAGATGCCCGTCTCGCATAGAATAGAAGCCCAGACCCTAGCAGCATTGGAGGCGACGGCCCAACACCAAACCCCGGATGATGCAGGCTGGGCCCCCGCGCTGCACGCCGCGGAGAGTGCAGGTCACTTGGAGCAACAAGTCAACAACGAGATGCCAACTTTCTGGTGGCCCTGCCCGTAAAGGGTGTTACCAATCTGGGGGTGGAGTCCGCCGCCAGCAAGCACCACGCCCACTTTCCGGCGTGTTAGTGAAGAGCCCACGCCCACTGCCGGAGAGGAAAGATGGACTCAGACGGCGCCCAGCACCCAATGGACCAGGTCCAGAAAGTAATAGGATCGTTGGATGGCACTGTCTGGTCCCAGAAGCTTATTTACCCCACAATTGACCGTCTGGGGAAGATGGGGATGATGTCGAAGGCTATGAGTGAGCGTGTCCGTCCGTCAACGGGTAGCGCTCTCGGCAATCGTGAGACGAGGCTGTGGTTCGTGGCGATCGCAAAACGTCGAGGCTGGCCCTAGGCATTCGATCCGGGTGCCATATCTCTATATAGCAGCTACGCCATACATGCGAAGCAGGTCTGACCAACTACGGAGACGCGGAGGGCACGGCAACAAATATCTGTCAGAGTGAATGTGCCACGGGGTCACACATAGAAGTTGACTAAAAGGAATTCAGAGGCAGGCTCTCTCTCTGCCTGCATGTTCCCAGACATTCCTTCTCCGATTCTACTTATTACTGCGTAATCAGAGTTCGATAAAACAGCCCCGGCCATTTGGGAAATGACGATAACTTGAAGCGGGTAAGCAACCAGAGCCTGTTTAATCCCTTTCAGGCAAGACCATCTTGGCAGAGGCCCCGAGTCAGTGGTAAAGCTCAATTGTTTCCACTCCGTTATAGGAGCTGAAGAGAACTCAGGCCCTTGGATTGGGAGAAAAAGTCTCTGCGCGACGCGCTGGAGCGTTTCAATTTTTGATGCTTGATTGCGCAAGTGCCCCATGTGCATTACAATGGATTACAAGTATCTCGTGGCGTCCACGTTCTGTTCCAAGCATGAAACTTCATGCCTGCCACCAATCTACCGGTAACCCAGAAAAATGACTGGTCTCTTCCCATCAGGTTCGAAGCCGTGGTCTGGACTCTGGTTTTGGTCTATTGGGAGGATGTCATACTACCTGGGTAGGTTGGCTCTCATCTCAAGCACAGGGAGGTTCTTTCCTGACCCCCAGCCATAAAGTCAATGAAAAGCTCTGTGGCTGTCCGGAACATGTCCAACTGTGAGACCACGGTCCTGACGGAGGCAGCGCTGTCAAGCACCTTGCAATGCTAGTGGAGTGAGAGGGTAAGACAGCGGGCGGTGGCTGTCGCATTGTCCTAAGGGTCACGAGAAGGCACATGCAACCCCATTACTCATAAGAAATGGCTCGATCATTTTGTCTTGAAAGCCATCTTCAGCAAGTTCAAGCGAACATCGAGTGCTCAGCCCGCCATTCTAAGTCTTCCAGGGCGTTACAAGCACTAGAAACGAAGCAGTAGACAGGGATATGTTGGGTAGATTTTCCGCATCGCGTCGAGGAGTTATAGAACACGGCTGTTGATTCGTGAGACACTCGTCACCTCATTGTTCTTCCCAGCTGAAAATGCGGCAACGTAGTTGTACATAGCCGCCCTTTAGGGGCCCAACAATCTGCAGCCGATCGGGGGAGCAAATACTTTTCATCTGCAATCGACACACACCTTCGCGCACGCGGGCACCATCGGGGACTCGTTTTCACGTTTCACAGCCTGGGCATTGGACAATGCGGTCGCTTAGGGGCTGCACCGCAGGTCAAGCTCCAAGCCAAGCACGACTTTCTCTACAATGTCGTTGTTGTATACAATACAGTGATATTGTCTCGGCGATCTCATTCATGGGGCCATCGTGGGCGATAAATTGACTTAATAAAGTTATTACGCGTCCTCAGCGTTGGTTGCTGCGTAAGGTAGCAGTCCCTGGCGGGCGCTAGTCTAGGTAGTGGCATCAATACCCTGTCCCCGGGCTTTAATACCACCCAAGATATATAGCAGCCATTGATTAATGTGATCTCCCATTGCGCGGCTCAGCGGGAGAGATCTTCCCATCCGACCTTCACTTCATTCTTTGTCAGTCTTCAAACAGGAGTCGACAGAATGGGAGACAAGTGTCGTTCGATGCTTGACTCGAGGCTGCAATTAGGCATTTTGAGAAAACAAAGAAAACATCAATTTTACCGCCGTGACAAGGACCTCTGAAGATGTGATAAGGTTTGAGGCTTGGACCGAGACACAGGCACCATGGCGTCGGACAGGATACCTAGCTGGCTCCCTGGGAGGGAGTCTAGATGGCCTACTAGTAGCGACTTCGGGGAAGGTCTCACTCATCCCGAAGAGGTAGGTATTGTCTGCATGCAGAAGTACCGATTGACTTCCATCCGTATCTACTTACGATGTATGTGCATAGATTTGAACACGGACAGCGTACAGTACTATGCAGTAGATCTTCACAACTCTCAAGAGCTTACCTAGCTAGGTAGATTAGATAGGATCATCGATGCCTTGACACGGCATGTGTCCGTGTGCGTGCGTGGGAAGAAGCGTAGGCGATGGCAGAGTATTATGGTAGGTGGTGTCTTCGATCTGCGTCAAGCCAATGCCATTCGGGCTGGCCGGTGGTCTTATTCCTCGACAGCGACGGATGAGACACCACGATGCCGACCAATGGCAGTACCCTCGACAAATCCGGGTGTTGTCGGGGATTGGAGAAGGAATATTCCATGTAGATATGCCGCCAGATGCGCTGGACAGGTCACCGCGCGCGGGTAGATCGTAGACAGCAGGTCAAGCACCAGGGCCGTAGTACTGTACAGTACCTCTATTGGGTAGGTAGGCGTGTATGTATGTATGTATGTATGCACAGTACAGGACGGAGTATGCGCCTCGGTAAGTGAAGGGAGGGTGGTGTCTGCCCTTTCCCTGGCGCGACGTCAAGATGGTGCATATGGTTGATTGATACCTTATGCTGCGACTTGAGAGAGAAGGGAAGAGAGACGTGGGATGGGATTCTGCGAAGTAGATATCTTGGCGAAGAAGAGTGTAGGCCTCGCTAGGCCAGATACAGGGCCTGGCCCCGCTGCGAGAGAGGGGCAATGAACAATTCATCCCCGGGGGATGACGACGAGCTTGTGCAAGTCTGGTTTGGCTTGGCAATTGGACTCTTTCCCAATCCCAGCAAATCCCCCCGGTCACTCAGTCAGTGCAGTGCAGTGTAGTTGTGCGAAGCCTGCAGACGATGTTTGAAACGGATGCATTTTGCTCATGTCTGGTCTGTCCGTCTGTCCGTCTGTCTGTCAGTCAGTCAATGAATAAGTTAGCGTGGACTCTAAGTAAAGTGTCTCCGTCGCACCTGCCTTACCCTGCTCGAATCATCTTCCTTACCTACCCCGTTGCACTACTCTACGACACTAAGGTTATCTAACTGCCGTTCACGACATCCGTCGTCTCCCACTTCACTCCCGATCACTCACTCAATCGGTCAGTCACTCAATCAATCAGTCAATAGACGTCGAAACTACCCCGGATTTTGCCTCAAACCCCTCCACTTGGCCAGACCCGCTCTCCGTCGGGTCTAGAGCAGGCATATCCAGACATCGGATTCAGATCTTGGTTCGCTCAACCGGGCGAGCTATGGCTCAATTGGCCTAGCAGACCGCTGTCACCACCAGAGCAGACAGAGCCTCGACTCGACGGCCGGCGATTAATTGACAAGCACCTTTTCCCCGGTCCGTCACCATCGAAATGGCCAGTCCTCTGTCCCATATCCTCCATGCCGACCCAAACCCGGCGCCGCCTCCGCCTGCCTCAGTCAACAACACGCTGGTTGTCGGCTCGATTCAAGCCCAGCATCAACACCAGCATCAGAGCTTTGCGCCTCCCCTGATTCCCTCCACCGGCGCCGCCCAAGGCTCTTCACTTCCCGCCCACTCAACGACATCTGCACCGGTGCCGCCAGCCCCAACCTCAGCTCCACGCAGTCATGCCAGCAACGCAAGCCTTTACCAATGCGCCGACTGCTTGAGGAGGTATTCCCGGCCGGAACATCTGCAGAGGCATATTGCTACTCACACCTTGGGGAAGAGGTTCATATGCGACGTGCGCTGCGCCCGCTCCGAGTATGGGGATTGAGTGCTGACCTTTAGATGCAGGTATGCGGGAAGGCCTTTGGTCGGGCCGATCTCCTCAAGAGGCACCGCTCCAACCACGACGAGAACGACAGTTCGACCAAGCGCAGGCGAATCAACTCGTCTCCCAGCGCCGGACGAGTTGCCCATGCCTGCCAGGCGTGCGCAAAGGCCCGAGTCAAGTGCGAGGAATCCAAGCCCTGCACACGCTGCCGGAACAGGAACCTCACCTGCGAATATGCCTCCTCCGAGGCTGGCTCCGCTGCTGCCATGCACTTGCTTCACCTCTCTGCGAATGGACAAGGCGTCACCTCGGCGCCGGTGTCATCGGCTGGTCAGTCGGTCCAGGACACAAGTCCCCAATCCTACCACTCAATGGGATCCGCCCAACACCATGCTCTCGGCGTTCCACCTCCGCCGCAGATGGTGAACGCCATGCACCCTCTCGTTAAAAATGAGTGTCCTATATTGACAGGCACCCAGCAGCCCCTGGGCGAGGAAGCTCAGCTCCCAACTCCAGAGACCTTGATGGACCAAAACAATTCGGAGGTATACCAGAACAACGCCATGTTGGACATGGCCAGACTGCCGTTTTCGGATTTCCTTCGCGATATCCTCTACGAGCAGTCACTGGAGTCGGCGAAGATGGAAGAGACACAGGGCCTAGCCGTGTTGGACTTCAATGACGATAGCAATCTGGAGCTAACCGACGTCGACTTTGGCTTGCTCGATACCTGGAATGTCGATGGCATGCTTGCCTCGAATATGAACATGCCCGATTACCGACTGTGCGTAGAAGACTCGACAGATATGTCGAAGATGCGACAGCGGCTTGTCAAGGTGTGGACTGAGTCACCATGGCGATTCATACCTGGGAAGACCGACAGCGGCTATTGCGAACAGAACAGCTTGCCGCTACCGTCAGGGGATACGAATGGCCGACAGTTCCAGGAGAGCCGGATGAGGGTCGACCGTGTGATCGCTGACAAGATGGAGCCGCCCTCGCGGGACAAGATTCTAGCCATCGTTCTCAGCACTTGCAAAAGCAATTCGATCATGGCTCGTGTCGCCTCTTCCTTTCCTTCGACAGACGTCATGGATTCACTGGTACACATCTTCCTAGCCTCTCACCTATGTCAGATCTCAGAGTGGATACACTACGGCTCCTTCGCGCTGAATGCACAGTGGCCGGAGTGGCTGGCTGTTGCTGCATCCGCAGGGGCCACACTTGCCCCCGTACAAACACTAAGGAGGTTCGGGTTTGCTCTTCAGGAGGCAGTCCGTAAGTTGGCCTTTGATTGTCGATGAAGTTGATCACATGCTGACGATGCCCATCAGGTATCACAATACCAGCTAGAGTAAGCGATCAGCATATGCACAATTTATATATCTGAACTTGATCTGACCTTTTCACAGTTCGAGGATAATAACTTGACAATTGAGGATATTGGCCTCGTACAAGCTCTGGTTCTCGGCCAGGACATTGGCCTTTGGAGTGGCAACAGGCGAAAGATGGAAATCGCCGAGTGTCGTATGTTTATGAACGGCTTGATGTTTCATACTCTCAAGCTAACGGGATATAGATGTGCAAATTCCAATTGCAATGATGCGTGGCAGAGGTGTCTTCCAACGTTCCACGTACACAACCATTTATGTGGATCCCAACGATGAGGGGGATGTCCTCGAGGCCAAATGGAAGAAGTGGTATCGGAGGGAGTCATGGAAGAGGTGAAGACACTGTCAATTGCTGAATTGAATACTCAGACTAACTTGAATATTCAGACTCGCCTTTCACGCCTACCTAAGAGACGCACAGACCTCAATGACAACTCTCACCAATCCGGTAATGTCGTACGCAGAACTCACACTGCCTCTGCCTGAGGCCCGCGAACTCTGGTTCGCGAAAACAGCACAGGAATGGAAGATGCACTACATCGAGAGACAAGCCGCCCAGAGCAAAAGACCGCCTTCCCTCGGTGATCTTTTCCGCGATATCAATCTCCTGGCGGCAAACCATCAGCGGCTGGATGTGCAATATGCCTTGTCGATCTACTTGTACGGCTTCTGGTCGTTGATCTGGGAATACCGACAGTTGAACGCTATCCATAGATCAAGCGCGCAGTCACCTAATCCTGCAGGCAACCCAAACTTGCTTCTGCTGAGCTCTCGACATCAGGAGTTGTGCAAATCTTTGCAAACTTTTCAGTTGGTAACGTCTGGATGGCATGAAATGCTCTCCGCGCAGGAGAGCCTTCTCCTAAACCTCCTAATGCTATATCTACACGTGTCACTAGATGACCTACAACTCTTTTCAGGCAAGGAAGGCGAGGACCAAGCGCGCAGAGTATATCCCACTCTACAGAATTGGGCAGATAGCCCCGAAGCCCGTCAGGCACTATGGCATGCCGGCCAGGTCCTTCGATTTGCGAAGAACTATCCGCCTGGGCATCTGAAGGATTTCCACGCCATTGCGGTGCACCACGCGGCCCTGGCCCTCTGGACCCACGGGGTTATCACGAAGGCGATAAGACGCAACGCAGCCCACGTCGTGCAGGAGCCAGTGTATCTTGATGGACTTGATTCAACCCAGGTTCACCGATTCACCGGCTTCGGTCAGGGCAAGCCAGTGATTCGCGGCCCAAACTCACAGCAGCCGGGAGAGACAAGCGTGGGAGAGTCGTACCTAGAGGACACCAAGTCCTGCATGGATGTGGTGGAAGAGATTCTCCGTACAAATTTCCATATCGAGGAGCAGTTGCCCCCGATTGTAGAAAACCTCTGTCACTTGATCAAGCAGTTAGGTAATGCGGCTTGGGCAGTAGGCTTAACGTAATGCAGAAAAGGCATTGCCGGAATGGTCTTTCAGATAACTCGTTTACCTATTTATGGTTGTAACAGGGTCTTTAGCTTGGATGGTTCAAGCAGGACTGGGTGTTTAGGCTCATGGGATTTTTCAGGGGGCATCACGATACCATATTCTTAGTCATGTGGGGACTTTACGAGGAGTTGGTTGCTTTCATGTCTGGGAGACAGCACGTCGGATTTTGAGACGCGACTTCGATTTGGAGGCTCAAAATTGCATGCACAAGTATTTTTCAATAACGAATTGTATGCTGATGCGTTCGCTCGTGCAGAGTGCTGTGCCTAATTACAGATTTCCATGTGATGACCACCAAGCCAGACCCAACTAAGACCGCACGTCAGCAGGGCCAGGGCCACCACTAGCTGTGCCCCACGTGGGATGTTTACAGCACCACGGTAGGGCAAACCTGCCTTGCCAGAAACTGGAAATAGTTGAGTCACCAAATTCCGCATATCGACGAGGCTTCAAGAGGCCTCATTCACGTTCATTTATTGCTGCTGTAAATCATCTTCTGCCTTTCATTCTTGGACTTTTGCCTTTACTCTATCTTTCTCGCCCAGCTTGTCTGTGTTCTTCACATTGATCTGGTCGGCTTGGTGACGCCATCAAAAGAGCGCGGATATAATTAGACACAGTCGGGTTACGACGACTCAGAATGGATTACGTTTTCGACTCATGCACTGCCCAGCCGGGGAGCACGACGACGCTCATTGTTACAACGACCGTCGTCACCACCTTCTCACTGCTCGCCCTGTTGCGCCACACCCTGTATCCCAAGAAACGGAGCATCATACCGAATCCGCTCAAGACCGCGATCCCCAGACTAAGCCAGAGTGAGATAGAGAAGCTCGAATATGCGCCAGACTACTTCCCCGGCGCACGAGATGTCCAAACTCCGGTAATACCCTCCAAGTTCCTCTTATTTCCTAGAGGAGCCATGCTTACAGACCAGTAGTATGGCTCAATACGAGTCTACGAGTTCGGCCCCGAGGATGGCCGCAAGGTCCTGATGATCCATGGCATTAGCACCTCCTGCCAGACGCTTACGCACATTGCCCACGGCCTGGTTGCCAAGGGGTGCCGTGTCATGCTGTTTGTAAGTTGAGATGGCCTGGTCGCCAAAACTCTGGTTCTACAACGCGGCCCGAACCTCCCGCTCCCAGACCCGGAAACCTCCTGCATCCACTAACACAATCCTCTCCTCACAGGACCTCTGGGGCCGCGGGTTCTCCGATGGCGTCGGGGACCTTCCCCACGACGCCCGCCTGTACGTGTCGCAGGCCCTGCTCGTGCTGGCGTCCTCGCCGCTGGCCTGGACCGGCGCCGGCGGCTTCCACCTCCTGGGCTACTCGCTCGGCGGCGGCATCGCGGTGCACCTCGCCACGGCCTTCCCGGACATGGTCGCTAGCCTGGTGCTGCTCGCGCCCGCGGGCCTGATCCGCGCCGCCAACTTCGGCCGCCTGTCGCGGTTCGTCTTCAAGACGGGCGTCGTCCCCGAGCGCGTGCTGGCCGCCCTCACGCGGCGCAGGCTGCAGCGGCCCATCGCGTCGAGCACGAAGCGGCGCAAGCCCGGCAGCGCCGGCAACAGCGGCGCGTCGACGCCGGCGGGGGCCAAGTCTGCAAGCTCGGTGAAGCCGCACTCGCCGACGACGCCCGTCGAGGAGTTCGTCGACATCGCGGTGGAGGAGGCGGCGGACCCGGTCGGCGACGAGGTGCCCTCTGAGCTGCAGCGCCGGGTGTGGCGGTACGTGCGGTGGATGGTGCAATACCACGACGGCTTCATCCCCAGCTTCATGAGCACGGTGCGCTATGCACCGATGATGGACCAGGAGGCGGCGTGGGCGCGGTTGGCGGATCGCAAGGCTGGCACAACGTGTTTTATCTTTGGGAAATCCGATGAGGTTGTGCATCCAGATGATGTAAGTCGCCCTCAAAAAGAGGCCACCTCCTTTTTCTCTAACAGTAGAAATGCAGTATGAGCAGGATGCTCTGCCTTTGGTAGGTGGTAGGGAACATGTCAGCTGGAATCTGATCCGAGGCGGTCATGATTTCCCCATGAGTCACCCCGATGAGACCTTGTCCCTGGTTTATAAGTTCTGGGGATGGCAGTAGTCGTCTGTTGTGAAGATGTAAGATGTGTATGTCGGTGTGGCGTTTGGAGAGTCTTTTAAGATGGGTCCTTAAATGTTGGCTTGCTTTTTCGGTGCTTTTCTGTCGGTATACAGGATATACTGCTCAGCTTGGAAGAAGGGAGATTTAGAAATCCAATACCTTTCCAGAAGCAGTCCGTGACTTCAGTCATAGAAACCAGGACCATGAAAGCCGCCTAGAGACGGCGTAAACTGCTAGTCTGAATTAGCCCAGCTTGAGGTCAACTACAATAAAATTCCCTTTGAAGTTTTGAAGTGAAATTGAATGCCGGGTTTTCTGTTATATGCACACGTGCATGGTCGGTTGACCAAGCGATTTATCACCAAGAGTTGCTATTCCCATCGCTAACATTAGCAACGAATGTAATTTCATCGTCTTCAAAGATGTTGTTCGTGTTACATGTTCTAGAACATGCAGAGGACCCCGCTAAAGTACAGATTAGGACCTACATCATATGCTTGTGCCGTTGCTAGAGCATTTCCACCCAGTGAACTGGGTTGACTAACAGAGATCGGCAAGACTTATCATCTCTTATCAAGAGGCAAACAAGCACTCCAGCGGCGCCTCGGAGAAGCACGCTTTTCGTCAGTGACGTTCCGGTGAGGCAGTCTGCCACGGAGATGCATTCTAGGTGCACGTCAAGTATAGTCGTCAATTACTATGACAAGCACCCGATTGGATCAAAGTTTCTTGGCTGTCGCTGGCTTCTGTCTTTTAGTAGCTTGCAGATATGCTCTTTTATATCCGAGTGAGGTGAAGTATCTGCCTCTCAAATTTGGCCGTATTTCTCTCAGTCTCGTCTGAATTACCACGACTTTCATGCACCAGTCGTGAACTAACAAAGAAGCGATGGACATTACAGAAGACTTCAGCCCTTATCGCACCGATGGCAAGCTTGTGAGTTTCTCTCCGAACAATCATACAATTTAACACGGTGATTGAGTTGTCATAGCACGGGTTTGTTTGCGTGGTGACCGGTGCCTCTCAGCCGGTAGGACAAGCTATAATACAGGAACTGGCCGGTTCGCAGCTCTGATTCACTCGTTTGCGAATGTTTTACTGATTCACCTCGATAGCACATGGTGCTGCTTCGATTTACGGTATGCCAGTGTTTCTTCACTTAGCTTGCCTGGGAACATACACCGCATGTCATTCACATAGGCGACAAGACTGACTGTATATCAAATAGCATGTGACAGAACAGCCAGCACGGATAGCTTCAGTGGCTTGCTAGAAGCTGTCGGAAAGGACTATCCGAAGACTAAGATTATCCCATATCCATTCAATGTCTCCAATCAAGAAGAAACGCTGGTTCTCATCGATGAGGCACTCAACGCCTTCGGAAGGCTAGATGTGTGGGTTTGCTCCTCAGGCTTGCTTGGACCACCATCAATTCAAGAGACAACCCCAGAAGACCTTCAAAAGTGTTTCGAGGCCCATTCATTGGCGCCCTTCTTCGCGCTCAAGTTTGCGCCACCGGCCATGGCAAAGCTGACCGAGAAGAAGTCGTACCCGAATGCAGCTCCGAAGGCACAGAAGTATGGGAGCATCATCGTGATCAGCAGCGTAGCGTCTACATATGGGGGATGTTGGGGCCCCTGCTACACAATGACTGCACATGCAGGCCTTGGAGTCGTCCGGGCGGGTGTGCCCGTTCTGAAGGGCACGGGAGTCCGCATCAACTGCATATCGCCTGGGCAGATTGATATCGGGGTGGATCTCAAAGGTGTAAGTGAGACATGAGTAGGACTGTTGGCTTGGATGCTTACTAGATCTCAGTTTGACATGCGCGGAATGACATCCCAGTTCCCTCCAGCTGCTCTGCAAACCAAAGAGGTAAGCGAAGCGCCCAAGTTTCTAGTACGATGGTCAATACGAGTGGATCTGACACCTATCACAAGATGCGCGAAAACACCATTGGCCTAGAACGGCCTGGGCACCCAGAAGAGGTCGCGCGTGTTGCTGGATTTCTAGCAAGCGGCTTCTCATCATACGTGACCGGTGCAAACATCGTTGTAGACGGAGGCGCCTCGTAAGTCTTGAGCTCAAGTCATTGGCCTCTTAGCACAATGCTGATCATGAAGTAGAGTCATGAATCCGTTGACAGTCCCAATGTAATTGAAGAATGCGAAGCTTGCTCCAGCAACCTGTGGAGGTGGCGAAGGTTTTGGATGTGCAGAGACATGAGACACACAATCGCTGCGAAAAATCCGTGCTACAAAAGCAGCTGGTCATGGTGTCGTTTCATAATACAAATGAGAACACACTGCGTACCCAAAGGAGATCTTAGAATGTGAATAGCCTCATTTATTAGCTGTTTTGGAATTGATTGAAATCCTTCCTGCAATATTAGCACCACATTGAGTCGGTCCGATATTGTTCCATTTAAATATTAATTTCCTTCGGGCTGGAACGTTAGAAAGCTTGTCTGACACCTCCGTCTTTCACTTTTGAGGCCAAGAGATAAGTGTTGAATTACCGATAAGCTTCTTCACATTTATTGAGCCCTATTTCTCTCAGCTTCTTCATTTCAAGACTACACTTTTCAAGATGCCGCCCACAGTCCAGTATCTAAATAGCACGAACACGCAGCATGTTGAGTCGACATGTGAGACATTCGGCTTGACGTCAGAGGAGTTCCACGCCCTCAAAAGGCACAGCGTTGCCGCCAAAGAGACGGCATACTGCCCGTACAGTCGGTTCCGGGTTGGCGCCGTGATCCTCACCAAGCTCGGCGGTTACATCAGTGGGGCTAACGTCGAGAACGCTTCCTACCCGGTTGGAACCTGCGCCGAGCGCGTAGCCTTTGGAAAGGCTGTTACGGAGGGCCACAAAGATTTCAAAGCACTTGCCGTAGCCACGGACATTGCGCCGGCGGCGAGCCCCTGCGGCATGTGCAGGCAATTGTCGGTCTTCCGCCCCGAACATCCTCAGCCCCTAATCTGCGTTTGTTTTCGTTCCTATCCTGGTCATCATCGACGACTTGGCACGAAGGTCGTGTTCTACATGTGCTGAGTCTGACATTGTTGTAGTATTCGCGAGTTTTGTACGCAAGATATGCCAATCCTCATGTTCGACAAGAACGGAGACTACGCTATTCTGCGGCTCGAAGATGTAAGTGTCTCTCTTTAATGCACTAGTTGGGGTACTGATCTAATGAATGTAGATACTTCCGTTGTCATTTGGACCTGACCAGCTTCATCCGCCACCGGCGCCATTCGCACCTGTTGCATAGAGCTGAGATGGCGGTGAATCTTTCGGATAGCAACCATCAACACGATCTGGACGCATTTACACCACGTTGGGTTTGCATTGTCATGGGATGTTGTGGTTGGAATGACTTCGAGGAGAATTGGGTGTAAAGGCATTTTTAGGTGAATATTGTACGCCCCGATGGACTTTGATTCACGCACTAGAGCTTGATGGAGTCCGCGATATGCTTTTTTGAAAGTCTGAGGATAGACGACGCTTGGCAGTGCGCATGTAGCCATAGTAAGCAGTCAGAAGCATTGGAGCAGTGATCTGTTGACATTTCCTTCCCTGTTACCAGACAATGAACAACTGTGTAAAGCGCATCTTGCACTTGTCTAAATCTATCAAATTCTGAGAGACTCGACCAATCAGACATGTAATCCTCTGCAACGAAACAGGAGACAAGTTGGACTATTCACGGAGACATAATTAATGGCTGCGGTTTTACTTTTGTGTCTGATTTTATTTTGACTTTCAAGCGAGTCCATCTCGCCGAGATACTACTCTTTCTACTGTTACATATCCCTGACTCCATCTACTTCCAAAGCTCAACTGTTTGCATTGGGGCAATGGTTATTGTATCAATTCCTTCAAACGTCTGGGGAGGCTTCCCCTTATAGCTCTTTGTACGCGGCAGACCTCGGTCATCGCCCAAAGGCTGTTCTTTAACGTGATGTTTATGCCATCGAACGTATCCGAAAAAAAAACGCCAGCAGAGATCAAGCGAACCAATTCCTTGTCTAATACTCTTTGAAACCAAGGGTACGAATGACGAGAGTATAGCTGATTTGAGAATTGCCATAGAATCATCCAAACCCTTCCCAAATCAAAGAAACAGAGTAATATGGATGAACCGCGGTACTGTTGAAACCCGTTGACTCCAAGACGCATAATGCATAATGACAACAACGAAGTGCAATAGTCTCAGTAAAGTGATGAGACTTACCACCAACACCTTAAACGTATGATTTTAACTGTTTGTCGCTTTCCACTGGAGGCCGGCGAGGCGTAAACTCGCTTCGGTGTTTTGTTTGACTGCAGTGGTGAAACTATAGAAACCCTAACCATTGACTAAGGTATACTATATATACTGAAATTCGATGCAAAGTGAAACAAGGTCCAGACTCGATGTACCTCATTCATCCGACGAGTCAGCATCCTCACGGCGAGTGGTCGACATGATTGAGCAGAGGGGCGCCGGAGCCAGCTTCTGAGTCTTCCGTGCTTTGGGTGTCAGCAGAAGTATCGACTTGGACACTCGATGTAGGGCTTCCGCTGCGGGATGCTTGGCTGGGTGAAGCGCCAGCGCTGGTAGGACAGTAGCCTATGCGAGGATCGCGAGAACGCCGAACATTCGCTGATAAATTTGATAACGTGATAGAAGACTCAGTCCTTGGATGGCTTGAGCTTGAAGATGGCGGTGCTGGCTCTGGATTGCTGCCTACAGCAAGCTCTTCTTGATCGAGCCAATCTTGAACGTTGCCGGATCCGGATGACGAGCGATTCAACGATCCTGGTAGTACCTCATGGTCATTTTGCCTGTTCGACTGCGTTACATGGCGATTTAGAATTACGGATAAGGCGACTGTCGTCAAGCTTACGACCACACACAGAAGAAGTAACCAAGGAATTAGGTCTGATCGAGTATTGTTACCTGGGAGGAGCGCAACAATCACGATCAAGAGGACCAAGGGTGAAGCGTAAGGGCCAACGCTAGCGGAGTCAGAATCATCTCTCTCCAATCCTTGAGGTGATATGCTCACTGAACGAAGGAGTCCAAATGAAGCGTGTGCCATATCACGGCGGACACGATGAAGATTGGGATAAGTCTGAGTCATGGTTAGCCGCCTCACTTGTGAACAATAATTCTGGTACACGAACATTGAGAACCACCGTTGACTTTCAAGCTGAGATATCGGGAGCAGGACTGAGCTGCCCGTCATGCCTCCACACGCAAGTACCTTTGCTACCTGACAGCTCTTTCCATGTTCACGTTGAAACTGTTCTAGGGAGCTGAGAAGCTCTTGGAGGTTGTGCATTTTGACCATACTAGTGGTCACGCGAGCATCGTAACGTGAATTCAAATCATTGTAGCCTAAATGTTCGACGAATTGAATTTTGTAGATGAGGTCAATCCAAAATGGATCACTATTCTGTTGGGTAGCTACAGCAAATTCGTCAGGCTGTGATGAGACTGCAATATATACTTGAATAACAAGGCCAACCTATATCTAGCGTACACATGAACCGCATTAGGAAGCCATCGGTCGATCTATTGAGGCTCATAGAGGATTCACGAGATCCTATAATGGATCGTCCCTTGGGATGAGTGGTACAGAATGCAGTTGCAAGAAGCTTAAACCCGACCATGCTGCATTGGTCTTGGATGTTCTGGACCAATCCATGCTTCCTCGAATATCGGGCATCAACCTTGGATGGATAGGAATACTGCCACGTCTCCAAGGTCGAGTTTGTCGCTATAAGGTGAAGTGCGTATCTCCGGTGCGCATCTCTGGCGAACCATACCAAGCCTTGCATTGGCGCCGGGGATTGGTCAATGCCTTCGGTGTAGGTCAGCCTCACGTTCGCCTTGACAGCGCCATCGACCCCCCTTCGTCTGGACTCAATAGGCTGAATCGGGTGTCATGTGTGCATTTAGACACTAGCGACGCCTCGCAGTAGATAATTCGTTGGCCACTGACCTTGATAAGAAGTTTCGCAAAGATGGGGCGGGCGAACATGCGTCGATGTCGGGCTCGAATTCGACAGATCTGCGACCGGATTCGGGCTGCTGGATCACTTCTCCAGGTGAACTGCGAACTCGGTAGAGCCTTGAGAGATGCAATGATTTAACCACCGAAGCATTCCTGCCTCGAAATCGAAAACATGACAACCTTGAACTCCCGAACCGCGACCCAGGCTCGCTGGTCCGACACTCGCCAATTATTCAATGTCCAGTGGTCAGCGCCTCTCACAAGGGCCATTCAAAGAAAGGAAAACTCGGAAGCAATGCGGCATGCGCTGGCTCATAGAGCTGTCCGAGCCTCTTCTCGTTACTGCATGCTCGTTGGTAACCTCTGAATATACTTTCCGGCTGGAAAATCGTAGAGTGAGTGCTCGTGGTCTTGTCTGAAATTGTACATGCTGACAATTTCGGATCAGAACTTTCAACAGCTGGGATATGGGCTACCATTTGTACACTTCGATGTCGAACTGTCCCCAGGGCTCATGCTTGCATCGTGCTTGCTGCTTGGGTGTTCAGCATCGTCATTTGTGTACCGTAGACAGGAGGGGAATCCTTTTCAGCCTATCATCTTTCTAGTGTCCATAGTTGTGGCAGTCGTCGTGGGATACTGCGCTGGAGCAAGTCCAAATTTCATCCTCCTGGGTTATGTCCCATGGGCTGTTGATGCAGCCATGCTTATGAGCATCTGTGTGCAAGCGATTGCTGGAATGCAGAGATCAACAAAAGAGCAGATCAGCTGTCTAGAGAAAGGCGGAACACGAACAGCCTGGAGCGGTACCAAAACCCCATCATGCTGCCTCGGCAGCCGGACCATCTTCGAGGATTCGGTCACTAATTATATTGACCAGGAGGGCGTAGATGGATCCATTCGAAGCAAGCGTCTGAATACGTTGTTTTCACTGGTCGTAGGGACTCAGCCCTCGACCCCATCACGTTCGTGAACTGTTGATTTCTAATCGATACTTCACTCCCCTTAGCTCCAGCTGTGAGAACCTGTTGGGCAATGTCGGTAGAGACTTATATAGTCGCGTCGGAGGAAATCATGCAGACTGTAACCCTCCCCCTTCAAGATCGCTGGTTCGGATTCCCACCAAATGGCAACTGTACCTCCATCTCGATCACTTCGTAATGTATTTGATAGCACATGAATAGCACATGCGTTAAACGTCTAAGTAATCGGTCTCTCTGGGATGGGATCGTGGCGTTGTCCATTGATTGTAGTAGCGGTGCTGGCTAACGCGACAAGCCCATCGAGGTCGATATTCATTTAGAAGTTGAGCTCTGCTTTGTAAACATCTGCCACGCTCCTGCAAAGAGCAGACCAATTCGAGAAAGCAGAAACATGTTCCTTGAAATGGAGCTTTCGATCATCATGAATCTGAGTCTGGGATGGAAGAATCCGGCCACCACTCCTGCTCCGAGTCTGAGTCTGAGCCGTAAAATCCTGGTAATAGCTCATGCACTCGATCCCGCCAGTTGTCTGTATTCATCTCATCACCCGTAGAGGCAGGTGGGGGAATCGGCTGAAGATGGCCATGTCAGCTGAGTTGATCGTGATGTCCCAGACTCTCAGAGCTCAGAAAGGTTGGCACTTTGAATAATCATCTTCTGTGATATCTTTTTCTTCTTCTTCGCCAGGTGAGCTCAGTCTAGGCACAGCCGGGTGACAGACAACCTGGTTTGACAAAGTTTGTTTGTCTTGACGTCGTGGCGCTGTGGCGCTTAGATGCACCTGCAATTGTTTGAACTGTCCCACTACAAGCCAATACGGGATCTCCAACCACCCGCTATTGTTTAAATGTTAATGCAGCTGCAAGGCTGCTGTGGCGCCGTTACCAGCCACGCGGTGCTGGCCCAGTAGCGCCCGTCATCCCAGCTCTTAGCGCCAATCACAGGGGTCCCAGCCACTCGACTTACAAGGCTTAATCGAGCCCAACCTCTTGCCCCAGGCCCGAATGTCGATGTTGGACAGACAACCACCGCCAATGGCAAGATGCGAGAAACCACGCGTGCAACTGCCATTCGTCATTCACGGCGCTGCATCTTGTTTCCCATAAGACCCTTGGCTGATTGAACTCCACCGATGAATGAATCGGCCGGGGGCCCCGGCGCTGCTGCATGGCGGCTGGTAGTGCCCGTCCCAGATGGCATTTACCCATAAAGTCGGAGCATGGCTTCCCATGTGCCTACCCGTTCCATTGTCCTTCCGTTGTCTCTCATTGTCTCAAAACGATACTCCCGATACACCTGCCTGATCTTCTTGAAGAATACTAGGCTGTTCTTCGAGTCCTATCTACCATCTCCCTCTGTTTATTTTAGCTTGCTTTTCTCCTGCTGTGCTGAGAGCACCGCGTCTGAGAAAGGACACCAGCTTCGAGCGGCTTCGCCTTTCTGGTTGTGTATTTCCAAGTTTACTTTCACATATCACAATGATCTTCTCAAGATCAGCTCGAGTGGCAGCGGCCACTGCTGCTCTACTCACAAGCTCAGTGACTGCGCAAACGTGGTCATCATGCAATCCTCTCTACACAAGTGAGTCCTCCCAATGGCCTCAACATTGGTATAGCAGTGCTAACAAACCCTTCAGCTGGCTGCCCGGCCGACACTGCACTAGGAATGGCAATTGACGTCGATTTCACCCAAGGAGAAGTCAATTCGTTTACCGCGAGTGGAGGAACTCCAGAGTACGGTGCAGACGGAGTCACGTTCACGGTTGCCAAGTCCGGCGATGCTCCACAGCTCACGAGTGTCTTCTACATCATGTTCGGCCGCGTCGAGATCACCATGAAGTGCGCGCCAGGAGCAGGTATTGTGAGCTCTTTCGTCCTTCAGTCCGATGACCTGGACGAAATCGATATGGAGTGGCTGGGCGCCGATGACGCCACGGTGCAGACGAACTACTTTGGAAAGGGGCAGACAGGAGCATTCGACCGCGGACAATTCAACCCTGCTGCGAACAACCAGGCCGACTATATCACCTACGCTGTCGATTGGACTTCGGATCGCCTGGTATGGTATGTGGGCGACACAGCTGTGCGGACTCTGACATTTGACGATGCGAATGGCCAGTACCCTCAAACACCAATGCAGGTCAAGTTTGGAGCCTGGTCCGGTGGTGACTCGGCAAACGCTGCGGGAACCATCAGCTGGGCTCGCGGCCCTACGGATTACTCGCAAGGACCGTTCACCATGGCCGTCAAGTCGGTCAAAGTCACTGACTACTCCACCGGCAAGGAGTACCAGTATGGTGACACATCAGGATCATGGACATCCATCGTTGCAGTTGACGGAGAAGTCAATGCCAATGTTGACGCGGCACCCACTGTGTCCGCCGTTTCCGGCGCGGCCACCTCCCTCTCGCCCTCCATCCCAGCTGGCGGAATCGGTCAAGGAAGCAGCACGGCTACGGCGGTTGCGTCTTCCAACCCCATCCCGAGCGGCTGGCGCATGACTTCCGAGGGCAAAATCGTGCCGGCCAGCTCAACAGTGGTTAGTACGTTTACAAAAATAATCTCTTGTGCCCCCTTTCTTGCTAGTGAACAGTTTTCACGCGCGCGGCTTATGAACAGCATGCTAACATTGATCTTTCTTTACAGAACCTCCCCACCCCCTCCTCGTCGCCGGCCCCCTTGCCTTCATCCTCCTCGGCGCTTCCCTCGGCCGCTGGAGGTGATGTGGTCATCACGACCTACGATGACCGCGGCTTCTTGACGACCATGACCGTCCCTGCCGGCTGGGAGACTCGGGTCAAGAGCTACGACGACAAGGGATTCCTAATCACTCCAACAGCTAGCACGCCTCAAGCAACAGCTGCCCCGCCATTGATGCAGGCTGAGGCGACGGGCAATGCTGGGTCGGGCATCAAGGCCGGTTCTCACTCCGCAGCCCCGCGACTTTCGTCGTGGCTGCTGCTCCAATCGGCGCTGTCTCTGGCTTTATGTCTCAGACTTGTCGTTTGAGTATGATATGTATAAAACGTCGGAAAGTTGTAAAAAGGGGATAACGAATGGCTCTCGGTGCATCACATGGGAAATGGAAGGATATGATCAATGAGTTTGGATTGCATAAAATCTCGGGCGTTTTGATTTCGGGTTTGAGGGCAAATAGATTATTGGAATTATGCTCATGCGGCACACGAATATATCGGGTCAAACCCCGTCTAATATGAAGATATATATACATGGTCACATAATGCAATCACTTTTATGAGTTACGCTATCATATGTGAAAACGATTTATTGTTCTAACTCGTCGCTTCATCTGTCTAATTTTGTAGTTTGTTTTGTTCTTTGCTACGATGCTATAGACCATGCTCTGTCCAGCAAGATAAGCGCTGTGGTCTTGGACGAATCTATCCCATCTTACCTTCCCATCTGCGTAAACCTGGAAAAGGTTATCCTGCCAGGCAAAAGTTGAATGTTTGTAGCCAGACTGGTCATGAAGACGATACTGTGAAGCTCTTTAATATGATGATACAACAATACATAGCATGCGATCTTCCAATTTTGGATTCTCGTGGAGAGAATTTCTTGATCAGAACTCCCAAGTGGAGTCGTCCCGAATAGACTCAATCGCCCACTTGAACTTCTCCCGAAGGGTCTTGGAGAAGAACTTCTCAATGGGGACGTTGAACTTGGCCGAGAACACAACAGTGAGTCGTGGGTCGATATAGTTCTGGAGTCCTGATTAGCAAACAAATGGCGTACAACACCTCATGTAAATGTAACCTACGATCTTGGAAGTGCTCAGGGCGACCTCCTTGTTGCCCTCGCGATCAGCCGACTGGAGCTCGAGCGCCTTGATGCGCTCATCAATCTTCGTAATCGCAGCATCAAGCTTCTCAACACTTGGCGACTTGCCTTCGGCTTCCACCTTCTTGGACTTGTTCTCCTTCTTGAACTTCGCCTCGAGCTCGGCCGCAGCCTTGAGACGCTCCTTGAGCTCCTTCTCAGGTAGAGGCTTCTCTTTATCTGCAATTCGCTTCTCATTCTCCTTTTCAAATTTCTTGGTGATCTTCTGCTTGGCCTCCTCGACAAGGAAGGCTTGATGCTCGTGGATCCACTCGTCATCAAGATCTTCGCCCTTCTCAAAGAACTCCGCGCCCTTCTTCTTCTTCTGTTTGGGATCGACATCAAGCAACATCATCTTGGTGCGCCATTTCTGGTACTTCAGACCCTTGATACGATCGCCAAGCTTCTCCATCTGGGCCTCGTGACTAGCGGTAACCGTCCGCTTATGGTTGCAAAGAATGGCAACCTTTCGATTGCAGTCATTGTAGAGCTTGATCGTCTCGGGAACAGAAAGATTTTGAATCGGAAGCTCTTGCAAGAGCTTGGACATGGTGTAAGAGGCATTGTAAGTACGGAAAACCTTCGCTGTGAGACCTTGCATGTATTCGGAGAGATGCTTGTTCAGTTGACCAGTATTGACACGGTCAAAGATCAGGTCACCGTCTTCCTTCGGTGGCTTCTTGAACATCTTCAAGTTCTTGAAGACCTGTCGATCGACAGTAACTTCATCGTAGAAGCGAATACTGTCCTTACCCAAGAAATCGAAGATGACTGTGTTAGGTTCCCGAAGAGTGACGTGCTCGTACTTCAGTGAGCAACAACCGACAGTGTCGGCTTCCTCCTCTGTGTTCTTCTCGTTACCAGCTCTGAGGGCAAATTTATCGATCAGGTAGATGGCTGTAGCCATCTGACGGTCTTTCATAACATCGCTCTTGAGTTTCGTAGTATAATCCTTGCGAATACGGTCGATGTGCTTCTTGAGCTGACGGGCTTTCTCAAATTTCTTGTGATCCGCCTGGCCTTTGACGGCGCTGTTTGCAGAAAGCATGACATACTTGTAGTTCAGATTGACATTCTCTTGCCACATGGCGAGCCAGGTTGCCTTATTGTCATGCTTGACCTGCTTCCACTTGTGTCCTGCCGGAGGTTCAGGCACCTTTGCCTCTTTGCCGATGTTGATGACGACTTGCTCAGGCATTACGCGTTTCTTGACCTTGCCTGTCTTTGGATGATCACCTCGTCCTCGGAAAAGACCAGGGGGTTCAATACGGAAATTTCCAACCTTTTCTTTGCGGCCATCCCATTTGCAGAACATGTAAGGCGCTTCCAATTTGTCTTTTTCAGCCTTGTCAGCCTTCTTTTCGGCTGCAGATCTATTCTTCTTGGCTGCGCGATCGGCTTCATAGTATTCGAAGATTGGCTTGAAGTCCAGCTTGGCGAACTCTTTGATGTCAACCTTGTTGCCCTTGAGATCCTTGGCACCGCCTGTCTCCTTCAGAACCTCCTTGAAATCGCCAAAGAAATTCTTCTGGAAGACAGGGTTCTCCACGTTCTGAGTGCTATGAAGCATGCTGCCAAAGAACGTAGCAACCTCCTCGGCTTCAGGGTGGAGGACGACCGGCGTTCCGTCGTAGATTAGGCGGACGTTCTTCGGCAGAGGTACGTACGCAGGAGGGAAGACCACGCCACTGTGCTCGAGAGTGGTCCACTTGATGGAGTCGTCTTCCTTCTTCGGCTGGTCCCACCAGTTCTTCTCATCGTCCTCGTCCTCATCATCTGAACCATTCTCGTCTTTGACGCTCTCGGACCTCTTCTTTGACGGTGTGGTAGTAGCAACTTTGGCCTTCACCTTGGGAGTTGGCTTCGACTCCTTCTTAATTCCGTTGACTTTCTTTGCTGAAACCACACCATTCGACTCACGTTTGGCCTTGGGCTTCTTCGCAAGGGGTTCATCATCATCAGATTCATCCTTGATGGGTTTCTTGGGTGTTGGCTTCTTTGTCTTTGTCTCCGCAGCTCGAATGGCCTTTGCCTCCTTGTTGGCAGCCTTCTCGATACTAGCCTTCTTCTTGGCAAGCTTAGCTCCCAGTGGCGCATCATCATCAGATGAATCGTCCAGGTGCGTCTCTTTAATGGACGGTGGCAAGCCCTTTGGCTTCTTCTTCGAGATGGGCTCGTCATCACTGCTGTCTGACACTCTGTGCTTTGCTTTTTGCCGCTTGGCCTAAGGTACCGCCCACCGTCAGCACGAATGGAAAATTACAAAACTGCCTTGTCTGAAGTTTCACATACCAGAGGCGCACCATCGCTGTCAGAGTCATCCTTGTAGCTGATGGATTTGTCAATAGAAGTGCGCGACTTCCTCTTTGCAGTGCCGTTGGGCGCGTGATCTAGATCCATAGCATCGTCGTCGACCGGGCCATTTCGAATCGAGATGCCTACAGGCGCAGGCTTCACCTTGGAGTCAGACCTGTCCATGGCTCGGTCCTCGGCTGCTGTGATCTTGGAAGCAGATGCTGAAGAGGAAGGAGCGGTTAGTAAAGTTGATACGAAACCCATTTTCGAATGTGTGACGGTGCGGGAATGTGAGGCGTTGAAGGTGACACGTCAACAAGGCTCAGGCATCCCTCGAGGTCCTGCGACACTTAAAGAAGCCAAGGTGACGCGAGTTTAAACATACCGTGATGACCGTTCGACCTTGCCAAAGGCATGTCGTCGTCAGAGCTGTCTGAACTCATGCGATTCATCCTGGTGATGTGTTGGTGACTCGAGGTGAGACAGGCGGATCGTCAAGTCGACGGGGCGAGGATCGGAGGTCTAGCTCGCGTCGGGCGAGTAAAGAAGTCTGCTCCTGCCAAAAAAAAAAAAAAAAGGTATCGAGGACGTGAGTTATGAGCGAAAACAAGCCAGAAAAAGGTATGGCAGCGCGCCCCAGTCTATAGCCTATTAAATAATGAAGAGAATACCTAACAGTAGCAGCAAGGGCGGCGGAGGGGGTGGAAAAGAAGAAGAGGAAGAAGATCGATCGGGGCGACGAAGGTTAAAGTTCGTCTCATTAGTTGCAGCTGCTCCTGCTGTTAGTCTAACTAGTCGGGTGGTATTTTTGCTGCGAGTCTCCAGTGAGTTTAGCGTGACGCCGCTGAGTGTCAGTCCACGTGACCTGTCCGGATCAAAGCCAGAGGAAGCTTAGCCGAAAAAACGCTCAATTGAACCTATCGACAACTACGGCCACACCTATTGCCGACGAGGGAGTCAATTGATCCTGAATAAACTCGTCATCAGTCGAGCCACCGTTGGCAGAGGCTCACGCCAATCACACACTCATCAAGATGCTTTCAAGGGCCGCCCGGCCAGCTCTGCGAGCTGGAGCTGCGATTCCCACTCGGTACGTCGGCAAACTCCCACCGGGTCCATCAAGACAGCTTAAGGAAGCTGAAGGGAACCGATCATGAGACAGAGGAAGCATGAGGATCATTGATTGATACTAATTACATTGATAGCGCTGTCGCCGCTGGTTCCAATGCCGCCGCTACGTTCGCTACCCTGCGTGAAATCGAGGGCCGTCTCAAGTCGATCCGCAACATCGAGAAGATCACCAACACGATGAAGATCGTCGCCTCGACCAAGCTCAACCGCGCACAGCGAGCCATGCAGGACTCCCGAAAGTACGGTCAGACCTCCAACGAGGTCTTCGAGTCAGCCGAGACCAAGGCCCTCGAGGGTGAGGACAAGAAGACTCTCCTCGTTGTCTGCAGCTCCGACAAGGGCCTCTGCGGTGGTATCCACTCCAGCTTGTCCCGTTACATCCGCCGTCTCTTCGCTGAGAAGCCCAACGCCTACGAGCTGGTCATCCTCGGCGAGAAGTGCAAGTCCCAGCTGTCGCGTACCAATGCCAAGGACATCCAGCTATCCTTCGCTGGTGTCGGCAAGGATATCCCCACCTTCGCGGACGCCCAGGCTATCGCGGACCAGATCGTCCAGCTGCCCAACGAGTACGCCGAGGTCAAGATCATCTACAACCAGTTCATCAACGCTCAGAGCTACGAGGCCGCCGCCGTCGATGCCTTCTCTGAGGAGGCCATCCGGGAGTCTGCCAACTTCTCGGCCTTTGAGGTTGACGAGGAGCTCCTGCCCAACCTGCGGGAATACGCTCTTGCCAACTCTATCTACTGGGGTCTTGCTGAGGGCCACGCCTGCGAGCAGTCTGCCCGACGAAATGCCATGGACGTGAGTAAAGATTCGCTGAACGCCTGCCTGAATAAGTTGCTGACATTATATGACAGAATGCTTCCAAGAACGCCGGCGAGATGATCAACAAGTACCAGATTCTTTTCAACCGTACCCGTCAAGCCGTCATTACTGGCGAGCTGGTCGAAATTATTACTGGTGCCACCGCTTCCGAGGACATGTAAAGGGGAGGATAGCAGACCTGGGGTGGACAGAGGAAGAGTTGTATCTAAGATATTTCCCTTTGTATCAACGCATCAAAACCGGCTCAGTCCACCCGTGTATTAAAGAAAGTAGTAGAATAAGGAGATTTCCCCAGACTGGCATCTATCTCGCTCAAAAAAGTGATTAATCCTGGCAAACTTAACGCATATCTCGATTCAATTGATCAAGTGCCATGTCGGGTGTATAACGTGACAGGCTTACAGACGAATGCTACAGCGATAACATACTTTACACCTTACTCCTCCTATGAACTACACAGTATGTGGCCAATGCCGCCATTATCAGAGGTCAGGATATGCCCACAAGACCCCCTTCCATGTCCATTGAAATGCTTAACCATTCAATGCCAATTCGATATTCCTGTTACGCCATCATGTGCAAATATGATATGAAGCAAAACACAATTATGCAGCCATGTCGATGTCTCTGTCGGCATTCCCAGCAGAACTCTCGATCTTGATGCGACGACCACTGTCTGGACCGGCGGCTGCAACCGTCTGCTCCTCCGCTGTGGGAACACTTGGATGTTCTTTTTCGTATGCAGCCCGCACCTCCAGTGCATCTTGGTCCCATTTCGCCGCAGCTGCCGTCCAGTCCTTAACTGCCTGCGCGTGAGCTCTCTTCTGCTCGTCTGCCTGTTCGTCATACGGCTTCCGCTCCTCGTTGGTAGCTTCTTTCCACATCTTCGAAGTCATGACTCGCACTTCGTTTGGCGAGGGCTTGCCCTTTCCGGCCCGACGACCTTCTTCGCACTTCTTACGAGCTACGTCGTAGTTTGCCTTGTTGTATAGTAGGTAGGCATTGCCTGCAACCTTGGATGGTTTCAGCGGACGGTAGCCGAGCTTGGAATAGATATGTTGCCAAACATCCAGCTCGTAGGCCTCTAGACGAGCTTGAGCGGGATCTTTGTTGCCTTCTAGTGCCTTGCGTTTCAGGGATGATGATGTCTCTTTTGGTATAATTAGGGGGTTTGGAACCTCGATGGGGCCGATAAGAGCCTCAAGTACTTCAGAGGCTGCTCTGAGCCCGGACAAGTAGGCGCCGTGAACAGTAGCAGGATGCGTAACGATAGTGTGTTCACCAGCGAAGAATAAGTTGCCAATCGGACGAGCCATGATATCATAGTCCTCCGCTCGCATGTTGACTCCGGCGGATGAGTAACTGCCTCTGGCAAACTTGTCCGAGGCCCATCTGGTGACGACCGCCTCAATTGGCGGAGGGACTTTGTCTCCAAAGCGGCTGCGAAGAACATTTGTAGCTTCTGCGATGAGATCGTCATTAGGAGTCTGCTCTGTATCGAAGCCCGCATCTCCGGCCATCAGTGCAAGCAGGCACGGCAGACCGGTAGTATTCGTGGCATTGAACCACTGGAAAAATCTGCCTCGCCTTGACGTATAGTCCTTCTGATCAAGGCTCAGCCGATGAGGAGGATCTGAGAGAATACCAAAGATGTCTCTATCTTGATCCCAAAATGGTTCTTTGTAGACCAAAATGACTTTATTGAGCACCCCGTAGCCTAGGCGCCTGATAGCATCGGATTTCCATGACGGCAAAGGAGGTTGAAATTCGACATTGCCATGTTTCAGAACTCCAAGGGGTATAGTGTTCACAATGAAGTCTGCGTCCACAACGGTTCCATCTTCGCATTCGATCCTTGCCGGGCCGGTTGTTCCTTCTGTGTGATACATTATCCTTTTGACAGCCGCCTTGTGACGGACATTCAGTGGGGTCGGGCACATCAAGAGTCCACGAGCAACACTCTGATAGCCACCAACAACCATCGTGTGCTTACCCTCCCACTCGTTCCCGGCATCTATGTCCCAGCCCTGGAGACTGAGCTTGTTATAATTTGTTGCGTTGCTGTACTCCAAGTTGGCAATATGCCAATTGAGCAACCTAAAATCTTGGGGATTCAGGTCAACGATGTCCTTGTACTGTCGGATGGCCTCATCCATCATAGACCCTAGGGTTGCACTCGGGTCTTTGGATAGTGTATCAAGGTCGAAATCCTTTGCTTCAGTGACATCTGGCTTTAGAGTCCAGCCAATCGACTTAGCTTTGTGGGCTGCTGTAGTTGAACCGGGTGTGCCGGGCTCAACATGCACTCGTCCAGTCAATCTGTCAGACGAGACTGGGACCATATCAACCTGTGGCGTCATGTTCTGTTCTGACACCGAAGGGGCATGTGGCTGAGCGGCCGTTGTTTCTTCTACGTATGCAATGGTTCTGTGAACCTCGGCTGAGCTGTCTCGACCCTCATCGATCAGATCATGGTTTCCTTCAATGAGTTTTGATGCGGGCAGCTTGAATTTGTATTCACTGACTCTGTCGAGACAGGCGTTGTAGAGCTGTTCCACCATCTGATCTCTTTTCAAATCGACTGGTTTCCCATTGGTGTCATACAATGTCATGTCTGCTCGTAGTGCGTGATAAGCGAGACTGAGTTGGCCTCTCACCAAAATGTTCAAAGGATTGCCCCGGTCAAACCCAGTGATGATCATGCCGCCCATTTCAGCCGTGAAGCGCTTGTCTCGAAAGATGCCCGGCGCGGTGTCTGGAACAGTTTGGAACGCACGTGAATAGACACGTCCGCCTATTCGATTTCTTCCTTCTAGTACAATAATATGTGGTGGATCCTCCCCCATCTCGCGAAAATGTTTAGAGTATTGAAGGAAAAGGCCATGCAGCTGCCGAGCACATCCAAGGCCAGACATGCCTGCGCCAACCACAGCAATGGTTCTTCTCTTCCTCGGTGGAGAGCCCTTTGGATCTTTCTTCTGAGGTAATCGAATATCCACGCAGCCAAAATTGATAAACCCTCGGCGAACCAGCCATTCGAAGCAAACATTCGCAACATCGAACCACCTAGCGTCTTTGGCGCACCCTATGGCTTCTTCACGCATGACAGCCATCTGTGGGTTCCTCACCCAGAGTCTCAGGATACCATTCCTGATGTTTAAATAGGTTGTGACTTGTGCATGGCTGATATGATCCCGCAACATTATATACTCTTCTTGATGTAGAGCGTAGGGATTCAGCCGTGATGACTCCGCTGCAGCAATGCATTGCATAGCATACTCTTGGAGCGACAAGTCTGTCGGAACAGACACCTTCGGTCTGACATCATGTTTGCGCCTTGGCGTTGTTCGGTTCTGGACTGCGGAGACTGGCGTTGATTGAGATGGCACCTCTCTTGAGCTGTCGACATCGACTGGGGTGGTCGCTTTACTAGAGATGGTAGACGGCAGAGAAGAGAGCTCGGATTGTTCCGTCAATGCGGACATGGGAGATGGGAAGAAATTCCGAGACTCCTCAATTAGCTCTCGGGTGGGGGTCTTCAAAGGTATATGGTCGTCAATTGCCAGCCTATCGAAGATTCAAACGAGGTCAACATAAGTCATTTGTCGATATATAATAAGAGTGATAAACTTGAATTGGAAGAATGCATGGACTGAGATGTCTTGACAACTCAGATCAATAGGTAGGTCATGTGATGATGGTAACAGATAGTGAGGTGCACATACCCTACGGGCTCGTGAGGCGTAGCCACAGACTCTGAGCTGTTATCCATATCGAGAAGTTCCATGTCGTCAGTCCTGACAATTATCTCAGGAACTATCTCTTCTAGATAGTCTGATGAGAAAAACCTGTTGTGTTGTTGTGCCACTTCCAAGTCTGATATACTGGTCGCCGGCGAGAAAGGATTGACGAGGTACGATGATGAGGCGGGATGCGGTATATATGAGTCGGGTTCCTTCTGGCCCTTAATGGGTCGCTTTCCAATTCCACTATTCTGTCCTAATCGAGCCCGTGAACTCATTCCCATTGTTCCGAGACTCGATGGGTATGGCTTTGTGGCGGGTCAATTGATCTTGGTCCAAGTCGTGAGGAGTCGGGGCGAGTTCGTAGCATCGGAGGCCCAGCTTGCCCACATATCTCGACCACTGAGTGTCACGCTCTGGTGCCCATGTGCTATCGACAATCCAGCATCTTTGCGCTTCTAATTCAGGGCCAGGTATTTCTCTGTTCAACTCGTCAGCTGCATTGTCCGCCTTGAAACCAGCAATTATGGCTCAGTATAACAAATATAAGGCATGCAGATGTCGGTCGCTAGTGCTCAATTGCAAGGGTCTTGTACCTGAAAGGCCGCACGTCGAGACAGACGACGCTCTGGATTGCGCAACTTTACAGAAAATAATTTGTACAATTGGTTTGGTCAAGGAAATATAAAGATGGGTTCGGCCCAGGTCATTGCCGTTTATCAGATCCGAGACGTAAGGTTGGACACTCGAACCATCGGGGAAATGTAAAATAGTAGTATAGCATATCACGTGCGAGATTGACAGCGACCTCTTGAGTCCACCACCTAAGACACCGGGAAGATTGCTTTTCCCCAAGTCTTTATATACCATTCACAGACCTCTGCAAATCGGTCAAGGGATATTCTAGCCTTGAAACATGTGAGGTCATCTCCTCACGAGCGATTGGCAACATAGAAACCTGGCCGCAGGCTGCAATGTCATTGCCGATGCTCGAGTCATTGACCCGCTAGAGCATCTTTCCCTGCTACCACCTGCTTATTATGATTTGCTCATCTCCATCGCTTATCAAAGGCATGACATTCGATGGCAGTCTCCCTCATGATACATCTGGTGTGAAATCATTCAGGGCTCTGCAGGTGCCGGTGCTGCAGCTGGTGTCCCGAAAGACTCCTTTTCCACAGCTGCAGCCATCATCTTGTTGCCGCTGATAATCGATGTGGTACAGATGACAATATTCCGTCGAGCTGTGGTAGATAACAAGGCAATTAGCTTTACTGGGACAATGCAAGAGTTCAGCCGATTTACCTTCTTCCTTCTTCGCAATGAAGCGCAAGGCCGCAATCTCTGTGAAGGTAACTCCGCCAACGAATACTACAAAGACCGTCTTCTTCTCCCCGCTATTCGACAGCAAAGCGCGAGCCTTGACGGCTTTATCTTCGCCCTTCTGCAACTCGTCAAATGTCTGGCCTCTCGCGTGTTTCACGGCCTCATCGAATCCACGCCATCCTTGACCTCCACCTACCGCACCGGATCCGCCAGTCACGCCATTGCCCCTTGTGATAGAAAGAAGATACTGCTTCTGTAAGATGCATTGAACGAGACGAATCGAGAGCGGGGCATATCCACTGTAGACGTATGCAATATCGTTCGGGTCGTGCTCATTGACTTCATCTACGATGAGTCGAAGTTGCTTTCGCAAATATGTATAATTGGTCTTCGTGCCGGTGGCTCCCGCAGAGCCCGTCATGGGTATCATGGATGCCATCGGAGATGATCTCGACAGGAATAGTTGCAGTTTCTCGAGGTTGTTCAAGGTAAGCAGGTGTTGGTAGCCGTACCCTTCGAGGATAAGCCTCCGAAACTGGTCGAACTCTTTCGTTTTGATTCCGCCGGATATACAGGAGTATATGCAGAGAAGACGTAGTATCTCCGGTAGGGGTGTGTCTCTGGCGATCAATTCTTCAATCACGTCGAATTGTGATGATGGGTCAGCACCAGCTGCTAGATTTTGCTGAACCTCGAGTAGTCTACTGAACTGATCCGTTCGTGTAAATTTGATGATCTCCTCAGCTAGTCCTGTATGGATCTTAAGACTTTGCTGCTCGGCTTGATAACCCGGGAGTTTCGAGACAAAGGCCTTCAATTCGGCTGTAGTCTTTGAGCTATGTCGACTATCGTAATCGTTTCGTAGTCGACGAGCCACCTTGTTCAGCAGACTTCCCACTATGGCGAAATTCGTGTCTCGAAGCTGGTCAAATAGTTTATCGGAGGAGTCGAGCTGGATCTTCCGTCTTCTCGATTGATTGCTAGGAGGGGGCGAGGCGGAGGAGCTTTGCGCGGCTTGGGGTGGTGCTCCGACGATAGTCGAGTCAACATCGGTTTGATTGTTTTGTATGCCAAATATCTCATCGATGAGCCCTTCGTAGGTGAGCTGTGTGAGTAGAGGAGTAACGAAGTCGACATCTCGATCAATGATGATCACGCTCTCAGTTGTCGTGCTCGGAGATAAACCCAGCTTATCGCCATCGTGACCAGTCTCGCCAGCAAGCAATTCTTGTCGCATGCGGGCAAGCAATTCAGCGACACGCTTAGCATTGTCGCCTTGGCCGATCATCCGCGGGAAGAGGCCCTGTTTCTGCTGGATGCCCATCAAGGCCTTAGCAAGGAGAAAGGTGGACGTTGGATCCTTAGCAAGGTAGAGATCCTGAAAGGAGTCTTCCAGCTCTAGAGAGAGGACATCTCGTTCCAGAGGGAAGAAGTAGAGCGGTAATTCGGAGATGTTCACGTCGCCCAACACACCAGCTTCTTCCAGTAGCTTGTCGGAAACTAAGGTGCGGCGAGGCACCCAGAAGATGTGAAATTCATGGCCCGTTTGGCTCTCACGTTGCAGTCGTCTTATCTGGTCTTGATTATTGTTAGCATGCATTGATGCATGGGTTGAGGTCGGGTCACATAAGGGAGGCTACAGGTTCGCGGCATTGCTTCATTTCAAGCTGTTCGACGAGCAAGCAGCAGTGAGATGTAGATACTCATCTGGCTTAACCATTGAAGCTCATTTACTCGGGCAAATGAAGCGTGGTAGAGTGTTGTGAAGGGGCATGCGACTCACCTGCGATGGCCTGGGCGTGCCGCGCACTCTCTCCTCGCGCAAGAAATACGACGTTTCGCTGGTTGGTGCCGACATTATTGCTCTCGAGAAAGTAGAACTTGTCGACTCCATAGTCCTGAAGCGTGGAAACTTTGACGATTGTCCCGATTGGCCCGGCGAGGTTCTGCTCAATCACGAGATTCTTCTTCCCTTGGACCTGTGGGGAGATAGGTAGCACTTGATTAGCCACTGTATACTCTGCCTGGACTGTGTCGCGATTGAGCGATGAGAGTCTGACTTACCCCGGAAAGAAGGTAGAGAAGGTCCTTTCGAGCCTTGTCTCTTATCTGCTCAGTGTCAAAGCCTACATGAGGGGCCATGTCTGCCTCTCCATGCAGCCTGTGATAAATCGAAGGGTCACCTTGGTATGTTCATGTAGGTGAGCTTGTAGGCCGGCCGAGAAGCGCATGGGAGAGCTAAGGTCGGAGCTACCCACCTCATGAGGTAGCTCGGTAGTCGGTGCGTCACAGGCTCCGCCCCGCCCAGGCACTCTAAGACTGGACCCTTCATCATCTGAAGAGCCATCCGCTGTACTACGAGTTTAGGCAATATACAGAAGATCTTCACACGGGAGATGTGTATACAGCGGCGCGAATGGGGTCTCTGACAACGCGATATATATTTGAATGCACCCGGGAGCACTGGCTTTTCTACAATGCCGGACTCTAATCTCCTACCGGCACGCACAATTAGCGTTTCTATATCACTCCGCAGCTTTGAATACAGGTTGAGGATCGTCGAAACTGTCAGCTGGCCAACCAATACTCTTCTATGGCTCATGCCCTAGGCAACCAACCAAAAAGTATCTGGTCAGGTCTGCGGAGATAATCATCTCGCATGATGTCAAGTTCATGGCCAACAGCCTTCACTGGACGGTGTGGCACGTTTCATAAAACCCCAAGTAATTAAACAACCAACTCCAAAGCACTCCGGGGCGGGTGTGGTCCTCAATGCAATCATTCAATCCATGGTTCGTTGCCCGTATGAAAAACGCCAAATATTTCTTGAGAATAGGCAAAGACGACAGAACCTCCGATCAGACGTTATTATCGTGATAGTAAAAATCAATGTCCCTGGGCCTGAGACGGTTGCCCCGCACGAATTCCTCATCTCCGGGTGGACGCTCGTTCTTCGTGTTGCCGGTCAGCATGCTCTGTAAGCTCATGCAGACACTCTCGACGTTTTGCACGGGGCTCCAGCCTTGTTGACCCAACAGGTCCAAGCAGATGAATCCGTTCGAATAGATGTGGGGGTGAATGGGAATCGGGCGGTCGTGCAACTTGACGAAGACAACCTCTGGGGGCTCTGCGCTCCGGGTCAGCTGGGATATTCACGTGTTTTGTGCGAGCCGTCGCAAGCGCAGGGCAGAGTACATACCTATGGGGTATGAGGAGCTGAAGCGAAACTTCAGTCTATAAATCTGGTTTGCGTAGAGAGGATTCTTGTCGAGAACCTGAATGTCTAGCAGCCATTCTTCGAAGTTGTCTGCAGAGATGAGGTCGATGCCAGGAGGCAGGCCGTTATTGATCTTGAAGGGAGGTTAGTGAGGCTGGTTGTACCGAGGAGGTTTCGCAAGCGCATAGAGGCGAGCTCATTCAGACCTTAGCAAGTTCCTTGCCTAGGCGCTTTGTCGCAAAAGTAGCCATTTTACTGATGCAGACAAGGAAGCCCTTTCCGAATGTTGAAGCCTGCCCGAGAGATGGTGAAGGACTTGGAAGCCCAGAGAGGGGCAGACAGTGTGTGATGGTGGGGTCAGGTTGGCCTGAGAAAGCAGTCACTCAAGGCGTGTAGGAAGGCATCAAGAGAATTGGCAGACAGCTGCGACAAATAGATTGCCACCGAAGAGCGGAAGATCTCGATAGGCAGATCCTTCACAGGAGGGCGTCGTTCGCGAGTGTGGGCGGCTCTTTTCGGCCGAGATGGAGGAGAAAAGACACAGTTGGTGGTGTTTCGGTTTCGAGGGAATATGGATGGGAAGTGATCGTTCTGACGCCAACCACAGACGGCATTCTCCCCCACTAACATGGCCTAGACTAAAGTAGCTACCGCCCCTCAGCTGCCTGCGACGATAGAGTGACTGCGCTAAAGCGGCCGGCCAGCCAGCATCCGTTCAATTGGGCGCCTGAATAATTGGCGGCTCTGCCGGGTATCTTGGTTGCGCAGAAGCGCCTTAGATCAAACTTACCTTGAAGGTATGACCGAATGCACAGAAATTTGTAGGAAACTTCGAGTCATCAGACTGTTACCTAGTTTCATAAGCATTTTTACCTAATGAATCGAACATGATAACCCAAGGGTCATCTCAATCTCAAGCCCAACATCTGAGTTGGGCCTTTCCAGGACACGTAGGTAGGTCCTTTAGGCTCTCTTCCCAGTCACACAACTTCACATCAGCCTCCGTTCTTGTCAGGTGCTAGATTGACAGAGGCTTCGACTCAACTGTATAGAACGGGCTGATTCATCTGAGTTAAATACTTACATATACTTACTCTTTTATCTCTGGCAGTGAACGTATTTTGTCACGCAGACATAACTCACTACTCTATACCTATCTCAAGTCTCTTTTGATAAATGTCTACGTGGGGGGGACCATTCACAACTCGGCGGAGATCTACGCGTTGTATCTCACGCAAAATAAGGAAACTCAACCCTCGATACACACAGTTCTTGTTTCGCGAAATTGGGTATACAGCTGAGGCAGCCATAGGGGAAAGCTCCGGGCCTAGCGATCAGCCTTTTTGCCTTACCTCATGAGCCACAAATGCTCTGGCCTGAGAATATAACGGAGCGGTTCCTCATGGGCCAAGGCAAAGGACTCCGCCTTGGGGCTGTGCACGGTGAATCACAACTACCCTGGGTGCGTGTGCCAGCTGGGCTCGCTGGGGTGGTCCCGTACCTGTATGGCACAGTGTCAGAGTGTATAGTACCTAGGTACACAGGTAGGTAGGTAGACCTAGACGCTGACAGCAGCGGGGTGGTGGTAGGTAGAGTAGCGCGCCAGTCTGCCCCTCATCTCGCCGGGTTTGCGGCTGAGCCCCTCTACTACACTACGGCCTACCCGCCAGCCGCTTGTTCCCTTGCTCTTGCTCACCCTGCGACCACTTGCAGGCGCAAGGCTTTCCTCTTGGTGCATCCATCGTTTCCCTCCTTTATCGTGCTGCTTGACAGTGAACAGCTGCATACGTACCTACATTATTACTTCTCGCCGTTCGCACCAGAAGCAGGAGCGCATCGCCGCCGTTTCTGTTTCTGTTTCTGTTTTCATCCATCGTTCAGTCCATCGCGACTTCCCACTCACTGACTCTCTCCAACCCACCCGAGCCTCGTCATCGCTGCCCGTGCCCACCTGCTACCGACCGGAAAGGCAGCTGCCCAATCTCTCGCGACTGCCCCAACTTTCTCTGCGTTGCGGGTTCCTCTCCGGACAACGCCTTCATATCAATCCTTCCATCTCTAGCTTTACCTTCTCTCCTGTGAGACAACAATTTAGACCACCAAATCGAGAGCTCTTGCCAAATCGTGCGCGCGACAAACATCTCCCCTTTGTCGACCCCGCAGTTGAACAAGATGAGCTGTAAGTTGCCAGTCGTTGTGACACCTCCTGAGTCTCGCGTGCTCCTACAATCCAACACATGCTTACTGAAGCTTCTACTCGTTATCTATTCTTATATTTGTTATTCGAATTGTAATGTCTTCGTTCCGGCTGACTGTTTCTTCCTCGTATGCAGTCTCCAACATGTTGAATCGGCTGCACGGCCAGCCCGAGAGCTATGATAAGAAGTATGTCGCTTTGCTCTGATAGTCTAGTCCGTACCGCAGCAGCATCTGACCCTCAACTCCTTAGATCGAAGTACCGATTCGGAAGAACATTGGGCGCAGGTACCTATGGTATCGTCCGGGAAGCAGACAGCCCTATTGGCAAGGTGGCAGTGAAGATTATCTTGAAGAAGAATGTTAAGGGCAATGAGAGGATGGTCTACGACGAGCTGGACATGCTCCAGCGATTGAAGCATCCGCATATTGTCCGCTTCGTTGATTGGTTTGAATCAAGGGTAAGCCGTGCTGCGGCAAATGGCACAACGGCCGGGGCTGAGAGCTAACATTGCAATAGGACAAATACTACATCGTTACAGAGCTGGCTCAAGGCGGCGAGCTCTTCGATCGAATTTGTGAACAGGGCAAGTTCACGGAAAAGGATGCCTCTCAAACAATCAAGCAGGTCCTCGGCGCCGTAGACTACCTTCACAAGAACAACGTTGTTCATCGAGGTGAGTGCCATCAAAGTCGGTCATCTGGCAGAAGCTAACGATAAGCTCAAGACTTGAAGCCTGAGAACCTACTATACATGACTAAGTCACTGGACTCCGATCTTGTTCTTGCCGATTTCGGTATCGCCAAGATGCTCGACAGCAAAGATGAGGTCCTGACCACAATGGCGGGGTCGTTTGGATATGCGGCGCCCGAAGTGATGCTCAAGAAGGGACACGGCAAACCCGTCGACATGTGGTCAATGGGAGTCATCACATACACGCTGCTCTGCGGCTACTCGCCGTTCCGCTCGGAGAACTTGCAGGACTTGATCGACGAGTGCAGTAACGCGCAGGTGGTCTTTCATGAGCGCTATTGGAAGGATGTTAGCGACGACGCCAAAGACTTCATCAACCACCTCCTCCAGCCGACCCCTGATGATCGATGGACCAGCTCCGTAAGTGCTTTCATCCGAGTCGAGTATTGCGGCATGAGACTAATTACAATTACCACAACAGGAGGCTCTAGCCCACCCATGGCTCAGCGGCGAGAACGCAACAGATCACAACTTGCTACCAGAGATCAAGGCGTACATGGCTCGCGCTCGTCTAAGACGCGGTATCGAGCTCGTCAAGCTCGCAAACAGGATCGAGGCGCTCAAGATGCAAGAGGACGACTCGGAAGACTCCGATATGCCTACCGACTCCATCTCGGCGGCTGACCAGTCCCGGAAATCGCCCGTACCCACTGTCAGCAGCAGCAACACCGACGACAGCACGGCTACCACTAGCAGCGATGGTAAGCGATCTCTGTCCAAGACCATCAAGGGCGCCATCTTCCGCGAGGTCGTGCTGGCCAAGGTGCGCGAGATGAAGGAGCAGGAACAGACACTCAAGGTCACTGAGGAGGTCGAGAAAGAGGTCAAGCGTCGAAGCTTCCACGGATAAAAAAAAGCAAAGCAAAAAGCTGAAACATATGCGAGTGATCGTCGAGGACGTGCGAAATGAATAGGTGGTCTTGCATGTGGCTATGACTAAGATCCTGGCTCGCCTGGTTGGCGGTAGGACCCGGCGATCAGATGAATTCGGGCGGCTGACGGGGGGAGGGGTCTATTGTAGTAAATGGGTATCTGAGCGAACCAGCTGTAATTGCAGTGGTTGCTCTCTCGTCAACAAAGGGGGGTTTCACCGGACGGTTTTGTTCCCAATTCATGGTTTCTTACCAGTTAGTTTCTTCTTGTCCCCGTCCCCTAGAGATGGGTTGAATGGTGATGTGACGGTTTACAAAAATTCTGGAAAGTCTTGATAGTACTGACTTGAGCCGTGGTCGTTACAGAGGCCGCGGGAAAACATTGAGATACCTCTTTTCTTTCTACTCAATTTGAAACTATTCTTCACAATAATAGACTGTCTTGACAACTCGTGACTCTGCTTTAGTTTTCAGGTGTGATGCATTTCTTCTACATGATACTACATAAAAACTCCCTCTTCAACAGCAATGTAGCTAGAGGAGCTTCCCAACCGGGGGTATATATGATAAAACAAAGTCATAAAACATATATCATATACGATATGGGTCAAGGGTTGGCTCATACCGGGCAGAAACATCTGCCGCCTTTTCAGCCACAAGTCGAAGAGAACAATGCCGTGTTGAAACACCTCAATGCCAAATAAAAGCAAAAACCAGATACCCGGACAGTGGTATGCTGTCCCCAATACGCCTGCAGCCGTCTCATCGTGCGTTGTGATACATTCTCATTCTTTTCATTCCTACATTTTCTCGTCCGTGTTAAAAGTTCTGATCTGTCTTCTGGTGTGAAGAGACGTCATCGTAAAATCATGTAACCGAGGCCAGGCGAATTGTAGCGAAGCAGAATTTCTAGTTTAGCTCGGCCATTACAGCTTCGCACAGCTCCTCGTAGCGTCGAGCATCAAAGCGCTTGCGCTGCCATCCCGTCTTGCGGAGACGCTCGATGCGGGCATTGCGCTCCTGTCGGCGCAGTTCCTCGCTGCTGACAGTGTGTGCTTGCTTCTCATCAGACTTGTCCGCTGTTCCAGAAGGTAATGGGGAGACAGGGGCAGACAGCAGCTCTTCGACAGAAGCCAGGTGACCTGCCACCTGCATCTTGAGCGATGACAATGTCTCGCGGTAGCGATGGACGGAACGTCCAATGCCAAAGGGATCATCATCTTCTGAGTCTGAGGAATCTGAGGGGTTTGCACTGTCGGGGTCCTCCATATGGACAACAGCAACGGAGTATATGTCTTCTTCTCGAAGAGATAGACGGGATACAGGCCGCTCTGGGACCTTAGGAAGCTCCTGACGAGTAGCTGCAGCGGTGTAATAGTCATCATCGAAGCCCAGCGTTGGTGAGTCGGGGCGGATCAGTGGCTCCGAGACTTGGAACGAGGACCAGGTGTCCTTTGCATCGTTGGGCAGCTCGAATGAAACCTTCTTCTTAGGCTTGTGCGCTGGCTTGGCCTTTGCGAACGCACTCTCTAGAGAGCAGACAGAGTACGCTGGTGATGTCATATCTGATTCGGCAGTCCAAGCTTGAGAAAAGATGGAGCTGGATGCGGAGTGCAGACTTGAGACGGAGGATGCTATAGAGCTGGAGCGGGAGCGGGAGACTACAGAGGTCTCGGCATTTTGGATGAGAGCAGCAGCTCGATCATAATGCACACGAGCTTGTTGTAGCAGGCTCGTCCGGTAACTCGAGGATTTAGTGAGGGGGCGAGCACACATCTCGAGAGAAGTGGCGGCGTAAAAGTTCAGATAAATGAGATAAGCAGGCTCTGCACCAGACTATCGTATAGGATTAGTACCGAACATTGCAGCCAAGAGGTGATGGGAGGATGCTCACAGTGTCCTTGACGTTGCTTAGAATCTCGTTGCACCGCGTAGAGCAGGCACGATATCTTCTGGTCATGTGCTGATGCTTGATCTCGACAATTGCCTTTCGCCATTCCTCAGGGGTATAAGGGAGCACTGGGAGAGAGGCCGGAGTTGGCTGAGATTGACGACGCATGGTCTTGGGCCGGGACGGTTGAGACGAATACGTGATGTCACTAGCAGCACGTTTGTGGGTGTTCTTAGGAGGAGCAGGAAAGACCATGCTGGTCCGGGTGCCCGAAACCGACGTAGGCTTGAGCATTAGGGGAATGAGGCCAGCCATGATGTGAGAAGCCGAGAATGATGATACACGATATTGGCAGTGTGGACTGCTGAGCCGAGTCTTTTGTGACGAGATAACGTTGGTCCGATGTTGTACCAACAATTCGTGGTGGTTTACCACTATGCAAGGAGCCGAAGTCTAACAGAGGTGATCAGGCGAGCCGAACGGGTATCAAGTATTGAATGTTGAACAAATGCCGAACAAGATCAGACGAAAATGAGAGAGAATGCAGGGTCTTTTTGACAGTGGTCGAGCAAGACGCAGAACTTGGCGACTTCTCGAAGCTCGGAGGATATGCGGCAGCAAACGGCTCTCTGAATCGGGAAATGCTGGGAAACGGAAGACGTCCGAGCAAAGATCCCGTGTCCGGTGAGGCTGATCTTGCAAAACCCAAAGTTAGGATTCTGGGTCAGGAGTTGGCAGTCGGTATTAAGTTATTAGGCTGATCACTGTCCGTGGTGTCGGGATGATTCAGATTTGAGAGACAAAACACTGCAAGAGCGAGTATCTTTGGTTGACGTCCGGCAAATATCAACAGAAACACGGACCGAATTATGCAACCAGAGCTGATCCGGTGAGACAGGCGGACAAGCAAAAAGAAGCAGTAGAAGTAGAAGAAGAACAATGGCCTGGATACAGAGAGCGCCGCCCAGGTAGCGATGCTATGCTATGCGTTGAATGCAATGCGATGTGATACAATGTTGCGATGGGTAGGTAGGCAGGTACGGCAAAAGGTGAAGAGTGGTCAAAAGGCAATGAGGCACTAGCAGATAGCAATAGCCAACGGAAAGAGAGAAGAGTATTGAAGAATACCAAAGTAACCCGAAGCAGGTTGAGGAGGGAGAGGAGAGGCAGGATGAAGATGGAGAAGGAGGCGGTGGTGTTTATTAAAACAAGAGGCAAGTAGGCAAGAGCGTTTCCAGTTTCCGGGAAAGGGCGATGCAACTGACAGACAGAATATCGCCAGTGATACATGTGGTGACCCTCTTTCTTCCCTTTCCTTACCCTGCTGCTGCGCATCTTACCTCTGCTGGCACTAAGAGCTGGGTCAGCCCGCACCAAAATTTTCTTCTTTCTCTTATTTTCGCTCTGCTTCTCGTTTTCGAGCTACATGACGCCAAAAGGTCCAAGCCAAAGGAGATGCAGATGCAAAGGGCGGGCGTTGAGAGGACCTGAGAGACAAACTGGGCCTAGCGTGGGCAAGTGTGGGCAGGCGATTGGGGGTTGGAGGGCACTGCAAGGCCCGTCTCGGCCTGTCACTGGCTGCCGGACAGTGGAGGCTCGGAGCCGGGACAGGGGCAAAGGGAGCCAGGGTGCCATTGAAGGCCCGTGCCTGGCTTCCGGCCACTTTGCTCCCCCACCAGCACAGGTCTGCTCTCAAGGACTACCAAGGGCTGTTTTGCTCGCCTCGCCTCTCCCCCTGTTCCCTGCTTCACATCTCCTCTCACATCTCTTCAAACACCCCGACTACACATCCGAGAGCTTGTACTCCTGCAGCCGGTGATGGTGTGGGTGATTGAGAGCGAGGGTGCCTGACAATCCAGGCCCGCCCCATCCTCCGAAACATGCAGGCACTTCGAAACAAGACACAAGCGAAGGGACACTCGGAGGCCCGCTCCCTTGCTGTGGCCACTGGCCACTCTCAAGGCCCTCTCGTCGACTTCGTGGGTGTGGCGCACAGATCCAGGGCACTGGCACTAGACCAGCCTCGTCTGCATCCCCCGTCCAGGATCTCCACGCCCGCTCCCCAATCACCGTTACAGCAGAGCAACGACGTTGTGGTCTGTGTGGCATCCTCTCTCCTGTGAGAGGCTGCCTGCGGGTGCCAGTGCTGGTACAGATCCATCTGGATGCTGCCGTACCACCGTTACTAAAGGGACGAACCTCTTCGTTGCTACCCTGCGAGCTGCACATGCACGCATCATCATCATGTACAGACATGATCTGTGCTTCAAGCTTATTGCTCTACACTAGATCGTTGAGATTGTGATCAGTTGGTCTCTAGACTTCAGGTAGTATTCGTACAGTAATTTACCCCGCTCCTCACGAGTGACTGATGGGGTCTGTTCTCATGAGGCAGACATCGCAGGCACGATGCTATCATGGTTAGCGAGTCTGTGATGAGGAGTTTATACTTCATGGGCACGAGTGGAAAGACTCTGATCTGGACTTCGAAACGTTGCTCCTCCTGGTGCTAAAGGCCTCCTAAATGAGCTTCAGTCTAATACCGCTTCGAGGCTTAGAACATATCCAATGTAACAGGTAGAGGTATAGTAGAGTAGTCTGGACTCTGGACGAGGGGAACAGACAACAGAGCGGTTTCGAAACCCATGATATTGATCCAGGGCCTTGCTATAGTAAACGCTCGACCTCGATAAGAGGGGTAAGCACCCTACGTGCAGCTCACGATATCGCACGCAATCATCGGAAACCTGGAAATTAAACAGGATGATTGACATCAATTAATTGCTACGACCGTGATCAACCCGGTGGGGTCCTTGTCACAGATAACCAGAACCATAGACCGCTCTTGTAAGGTAAACGCAATATCGCAACGGCTTGCCTTCCTTTTGTCTATGTCACGTCTATACCATGTGATATGAATTTGTTATCTATCAAGCAGGAGCCGAGCTTGGCGGTTCTGTTGATGCCGCCTCCGTTGCCGGTATAGCAGCTTCTCCTTCAGCGGTCACCGCTACCCCCTCCGCAGCTTTGACATCCTCGCCCTTGATACCATCTACAACACGCAGACCCTCCGCTTGTGCAGTCAACTCGTCCACCTTGTGTTTCCTTGCCAGACGCTGCTTAATCTCCACAGCGGCATCAACAAGAGGGATTAGGACACCATCCTTCTCGGGGTGCCCCTCTCGCAGACCCATCTCCTTGAGGCGGACTTGGCCCTGAGCCATCTCGTCTTCTCCTAGAATGAGCGCAAACGGAACGCCATTGGCCTCTGCAGCCTTGAACTGATTTTGAAACTTCGGCTTGTCTTTGTAGAGAAACTCGGCCTGCTCGTGATTAGTTTCCATTCTTCATATGATGATGTCCCGGAGTCTTCAAAATGAACACGTACCGAGATGCCTGCCTCCCATAGTTTCGCGCAGATTGACATGCGCTCTTGCACCATTCCAGTAAATCCTTTGCCTCCCATGGCCATCACGAAGACGTCAACTTCATTGGCACGGATCTGGTCCTTCTTCTCTGCCTGTCTTGCCTTGATCACGCTGAAGATTCGATCGACTCCAAATGAGATACCGACGCAAGGGACCTGAGTCTTGCCAAACATGCCAACAAGGTTGTCTGCAGATAGTCAGGATTCCATTCTGGCCAGGAGATAACTGATAGACCTACCGTATCGTCCGCCAGCAGCAATACTACCCACTCCAACGCTAGGATCATTAGAACGGTCCTCATCAGGATCTTTCGAGTTCTTCTTCTTTGGCGCCTTGACGGCCTCAATCTTCTCATTTGAAGGGGCAACGCTCGGTGCTGATCCTTCCGTGACGACTTCATAAATCACTCCTGTGTAGTAATCCAGTCCTCGTGCAAGTGAGAGGTCAAATGACACCGCATCCGAAACTTTGAAGCACTCCATATAAGCAAAGAGACGCTCCATGTCCGCCATTCCGGCCTTCATCGACTCGTTTGCGGCCATCTTTTCATCCTTTTGTAATTTCTCTAGGGTGCCGGCGCCCTTCAGCACAACCCACTCGCCGATTCGATCTGCGACATCTTCGGGTAGGCCTTTCTCCTCGACCATCTCCTTTCGGACATCAGACCAAGGCAACTTGTCGAGCTTGTCAACAGCACTTGATATCGTTCGAATTTTGTCTAAGTAAAGTTAGTTGGCCCTATTTCACTCCTCTGTGACCAGGCATTCGTACCTTGGGGAACACCGCAGACTTCGAATATGCCGTCCAGAATCTTGCGGTGATTCAGCTTGATAGTGAAGTTGCCCTTCCAGCCTAGACCCTCGAAAACTTCGACAATAATTCGTAGGATCTCGGCATCGGGGATCATGGAGTCGTAGGCACCAGCGATATCGAAATCGCACTGGTAGAACTCTCTCATGCGACCCTTCGTGACTGCAGGCTGATCTCTCCGGTAAACCTTGGCGATGTGATACCGCTTGATATTCTGGACGGTTTTGTTCATGGCGAGCCACCTGGCGAATGGGACGGTAAGATCGTAGCGTAATGAGCAAATCTCTCCTCCCTGATCAGCGAGGTCGTAGATCAGCTTGCTGTCCTCGCCATACCTATTGCAGTCAGAATCCATTCAGTCTAATATTGTACCATGAAACCAAATATAGGCCACTAGCCCAAACGATATGCCCAGCACGGAGTTTGTGTGCCCAGCAACGTGCGACCCCCCGTCTTTTACTCATGACTGCGAAATGTTCAGACAACTCCCCGTAGAACAGCGTACGCGGGTAGTCTGATAGCTGAACAGCCGTCTTGCCTTGATATGCCTTTCGAAGACAATATTCGTCTCTGGCTCTAGGAGGCGTCCTACTACTCGATAGGAGAAGTTGACTCACTTTCCAGCTAATATTTCCTGAGCACACTGTTAGTCGGACATGGACTCTACCCCAAGAACAAGGATCATTACCCTCAGCTCAAACACGGGAGTATCTATTGTCACGCCTCCGTGGCGCTTGAACACGTCGGTGATGGTCTGGAAGATCTTCTGGCGAATGACCATGTCCTTGCCATCCCCTAACACAGTCTTAGTCCAATTGCGCACGTGGACCTGTTGCGACTATTCTGCTCACAGTCCCTGGTGCCCTTAGGGGTCTTGATATTCCTGAGATCAATTTTCGGCGCCATGTCTGCGGGCTCGAGGTCGGGCTCGCTTGCGCGAAAGCCGGTCGAGGTGAAGAGTCGTCTCGAGTTCGAGGGGGCGGGGTCGCAGTAAAAGCTTGGTGGGATTCGAAGTTGTAGTTGTCGTCGTGGCCGGGCAGACCTGATCACAGCTCTCAACGCGATCCTCATTCAAAGCGCACTCCTTCGTGGTAGGGGTGAATATGGAGGGAGGTGGGATGAGGAGGGCACTACGAGAATAGGTAGTGAGTTTTTAGCCGGGTTTTTGCGCTTGTGACGACGTCGGCGCAAAATTTCTGTGAGTCAATCGCGCTGCGGGTTGTGGTTTGACAGAAGTGCAACGGCTAAGCTGCAAGGCTGCGAAAATGTGGGGGATTGGGCTGGAAGCTAGACTACCTACCTAGGTGCTTAGGTAGGTACCTAGGTAATCTTCCGTACTAACCTGGAATACTTCAAGCTCTACTCTAGGTATCTCAATCTTCGATGTAAGCTATAATCACCTCTCGAGTTTTTATTTATCTCACGGCTTGTACATTCAACATTGATCGGCAAATCAATTCCAACACCGAAAACCGTTACGTGATATGGCTCCGAGTAGACAATGACCATCTGAAATTGAGAGAGTCTTCAGAGGCGTTTTATTAGATTTGATGCTATACTTGACAGATAGATTAGACTTGTTGGCCTGCAGTAAAGAGCCATATTCTCATGCCCATATATATTGAATCATGTTTTAGTCTTTCTAAGAACAACTTATCGATGGTGTAGGTGCATCGTCCGAAGTTTCCAATGGGGGTTACACGTCTCCAAGGGGCAGCTTTAGTGGTCAGAGCAGTGGCTGAACCTACGCTACAGCCACACCAACAGGGGTTAAATTGACAACGCGAGAATTCGCGTCAATGCGCGTCTCCCAGCAACGCTCCAGCCAGGCTTTCTCACACGGCTATACCACGACCAGCACATGCTCAACCTACATCCCAACAATCACGTGTAATTTGGTCATGTATATCTAAGCCATCTTGCATCACTTATCTTCCTTGTTTAGCGTCAATTGGTCATATCAGCAGAGGACAGCCAGAGGAAGCAGAGATGCCGTCCCTTGAAGCAGCCACTCCTACAAGGAAAAGTAGGAGGCCACAGAAACCCAAGCCTGGTGCAGGTGTGACAAGAGAGGACTCAGATGACGAGCTTGGCCTTGAGGATCACCCATGGGAATGGATATACGAAGACAAGCGGGCAGAGTCCCCCGACCCGGAGAGCACCACAAGGAAACGAAAGAGGTCACAGGAGGAGAAGATCATTGGTGCTCGGATGGGCAAGTTCGAGTGCCGGCTAGGCGATTGCGTCCTCCTTAAGGCAGAAGGTTCGAACGAGGCCTGGGTCGGCCTCATCTGCGAGTTTGTCGAAGATGAGGAGGAAGAGAAAGCAGCCAATTTTATGTGGTTTTCCACTGAGAAGGAAATTCGCAACAAGGAGAAGAAACGCACCGATTTCTATTGGGTGAGAGCTTTCTATAGGATTTAGGTTTGACCATGAACTAACGGTATGGCAAGAATGAGCTTTATGTATCTCCTTCGTGGGATATCAATCCTCTAGCCTCGATAAACGGAAGAGCCAGGGTCTCGTCTTTAGAAGCGTTTCTCAAGAAATATCCCAACGGCAAGGTGCCTCGGAATTCGAGAGACTTTGGGAAGATCTTTGTATGTCGGCGTGGCTGCAATACGAGGACAGCAACATATACAGAGGAGTTTGTTTGGGAAGACATGTACCACGGGACGGAGGATGACGTCTTCAACTTGATCGACTTAGTGAAGCGGCAAACGAAAGCGACGAGGAGAAAACGCCAGACCAAAGACACATCTCCAGACGGCGGACTCTATAACGATGAGGATGTCGATGAGACTGCAGAGCATAAGACGACGCCCAGAAAAGCATCAAGTCAGCATCTCGGAACTCCGAAGAAACGCAAGAGCGAGAGCAAACCCCTAACACCTTCGCACCGGAAGTAAGTAACATGGACCCCAATTCATCTTAATATTACTGACTATTTCCAGAATCATGGTCAAGAAGCAATTGGAGTTCACTCCCCTAGCAACGAGGGTGCTTTCTCCAAGTCATCATCAGTCCTCTCCCTTCCAGTTAGCCCGAGCACAGCTTCATGTCGCGTCTGTTCCGACAAGCTTGCCGTGCAGGGAATCAGAATTTAGCCTGGTATACTCACATCTGGAGGCTGCCATTACAGATGGCACCGGAACATGCATTTACATATCCGGCACTCCTGGAACCGGAAAGACTGCCACTGTCCGCGAGGTGGTCTCAAGACTAGATGAGGCAGTGCGTTCTGACGAGCTAGATGATTTCATCTTCGTTGAAATTAACGGCATGAAAATAACGGATCCGCATCAGGCTTACTCGCTCCTGTGGGAGGCGCTTAAGGGGCAACGAGTAAGCCCGACGCAAGCTCTTGATCTGCTCGAGCGGGAGTTCAGCAATCCTAGTCCCCGCCGAGTGCCCTGTGTTGTGCTCATGGACGAGCTTGACCAGCTCGTGACGAAGAATCAGGGGGTCATGTACAACTTCTTCAACTGGCCAGGTCTGCGACACAGCAGACTCATTGTGCTCGCGGTGGCCAACACCATGGATCTGCCTGAAAGAACCTTAAGTAACAAAATCAGCAGTCGTCTCGGTCTAACTCGAATCACATTCCCGGGATATAACCATGAGCAGCTAATGAAGATTGTTCAATCTAGACTAGGGGGTGTTCCAGGGAACATTGTGGAGCCGGACGCAATACAGTTTGCAAGCCGGAAAGTTGCTGCTGTCAGCGGTGATGCACGAAGAGCGCTCGACATTTGCCGCAGAGCGGTAGAAATAGCTGAGGCAGAGGCGAAGTCCCTGGATTCTGATCCCTCCACACCGAGCAAGAAGCAGAAGGACCAAGAAGTCGCTGGGAAGAAAAAGACTGCTGGCCGGGTGACTATCAAGACCGTTCAGCGAGCAATCAGCGAGGCTACCTCAAGCCCACTGCAGCAATACTTACGAGCATTGCCTTTTGCGTCCCGCCTTCTGCTTTCTTCCCTAGTAGCCCGAATCACGAGAACGGGACTGGCGGAGAGCACATTCGGCGATGTCCTTGAAGAGATGCAACGGTCACTAAAGTTTGCGGCGGGCAACAAGCAGCTTGAGCTTCTAGAACGGACTTCAATTAGGGACGCCAACACGTACGCTGGCAAGACGAGACATGATGCAAGAGGCATCCGGCTTTCTGGACTTGGAAGTGCGGCAATTGACCTCATGGGTGCAGGCATTGTTAATCTGGAGGCACAAAAAGCAGAACGGCCGAGTAAGATGCGGCTTGCGGTTGGGGACGAGGAGGTCAGGCTAGCATTTCGCGATGACCCTGAAGTAAAGGCTCTGGGGTTCACGCTTTAGGGTATCTTTGATATCAAAGTAATCAAGCTACGAATACCCCCAAGGTTTTCCACTAGAATTACATCATGTACAGTATTCGTAACCCTTAAAATCTCCTCCTGGCCAGTGTTGGCTTCCAGTCTATCGGATGGGTCTCCGGTGTAGCGTCCTCGTCCTGCTTCCAGATTTTGACTACCAACGAATTAGTATGACGAGCTTTAGATTCAAACTTACAAGAGGACTTACTGGTCTTGTCTGCTTCGCCGCAGATTAATCGCAAACCGGAGTGGTCGAACGTTGAGCTCATGATACCGCTCTCCGCATCCAAAGACCCGGGTTGAGCCGTGGTATCCAGGGCCTGGAATCGGTAGCCAGACTTCCAGTCCCAGAAGCTCATGGAACCGTTGTCACCGCCCGAGAAGAACACATTCTCCTCATTGACAGCCAGCGTGTTGATGATGGCATTATGGCCCTCAAAGTTCTGCATGAAAGCGCCTTCCGGGCACTTCCATTGCTTGATGCTGCCAGTGCTGCCAGTCGCAAAGGTGAATTCAGTGGGGTGTGTGGCCAGCGCTCGGACTCCCTTCTTGTGATGTGTCAAGGTTGCCATAGTCTTGCCAGCCGCAAGATCCCATAGGCGAACAGTAGAGTCCAGGGAACCAGTGATGACCTGGGGGTCTGCCTCTTGACACTTGACGTCCGCTACGGTGCCGGTATGGCCTGAAAGGACGTGGATGTTGCTCCTTGTCCGCATATCCCACACTCGAGCAACACCGTCTCGTCCACCTGTGACCAGCACGTCTAGCGTTGGGTGAAGGGCGAGCGTGTAGACTCCGCTTAGATGACCGTGGTAATGCCGGATAACTTTATTTGTCTCGAGATCCCAGCACTTGACCATCTTATCCTCGCCACAAGAGAACAAATAAGGATGCCGAGGCGAAACCGCCAGTCCCCGGACAGTTGAGATATGACCAGTCATGGTTAACCTCAAATTGCCAGTCGCCAAATCCCAGATCTTGATGGTCCGGTCTCCAGCACCGCTTGCAAACCATTTGTTGTTGGGCTCAACTGCGAGAGCTCTGACCCATCCCAGGTGGCCAGATATGACTCTCATCAGCTTCCACGGCGCATGCCAATCAGGCTTTGGCTGAGATGTTGCCAAATCCTGCCTTCGCACCAAACTAGTAGATTGTGCTGGCCCTGCACCTCGAGCCTGACTCTGTCCACCAGGCGTTCCTGGTTTCCGTATTACAAGCGCATTAGATTGTGGACCTCCCCCTTGGCCATTTGGTCGGGTTTGAGGGATCCCCTCGATAAGCTTCCTTGTCTGTGCTTCTTCCGGCGTCGGCGCAGGCTCCCCAGCAGGCTTCTTCGTCTTCTTTCGTGCCCCCGCCGCAGCTGCTTGCTTCGCGGCCAAAGCCTCTGGGAGAGTCTGAACGTCCTTGTACTCGGCGTGCAGGCGCAAGGAGATGGCATCTTTATCTAAATCAGGGTCGCCTGAAGTTGCAGGATCAAGTCGTATCCGCTTGCGCCCAGCTGCTCCGCCTGTGGTATCGGCATAGATTTGCCTTGTCTTCTTCGCATTCTGCTGAATCAAGGTCTCCAACCCAGGCGCGCCATTTGCGACCTCTGCCGCCATCGTGATCGAAAATCCTCTCGCTGTGTCTATGTGTTATGCAATCCTTAGAAGTCGTCGCGGTTGGTTCGATCAAGTTGCTTGCTGAGAGTCGTGCTGGATTTCATCCGTTGCATGTAGTTACAAGCATGAACGGCTCGTCGCAGCTCTCCAAAAATTCGAGAAGCTCCAATTCTACGCCTAGAGGTCGCGTAGTTGGTCCGTGCACCGCAGGCTGTTAACGCCACACCCAACGATTATTATGTCCATTATAATTCATACAAGGCCTTACCGAACCAGAGCAACATCATTTCTCTATGCAACCAGACCGACCACAGCTCAATTCCAAGACTGGCTATTTCTCAAGCAGACCATGTTATGCAAGGTCGTTTTCCCGAGTATCAATTTAACATATATACCAAATCTTTCAATGCGATTCATGTTGTCGCTCTCGTCCCCGTTACCAATAATGCCTCAAATGTCGCTCTTGCTGTCATCGCTGTTGAGCAATACAGGTCCAAATGTCTGCCACTGTTTACCAAAAGAAAAGGAACACAACAGAAGTTCATCAACGATACGTCAAGTCAAATCTCCATGGCCTGACGATGAAATACCCCACTCGTGTCTCCAGTAGCAATACGCCGCATCTAAAGCCTTTGTTAGCTAGCCGACTATTACTTTGGTTGGTGATCTGCTAAGGCTAAGTAATTGGCACAGGCCACTAGACTCTCTAATCAACCTAGGTAGGTACACGTAGGCTCTTGTGCCTCTCATGTGCTTGAACATACGTATGAGTCTAGGAATACTATGCTAGTCCTGTGGATATGCTTGCGCCGCCCTAACACTTGTGGCAACTCGTAAATACCAACCCTCCGTACTTAAAGGCGTGTCTGGCCAGCTTAGAGAGAACATATCAATTATTCAACATCTTGAGATTTCTTTGGTGTATTCAGACACAAGCTCATAAAAATGGCCGACATTTACGCAGAAAAGATGACCCGCACGACGGACGAAGGGCAAAGGTATCTTCTAGGCTAGTCCAATCCTGGTGTTATAGACTCGAGAGAATCCAAGGCTAATATATTATTGATCAAGGCTCAATGAACAATTCGACTTGATGACCAGGTACATAGCGTCTTACAAGATGCTTATTCTTGGCACTTAGGCTCACTGTTGTAGGAATATTGGTTATCTCATCCATCCACGTATCGCCGCTGCTCTTCCGTCCAATCCTCGGGTCGCAGATATCGGAACAGGATCTGGGTATTTTCTAGAATGCATGCAGAAATCATACCCAGATGCGGTTCTAGATGGCTATGATATTTCCCCAGCCATGTACCCAGCCACGACTCCGGCCAACATCACCTTGGGTGTCATGGATATGAAGAAGCCTGTCCCGGATGAACTTCAGGGCAAATACGACCTTGTCCACGCTCGCATGCTTGTGGTAGCCCTCCAACCAAACGAGTGGGCAGGTGTTGTTCAGAACCTTACCAAGCTCCTCAAACCTGGCGGCTGGATACAGTGGGTAGAATGTAACTTCACAATGGCTTCTTACATTCGTGGTGCAGACTTGGAGTCTTCACGCATTGACACGGTTGCGATGATGTGTCTCAAGTGGCTTGAAGAGATGCGTGAACGTTTCTCTTGTGGCTGGAACACACTCCCGACTGACATGCGAGCGGCGGGATTGGATCCGATTGAGACTGATCGTGTGAGTTGTGACAGGCTGCCCGAAACAAGAAAGAGGACAGGGGCGAATGCGTTGAAGGTCATGTTTGCTTGGCAGCGTATGCTGACCACGAAGGGTGCTCCCGGCTGCATGACGGTTGACGAGCTGAAGCAAACTGAGAAACAAGCTCAAGAAGACATCGAGTCAGGGGCCTATTTGAGATACGATATTTACGTGGCCTGCGGACAAAAGCCTGTAGTATAGGGTCTGAATCTCTATCAGGCATAATTAGCATATTGCCGACTTACAACTCGTCAGGTACATAACCAGTTTGAAATGAGCAAAGCCCTACATGCCAACAATTCGTAGATCGGTATCAAAGCAAACAACAAATTCTGTGATTTAAATTCGTCATTTGATAATAGGCAAGTAATCATAAAATATCAAAATGGGCCAGGTAGGACAGCAAACCATTTTCTGGGCATTGGTCTAGAAAAAAATTTGGCAACTTCAAAGAGAAAACTGGTTGTAGGGGGAGAGGTTGTATAGGGGGCAAGATGGCCACACGTGACAGCGCTTGAGAGTGCCAGAAAAGCGGGAGCTTAGCGGCGGCTTGTGAAGGCGACACGCCTAACCGAATTACCTAAGTCACCACCCGTAGGCAAACGCTTGCATGCGTCTACCTCCAACTTCTACCTCTTACATCTCGACCACAACCTTAGAATCTCGAGATAGATCTGTAAATCGGGATTTACTGATATCATCTTGGATCCTTTAAACTGAAACAAGGCTGGCTTGCCAAAATGGAGGAACAGAATAAGTTTGCAATACATGCAGCATGCAGAGATGGCAGGGGTAAGCTGGCCCAAGCGAGGCCATATATGCGAGAAACATGGCTCACAAGTTTACTCGCAGTATCGACGGTTGAGTCGCTTTTGAATGTGAGGGACACTGATTCTGGAGTTAAAATTTGTTTGGACCGAGCTAAGAGCATTCAGGCCGATCCGAAACTCGCGAAGCTCAAGGATGATGACGGACGTTTACCGATTCATTGGGCATGCTCTGCTAATCAGCTGGAAATTGTGCTCCTGCTAGCTGCGCAGAAAGGCTTTGATTTAGATGTTCAGGTTAGTTTGTCGCATGGCAGACAGCGGTGATAATATTCTGACTTCCTTCAAAGGATGATATGGGTTGGACACCGTTGATGATCGCTGCAAGCGTCAAGGACAGCGAGAAACTCGTGGAGTATCTGCTTAGCAAGGGTGCAGACGTGAATGAAAAGAGTAAGTGCCGTCACACACTGTTACAAGCCAATATAACTTGGAACAATGGCTGACAACCAAGTAGACAATGCCGGCCAGGTAAGAAGGCCCTTGGGATTTCAGGGGTTCATGTATGCTGGAGAAGCTCGCTAACCTCTAGGCAGACGGTCCTGCACTTCGTAGCTTCAAAGAACAACATCGACATAGCTCGAAGGTTATTTGAAAACAAACCACCAGTATCAGCCAGAGTCCGTGACAGGCGCGGCCAATACGCACTTCACAGAGCTGCAGCGGTGGGCTCAGTTCCGATGGTTAACCTCCTGCTCAAAAATAAGAGCCCTCTGGATGCTACTGATAGCGCTGGCCAAACAGCGCTCCATCACGCAATTGCGGAGGGACACGGTAGGCATTATACCTTTAGACCATCTCATTAGTACTAAACAAGATGTAGGAGACACAGCTGTTGCATTGTTGAAGGCTGGAGCAGCAACGGATAAGAAGGACGCAGATGGAAACTTAGCATTAGATCTTGCACCAGACAGAGAAGTGCGGAAGTATATAGAGCGGATGGCAGAAAACGAAGGCATTGAGCTATCATAGGAAGGGAGCTACGGACGGCATAGCACGGTATAGCATCTTTTATGACTGAATGTGAAAGGTTTAAGCATATTTTGTATTACAAAGTGATATGGTAAGATCTACTTGATCGTCCTTTCAACTAGATCTCTATACATTGCCTTGACGTCCTCCACGTCAGACTTCAACTCTTCCACAAGCTCGCTCTTCTCCCCAAGCAACTCTAGGGTCGTCTCATAGCGCCCGTTGACTTCGGCAACTTGCGCCTCAAGATCCGCAACCTTCTGCAAGGCTGACTTTCCGGACTCTGCTTCTCGCATAAGCGCAACGATTTCTGCCCGGGCCTCATCTCGCTGCTTTGATATTCTTGCTAATTCTTCTTTGGTTGCGACCTTCTCAGTCTCAAGCCGTCGAATGGCAGCGCTCATCCTCTCGACTAATTGGACCGATGGGCCAGCAGCGACAGTAGAAACGGACACCATGTCTTGGACTATCTGCTGCGGTGACGAAGTAGTTTCTATGTCAAATGCGTCTTCTTTATCAACAGGATTGGTTGATGGTGTTGGTAGGCTCTCCATGGTAGGACTGAACAGACCTGGTGATGTAGCTGAATGGCTTCCAGGAATGGAAGGTCGGCTTAAAGGCTGAGCTGATGGGCGACGCGAGAACCTCTCCCCAGCATCTCCATTACTTGATGGCGCGGAGGCTTTGCGTAGCTTATTAGACAGGGACCCGAAGCCCAGTAGGTCGGAACTAAGTGTTCTCTGAGGTGCGGAAAGAAGGGGAGACTCAGGTCGACTATTTGACTTGAAATGTTCCTCGAGCCATGTCCCACGGCGATCGTGATCTACTTGGTTGCTCTTCTCTTCTTTCCAGGAGGCCTTTTGTTTCTCGAAATCAGCTTTTGCCTCTTGTAATGCAGCTTCAGCTTCCTCGGCACGCTTCCTCAGGGATTCTATTTGTGTCTGGTACGCCTTGGCATCGTCCTCGAGTGAGGGTAGCTTGGTTCTGGTTTCCTCCAGCTCTTCCTCTTGTCGTTTAGCACGCTTAGCCTACACATAATTAGCACGATAAATTGTTAAAGAACCACCGCGGTACTTACAGCTTCTCGAGCCTTCTTCCGGACATCAGACTCGCGTTGCTGTGCCTCGTCTCTCTCCTTCTCAAGATTTGTGATGCGAGCGAGAAGTGTTGTCTCGATTCCCTGCCAATTTTCGCTTGCAATGGCATACTGAGACTGCAACGTCTCTATTTGACGAAGGAGTTTCGCTTGAGAATCGCCAATCGCGCCTGAGGATGCCTCCTCAGCGCGTACGCGCATAGCTTCAAGTTTGCTCTCCATGATCTGAATCTCCGCCTTCAGTTCGATCTCCACAGCCTTGGCCCGCTCGGCTGCTCTCTCGGCTTTCTCTTTCAACTCAGTGGCTTGGGTCTTAGCTCGGTCTGCTACAAGGTTCTTCTCAACCTTGAGATCAGAAACCTGCTCTTCCAGATCTCTAGCTCGCTTGCGCTCCTTGTCGAGAGCCTCGTCATTGATTTTTGTCGCCAATGCCTCCTTCTCTTGTGCAGCCTTCTGTAATTGCGACTTCAAGTCGGCAATTGTTCGATCCTTGGCAGCTCCCTCGGACTTCAATGCATCAATATCCTTTTGTGACTGTCCAATGCGTTTATGTAGTTCTTGCTGATACTTCTCCAAATCGTCTGCTCGCCGTGACTGCCTTCGTGCATTATCGAGGTCCGCCTCGAGCTTCCCACGTGATGTCTTGACATTACTGAGCTCCTTCTCATTTTCGGTGATCTTTGTGCGTAGGCCCTTGATGACAGTCCTCAGCTTTTGTTCTGTACTCATGAGATTCTTGCCCTCTTCCATAAGCAAAGCTATCTGCTGGTCTTTCTCCGCGAGCTTCTTCTCCACACTACCAGCCGGGGCCGCTTGGGCCTCCTTTCTCGCAGACTCAGTCGTCTCCCGTGACAGGTATTGTAGTTTAGACTGCAAAGCATCTATTTGTTCAACGTAGGCGTGTGTTTCTTCCTGATACTGTAATTGGGCAGCTTCAAGTGCCGCCTCTAGCTGTTTGATGCGATCTTCTTGTAGGCCAGCAACAGGAACAGATACTGCTTCTTTAGTAATTGAATCCGAGGCAGCACTGTCGCTACCCTCAGGCGGCGCGTTTGGAGTGGCAACAATAGGAGAAGCTATTGAGTCTGCAGGGGCTTCTGAAACTCCTGCATCTTCCGCCGGCTTGTCTCCTTCGACTTCGACAGATTCTCTGGCAGAGGGGACATCCTCAGATAGCCGCACTGGGATGTCTTGCGACACTCGTGGCGATTCTGTAGATTTGACAGCTAGGCTTGTGGCATCTGTGACTTCAGACGATGGCCGGCTAATAGCATCTAGACTCGGGCGAGGGCTTGTCGTCGGCGTGAGTTTGGATGGTGATTCAGGGGGTTTCTGGCCAGCTTGCTTGGCTGCGACGGCTCTTGCGAGTCTTTCTTGCAATCGGTCATTCGTTCTGTTTCGGGAATCGGATCTTGGCGGACCTGAGTGAATAGCCTATTAGCTATCGAAGGTGCGCAAAACATTCGGGAATACGAACCGGAGCCTGCTTTTGACGACTGCGCAGGAGCTGGACCTGTCGGGCTTGGAGTTGGCTTCGAGCCGGGCTTGTTAGGCTCTTCCTCGGCCAAGATCGTGTCAAGCCGGGCTTCCACTCCGGCGACGGCCTGCGACAGGAAATTGCCCCATCTCGACTTGTTTCCTTGCGCCGCCATGGCTCTCAGACTAGCAGGTTATCAGATGGCGTGGCCATCCAGTTGCGGGAGAGGTTGTAACGAGCGACGGCAGCCTTGCGTGGCCGGGATGGCTTATAAGGTTTGCATCTGGCCGAGATGTGGTGGAAGTGTCGTCGCGTCGTCTCGGGAAGCTGGTGTGAGCAATTATAAGAGTCAGGAGCAGTGACACAGCCGCTTGCTGCTCAAGTGAGACGGGGAGCTGCCGAGACGTGTCTTTCTTCAGGTTGCGGTTCACTGCAGCACGGCCCCCTGGTGTTGAGCGAGTGTTGTAATAACGTACGTGTAAGGACTGTGATCTTGGTAAGTATTTCCAGCTCGGCTACAATTGACCCCCGTATTACGTTGCCTGAGCCTTCGGGGGTGTTGCGACAGAGCGCCTCACTGTGGCGCATGAGATGCACGGACGCAACACCACCTGGCAAGCCTGGGAGCCTGGGCACACCCTCCCAGGGTTTAGCGGTTTGTTGCGCCGTCTTTGGCCTAGGATCTTCCCATGGTGCCCCGCAAGTCGTCACCGTTTACTAAGCGCCACATCCGTGGTTCCAGTGCCGTCCTATCCATTACAGAGCCTCTTCACTCTCGTCAAAGGTGAGTCTTTAAGCAGTCCCGGAAGCTGTTTGAAGACCATAGGAATTATGCCATCTATGTGTGTACCTAGTGTTGGAGGCTGGAGATTCGAGCTGACTATCAATTGAGCCTGTGGGCCGATGTACAAGGGCTAGAAATATGTTGACAATGGAGTGTACTACTTGCTTTTCACATGTCCGGACATTCCAAGAAATGCCCGGGAACACCGGAGGCCGGCAGCAAATGTGACGATACTATTTAGTAAACCTCCACCACCCTCTTGCTATTTGAAGACTGACATCTTGGCTGCACGCCTCTTGCTGAAGATCCTGGCGGAAGCTAATGCGTCCACGGGACTTCTGCAGCTAAAGAAACAGCTCCGGTGTCGTGACGTACCACCCAATCGCCGCCGCATCTTGCCTACCGTGGTCTGTCTTTGACCGTGCCTCGGGAAGGGAATCCAATCTGGCTAGCCACCCAGGCTCTCCACTAACCTTGCCACACGTTTATATCCCACGATAATCCCTCGAAATCCTGCTCCTGCTCGGATGCGGCTCAAGAAACTTCAAGACCTCGTGCAGCTTGAGCGGGGCTATCTGGGGCATCACTTACGTACGCCAAACAAACCTGCACAAAGATCTTGAACTGACGCATTGTCCAGATATTCACTTCATCATATCAAGTCATTGGTGAACAGGCTCTTCAAGCATGTCGTCGCCATTTCAAATACCCTATCGGGAGGCCCGTGATGGCATTTGGGGCGAGCAAACCTCCACTTTGAACTGGTGTGAAGAGGTGAGAAGAGCCTCCCTATAACTCATCGTGGGCTCAAGGATTGCTGACACGGACAGGACTATAACATCACGCCGTATTGTGCCGAGCTTGTCAACACATTGACGAACTTGATCTTCATGTATCTCGGCTTCAAGGGTATTCGGAATTGCATCTTGTACGGACATCCACCAGTCTTCATTGTTGCGTACATAGGGTATTTGTTCGTTGGCTTCGGCTCCATGGCTTTTCACTCTACCCTGAAATGTGCGTGAGATACCCATTTTGCATCATTGGCCAGGTCAATTGACATTCCAAATAGATTCTATGCAACTTGCCGACGAGTTGCCCATGATATACACAACCTATATCATGACCTTTGCCACCTTTTCGTACTCAAAGTCTCCGCGATTCGCCTTTCTGGTTGGCCTAGGCTTGTTCTCCCTGGCGCTGTTCATTACTGTGAGTACCTTCAACTCTTGACTCTGCGCAATCCTGGTGTTCTTAGCCCTCCAATAGAGCGCCTGCTAACCGGCGGAAGGCTTACTACCACTTGTCGAAGAACCCTGTGTTCCACCAGGTGGCTTTTGCTAGCACGACCGCCGCTACGGTGTTTCGCGGAATGTACATTATGGAAGCACAGCTTCGGCCAGCTATTCGGAAGCGAAGCCAAGACACGGCGCACGCGGATAAGTTGATGAAGCAGATGTGGATGTTGGCAGCGACTGGTGAGCGAACCACCTACTATTCGTTATGAGATTGGGCCAGTCTCAGAATTGCTGATTTTGTATACCTATAGGAATCTCGGCATTTCTCATAGGCTTTGGCATCTGGAACTTGGACAACATCTACTGCCACCACCTACGAAGAATGCGAGACTATATCATGCTTCCGTGGGCAATCGTGCTAGAAGGCCATGGGTGGTGGCATCTGTTCACCGGCCTAGGCGGTATGTCTTAGCCAGTATCCTACAGTATCGCTTCATATCGTGATTAAGCTAACATCTTTATTTTTTTATTAGCATATTACTTCATCGTGTGGAGGATATGGCTGGAGAAGTGCCTTGATGGCAGCGAGCATGACTTCACACTGGTCTGGCCGTCCCCACTCACGTCAGTACCGGAGGTTGTTCCCGTTGAGGCAACATCTTCGAGTAATGGCGTCAAGTCTCCCACCAAGAAAGTTCAATGATGCGCCAAAGGGTCACTCGATAGCATGAGTAGAGGAGACGGCCTGGTCAATACTTTGTAAGATCTGGGAAGCAATGGAGATATTCCCCCCCCCATATGTAGAGCATATTACTGAAAAGGCTGGAAGGCGCATAGAATATTATGTACAAGCATATGTTTCGTCTAAATAATGTAAATCTAGAGGAGTTAAATACGTAATATGTTTTCTTCCAAGTACAAGTGAAGCGGGAACATGAGAATGCCTCAAGAGACTTTGGTCGCACTGTAGAGCTATGTAGATAAATTGAGCCCTCAAAAGCCTTGCACGTGAAGACACACGTGCAAAATAATATAGACTTGATCAATGACCGCCAAGGATATCATATGAATGATTATTGGACTCTAAAGAGTTAAATTTGGTGTAAGAAATGGTGCTGTTCAACTATCTTATTCGCTGTGGCGCTGCTACCGGGGAAGTTACACTGTGTGTGGAGCATCTTCTGCCAGTGGCATCGATAGCGTTTTGTAGCGGGAGGACGACTTCATCCGTCAACTCTCATCATCAATCAGGCAGCGACATCAGGCCTTATACCGTCTCGTCGCCAACACGAAAACATCAACTGTTGTTTTAAGGGGATAATAGATCTACCGCACCCGCAGAGATGTCGATATCAAATGAGGCGCTGCAAAAGGTATCGAATCCCCTTCTCTCACACCCAGTCGCCACAAGAAGAGTTACTCACACAACCACAGCTGGTGAGGGAGATCGAGACACAAGCGATTCAGGCACAGCAGCAGATTAGTCTCGTCCGAACACAGCTGGGCTCCAAGCAGCGGGAGATGCGCCTGGCACAGCTGACCAAGAGCGAGTTGTCGTCTCTACCCCCTGAGACGCCAATCTACGAGGGTGTCGGTAAGATGTGAGTTGAAACATAGCGCGCGCTTCCCACGAATGAAATTCGAGCAAGGGGCTAAACCCAGCGTCTAGGTTTGTGTCGGTACCTGCGCCGGCCATGAAAGACAAGCTGGATTCACAGATGAAGGAGATTGAGACGGACGTGGAAGGTCTCGGGAAGAAGCTGCACTACCTGGAGACGACGGCAAAGAACAGCCAGAACCACATCGAGGCCATGCTTAGGCGCGGCGGTGATGCCAGCTGATCAAGTTCCTCTCCTCGACGACGGGTTTGCACTCGGTCAAAAATGGCAGGCTTCGCCAGCGTAGTATGGATCGGGCCGCATAAACGTGCCAGTGAAGCGAAAGCCAACGAAGGTGATCAACAGTATCACACCTACGGCGCAGCACATACTTTGCCGTCTTGAAACGCGTATTGCGTTTCTTGGAACACACACTCTCGATCCTACGAGCAGCTCGGCAGGGATTTACAAATGTAGGATGGTATCAAGCGTCATATCAACGACTGTTAATTTCATCAACGAAGGCCAAATGCGCCTGACATTACCTACATACCAAGACCTAAGTCGCTCTTCCTAATGTGACAACCGGCCGCATGCTCCTACAGTAAAGCGGCCTCTATAGTGGGCCGGGATGGTTTCGTTTGCCGCCGGAACCAACCTTAACCAGCGGCTATTACGCCGTTGAGGCGCTGGGTCTTACTACCTAAGGTATGAACGATGTAAGAGCCTCAGCAATCCTGCGGCAAGTGGAACGCTTCGCCTGATCGTATCTACACAGCATTTGACTTGGAACGGCGTTGAGTGGACGACCTTCTCCCTTCACAAGCGTTCGAACTCGTGGAATATTACCTGCTGCTGCCCAATGCAGCTAACCTTGTCTAATGCAGCAATGGTGTGCGGCACGCACGTCTCTGCGAAGTCGCTTCGGACAGGCCGCGCCAGCCAACCCCGCTACGTTTACAATCAGCCCTACCCACCCACCATTACCAGCGCACCAGCAGCGAGCACCGACTGCAACCTCATGGAGGGGCAGTCTCTCCCAGCGAATAACGCGATATGCCCCTCGAAGGAGAGGGCATTGCTCCCAATGATTTACTTCACTCTCCTGATGCTCGTGCCAGACAGCCAGCCTCAAGCCGGCCCAGAATGAAAGCCTCCCCCCTCTTCCCGGCCTGGTCCAATACCATGGGCCCTAGGGAGCAGCCGGGTGGCTGTGGGCAAGGGGCTTCCTAGTTCGATCGGTTTCTAATTATGATCGGTGGGACACACTGGGAACGAAGGATCTCAGCTGGCTTTCAGCCCCTCCCTCCCCTCCAGCATTTTCCCTCGGCCTCTGAATGGAGAATGGGAAGTCAATGCCCGGGCATCCCATGTTGGCCCTTCTCCGTTGTACCTCGTTGCGTGCTTTGCTGCCGTATTTTGGCCCCCAACCTCCAATCACTCCCCTTTGCAATCTTAGCATCATGCCGTTTGTCAGCTTCTTGCTCCACCGACAGCAGCCACACGGCTCGAGGAGCATGTTGTCTCTGGCCTCTCTGGGCGGGAGAGAAGACCTCTTGAGCCGGTACCGACTGGGCCAGTCTCTGCGTGGCCGCTCGTCGTGCTTCATACACTGTACCAGTAGTGTAGTACCTCGTCTCTGCTTCCCCTCCTGGTCGAATAGGACATCGGACATCCCTGCTCCCCATCTATCATCTCTCGCGCACCCTACCCAAGCAGTGCTAAGCCGGCACCCCAGTGGCACATGCCGCATTAACCTACCTACCATGCACTACTCTCGCAGGAGGTGGTTGGGTGTCAGAAAGTGACTTGCGGCTTAGTACATTGTATGACAGTACCAATACCCCTTCGGACCTCATTGCTCGACTGGGTAGCGGTGGGACGGCTTGGGTGCTCTGCTCTGCTTCTGCTCTGACCGCCGCCCACAAGCTCAGTCCAGCCGAATAAATGGGCGGGCACACCCACCCCCGCTCCCCCTCGCTGACATGCGCTTCTGACTTTTGGGAAACGCCTTCTTATCGGTCAGCGGACTACCTGACAACCACTGTGCTTTGTCTGGTGATTCATTTACACGCTTCAGAGGGGACATCAAAGTCAGTCGAGAGAGCGAGACAGGGTTCAGCCTCCGAGACAGAGCGAGCTCTTGTCTGAGATCCAGCAACACCACGAGTCACCAACCCTTAACTACTCTCCCATCGTTGCCAACATGAGCAGCTACTACTCCTCGGACGACGAGGTGGACGTGCGCATACGCCACCGCCGTGAGCCGTCGCCGTCGCCCGTCCACTACGTCCAAGCGGTCCGCCCGCCCCGGCCGCGCAGCTACTATGCCACCGGCCCCAGCTACCTGATGCCCGAGCAGACCATGGTGACGACCCGGACCCGGTCACGCTCCCGCGAGCGCCGCTCGAGCCCGCCCCACGCCGTGGCGGCGCCTCCGCCGGCCCCCGTCATCATCAACAACCGCATCTACAACGAGCACTCGTCCGACGAGGAGGACGGCGGCCGGCTCGTCCTGCGCGGCCGCTCCCACTCCAAGGTCCGCTCCCGCGCCGGCTCCAGCGACTACATGACCCGCGAGGACTATGAGCTCGAGCGCACCCGCCGGGAGCTGGAGGAGCTCAAGCTCAAGCAGCGCAGCGCCCACAACGACAGCGAGGTCTACGAGCTGAAGCGCGCCCGGCGCGAGCTGGAGGAGCTGCGCGCGCAGCAGGAGCGGGACCGCGAGTCGCGGCGCACCGCCAAGGAGTACCGCGAGGAGGCCGAGCTCAAGGCCGCCAAGCGCGAGCTGGACGAGATCAAGCGCAAGGAGGAGCTGGAGGCCGAGGAGAAGCGCATCAAGAAGGAGATGGAGCTGAAGCGGCTCGAGGAGGAGCGGCGCGCGCACGAGGAGAAGAAGCGCCGCGAGAAGGAAGCCGAGGAGGCCGTCGAGCGATATAAGCAGAAGGAGGCCGAGCGCCGCGAGAAGGAGAAGAAGGAGAAGGAGCAGGCCGAGAAGGAGTACCAGCGTCGCCTCCAGGAGGATCTGATCCACGCTGGTGTCGACGAGAAGGACATTGCGGCTATCATCAAGAAGGAGAAGGTCAAGGCCGAAAAGCAAATTGCCGAGCGGCCAACATATACCCGCATGGCAAGAAGGCACCTCTCCATTGAGACCCTGCGAGTCTACGGCATTGATTTTGACTATGATACGGTAAGTCGAGCCGATGTGTCAGTAGGAGAGCATGAAACTGACTTTATCCAGGATCCAAACTATGTCCTGATCAAGCGCTGGGTCCCTGAAGCTGAGCAGGACGTTCTGTGGAAGCATACCAGGGTCATCCGAGAGAAGAGAGACTCCAAGCTGCTGCTGACGATTGAAGACAAGCCGAAGCACCACCACGGCGGCGACTCCAATTTCGAATGGGTCAGAAAGAAGGAGCGCAGGCGAAGCAAGTCTCCTGGCCTGTTGATGTACCTGGCTGGCGCCAAATAAGCAGAAAGTTACATGCAGCTTGGAAACTCACCACTCTTCAGTTTTCCAATTAGGGGTAGGACCGCCCTTTGGGGCCTTAGAAGTTGGATCTCTCTTAAGAAGATACGCCGAAGTGAAGGATTGGAAAACTGCGCGGGAGGAACAGGTGTGGGGAAGAATGAGAAACAGGAAACGAGCCATGACAATCGATGATGATGTGAATTAGGATTGGGTCTTTTTTTGAGCCGAGATTCCCTTCCAAAGCTCAACATTAGGTATAAAGCTGCTTCGCCCCTTTTGTTAAGACAATTCAAGTTATAGTACACGTTCGCCCCTCTTGGCGGTAGAGCTCCAGGTGATTTCGGCGCGCCGTATCAGCTCCTCGTAGACCGTCCACGCGAGCGCCGAGCTGAGTGCCTTGCGGCTCATTCTCAGCGCCAGTCCATCAAACAGCGAGCGCACGCCTTCTTCTGTGACCATCCTGCGCGCGGCGACGAGCGAGTTGCGGTAGACGCCCGGCTGGAGCTGTATCCGCGTCTTGACCGCGTCGAAGGGGTTCGATATCGCTGAGCATGCGGCCGCCGAGACGACGCCCGACGTGAAATTGATCGTGGCGGCCGTCGACACGCCCATGCGCCCATGCGCTCCTCCGTCCTCTGCTTGGGGTGTTCCGTACAGCGCGCTGAGCCTCTTCTTTGACTGCTCGTAGAACAGAACATATAGACCTGCGTATGGCGCGTCACGAATCGCCGTTGCTCCAAATCCGGAAAAGAATCCGCGTAGGCCCTCTGTCGCCCTTATGTCCCGCGCTGCGCCGGCAATAGAGTTGTAAGAGTAGAGGTTCGACTCGTATCGCACCTTGATGATCGTCAGGGGCATGAGGATGAAGCCCGCAAACGTCCGCGCTACAGCGCCAGCTAGCAGATTGCCCGTGTTGGAGAGCTTGACTAGCGACGACGAATGGCCGCTGCCTGCCGTCCCTACCTGGGGCACATCAGCGGCGAGGATAGGGATCCGGCTAACATTATTGCGGATCGCATTCAGACTGGTGAAGTATATTGCGGACCCGAAACCGGTGCGTAGGGCAGAAGGTACGGCGCCACGCCACAGCGCCGGTATGAGCCGTGGGGATTGTCGGATCTCGCGGAGCGCAATCGTCAGGCTGTGGTGGCCGGACTGCTGGACGCGGGTCTTGAGGAGGTCGATGGGTTGCAGAAGCACTGCTGAAAAGAGACCGGAGCCGAGGCCTGCGACGAAGTGGAATGCTGTGTCGGATACATTAGCTGCCGTATTGATTTTATGTCAACGCTATAGGGGAGGTGCTGACATACTCGACTTGGAAACGGCTTTGCGAGAACCATCGGTCATTTCGTGGACTTTTGCGATGAGGAGGACCTATGGCCCGTAGCTAGGTGCAGCACGGGGAGTTGGTTTGGCTGGCAAGCATCAGAAGGAATGTTCTCCGGAACCGACCTCTCATAATTGAGGCTGTACTTGCTTTTTTCAATTGGGTTCGTCGTCTTGAGCCATGAGTCAAAGTAGATTCGGCGGACCGGCCGGGCGACTATGAGGTTGAGGGCGGAATGTGAAGTTTTGGGCTTTGACGGATGATGACGGCATTAGCTCTTGTCCCCTAGCTTCGAGTCACAGGGGTCAGTTTGGCAGCCACAATGGACACGCCGGGAGCACCCGAGTCATCAAATATACCTCCACCAAGACCGCAAGGGTTTTAATACTTATTAGTATTCGTAGTAGCTTTAAGATGGAATTATTTCCAGGAAGTGAATCTCTCTTTGAAACTTAATGCTTATAAGTCTGTGACTTGTTAAGGTGAAGAGAAACTCCAGTGTAATTGTATGTAGATTCCCGGTCACGCAAGACACCAGGGTATATGTAATGTAAGAAGCTGAAATCAGAATGCGGATTATCTCCTTTGGGCAGATCGTAAATGATGTCTATTTGACGGCTTTCTCCTTATGGTCGCCTACTATAGACTCCAAACGCCCTGCTAGAAGCTTATGTCTCTTCACAACCTCGACCCATTCCTCCTCGGCTTCGCTGCCAATATCAAGGCCACCTAAGAGTAAGCCAAAGTCCCCTCCTAAACGGCCAAGAGACCCTGCACAATACAGGACCTGCGTCAAAAGGCTGTCTCTTGAAGCCTGGTCTTTGACAGTAGGCAGGTATAGCCGTAAGGTCTCGAGAAGCATATCCACCAAATAGAGCGGAAAGGTTGAGAGGGCTGACGGCAGCGGTTCCAGAGGGTCTTTGGCGGTTGATGCATGATCTGGCTGAGCCGTCGCAGGGAAGATGCTCCTGAACATGGACACAATCGCGAAGCTCTGCTCTCGGAATATCTCAATGTACCGCTTGAGATACCTCTCCGTCTGCTGCCCTCCAGACCAGGCGTTCCCACTTCCCAAGGACTTTTGACGCGCCTTCTCCTGGTCGGCCAGGTCCCGCAGAGGTTCTAACGCGTTGAGAAGATTAACTAGAGTCGCTAATCTGCAAACAAGGAATAGAGCCCCCAAAACCCTCTCTTGAGTACCATGACCGTGGGTAGTAGAGCCTGCAGTTTCCAAGTCCGGCAGTACTCTGCGCAGCCAGCTGATGGTCCGCAGGGAGGCGGCGAGCTTTAGATTAGGAGCCTTTAGAGATAGAATAAGATTCGCCGCCATGGTGCGCATGGCTTCATCTGCCTGAGAAGATATCGATGTGACAAGCGGCGACTTTGGGTATAGTGAATGCAACCGCCGAATGTGGCCATTCAGATCCAGGGCGGAAGAGTAGTTGACCGGCGCTGTCGAGATGGCCGAGTTCAACAATGTCGGTAGCTCCAGAACGTCCACTAGACGCTCAACATTCCTGGATAGGAGGAGGGCCTTCTTTCTCCTTGCTAGGACATCATTCTCGGCGTTTTTGTTGTATGTCGTTGAGAAGCGGACGGCCTCATTGTCCAGCTTCGGGATTGCATTCCGTAGATCTGCAGTACTTGCTGCCAATGCCGGTAGGGTTGTATGTAGTGAAGAGTGATGTGAGGCAGATTCAATGATCGGCTTGTGAGACTTTTTGGAGAGAGACTGGAGAGAGATGAAGAGCGAGTGTGAGGATTGAGATAGAGCCTGCGGCTCAGTAGCCTCAAGTGCAGAGAGAGGCTGAGAGGCTAGCTTGGTCAAATAATCCAGCGAGCTCTGGTCTGGTGCTCCTTGAGCGAGATCTGCCCCGGCTGGCTGTGACCTGAGAAGGTCGTATAGCAAGTCTGCCATCTTGTGGGCTTGTCCTTCATCGCCGACCCCCTGAAGGGGAGTGAGATTCCCGTGTCCACGTGTCCGCGCCTCCGAGATGTTCAGGTAGCAGGCCGCATCACATGCCCTGAATGTCTGTCCAAGCCAACATGCCCGGGATTTAGTATAGCTGTCGTCTTACAGTCACCCTTTTGTAAGTTCGTTGCATGTCTCCTCTGTTGATATGAGTGTCGGCGTCGGGATATTTGAGCTCCAGCAGATAATTGATGTATGGCAGCGGTACAGAGCCCCACGAAGGCGGTACGGAGGTACAACGAGGAGCAAGAGGGCGCTAGAGCTAAGAAGTATTAGTGAGCCCCCCGCCAACTGCATCATCGCAGATCGTTTGCAGGTAGTCCAGGTGTAGGTAAGTTACCTAGTCTCGCTAGTGATACAGGCACGAGGGGGTGGGTAACGTTATTGTCCCAACAAAACCAGGGTCCAGTACACTTGGATTCGCTGCCTCGAAATGCCCTCCAGGTGACGACGGCACAGGACGGCTACCCGCCTAGGCTTGTCTCTCTTTGTCCTGGCTCAAGACTAGGCTTGCCTCCGTCTAGAACATACATCCTCCCACTTAACAGCTGAGCATTGCAGCCTCCCCGTCGTGAGCATCTTCACAACTCCCTGCCGTCGATTTCCCGGGGTCGCGTGCAAGTCCCAACGGATCTGGCTCCGAGTCTTCTGCCTCGGCGCATGCTTCTTAGGGCTGATACCGACTCCTCCACAGTTATTTAAGCCCTATCACCGCCCGGAGCCCGAGCTGACGCCTTGCCGGTAGCCTCCTCCTCGAGCTACAAGCTGAACGAGGACCGTCTCTTCACATTCCTGAGCTCTGTGAGGTCTCAAAGCTGCCAGGCACAAACCACAACTATGCGGGATCCTTTCTCCTTTCTTCAGATTCCGGCCCTGCGCCAGGCTGTCCAGCCCTACGCCGACAAGTACCATCTGCCTGTGCTGCCCCTCCACGTACACGAGGCCCTGGCTGCGGCACTCTTCTATACCTTCATCCACCTCGTCGTCTCGCCATGGATCTCCAAGAAGTACTTCGCCGCGTACTATCCCAAGTCCAGGGGAAAGAAGGCAAACTGGGACGCACACGTCGTGTCTTTGGTCCAGAGCACCCTGATCAACATCATTGCGCTGGGCTACATCTTCGCCGACCAGGAGCGGAAGAGCATGAACTGGATGGAAAGGATATGGGGTTACACGGGCGCCTCAGGATTTGTGCAATCTATGGCTGTGGGGTATTTCCTCTGGGACCTCATCACCACCCTGATCTTCATCGATGTCTTTGGCCTGGGTGTACTCGCCCATGCCGTGAGCGCCTTGACGGTGTACTCTTTTGGATATGTTCGTTTCCCCCTGGCTTTCCCTGACTGGACGTAACTAACTCTTGCCAGCGGCCGTTCCTTAACTACTACGGCAACATCTTCATCCTCTACGAGCTGTCCACACCGTTTCTCAACATCCACTGGTTCTTTGACAAGCTGAACATGACAGGTTCCAAGGCACAGCTCTACAATGGCATCACCCTGCTCTTCACCTTCTTCTCCTGCCGTCTCGTATTCGGCACCTACCAGTCAGCCTGGGTGTACTACGACATGTGGAGGGCCATGTACACCGCCCCGATCACCGAGTATACCTCGTTCACGCCGGCAGATGAGAAGCTTCCGGGCACGGAGGATATCATGGTCTTCTCCAAGGATGCCGATACGCTGCCCTTCTGGCTTGTGGCGACCTATGTCGGCAGCAACATCGTCCTCAACGGCCTGAACTGGCACTGGTTCTTCAAGATGATCAAGGCTGTGCGCAAGCGATTCGAGCCAGCGCAGGAGGATGGCAAGGAGAAGGTTGCTGTGAAGGGTGCTGCTACGACCGGCGCCCAGCTTCAGGAGAAGATCGAGGAGCTGCGCAGACGGAGGCTCTCTGTCACCGATATCGAGATTGACGATGATCTCGGAGAGATCGCGTGAACATGGCCGGCTGGGCGTGTCGATTTGGGCTGGTATCACACGAACAGGGGGGCCTTCTTTTGGGTACAGTGAATTACGCATATCGCATTGGGTTTGACAAGCATTTGCAAGACATTGGCGTCGGGGCTAGGTAGGGGCAGTTGCAGTTGGACTCAGCATTCGTTCTGCTAGCCGCTAATATACGCACTCATGGTGCATTTATCCGGGACCTTTTCGTGCAATGAAGCATCGCCCTGATACATCCATCTGCTCTGCAGACCCAAGAGAACCGCGGCGCCGTTGCTTGCGTCTTTCTATCCAGCAGAGTATACCATCCAACCCATGAACCCGAAACGCCTGTGTCGAGGGCGTCGTGGGCGAAGTCGCCGCGCGCCTGAAGCCCGGCATCGCCTCCCTTAAAACCCCCGGAGCCTTGACAAGATACCAACTATAAACATGTCCCGGCCTAGTTCTTCTTGGTCAGACCGCCAAGTAGACCAGCGAGGTTGGCGAGTCCGCCACTGTTCGCTTGTCCATCGGCGGCAGCAGCATCACCGCCGCCTGTCACGCCGCTCAAGATGCCAGACAGCGCGTCTGTGACGCCACCGGCGGCACCGTTCGCGGCATCACCCGCCCCGCCGAGGAGGCCGAGGAGCTGGTCGAGTCCGCCGCCCGAAGCATCGGCATTGTTCCCGGCACCGCCGAGAAGCCCGCCGAGGAGGTCGCTGAGGCCGCCCGCGCTGTTTGAAGCGTCACCAGTAGCGTCTGCGCCGGCAGTAGAGCTGTACGAGATGCCGATCAGCATTCGGGTCTGGGATTGTGGAAGGCTCAGGTCTGTTGTTGTTATTGTTGTGACTTACTTTGAAACAGCAGCATCCGTGGCATTAGCAGAACGAATGGTCTTGAACGTGTTGCCCCGGCGAGGAGTGACGGTCCTGCCAGTCGGGGCGGCCACGACGGAAGCGACCAGCGCGGAGACGAGAAGAGACTTGATATACATATTTGAAGTGAAGAGAGGGAAATGTCAAATCAAAGAATGTTTTCTGAAAGGAGGGACTGGCCACGAGAACAGAGAAGGAATGAAAGAAATTAAGGTCACCGGCTGGCGGAGAGGTCTCAATGGAAGGCTAGATAGATGCTGAACTTCCTCCTACTTCGACGCCAATCTAGAGACTGGAACAGACTTATATCCCATCTACTACTCTTGGCTCCACGTACGCACGTCTCGCCATGGCTGGCAGATATGAAGTCCTATGACAAGAGACGGAAAGCATCCGACCAGGGGCTACAGAGGTGATTGACTGATTGACATCCCTCGAATGATCAGATGTATGGGTGGTTCATGCCCGCCGAGCATAGTTGCTGTCCATTCTCGACTACCGAGCATCACTCTGGTCCACTCGGACAAGAAGTCTCCTGTTAGAGGAATGGTGGCAGTGTGTCGATTTGGCGACGCATCCCACGCTGGGGACAGGGCGCTTCTCTGGTTGCGAACTGGCAATGCCGTATGATCGGAGCCTGGGCAAACGATCGGCAACATAGCGAGTCCCAAGTCCTGCGACACCGATCGGCGAGGGCTGGCGACGAGCCGGGAAAGCACGTCAATGTCCTAAAAAGTAGAGACAACCTGAATGATGGCCAATGAGAGTACCTTGTGAGACGGTGAGGCTGTGCTGTTTGGAGAGAAGGTTTGGAACCGTTTAACAACACCACTGAAACAGGCCTGCCCTTTTTCTTGCGCTGGGACTCTTGGCTACAACCTAAGGGTACAGTAACCTTGAGCGTTTGATATATTCAATGACAAATAAATGTTTTTGAGAATTAAAGACAGGTTCCTCCATGTATCCAGAGATGTAATCGATTGCTCAAAATTTTCAAGTCTCATGTAATTTGATGTGTTGTGCACTCAACAACGTCTCACCCTATCAATAATATCAAGACCAGCAATCTCGAAATAATAGGCAATGCCCTAAGATTTCCTGATTTCTTGTAGATCACATCTATCCCGCAAACAATCGACGCAAGAGCGTGCCAAGCAATTCTGAAGATCGGCAGGAGAGTGATGTTCGAGTTGTCTCGGCGAGGTTGCGGTATGGCCAGAGCCTCCAGTTTTATGAAACGCAGCAGGCAACATCTCGCGACCCCGGTTGTAGAGTTACATTGGACGACCCTGAAAACCGAGCGGACGATCCATATATTTCCAGAATAACAGTAAGTGAATATACAAAACTAGTATTAAGTGCACGCATTTGGATACAGTGCAGAGCAATGCTACAATGCAGTCCAGCTCGCTGCATATGTACTGATAGGCTAATCTATGATAATGCTTCAAATGTGGCCGCGAGTATGAACGGTGCCAATCCAAAAAGCTGTGTGTAGATAGAAGACAGCCTGCGTTCAAGGCATGACTTAACTGGAAGCTCATCGGATCCTCTTCGTTGCTTCTATCATCTCATCGTAACACCTTATGCGCTTTAGGTTGACATCCTGCCACCCAGAACGCCGCGGATATCGACAAATCCTCGTGCTCAAATGTTCGCCGAGAGCAATCATTGATCTCGCACGCTATGCACTCACGTATCAACTGTAAAAGGCATGGGTTCAGTATGAAGGAAGAAAATGCCACTTCTCCACCCATCCACAATCAACTACAACTCCACAACTACGACCACTGAAACCGGATCCGAAGAGCTTAAAAGCCAAAGGGATTTTGCGGCGCTAGAACTTCATTAGCAGGGAAGGAGAATTTATCTCAGGGACTTTGTGTACTTACTCGCAGCAGAGAGATTTGCCCTTCGTCCCGTGGCCTGAGGCATGATCTTCTTGGCCTCCGGTTGCACTCCAAACCGAACTGGTGGTGCGGGTCCTGTCTTTTGTGGTTGCAGAGGTGCCATCGGAGGTGGTTGCTGCTGCTGAGGCATTCCAGCATTACCGAATCCTTGGGCAAAGCCACCCATACCAGTAGGTTGGGGCTGCATTTGCTGCGGCTGCATAGGAGGCATACCAGTGCGCTGCGGCTCTAATGCTGGCGGGAGGTAAGAGTTGACGCCGCCTGGAGCGGCACCACCGAACTGTCCAAACTGGCCTGGGAACCCAGTAGGTTGAGCTTGAACCGGAGAGAACTGCATCGGTCTGCTCGGATCTGCAAAAGGGCTTTGCATCTGCTGGCCGTTCATCATCGGCTGCATATACTGGTTGGGAAAGCCTGTAGGTTGTGGTTGCATGGCAGGCATGCCGGTCTGCATCGGGAACATCCCTGGCCCTGTCTGCTGAGGGAACCCCATAGGTGCTTGCATTTGCTGTTGCTGCATTTGTTGAGCATACTGCTGCTGAAGTCGCATCTGGTTGATCTCATTCAAGCTTTGACCTGGAGGCGCCACCTGCCCGGTCATCTGTGGCTGTAATGGTGGAGGAGCAAATCCACTGGGCTGGGCAGATTGTGGTGCAGAGAATGGACGCGCAGGCGGAGGTGGCATCAATGCACCTTGCCCTTGAGTGACCTGAGGTGGAATAGGCCTTTGTCGTTGTCCAAGACCCAGGTTCAGTGGTTGAGCGCTAGGCATTCCGGTCTGCTGCTGTGCGAGAGCCGTGAAGAATCCAGGAGTGGCGCCGGTGGGCTGTGGTTGTTGAGTCGGAGCTTGAGGCGGCGGTTGTGTTATTGCTGGCGTAATCGGAGCAGGCGGGCTTGCAGTAGCCGTCTTTGCAGGCTCGAGAGGTTGAGTGAGCAGTGAAAGCTCTTGCATGCCGGGTGTCAAGGCTGCCGCTGGCTTTGGCGCAGGTGCAGCAGCTGGTGCAGGCGGAGGAGTCGGCTGTGAAGCAACAGCAGGAGGTGGTGACTGGGCAGGGACTTGCTGCTTGGCTGGCTTGACGTCCCACGCATCATCGTCAAATCCGCTAGGTTTTCCAGTAGATACTGAGGTTGTGGTTGTAGCAGGAGTAAGAGGTGCCGGGGAAGATGTAGCCGTATCTGAATCCTTCTGCTGGGAAAACGCCTTTGCATCAACCACATCGCTGGCTTGCCGTGCCGGCTCGGGACGTCCTCTACGTGTGTTATTCCGTAGTGTTCCGCCGGGTCCTGAAAATAAACCACCTGCAGCGTCATCCCCTTCTTCGCCCTTCTTCTTAGTACGGGCGTACTTGTTGTCCAGGAAGCGCATCACTTTGATGATATCTCCTTCCCGTAGACCAAGGTTGCGAAGAACCGCAGCATCCACATCGGGCAGAACACTCTCATCCATGGAATCTCGTGAGAAAGCCTGAGCATATCTCTCACATAAACCGACGTTGACATCGCAGGAGAGGAAGAACTGGAACCAGTCATAATCAGGCTTTTTCGGTTCAACCGAGGCTCCAGCATGGCTCGAGGAACCAGACTCTCTGAGGGCCGCTTGCCTCTGCTTCTTTACTTCCGAAAGCGGCTTGTCCTCATCCAGGGAAATGCCGGTCATCCGCTCGACATACTCAAGATCCTCAACAGACATCTTTGCAACGGGTACCGCGATCTTCACTCCGTTCATCTTGTGCAGGTTGAGCTTGCCATCTTTCAGGCCCAAGAACTGAGCCTCTACGCTGAAGGACTTAGAGCGGTCTGTCCACGTCCGCACCTTTGAGGGATCCGGTTCTGAGCAGTGATTAGTATGCCGTCCTGTAGCACCAGGTTTCCACTTACTTGACTTGCTCGACCTCGACTGGCTGCCGCTTTCCGATCGACCGTTCTCGCGCTTCCGCTGTGATCCAGCATTATTATTATGTTCACGAGCAGACAAACTACTGCCTCTTTCAGGCAAACGCATTCCTGGCCCTACCTCTGATGCCCGTTTTTCGTCGTCTCTAAGAGCTGCCTTGAGGGCTTCCTTTGTCAGACGTTCCTCCTCGAGTCGATTCTGAGCGACCGTGGACTTTCCGGCGTTGATGCCCTGCGCGGAAGACGTAGTCGGCGTCGGGAGAGTGCCGGTGATCTCGACGTAGCTGCTCGGAACAACACCTTCCTTGCCGTTCTTGAGTCGCCGCACCATCCACCACTCGTCGCTCTTCGTATCGTCGAGCACGATGACCTCGTCGCCGATGGCTACCGTAACCTCGTCCTCCCCCTGCGCCATGAAATCGTACAACATTTGGCCCTTCTTTTGTGCACTCTGGCCTGTTCCTGCCATGATGACCTCCCTTAACCCTTCAGCTCGAGCAGCACCGGCAAGTTCACCAAGCGCACTGACGATCTCCTCTGCAGTATCCTTCGCGCCAGCATGGAAATCTACACTCTTGCTAGGCCGGACAAGCTCCAAAAAGACATGCTTTCCTTCTCGGGAGTAATGCGTCATCCTGTCAGCCGTCCACTCCTGCGACGGACCATCCTGGGCGCGCTCGGGGGCGATGAGAACGGTTCCTGTCTTCAAGTTGATGCCAAGAGTAGTGGGCATCTTCTTGCGCTTCCCCATCACAGATACCATCTCATTGATATTGTACATGTGGAAGCCCCCGGGCGCGAGTCCGGACGGCCGGCTCGGTGCCTCATAGTCATCGTAGGTATCTCGTCGAGCGGGCGGTGAGAAGTCGTCATGGCGGTCGTCGGAGAGCGTCGAATGAATGGTCGATGTGCGAGTGCGAGACGGCAAGGGAGGTGATTGAAGTTCCTCATCTGATGGCTCGGAGGTGTATTGCGGACGAGGCGGCAGATTCAGTGGCGGTGGTGGTGACGCAACTGATCGACCTGCGAGAACACCTGCGAGAGCCGCCGCGGGACCGGTTGCTGTAGGGCTGCTCGGTTCGGACGGAGGACCACGCGGTGGAAGAGGTGGAGTGGGAATGTCCTCTACCACAGGTGCAGCAGGTCTTGATGGTAGACTAGGTGGCGCTGGCGACGGGGCTGGCTCATCATCATCACCGCCGTCCCCAAGCTCTATGTAATTAGATGGTACGAAACCATAGTCGCCATCGAGTCCCACCAAGATCCAGTCAGGATCTGAAGTGTCGAACACCTCCAGCCTAGCGTCATCCGGGAAAGAGAGCTCTTCATCGGTTTGTCTTGTATACTCGTAGAGCGCGCGGGCATGACTGATAGGTTGTGCCTAACGAAATCGAAAATCAGATCCAGTGGGCAAGTTGGAGACTTGGCAAATACAAACTTACCTCTTCAATGTAATTGCTTGGTATCAGGCCGACGGGCTCGTCGTCATCATCACCGCCGGCTTTCTTCTTTGCCTTCCACCAGTCATCATCCTTGCTCTTCTCAAGGACATAGAGGAGATCTCCATCGTCTATCTTCAACTCGCCCTCGGCCTGGGGCTCGTAGTCATAGATGGCCTTGTAGACACCGATGAAGCCCATGGCAGCTAGCTATCGCGTGGATATCACGGGAACGGACGGCAGGACGAAGGATTAGGGCGGTAGGGCTGCAAGACACATGCACGTTGATGCGCAGCGAAGAGAGTGTGTTGGCAACGGGCGGGTAGACGTCGCGCGTGGCTGAGCGTGCCGGCTCCGCAAGGCAACGCCGAGTTGAAATCAATCGTGTGCAGCTGTGACGGAGCTGTTTACTTGAACGGCGATGGATCGGAGGCTCCGGCAAGGAAAGGTCGATTGCGAGCACCAGGTTGTGCAGCGATAAGTTGCTTCAATGGATGTGTGTTTGTGGAGGAGGATCTTCGGACATAATCCGCAACACCCAAGCTGAGCGAGGTTAATGCTTCAAAAATGCATGTAACGAAACTGGGCCAAGGTGAGTAAGGACGTCCAGGCACTAGATTACGAGTGCCTTGCACAAGAGCAACGAAGCATGGGAAGATGGCAGACTGACTGATACACCTGTGAGCAAAAGCTCTAAAGCTGCTTGCTACCTTGAAGAAAAGGTAGCCTTTCAGTGGGAACCTGGAAGAGCTCTGCAAGACAGCAGCTTCAGGATGAGGTAAGGTCGCAGTATGTATGCGGCTTCGCATGCTGTGCCCATCGCCGTTCCGGGCCTTGGTTTGGTCATGACCAAGCGTTAGGCTTATTAGTTTACGGCAACGCCAGGGGGTGTTCTCGTATTGCCCCGCTCGTGATATGACACGTGCATCGTCCATGGGGATAAGTGAAAAGGGGCTCACCTCCAGAGACTGGGGTACCTCTATTTTAGATCACATCCCTTCTCTCTAGGAATGGTATGTGTAAGTCTTGCATATTCTATCTGATATCTCGACTGATCGAGACAAAACAGCTTCATGTACACCACGTTCGTCTGAAAGCCCACATTTATCGCTTGCATTATCCTGTCTATCTTGACGCCTCTCCCTGGGGACACCAATCTTGATAAAGTTACCAAAAGCGTTATTTCATAGACACCAGTCGAGCCACTCTGTCTCATCATTATCCATAGCCTTTCCCATAGTTGATCCCACAAAGATCTAATGCATACCTACTGGTCATTACTCTCCATTCTCTTCCTTCGCACCACCCCGTTTCCCAGATCGGCTCGCATTCTCATCCGACTCGTGCATCGAGCCCTGCCTAATGCTGCCCGTCCTCTGCCGCCTACTAATGACCCCGGGGAAATACCTCGGCTCGCTGGCTGAGAGGTGGAGGTCGCGCATCGAGTCACTAGTCGTCAAGGGAGACGCCAGCATTGGCCCTCCCTGGAACACCTGCGATCCGGCGAGTGAGTTGGGGCCCATGTACGGGCTCGACGTGTCGACCTGCGACGACGACATGGCCTGCGAGAGCGAGGCGAAGCTCGGGTCCTTCTGGGCCTGGGCTATCGAGCCCGCGGCCGTGGCCGTCTTGAGAGAGAGCGCTGGGGATTTGGGGACGTGCGTCCCGCCTAGACTAGCTTCAGTTGCAGAGCCAGATACTTTGCCGTCTACTGATAGCCGTGTGTACATCTCGACCCTGTAATCTTGTCAGCAGGGTCCTTTGATTGAGGTAATGAATGACTTACATTCTCTGCTCCTCCAGCAGGGTGCGGTATCGGAACTCCTCTCTCCTATCCGGGACGTTCGTCTTGACCATGGTGTTGCCTTGTGCGCCGGGCATGTGATAATTGGGGCCGAGCCAGTGCTGCTTGATCGAGTGCTCGAACCCGCTCTGCTTGACAGAGTTCTTGGCCAGCTCGCACATGTCAACCGGACCGAGCTTGTAGATCTGCGCCGCGACAGCATACTCTTCTATGAGCGGCTCCTTCGTGAAGGCGAACTGCAGCGGATCATCTGTCGACAGCGAAACGTTCAGGCCCCGCTTGAAATACTGGTGGAACGGGTTCCGCTCGTAGGCTAGGAATAGCGCGTTGTTGCTGAGCGGAGACATGGCGACGCCGATCTGCTCGAGGTAGAAGATGTACTGAAGCAAAGGGACCTTTCGTAGCAGTAGACCATGGCTGATGCTGTGACAGCAGAGGACGGCAGCTGCAAGATGCTCACTATCACCTGCTTCGCCGCAGTGCGGGCGCAAGACGAATGTGTTGAAGCCACGCTGTTTCCGCCAGAAGTTCAGAGATACCATGTTTGAAAACAGGTAGTAAATCCAGTAACTGTATGGCGGATTCTGTTTCGACTCCCATTCCCTCGGAACTGGGAACTTCTTGGTAAAGCGGCGCTCCACCTTGCTTTCATCATCTACGCTGTCGAAACCAATGACCCGCTGGAGGAAGACATGCAGGTTGGGATGGCTACTCGGATCTCGGGTGACTTCAAATAGGGGCTGAAAGATGTTCTTGACAATCTGCTCAAAGGACTCCATCAGGTTGCTCGCCTTGTATACGTCATATAAACGAGGAATCTGGATGAGCCAGCGGACGTTGTGAGAGAAAAGCTTGTTGTCCACGACCCATGCCGCGAGCTTGTCCCACTCATCCAAGGATCGGCCATAGATTGAGATGCGCCATTCCACCATCTGATACTTACTCGACTCCAGATCAGCGATAACTTCCTTGGTGATCTCAGCCAAGTACCGGCCCTTGATGAGATTGTCTGTCTTGAGAAAGATTGTCCGTAGTCGTGATTCGCCAATGGGATTGTACTTCAGATTGAACTTGTCAAAACGATGAAAAGAGTCGGTGTGGGCCTAGTGACATTTAGTATTTCATCCGATGCTCAAGCGAGACTATCAGACTTACATGCATATCAAGAGTGTCGATACTGAGATCATATGCTGTCAAATTGATACTCTCAAACACCTCCGCTAGAGTGAGATGCTTATCATCTCTATACAGCACGACCTCGTTCGGGAACTTCTTCATTTTGCTCTTGATGAAACGCAAAAGATGCTTCTGGTTCATGCAAGCCGAGTGGTGAACGTGAGTATCGACTTTTCTGACATTGTAGAAGTCGCGATGTGGCACCTTCTTGCTGTCCGCGGTCTCCTGGTATTCGTTCAGGAGCACATATAGGTTGTACTTGCCCTCTAGGTATTGTAGACGACGATATGCAAAACTCTTGGAGGGTCCGTCGGATGAGACCGAGAGAATCGCCTCGAGATCCATATAATACTCTCTGATCGTAGGCACTGTGACGGCTGGCGTGTCAGCCTCCTTGGCGGCTTCGTTCTCAAAGACTTGGTAGACGCCGTGAGCGTCCAGCTTGTAAGTCATCTCGCCCGGCCCCGGCAACGGATGGAGATCTTTCATGTCGAAATCCTCGCCAATGTCCTCACCAGGCCTCCGTCCCTTCTTCTTGCTCGCAGCTTGTGGGAACTGGTCTGCGCTCGCATCACTCGGGCGCTGAGGGCTGTCCATGACCATGCTGTTTGCCATGCTGTTATTGGCGCTGTCGCGGGCCTGAGTCCCGGTCGCCGCCCTGTCATGCTCTGTCATCCACGCAGGCTGGGGAGGCGGCGGATAGACAGACCAGGCAGGGTCATCCTTCGGGTTGTCAGTCGGCCCCTGGAGGGAGCAGCGCATGTACTTGTGTCGCACGTCCAAGATCTTCTGGATGTTCTTGAATATAGAGCTCAACTCGGCGGTGATTTGCGGGTCGGCGTCCATGTACGTGCTGCTGCCAATGCCGTTTGGTGCGCCAGAATTCATCTCCAATTGAGCCTGATACAATGGATCGGGGGCGGAAGGGCCTTGGGCAGGCGGTGCATACGCAGGATTGGCGTTGCTCGCCTGACTACGGGCACTGGAGGCATTGAAGAAGCTCGTGTCTTTCCTAGACGCATTATCAAAGGCCGCTGGCTGCTGGCCATGCGCGCCAGACCATGCATTTGACGAGGCAAGATCGTAAGAAGGCGGCAGCTGGCCATATTGCTTATCAGCTGCATGACTAGCTCCGGAAGCCGAAATGACAGGGCTTCCTTGATCGCTCAAGAGCCCCGTGTCCCAGTTGCCTGTGCCCGTTCTTTGTTGGCTTCGCATGTAGAAGAGTTTGGCATCTGTCTGAGTCATCTGCCTTTCAGCAACTGGGTCGTAGAAGGCCGTCTTCTTTTGCTTGTCACGGGGGAGCAAGCCCTCGCTATCAGGATCCGAGTTGTCCTGCGAGCCGGCGTGCTGCTTCTTAGCCCCATGGCCGTCCTCGCCCTCATCTTCGTATTCAGAGTCTGTGTGACTGTTATGAGTTGTCGTCCTATCATCCTCATCGTCGGATTCCTCTGCCATTGGCAGCCGTGTTGCCGCCAGCTTCGGCGAGTTCGAGTTCGACGCAGGGTCGTCGCTGAAGGAATGGTCTACGATAAGCCCGGGATTAGCTTAGCCTTGCCTCTTATAGCTCCACGCAGCTGCGGAAAAGCAGCGCATTCATGCCCTGGGGATGCCTACCAGCCATTTCTGCGTTTCCGTTATGTTAGAGACGCTTGGAAGCTCAAGCGTCTCGCGCACAGCCAGGTGAGCACACAGGAGCTGACTCAATTGCTATCAGGGGCGGACGGTGTTGTCGAACTGGAGGCTGAGTTTTAAGGTTTTAGGGCAGCCATCTGACTGGGTGTTCAGTGGGTAGTCGGTGTGAACTGTGACGTCTAGGCGGTGTAAGTGCCAACAGCACTCAGGTACCGGCCAATTGGAGTGTGGGCATTTTTTAGAGCATCGACAGGGATTTTGTGGCCGGGCAAGCCTAACAAGCTTAACTGCAGCAGGGCTGAAGTTCCCCACTAAGGCGCCTCATCACGGTCATTTCAACGTCCAGGGGACAATTGGCGGGTGTGCTATTTCTATGTTATCTCATTGAGGCTCTCTATCGTTTATTTTGTGTATGGCCATATGCGCGAGAGTGTGAGACGGGCGATCCATGCCTACGATCCAGCCTTGACACTGCTACCACGAGGTCTCGTGTTTAGTCTCTTCCCCGGGTCCAGTGAATACAGACCACCTGCAAAGAATACCACCACAGCCCCTACCAGGGTTCCAGTAGCTAGTCTGTTGCCGAACAGCCAGATGCTAAGAAGCAAACTGACCAGCTTGCGGATGTTCAGGACAATCGTCACTGTCAAAGCCGAAGAGGCGGCCGCAAGCAGATTGACGCCTCGGATACAGGCGTACTGCGTCAGGACATTGACCACCAGATAGAAGAGCTGGCTCGGGATGTGTATCTTATCAATGCCGCTCTGGAGTTGCTCAGGCACGGCCTCAAGGCCAACGACGGTCGCAAACGGCAACTGCAATGGAGCGCTCGTTGCCAAGCGCATGAATTGCCTGTATAGCGAGGGGAGGAATGGCGTGAAAAGAGGCAAAGACAGCAGATGCGAGTAGAAGAGGTTCTCCTTCCATTGCGGCCCATACTGCCGATATGTCTCTTCTGTGTATAGGCCCATGATAGCTGATAGGACTTGGGCAATGAAAAGGATAGCCAGTCCCGTCACGAAGCTTTGGTTACCGTGGTGTTCTTCTTGCGTGCCCTAAGGAATGTTAGCTGGCGCAACTCGTAACTGTCGTAGGAAGACTCGCCTTGGTCTGCGCGTCCGAATAAGCCGCCACAATGACGCCAATGGTAAGTAAGATGACAGCAGTGATCTGAATGCGGGAGTATCTCTTCCCGTAGAGACTACCAGCGATCATAGTAGTGATGCTCCCCCCGGAACGGAGGATGATATGCACAGGAACCGATATATCATAACTGAACGCGTGGTTGTTCAACACATTGATACTGAAGAAGAGAACGATGTTGACCAGCCATCGTCGGATGGGGACCTTGTTAGGTCTGACAAAGAACGGCGGGCGGGTTTTGTCGAACTGGGAGACGTAGCCCGTGGCGGCCACAAAGATGAATTGAACGAAAGTCAGGAGCGTTCCGCTGGCTGGCTCGACCTTGATGATTGCTTCGAGGGCAAAGACGTTGCTGCAGCACTGTAGATCCACACCAAGTCAGCTCCAATCTGGCCGTGAACGAAGTCAATTGCGCAATTGGCAAAGCACTTACCCCTCCAAAGATCAAGCTCAGCATAGCCCCCACTGCCAGCCACTGGGGGATGGTCTCGATGAAGATGCGGCCCATGAGGGCCATGGCCCTCGAGTAGGCAGGACGGTTGTCGTCAATGCCGTACATCTCGGCCTTCTCCAGCGAGGGAGCGGCGTTGATCACACGCGGCGTCATGGGAGCGGTGGTGGCAACATGTTTCTGGGCCTTTTCTAGAGAGAGTTGTCGACGACGAGCGGTGGACTGGGCGGTCATTTACACAGCGGTTTTCTTCGCGCACAGGATATGACGAGGTGGAGAGCCAGGGAGGAGGCATGCGCTAGAGGAAGAGAAGTCGTCCAGATCGGTCGTGTCGGTGAGAGGCAGCCTCGCTAGCTCTCCTCGTATGTAGCCTAGTAAGCGGGAGGGTGAAGGTAGTGCTTGGTATCTGCCTGTTTGTCTCTCCGTCCGCAAGGGGGTGGGAATGTAAGAGAGTGTCTTGGAGTGTGTATACGCGGGGAATTGCGGCGGGATGTTCGGCGCGATGCTGGCACGAGAGTGGATGACCCCAAGTGGCAGTGAGCGGCGAGGGTACCCGTAACTTGTAAGGCAAGCGCACGACAAGGTAAAGTGAAGCGAGGTAAGGTAAGGTAAGGTAAGGTACGGTACAGCAATGTATGTACAGTATCTTTCTGACCAGACCAGAGCAGGGGTTGGAATGCGCGCGGGTGCGAACTTCGAGTGAGGCCAGGAACAGGAACAGGAACGGGGGTGGTGGGCGAAGCAAGGCGAAGGAAGTCGTCGAGTGAGCTTCTCTCTTCTCTTTCCAAGCTGAATGTCGATCAATTCCTTTTTCTTTCTCTTTCTCTCTCTGTCTCTCTCTCGGAGGCAATTACCGTATGGCAGTCAAACAGTCTGGACTCTGGACAGCGGCAATGAGAGTCCCCCAGGTTCCTCGTGCCCGGGCACTCTGGTTCATTTATTACTGAAAAAGAGGCCCTGCCCTGCCTGCCATGGCATTCAATACCTTAAGGTGGCCTTTCGATGACGGAGTGGAGCAGCCCCGGCTCACAAAACACCATGTAACCTGGAACTCTGCCGAACAGCGAACTGGGACTGGACAGGCCAGTCACTCGAATTAAAAAAGGAGACCAGGGGGAGGCTGGCGCCGACGATGAAAATCACAGGAAAAAATACATTGCCTGGCCCCGCCTGCCCGCCCACCACACGTGTCAATTGCTGCACACCATCAGTGGCAGAGTACTGCCTGTATGTTACCGCAATCACCCCCTACATAGTTAGCCTAGGCCCCATCTGGTAGGAGTAAGGTAGCAACACCACCTGGAATAACTTAATATTCCCCCGTCGACGCACCCTGGCAGCCCATCGAAAGCTTGTTGTAGGTTAGGTACATTGCTGGACCTACTCTACCTAGATAAACACACTCATCTGCAGCATGCAGACGGGACCCGCCCACCTTTTGGTCCGATCTGTGGCTTGGTGATCTGCCGAGCCGGATTGTCGCCAATAAATTCCCGCCTCTAATACCTGCCCTCCCGCCGCTGCCCACACTCTCGTACAGAACATCTCCAGTTTACTCTGCACCTCGTTTGCGGGGGGGCTGCAACTACTTATCTAAGTACGTGTGACAAACTACCTAGAATAGACACACTGTAGGTACTGTGATCGATAACGTGGGGATGCCCTCCGGGTTGGATGCGGAGTTGTGACATGTAGGCATTGCATTTACATTACACCGTACTGTACTGCCATTGTATTGTGTTTGTATTGTCATGCCATGGATGCCATGGATGCCATGCAAGGGTCGGGCGGTGGACCGGGACGGCTAGCCAGCCAGCCAGCCAGCGATGCCATGCAGCTACGTTACCTGCCTCATCGTGGCTGCCACACAAAATATCTACCTACCTAGGCATGTTCGATGAAGAGCTTGCCGCTGCGACTTCATCTTATATCAGAGTCGCCGTAGCCGACCACTTCGTCAACAGACCTGTTCTTCCGGGCTGTAGACACATTTCATCACCCGTAGATAACGCGTCTTCCGTTCATTCCTGAAGTGTTCATCAAGAATTGGCTCTGTCACAAGATGCAACATCAACGGTGAGAGGTCCATGGCAGGCCCCCTCCCGAGATATCCTCTATTCCCGGGATTTCCAAAGACTAACACGCGACAACAATCACATGGCCGGTCGACTTGCCGATGTTGCCTCAATGAAACATTCTGTTCCTCTTGCTGTGGAGAAAAGGCGGCCGGTCGACCTTTCGACAAACACTGTCACCCGACTACCGCGACTGGGCCCAGAGAGCACTTGCATCTAATCATGTTTGCTGTCTGAAGAGACTTTCTATGCCAAACACCTCAAATTTGTCTTTGCATGCTCTAGGGCGGTGTGTGTCGTCTACCTGCCGCGATCTCGAATGGCCCCTCCTGCCTTCTTTCTCTTTCCTCCCAGCCGACACCAGACCAGACCACAGTTCCCTTCCTCACAAACTTGACTGCTTCTGCTGCTGGTATCATGGCCCAAACTGTGTTTCCCAGCCGCCCTTAGCCCCCCCTCGCTGCCCAATGCATCGCGGTCTAACTCTGATGAAAAGCTCAACCCTCACCTCGTGGACCTCTCTCGAGCCATGCTTGCATTCCGCCGAAACTGTCAGGGAAGAACAAAAACGACGGCCATCAGTAATGCCTCGCGCCGGTGCACAGATGCCCCCCTTCTTGGGGAGACATACTAGCTTGGATGTTTCCTCCAAGCCGGACCAACAATTCCAAAACATCACCACGAGCTGCAGATATCTACAGAGCAGAAAACACGAAGAGCTAAGCGGAGTTGTGTTAGAAAGCTTACATGGTAAATAAATGCGTTGGGATAGGACTTACGTTGTTAGTAGCAGCAATCGCGATGCTGTCCTCGAACGGGTGCCAGCTCATATGCAGAATCTTCTTGTTGAAATCGATCTGGTCCGCGTCGGTCTCCTTTCGCATTCTCTGGCCCTGTCCGGCGCCACCAGCTGGGCTTCCAGCACGAGATCCGCCCTTCTTACCGCCGTTAGCGGTTGGACTCGTGGATGAGTTGATCGGCGTCGGGACCCCGACCTTCTTCGCCTTGAATGCGGACTTATCCGCTTGTAGTACGACCTCGACCTCCTTGTCGGGATCTGAGGGATAGATCATGAAGTTGTTGTTATAACTGCCCGTCATGACATTCTTGGCATCTCCGGAGAATACCACCTCGAACTTGTCGAAAATGCTGTCGTTCTCGTACGTGTCACATAGGCGGGGCCGGAGGTGTTCGTGGATCGGAATGGTCTTGACCGGCTGTCGCTCCATGTTGACATCCCAAATCTTCACGGTCAGGTAGTCTCGGGAAAGGATGTATCTACCGTCATGTGAGAACCGAACGTCTGAGATGGATGAGATAATCTCTGAGAAGAATGATCGTGAAGAAGGGTCCTCCTCTTGCTCGAAAACTGTGTCATGGGCGGGTTAGCTGCAATACACCCAGGTGGGCCGGGGGCATACGTACGCTTGGCGTGCTGGTCGCAAAGGGCACTCTCACGCATGTCCGCCAATTTGATAGTGCCCTTAGAACTCGCGTACATGAACCAGTTGCAACTCTGCGGGTGGAACTCGGCGGCTGTGATGACCTCGGTCAGCTCCTCCATATTTGCAGGCTTAATATCCACAATGTTGAAGCTCTGATCCTGGATGTTCAAGTTCCACAAATTTATACGGAGATCATCGCTACTGATGAATGTCTCCCCATCACTGTTGACAGAAATGCTGTTGATATGGTAGGCATGGGCGTTGGCATACGTCCGGCGCGGAACAGCAGCGACCACCGTATCGTGATGCGTCAGGCGCGGAAGCTTTAGGTCGGTGGCATTTCTGAAGTGATGATTCTGGAGAGGTCGTGGTGTTCCGCCGCCGCCAGCCAGATTGCCTGGAGTTAGATCGTGTGATAGGTTGTTCTCGGCGACAACCTTGAGGGACTTCTCAAAGACCTTCCATAGCTTGATGGTCTTGTCGTTTGTGGATAGTAGGTAATGGGAGGCATTTTGTCGGCGACACCATTTGATCTTGTTAATCTTCTCCTCAATCTCCAAGGATTTGAGATAGTCGAACTCCGGCTCGTGTGATTGGAACTCGGTGTGGAATTTGTACTCGCATGTCTTCTTCTGCTTGATGGTCAGATACCTTGGCACAGCACGGTGGACTTGCAACCAGCCAACAAACAGGCCGTGACCCTAGCTTACCGTTTCGTTCCGCTCAAATAAGACGACTCGACCTCCCTTATCACCAGTAGCTAAGTAGTTTCCTGTATGGTCGAACTCGACAGTTGAAATGATATCGGCTGGGAATTTTTAGTCAGCATCTCGGATCGCGGGATGGGAGGCAATGCGACGTAGACGGAGTCGACATACCTTCAGTGATGTCCTCCACATCCCCCTTGTCTCCAAAGCATCTAGATACCAAGTCAGCACAGGACTATGGCATGGCCAAGGGCGTTGACCGTGTAAGGACACCGGGGAGGGGAGGCGGGAGGACGAGGCCATGGCCATGGTCACAGAAGCAGCATGCGGGACGGGAGAGAACATACTGGGTAAACTTCCATGTTGGAGAATTCGCGTCGGCTTCTACCATCTTCTCGAACTTGATCGGTGTAGGTGAAGGACAACCCCCACTCTACGGAAGACACAAGGACGGACACGAGCAGGCGACGGCAGGACGTGAGGTGATATTGTTCGCTGGGGACTGCGCGTAGGCGAAGACTATGGATACCTAAAAGGCTAGATGCTGGAAGACGACGTCGAGGGCGATAGAGAAGGCTTGGGTGTGGGGGCTGCGAAAGCTAAGGCCAGGGGAGGCAGGATGGTGGATGGAAGAAGAGCCTCAAAAGTGTGTGTCTGCAGGGAAAGCAAGCTAGAGGCAGAGGCAGAGGCAGGGCCTGGGACCACACGACGATGCGGTCAAGGGAGCTGCAGGCGGGGTGGGTTCCAAAGAGAGAGGCAGAAAAAAAGAGAATATAAAGACGAGATGAAGCTCTCGAGACTTGGGTGGAGGCGTCTCAGAGAGATGGCGGATAGAGGCCGTGGTGGTGCTGCGGGGTATTTGGGTGGTGATGTTGGTGGTGGTGGTGGTGGTGGTGGTAGAGGAATGAATGAAGTCAGTGTAGAATCCAGACGACATGCAGCTTTGGAGATCAAGCTTGAAATGGCGAGAGGTGCAGGTAGGTAGCGCTCGTTAGGCGGTGATTGCTGTTTTCCCGCCGTGGCGGCGACAGGTGGATGCGAGCGTGCCCACCCTCTTACCTAGCCTTTACCCTATCTCTCTGTGCGCTGTACGGGCTGCCTGGCATTGCCAACAGCCCTCTCCAGCCCAGCCAGTTAGGCGCACGGCAGCCCGATTCATAAGCTTCTAGGCCTAACACCTTACCTTACCTTCCATGTTAGCCTCAAGCTTCCGGCAGGTGGTACCTAGGTACCTAAAGTACTTAGGATAGACCACCCACTCACTACAGCGCGTGTCCCTCTAAAGTACCTCAACGCAGCACCCACAGTAGTTGATCTCCATAAGTTCCCACAATGCGGTACTTCAACAATACCTAGGGATCTTTCCCACCCTTTCATGGCCTCCATCCCACCTGGGCATATCCTCCTCAGCCGAGGATCACTCTGGTGGAACGGAAGACAAAGGACTCTTGACCTTTTCGGTTGTGAAAGCAATTTGCAAACTTCAGATTCTCGGGAGCTTAAACACCCATAAGTTACACATTTCAACTATATCATCTCTTGCTTGATGTCGAGGTGTCGAGCGTAGAGTTCTTCGCTCATCCACTGCGTGTCATTGTCATTGGCCGCGTGGTGTCTCAGTCGCCTGTCACGGGCTAGAACTTCGCCCTCGGTGAGATCTCATCGCACCAGTCTCGAGACCTTTCAGTATATCACCTGATACTTGAGGCAACTCAAGTAAAGACTCTGCCCTGCAAAAGAGTCATCTGTTAAGGGGCCATTGCAGCTTACAAATGGACGTGAGGGCTAATTTTGGACAAACAAGATCTACAGCGTAAGAGCTTAGGGTTCTGCATGTGCATCATAAATTATGGCAGAGGAAGAGCAGCAGGAACACAGTGTCAACGGCCAGGACAAAGGCAAAGGCAAAGAAAAGGCAACAGAAATACCAGATCATGAAACGCATATAAGGGAAAAGGGTGATAAGTCCATGATCTCGCGCATTGGTAGTTCTGCAGCTGGGTTGTCTAGGTCTATACTGCAGAGCAGACCTACCGCAAATGATATTGGTGCAGTCGCGACATCAGGGAAAGCAGAGCCCTCAACTAGCAGGCCGCTCGCCTCAGCAGAGAGCTCTTCCGTTCATCGACACCCCGACGTGAGATCTACAGGCAACTTCAGATCAGCGCAGACAGCGAGCCATATCGCTGCTGAGGAGTCTGCATTCTCGGACTTCTTAGACAGCACACCAGTGTTCGTGCCAACAGAACCGGCGAATCTTGAGAACGCCTGGCAAAAGGAAGCTCCGAGTAAGAAACTAGACCCTGCCAATCAGACTTTTGGGACGTCTTCATCCATTAAAGAGCAGCAACCGCTCGATGGTCAAGAAGTTGTGGATTTGCTCTCACAGCCAGAGATCCCACCAGACCCGAACGACGATGTCAACATATCAGAGGCTGAGCTAGCCAGCTTACGCAAGGCACTTTTCGATGATGACAACCAAAGCGTTCAGTTATCATCAGCGGACTGGAACAATGCCCTGAACTTCATACCGGACTTTCTGTTGTGGCCTGAAGGCGAGGATCAGGGGACTCGGGCTTTTCACGACTCCTCGATGCATCTTGGGGTGAGAGATCCCACCGAGGCGGGACAGGCATGGCTGGAACAATGGAACCGAGTCCTCACCAGCTACAATGATGAGGTATGGGGAGATCTGGGCGCATTAGTGCAGGAAGCTCGAGAGGAACTCAAGCAGCTTGAAGAAGCTTCACCCGAACAGCCGCCTCCCCAGACAAAAGCTATACGGAGACTGCGGCAGGTGCTCGCCCATGTCCGGCCGAAGTTATGAACTGGTGAGGATACTCTATGAGGTTCTACGCTCCCTATATCATCCCTGCAGTGATGCAAGATCGGAGTAGAAGCATATCTACTATGTAAGCGATAGACTTCTGACAGCAGAGTGTGGATGCTTCACTCTCAGTCCATGCCACTTGCAATGTCCATGCCTTTTGTCTGTCTTTTCAGATGACCAACCCCACCTTCGATCAAGATCCAGAGCACCTAACCAATTGCTGCGGGGTTCTGTGCCAGGTGTGCCGGGGGGCTGTCAGGCGTTCCACTTGGTTGCTGTGCCGACTCGATTGGTGGGATGACATCACTGGCTGGAGCTCTTGCAGGGCAGCAAGGAGCTCTCGATAAGCTTGAAAGACCGCCCAACAAATCGGACGACGCGAACACCGCCAATGCAGCGAATCGGGAGGTGAGGAAGGATAATCCAAGGTCTGGAGCTTCTAAGTAGCTTTCCCTGTATACTACTAGTTTGGTGCAATTCCTGAATTCGCTACACCTGAGCAATTGGCAAGTGAGCAAGCACTACAACCTTACGATGCACCATGCAAGTTTAACCTGCTCCAATTGAACCAACCTGCAAAAGCCTCCTTGGCACTCAGCCGACAGGCCAACCACCCACTTGACTTGCTTGACCGTCTTTCGTGACACTCCAGCCTCGATCAATCTTTTTTAACCAAAAGTTCGATGTTGATCTACCCCAAACTAAACACAATTCTTTTGTGAGACAAAAGCCTCCGTTTATCGGGTTCTAGAAGTGAGCTTATCGGACATCTCCCGCTATCCATTGTTGACTTCTTACTCAATCGGGTAGTCTAAGACCTTCACATTCCTCACCTCTCACCATGAGGTCAAAGCAAGCCACCCTCCGGTCAAGCGCCGTCTCCCTCTTCCTCGCCGCCACAATCTTCTTCCCCAACATCGCACTCGCAAGCCTCCAGCCCTTCATCCCCGCCGAGACTGCCGCCGCCGCCGCCGCCCCCGTCCTCCGCAGTCCGCTGAAGCGACAGACGGCGGGCTGCATCGCCAACACCTTCTCGTGCGCCTCGCAGGGCGCCGCCTTCGCCAACATCTGCTGCGCGAACGGGCAGGTGTGCGCGCTCGACGCCAGCAACCAGCCGGCGTGCTGCCCGTCCGGGGCCGTGTGCACCGGGACCGCGCCGGCGTCGTACGTGCCGCCGTCCACCGCCACCGCCGCCGCCAGCGTCTCGTACGTCGCCAACTCGTACTTCTCCTTCCCCTACATCCCGACCAGCTTCGGCGACCGCGCCGCCTGCACGAGCGCCGTCAGCCAGTGCAGCGCCAACTACGCGGCGTGCACCAGCGACCTGCAGGGGGCCAACGCCGGCGCCGGCGCCGGCTACGGCGTCACCATCATCGTGCCCGGCGGCGGCGGCACCACGGTCGCCGGCGCCACGCAGGTGAGCCTGGCCCCGACGAGCGCGAGCAGCATCTGCAGCAGCCTGAGCAGCGTGGCGTGTTTTGGCCTGCAGAGCAGCCAGTGCACGCAGTCCGGGACGACCAACGGCTTCGTCGTGGGCGGGAGCGGCAACATTGCGCGGCCGACGGCCATGCCGTGTGTCGGCGTGGTGGGTGCCGTGGCGGCGGGCGTAGGGCTGGGGGTGATGGGTATATAAGGACGAGCCCTTCTGTCTTCGGAAGATACATGAGTTTACGACCTCTCTGGAGCGTGCGCTTTGTTTTTAATGTAATTGGGCAGGCAGACCTGGATTGATATACTTTAATGAAGATACGACCTACTTCAGGAGAACATTGCGGGCATATTTCCGATACCCCATCTCAAAAGACAGAACACATTTTGAAACTCCATGTGATATTTATTATGTGCTCTCAAGAGGTATCTTGGCGTGACTGGCGTGCAAAGGGTATTTAAAGCACATGCTGGCTGCTATATAATAATCATGTCCCATGCCGAATCCGTTTCTTTTCTTTCACGGAGAATGTGAACTGCCTTCCAACATTATCATCAAACTAGATGATCCTTCAAGATTCATCCGGTTTCACCAGACACTCCGTCTCCCATCAAGCGATCCACCCATGGCTGCGTCAGTCGTCCTTTTCTTCTTTTTTCTGCTTCTTACGCAGAATCTTGCGGATCCACCACTCTTCCACGACTTTGACGTATTCGTCGAGTATGTCACTGACAGTCACAATGACACGACTGAAAAAGAACAGGCTGATAATAGAGAGACTTCCAATGACGGCGAAGGCAATCCAGTATGTTCTCGCCGTGTAGTGGTCTGTGAGATCAGGGATCGAGACCGAGAAGTAGGACGTCATGAAGGTGATGGGCAGGAAGAGGACACTGAGCTTGGCTAACAGCGTGGCGCTTCGAGTCAATCTCGCGGTAGCTTGAGAGTCCTTTTGGGCAATGAGATTGAAGTACTAGTGGTTTGTTAGAAGTCCAATTGAGGTATGTGACTGTACGAGAGATCAAGACATACGGTGTTGGAAAGGGAGTTCTTCTCGTCGAGGTACTCTGTAATCGTGTTCAGCATCAGGATTTGCAGGCGGTCCATGAGTCGTTCGAATCGGTCAAAAGCTGACTGTGAGAGCTTGACTTCTCGGGTTGTAAGTTGTATCGTATGGTTCGAAGCAGTCATATTCTCAGACGACTCGATGCCCAGGGCGACGATCTTCTTGATGAGAACCTCGTAGCTTTCGAACAAGTGCCTAAGTTGTCGAAGCTCTTTGTTCAAATCGTATAATTTCTTGATGATGCCTGAATTGTCTTTATCTTTGTTCTTGCGATCCTACATTCAATATGTTAGCTTGAAATGCTGCCTCTGAGAGGGAAGCCATACGTTTATATGTGTCACTTGGCTCGTCTATTTCATTAGTTAGCAGGATCAAGAACGAGAAGGTCGTGTGACATACGAGATCGGCGAGTATCTCTCTGGACTGATTGAGGATGGAGACACCTGATGCATAGTCTTCGAAGAGGTAATAGAACAAATTGCTCGACCCTTCCACCTCGATAGGCGCGTCAGGCATGGCGGTCGGCGCCCTATGTCGACCACCACGGGGCTCGCGCTGCTTCAAGTCCATGCGCACGGCTTTCGAGGCCATGATCTTGGTCTTATACTCAACAAGGCCAACCTCGGACAATTGCGACAACAGATCAATGGTGTTGGATCGCATCTTCTTCAATTCTTCTCTCCGCCATTGAGCTTGATCGACACCGTCGGGTATTGTATATTTTGGAGCTTCGTGGAATGATATGACGGTGGCTGTGAACTGTTAGAATCCCTACACTCAACATGTTTTCAATAGACATACAATCATTAGTGAGAGCAGTCCACGACCAGTGATTCGGCCTCACTAAATCGAGGGCGGGCTTTCGATGCCTAGAGACATGTGGATGTATATTAGGCCGCTCATGGAGCCAGTTTGCTCCTATGCACATAACTAACGTTTGTTAGTCCAAACAACTTGTCTGGCATAGATTTAAAGACCTACATCGTGAGGCGTGATCAATTGTGAAGTAGTTCAGAGTGCCTTGTACCAGTCGGAACATGCCCATGTCCTCGGGGCAGAACCCACGCGGCATTGCCTGAGCCTTCTCGACCGTTCCGTTAAGACCCTCTTCTGGGTCTTTCGCAGGCCGGACGGGCACCTTCTCGTTTTCTGACTTCTGTCTCTTTATAGCAGCTTCCGCCTGTGCCTGCTTCCTCGCCAGGCCCCACGTCGCTATCGTGGCCTGGAGTCTCGTCGAGAAGCCATAATGGTGGCCGATAGTCTTCATACATTCCTGTTGCGCACTCGGGTCCCAGAGGTTACTGCAGATCGCATAGTCAGATGCGCAAGTCTACAGCGCTGCATTGGGGATTGTGCCGGACTTACATCCATCGAATTGGCATCTCCTTGTTCTTCTTACCACCGAGGAACTGCTCGAGCTCCTTTTCATTCAAGTCTATGGCAATCTGCGCCTTGTTCGCGCCGAACTGCACGACGAAGTTCTTTGTACCCTCCTGCACCGCTTTCTCCTTGAGCTCCTTGTAGTTTTGGGGGTCGTCGAAGTTTTTGAACTTGTCCCGGAGCTGGGCGCCCAGCTCCTGGAGCGGGACCGGGTCTTCATCCATCGTGATTCGACGACGAGGCTGGATAGCTTGTAGCTCAGTCACGAATGTCTGCAGCTTCGTGCAATCGGCTCGAGAAGGTCAGCGAGGGACGTAAGAAATCAGCTGGACAGCCGGCGGCAGCAAGCAGGCCGGGGCTGGGCTGGGTTTTTACATGTGGTCGAGGCTCTGCTCAGGCAGAGGGAGGCGAGGCTGCAGCAGCCATCCATGCCGTGACCTGCACCTCGTGCAGCTCTGGCCAGCTGAGAGGGTGTCACAGCCCCCAAACCTCAAAAAGGACCCGGTCCCTCCCCCACGACCTCCAGCGGAGCCAAGAATAAGCTACCTGCCTTCCCGTTGACGTTAGCGGCTAGGAGGCCTACCGTAGCGAGTGTAACACCGCGCCATCATCCCCAGGGCAGTGCTTAGCCTGCGCCTAATAGCGCCTAGGCTAGAGAGTCCACTACATAGGTCCAGCAGTCGCAGGGGTTTCAACCCGAGACTTTGCATCGCTGCAGTCGCGAGATAAGCCAACCCTTTACTTGGGGGTTGAGTCACCACGGAAAAGAAGATATGATTCATCGTCACTCGAATATAAAAAATAGACAAAATACAACTGACAACACTTGCGAAAGAGACTTCTCATTTCTTCACTTTTGCTCCAATATGACAATCATTCCCTGGTCCTGAAATAAGCACGAGGCTTGCGCCTAGCTGTAAGAACCTTGTTGAGGTATGTTGCCAATTGAGAAGTGACCAATTCTCATTGTTGAGATGTCAGAAAGTACAGTGTCCTATCATGCCGTCAGAATCGACAGCAGTGCCATTGCACAAAATGCAGTGGAGCGTCGAGCTCGTTGCAAAAGACGAGGATGGCTTAGCATTCTACCTGACGCAATACAAGGCGTTCAGGTTGCTCTCGTTGCAGGTAGATGCCTCGTGTAAGTCACAGAAGAACAAGCAGCTCTGATTTGCTGCTTGAGCATCCACGCTTCCATGAGGTCGCCTCTGTAGGTTTGCGGATCAGCCCGTACCGCCTACTGGGCGCATTTTGTGGACTTTGTGGTTGGCGCATAATGTTACCTGGAGAGCCCGATTCGCTGACACTTCACCGCCTGCGCGCGCCCCTGCAGCATTCGGCTCAACGTACGAGAGAGAAATCACCTTCGATGACGAGAAATGGCGGGACCGACTTCTCGACCCGGCGGCTAGGACCTTCACGGCCGTCCGCTCCGGCAGCCGCGACATTTTGTCCTCAATGACCATTCGCGACAATCTACCAGTTCCAGCAAAACTAGCCGCCCGGTATCCAGGACCCCTTGTGCGCTGGCACGTCACAGGCGTCTTCACCCTGCCTGAAGCGCGGCGGCAGGGCATTGCGAACGCCGTCATGACGGCAGGGACGCAGTTCGCCGTGCACGCCGCGGCAGCACAGGGCAAGGACTGCTTGCTCACTGTGGACGTCTACACTGACAATGCAAGTGCAAAGTTGCACTACGAGAAGGCCGGCTTTGCGGTGTTCAGCGAGGGGCAAGACAATGGCCGTCCGACAGCTGAGCTCGCGCTGTTCGTGTCAACGCGGTCTGGCGTTAATTGAACGCACCCCTGCGGCTGAGCGCGCGGCCAGGGCTGGGAATTGGGAACGGCAGGAAACTCATGCGGAGATGCTGGCAATGACCTCACTGTTACCGGGAACAGCGAATTGTCAATTTCAAGAACAAGGTGTGGCGTTCAGATCATTCATTTAGAGTAGAGGCGATTGGAGGGCGATCTGGGGGCGATTGTCAGGAACAGAGCGTGGCAGGGACCGAAGGGGGCAAAGATCTGGAGATGCCGGCGCAGAACTGGACTATCAATGTTTCAAGTTCCATCTCCAGCCACACCAAGTCAAGCGTGAGCTGCGATATTCGATAATTCTACCTAATGAATTTGATGGTTGGGAGCCATGCCACCTCGAGGCTAGGGGCCAGGCACTGGAATGTTGCGCCATGACAGCCCTTCCTGCGAATGGGCCAGAGTCCTCCTCATCGGCCAACTATTTCCTACTAATTCGCCCATCTTCCTCTTCGCCCTTGTATATCTTGTCCAGAGATGTTTTGTCGTGAGTGCTAGCAAATCGATAATACATTGCGAAACTCCAAAGAAATCGTCCTCCTCTGCGCACACGGAATATCGTGTGTAAGTCAGCGATCGCCAGTTAAAAGCCAAGTACTCGCCATGTTGCCGGCTGTCCTCCACCACGTCATCCTATTAGTGGGGGCATTCTCGGTTGCCGCAGCACAAGATACCACCTTCAACTTCTCAGACTGTGCCAACGACTGCATAGGCAGCTCTGGCTGCGGAACGAACCGCCCAACATGCATGTGTCTTGCTGCAAAAGGTAGTCTCCTGGACACAGTCATACAATGCATGTCCAAGAAATGCCCCGACAACCTGGGCAGCGTCGAGGCCGACCTCCTCAATCCCATGCAAGTCGGATGCACAGCCATCAACCAACCCATCCCCGACGAGGATATCCAGGGTGCCGACACGATAGCCGCAAGTCTAGCATCCAAGCTGGCACCCGTTACCACCACTGCTGCCCCTGAGACAACTTCCACGCCTACTCCCGAGGCGACCACCACAGCGGAGGCCGAGACCACTTCCGAAAGTGAGACACCCTCGCCTACGGAGACCCCTTCTCCAACGGAGACAGAGGAAGCGGCCACTACAACGGCGGCTGAGGAGACGGAAACACCTGTATCAACAAAGACGGCTCAGTCAAGGACAAGCACACTCCTGGTCGACGGCGATTCGGCCTCGACCGCAACTCGGAGCTCTTCAACGAAGACGAAAGGAGCGTCGGATTCAGATCCCACAGACTCGAGCCCGTTTGCGTCGCAAAATTCATCGTCCAGAGGGGCTGCATCTCTTGTTCTCACCGCATTATCATTGGTGTTTGCAGTGGTTTTCGAGAGTATATAAAGGGCGTTCTAGTAACAAAAAGGGTCAAGGCGTAACAGGGGAACTGAGTTTTTGTGATACAATTAGGCAGGCAACGAGGACGAGCAAGCCTCACCTTGGGAGGAGGAGAGAAACAGGCATAGCATGTAGAAGAGAAATGATACCACACAGTTGATAGTTTATGATATGTAGATGTTCTCCATCAGTATAATTAAGTCAAGATCCCTGTGATGAGCATCAACAACTTTGTGTATTTGACATCGAACAAGTTGAACGACGATATCACATCTCCCTGAATCTCCAATTTCATAGAGAACTCCTCGTCTTTGAGTCTTTGAAAAAATTGGTCATTACCCCTTTTGAGCGGTGTCATTTTCACATGAACAGCGCAAAGGCAATACCCAACCCAGCGATTGTAACAATGCCGCCAGCATTGCTGAGCATCATATCTCCTCCGCTCACTGGGACCAGAGTCGGCGATGCCGTCTGCGTACTACCGCCACTACCAGTACCCGTTCCTGAGGCCTGAGTGGAATTCCCCTTTCCTTTCCCGCCCTTCCCGCTGTTCCCAGACGTGCCATTACGGGACGACCCATTGCCGCTCGTGTCAGTGGCAGTGGCGCTGGCGTGCCTTGTCTTAGTCGTAGTGGTAGTTGTTGTGCTGTTTAGCTCAACTGTTGCAGTTACTTTGTCTTTCTATAGGATGTTCATTAGCCGTGGCATGAGTTGTAAGTGGCAAGGTTTCGTACATGGGCTGTGACTACCGCAGCCAAAGTGATGAGAAGAACCGAGACGAGCTTCATCTTAGGCAAAGAAGGATCACTAGGCGTCTAAGATTTAAATCGTACTGATTATTAAGCACTGGATAGTCGACAGTTGAGTTTAAGATAATTACGATTGTATAAGAAAGGACCAGCCAGTGAAGAAGAGAAGATATTACAGAACTTGGCTTGACGGTCCTACCGGTTGTGCCAAGCTGATCCCAAGTGTGGACATCTAAAAGTCATTATATATGCCGAGGCGTCTGATACCATTAACTCATGAGGACAAACCTGATGCATCAGAGTCTAGTGAGAGCAAGACACCAGAGAACATACGTTTTGAAGCGGGGTGAAGAAACATGATCAAACGACTAGGATAAACCATGGTAGTGGGACGAACATGCATCAGGCTCTAATAATAGGGTCACGTCCGTAGTTTTGGTGACAGCCAACGGTGTGTCGATGTCTCGCGAACATGGGTCATGGTTGTTTAGAAGGCCGTCGTAACCGGGGGTGAGAACTGATCTGTCGTCATCTCAGCTAACTCTAAACTAAGAGCTCTCTCAGATGATTTATTAAAGCTAATTGGTCGAATGATGTAGCCATCATCCTAGAATGAGTGTGTTTCGAGACACAAATCTGAGGTGCGACAAGACAATTAATGTGGAGTTTGAAGACAGGGGCTGGAAACAGTTGCTTAAAGCCTCAGAGACCTCTCGAATACCATCCTGGTGTCCACATAAAGACCCTGGTCAACCAACCCAGAACGGCGCAACGCCTTTCATAGCAACAATGCCGAGGAATACCAACTACCGTGTCAGCTGTCGGTAAATGGTTTGAAGTGAAACATAATAGCACTCGCTGCTCAGAAACACCCAATATTCTCCGCCATTTAGTGTTGGAATTGCTAGCCACGCAAAGACGCAAATGAATCAGAAGTTAGATGGGAAGAGAAATCACTGTCTGTGAAATTTCTCAGAGTGCAATGTTGCTACCTTTCACTCATCACAAAGTCATCTGCTGTCTGAGCTTGATTCCTCCAGGACCTGCCGTAGCAGATCTCGAGCAGGTTGTTGACCATTGTCCGTAGCTACACCCTCGATACTCTGTAATGTGTCGACACCCATTTTCAGGAAGTCGCGGGCAACGGTTTCTGCCTCTTCGAGTTTGTGCGACTCATGATCAGATAATTGAGCACAAGAAGCCTGAAGATCTTCGCCGCGTGCAAGTAGTAGAATTATGGCTTCTGCTCTTTCCACAACTGCCTTGTCAACCCCGTTTATCGCGGCGCAAATGCTACCGAAGCTGGAGTTGTTTCGGCCCGGAGTGAGATGGTAAAGATAGGTCACCTGGTCTTCCGCCTCCTGACTCTCGAGATCTACGCGAACTTCCATGTGAGCCAACGTTAGATACGCATGGCTTTGGAGGAAATTGTTCTCAAAGATCTCATGGAAATGTGTTGCTGCCAGAACCTTCGGCCTGCCTTCACCAAGACTCAAAAAATGGTCAAGAAGTCCAGTGATGAGACCAGCGCCGTCCATTGCATTAGTCCCCTTTCCAAACTCGTCAATTAAAATCAGACTTCGGGGAGTGGCAAAGTTTATCGAAAAGGCAGCTTGACGTAAATCGATGGCAAAAGCGCTCTCATTCCGTGAAACACTTTCCCTCGTGGCTATGCGAGTCAAGAGTCGGTCGGTAAGTCCAATGGTGGCTTCTTCGGCTGGGACGAAGCTTCCAATATGAGCGAGAAATACAATCAATGCCACCTGCTTGATATATACGCTCTTTCCAGAATGATTAGGGCCCGTCAGGACAAGCATGCTGGGAACTTGTATCGGCGCATCACTCGATTGTGAGTCATCTTGATAACCATCTGCATCGGAGCCACCCATGAGACAGCAGTCGTTCGGCACAAATATTGGGACGACCAGCTCTTGGAGCGGATGACGTCCCCCTCTTATGTCTATTATATTTGAAGCGGCCATTTTTGGGCACGTCCATTTGTATTTTGATGCCCCAAGAGCCAGAGCCAATATACTGTCGAATTCCCCACAAAGATCCGATGCCGTTGTCAATGATGATTCAAACTCCAAAACTCTCACTCCGAGCTCGTGAAGAATTTCGATCTCCTTGTCTGTCATTTGAATTGTTATTATAGCAAGTAATGGTATTCGTTGCGCGACTTACCAACAATCATACAGTAGAGATCCCCGACCTGCTCATCAAGTTGCTTCATTCGTCTGTTCTTGTAATACACGTTGCCTTCCGTGACAAACATTGGTTCCCACATATCGTCGACAAGGCTCTCTCCCTCGTAATTGCCGCGGCCGGTGGTGCTATTCAAGCTGACTACGGTGAGAAAGCCTAGTTGCGGATAAAAGATGCAGTTTCGCACATATTCTCGTGCCCATTCTGGGATCTCTGAAATAAGATGGGATGCCGCTTCGTTTAGAAAGTGTTCTAATCCATCATATCTGCGCTTCATCTCATCCAGGTCAGGACTTACTCCTGAACGTACGGTAGTCCGCCGATTCTCCTTTGACTGATTGAAATCGATTATCTCGGCAATGTCTTCCGCAACTTGAAGAAGCTCTCGCTGCATGATGCCTTCAACGACCTTTGATATGCGAGTTAGATCTTTGTAGTTAACAAGATTCTGGTCGATGACTTGCCTTCAAAGATATCGTCAGGGCTTCTGCTCCAACGAGGGTTTGAAGCGCCTCTCGAAGCTCAATGGCATGCCTGGCAAAACGCAGCAATGTTGCCCAAGTACTGTGCTGAATAGAACACCGCCCCGCTAGCAAGCTCACTCCCTTGCGCAGCTGAGCCAGAGTTCCCCTGACATTCTTGATCTTTCTTAAAGTTCTTGAAATCCCCCCTACTGTTGCATTGTTTTCCGGCAATAGCAAGACTGATATCGTTTTCTGTCGCTCTTGTATGGCATTAATATCAATGCTGGGTCTCAGAAATATCTGGCGTAATTTCATCTTCCCCTGCGGTGTGAAAGCCAAGAAATGGAATAGACCGTAAACAGAAAGACTCTCCTTTGAGCTGGAGTTCGACTTATCGGGCCCTTGCATCATGCGGTTGGGATGGCTTTCGTATCGAAGAATCTGAAGTGAGGCTAGTGCATCTGCATTTACAAACATTGAATCGGAGAGTGTGAACATCTCGATCGATTTCACGCGAAAGGCAAACATAGCCTGTGGATCATTCGGGCGGTATTCCGCCGCCTTTCTACGCTGTATGTCATGTAAGACTGCTCCCACGCAACCAATCTAATATGGTCAGACACTTGGTTTGGAAGAGACACTAAAAACATACCGAGAGACGACTGTCGAGATTAATCAAGGTTGCAAGGCGCATAAGTTTATTCTGCTTCTGTCCGACTCGAACGTCTCCAGTCTGAACATCGTCCAACTCATCCTCCGCAACCGTGTTGAACTGCATTGTTTGCGCACCAAGAAACTCGAAATTGAGATTGAGTAGTTGTCTAACTGCCGAGTCGTAACTGAATTCTGAGGAGCCGAGAGAACGCAGAACCCAAGCACCGCGCACTTCACCTACGATCACGTTTAGAATATGCAGGTACAACGACAATTGACGCGTTACCTTGATTATTCCCTTGAACGTCTTGCATCCCAGCTTCAAGGAAATCTCGTAGTTTCTCAGGGGCTCGATTGGCAACAATGACAGTCGTAGGCTCAACATGAACAAGCAACGTCTCGATCAGTTCCATGCCAGCCATCGGGATGTCTTCCTGTAGGAATAGTGCCTCGTCAAGAGCAACATAATAAGCACAGCCAACGGTCCCATTATCCTTCATTTCGAGGGCCATGATTATTTCATGTAATGCATCTGCCTCCTCTTCCTCAGACACGTCGCGAAATGGATGCACTTCCTGCACCGAATCCTGTCGAATTCCTCTAGTCACAGAAGGCGACGTGGACAAACTTCTTGCTTGAGACGATTCTCTTCCATTCAGATACGAGCAAGAAGGCAGTTCTGGTGACGATGATTGCTGGAAAGCGGCTGATCCGCGACGAGGAAGTGGCGTAGATGAATTGCCAACGATCGTGTGTTGAGATTGCCTCGGATATGGCGCCACGGGACGTGATGCTCCAAAGACAGGCGGACTGCCAACATTTCCAACATGCGAGATTCTTGATGAGGATCGTGACTCGACTGACAGAGTCCGTGAAGGCGCCTGGCGCTTCTTCTGGGTCGACCCCATGCTTTCTTCTGAGTTTCCACCAAGATCCTATCCACTTCGAAAGTGTAGCAGCTGGCTATCCCTCTATTCAAAGCTCTATCACAGTATGCGTATAATGTGCTGTAAAATCAACTGAGAGGTTCTGGGGCAATGCGCAGGAATGAAAGCCGACACAAATTGACCGTGCCGCAGAGAAACCGGTCTCCGGAAGTGAGGGCAGGCGTCGAGATGCGTGCTTGAGATTGAAGCAGATAATCCGGGGTAGGCAGTAGCAGAGTCACCTGAAGTATGGAGCAGTTACTTGGTATTTGAAGCTGGCAGTGTATCTGTACAGAGGTTGGCTGTATTAGGGAGGCACGACCGGAGGAAACATTTCTCCTTCTAGTTTCAGTACCAGGCTCATGCTGTCGTGCGAGGCGCTTCAGACCACCACCCAGGCTGATCTGGTGGCTCGCACTTTCCAATAGCCGTCTAATATGTAGCTAGGTAGCTCTCGTAGAATGTTTGCCTGGCTACCGCGATAATCGGGATGGGTGATCATCAACGTTTTTAGGCTTCTGCCTCGTCCCGCTCGTGACTTCTCACATTTCAATCCACAACCTGAATGCTCTGGACTTATCCAAAGCATCTAAAAGACTACAAATGCAATGGCTCAACGTGCCCTCATTTCGCATCTGATTCATTTCTCGCTGCCATTCTTCACCCATTGCGCGAACTCCTTCCTTTGCTTGCGAATGTCCACGAAGCCGGGCCTCGTCTCCAGTAGCCGGAACGGATTACCCACGTAATCCTTCTCTAGTTCACCGTTGCTCTTCAAGAAGCCCTCTTGTCCCTCTCGCTCGATCTTTCCTGCCCAGACACGCCACTGAATAGGTCGTAGGTTTGGTGACGCGAGGACGAGGCCCACTATCGCAACGACCAAGCCCACAATAGTCTCTATTGAAATGTCAACCGGCAACGCCGAGGAAGCCGGTGCTGTTGATGCAAGGGTGGCGCTGGTGGCTCGAAGTGATTGCAGAGCCGAATGCTCCTGCGCTGAATAGCAGCTGTCGTGGCAGAATTAGCTTGTGTTTTCAGGTGTCAGCTTGGGTAGGGCTTACGCATGAGCAACCAGCAGCAGGCCGAAGGAAGAGATTGCCTTCGAGATCCAGGTCATCTTGAAAGGATAGGTGAAAACACGCGATTGGGAGAGTTGAATGAATCGAGGTTGTACTGGGCTGTAGGTGCAAATCACATTGGAGGGACGCTGTGTCTGATTGACGTTAAGGCAAGCTAGCGCGCTTCTCGTTTATTGCATAACTAGCTGCGATTTTAGAGGAGCCTAACCTACTTTGCGGGTCGGTGGCTTCAAGCGGGCTCGAATGTACTTTCCTCATCTAAATCTAAACAATGCTATTGTTGACTCCGACAGGCATACAATATCACCACCTCTAGGTGTATCAACTCTTCAAGCGGCAAATTTGCTTTTGCAGTTGCTTCAAACCCTCAGGACTCTACTTCGACGATAGCGGTCACGTCATACCAATTCCGCGCTATCCAGTTCATAACATTCCTGCGTGTCCAAGAATGCGTGTGCAAAGGAGCCATGTCACACTCCTTATTTCTGCAACGGGAATCACTGCCGTCAAAAGATTCCAATCAAGAGCAAAGTGTTCTATTGTTCAGTGCGCCGGAATATCACCTGGTATTTGAATATCAACCGTTCACTGCAGCGCCAACTACCCCGGCCATACATCCATGGCGATGCTCCGATCGAAGGAAATGAAACAAAGTTAAAGTGATAAGCAGCAATAAAAGTGCAAAAATGCAAGCTTCGTCAAGCTTCAAGGGGATCCAACCAGCTCTCATCCTCAGGCATGGACTTGATATTCCAATTATCATCTGCGCCATGGAGAAATTCATTTTGATGGTCAGCGAGGGGTAGGCCTTCCTCAAAAGTTGCAAATGGCCCGTTGTACGGATGCGAGTTCAGATTTGGATCCCAGCCCATGTCGAATTCATTGTTCAGGAATAGAGGATTGTTGTGAAGCTCGACATCGTACAGTCCATCAGCTGGCAGCAGTAATGGGTCAATCTGCAGCTCGAAAGAGGGCGGTGGCTCATGATACTGCTCCAACATCGCTGGAGGCGGTGACGGCTGTTGATGATGTTGGGGTGGCGGGGAATACTGGGGTGGAATATTGTCAAGCGGAGGCGTATGCTGCATGTGTTGGCTTGGAGAGGGTGTCTTGTGCATCACGACATCCTCGATGCCGCCCCGTCCAAGCATATGCCGGTGTTGAGTGGGCTGAATAGACTGCTGGTAATACAGCCCATTGGCTAGCATGCCAACCTCGTACGGTGCTGGCAATGGCTTCCCGGGGTTGGTGTACTGGAAAGCAGACATGTTCTGTGAGGGCACCATTCTTTGCGCGCTGACCGCAGGGTAAGAATGATACACCACCCTGGCGTGTTGGTAATCGGCGTCCGGATCTGGCATTGGCGTCTTAGCCCGAGATCGGTTTCTGGAGCTTCCTTTGCCCGTCGACCAGTCGAAGTCGCCATGATCCGATCCTTCGCCATTTTCGTTTTCGTCTTTTTTCTTGGGGTTGTTCTTCGGCTTTGCCGGAGTGAACTTGTATCCGGGATGTGCTAATTGATGGTTCGCTCGCTCAAGCGTCGCCCACTCATTGAACTGGATTCGAACATGCTCAGGCTCCAGGGGCCAGCTGTCGCCACACACTTGCGAGACGACTTGATGGTTGTTGTGCAAACACCAGTCCTTGGTTCGATTCTGGTATGCTTTCCGATACAACATGAAAGCATTCATTGGTCGCTTTATCTTGCCAGGGGGTTTCCCGTTCGCGACTTCCTCTAGTCTTACTTCTGAAGAGCGATTGACGTATGCCTCGATATCGACAACGGGTATGTGCGTCCAGTCTTTCGTCAATTCGCTGAGAGGCTTGTCAAGCTTGGCTACCTTCTTTGGTGCTTTCGCTCTATCCTTCTTCCTCTTTGGAGTCTTCTCAACACCCTTAGGCTTTTCTGTTAAGCTTCTCAGTGTCGCACCCCTAGGCACAGCACCGCTACGCAAGTTCATGACATCCGACCGTTGTGATGGTGTCGGCGGAGATGTGGCCGGTGTACTGTAGGGAGGTTGACTCTGCTGGGCCTATTAGCTTTGTTCTCGAAGTTCCTGCAAGAGTCGGTTCTCACCACTGACTGCATCTCATCTGGGAGCGGTCCGTACGGACTTCCTTCATGAGAATACATAGGCTGATACGTTTGCTGTGACGCCTGTTAGCCACTCGACCACCACTGGCACGACACAATCTTACATAATGACTTCGATAGAGCTGTGGGTATCCCATCTCGTATGTCGGAGTTGATGATGCTTGAGGCACCGGCGTTCCATATCTCGATACCGGTTGAGATGATATTCCTAGACCAGTCGCGTCCATGGTGCTATGAGGATAGGAGGTTGTCGCGTTGTGCTGCTGCAGCTGTCTGAAGCCGCTGGGTAGGAACTCGTCGTTAGATGGCGCTGGCGATGGAGGAATAGAAGGATCCATGATTTTGCATGTGTTCTAAGAGAAGGCGTAGAGATGGGGTATGGTGAATGTGGCCGAGCTGATCGGTACTTGGTGTTGAGTCGTCTTTTAAAGCTCTTGCCAGGCTGGCTCAACAGCTCTCTTGGTCTGCTTCTTCCCAGAAGGCTGAAAATTTCGAGGAGATGGAGAGGAAAAGCAAGTCGAGACCTGAGGTGTTCTTGTTGCCAGGCTTTCTGGAACCTGCTGAGTGGCAGATTCTTGAAGAGCTGAGATGACACGAGGGTTGATGAGTGGCGGAGAGCTCGGGTCAACCTAAGGCCCAACGCTAAGATGTGCTTGGGCTATGGATGCAAGCAATGCTGGATCAGCAGCAAGGAGGGTAGTCCTTAAGCAGGATCGACCAAGGGGGCTTCTGGAAAGCTTTCGGTACTCAGGACCTGTGTGGCAAGTGCTCATGTACAGCTGCGTTCTCTGCTGTTGTGAAGAGTGCACAGTTGGAATTGGCTGGGATGGCGTGCTTTTGTTAACGGCAGTAATGCAATTCAAGATTATTGCATAGACCGGTTGCATCAAGCCGTCTGGTAGTGATACACCACTCTGGTGTGCCAGACACCCCTTTTAGAACAAGGTCTTGGAAGGCTGCGCTGGCTGCTGGTATGCCTCCCTCTAAGAATGTGGCCCAGGGTGCTGCTGCTTTCCTGGGGGCTCTTCTGCACAAGTGTGGATTCTTTGTTGCGTTTGACTTCAGGGATGAGGCGCAGGCAAGTGTTGCTGCGTCTCGAAAGGTCTCTGTGAAATAAGCCAGAGAAAGGGAAAACGAGGGCCTTTGTCCAAGCTTCTTGATATCTGGAAAAGAGATTGGTCCCTTTTTGTATTTCCTTCTCTTGAGGCTTCTAGAGTGTTGGTGGTTGAACGCTGAGCCTGCCCTATATGCGGCCATGCCGATTACCGCTTTCAGCAGCCCATTCAAGATTGACTGCCAAGAACATACCCGCTGACCCAACGAGAAGTTAAAGTTCATGTACCTACTTTGGGGTACTCTACAGTTGCTCATCTTGGCCGTGTTCGGGACACTCAGAACCCGGGCCGAGTGATGGCTCTGTTATATAGGACCGAACGGGCTCGAGGATCGTGATTTTACTTCGAACTGGCTGGAATTCTTTCTATTTCTTTTCTACCTATTGTTTGGACGACCTACTGAGATTTCACCTGGTTCATTACTGTGCTGAAGAACGCGTCGACAGCAAGACATACTGCAAACATGCGTGCCTGGGGGCACTTTCGCTGCAGGTTGACAAGCAAGGGAACTCCATCACTGGGCTCCACTGGTTCGCGTGGGCAGCCGTTGTGGGCCCTGAGACTAGATCTAGGCCAACAGAGCCCAAGTGCTTCTCGAATAACGGGTGAGCAGACCGGTGCGATTCTTAGCGTCGTTACACAAGAGCCTCTCTTTCTAGTGTAGTTCGAGCAGCTAGTCATGGCCACCCTTCAGCCCTTCTTCCAGAGGCCATCTGGGGTCCTGTTGGGTTGAAATGGCAATTGGTTGGACGCCCGGAAGTGTCACCTGGGCATCTCATTAGTCGCTCATCCCTTTACTCATTCCTTTGACGCTCCCTGGGGGGAAGACCATGTGCGGGGAAAATAGTGTTTTCCTTTCACGAGACGATCCGTGCTTTGAGTTTGGAGCTATGCTTCATTCTGCTAGGCAGGCAAATGAGATCCCCGAAAGTGTTGTTGTCATCAAGGCTAGGGGGCGCGCGATCGTCCATGGGCCAACAGCCAGTCTTGCATCGAGCGGTGTATTATGGGGGAGGAAGTAATGTGCAGCTGGCAGCCTGCCCAGAAGCTGATGTCTGTCTGTGGCCTGTGGAGCTTGGGCATGCCGGGCATCCCTGTAAGGCTGCCGGCTGGCCGCATTAGTGTGAGCTTCTGTTTGAACATCAGTCGCACCGAAAGGCGGATGAGCCGGTGAGGAAATGGGAGATAATAAGGACCATATTGGCAAGCCAGGCTGGCATAAGGTGATATCTGCCTTGCTGGAGGGTCTTACTACCGTCATCATAGGGAGCTCTGAAGTGCTCGGTTTATACTTGCTCCCTGCTTTGAAGAACACTTCAAAGGTCTTTCAGCGACTTCACACTTCACTCTGATCATCATGTGCCTTCCAGCTGCTCAAAGGAGGAGCCATGGTCCCCCCTTCTCTCGAATTGTTACAGCATTGAAGAGAAGCGATGTCATTTCCGACTGTGATGTCTCCGACGCCATTATTGGATGGCTGGCCCTGGGAATGTGTTGTTCCGTGTCTCTCGCTTCCTGCTAGTCGAGCAGGTAGGGCCGGCTGGCCCTCATCCCAGGGACTTGTCATATTGGTGCGCAGCGATTCCTTCTGTCTTACCTAACGCTCGGTCCAGCAGTTCGCACGACCCGTCGGGTTTTGTGATTGCTCATATATCAGAGCATATGCAGGCGACCTGTACTCTTCTTGCCTCTTAACCCTGTAGATTTTGTTGAAGAAGTTCTTGGCCATTGCCATGCGAAGATTGAGAGGCCTCGTCTCTGTACGAGGCCAGGGGTGTAGCATGTTAAGGGTGGACCACTTTTTGAGGGGCTTGCCGTCGGTGAGACCTAACGACTCAGGCTGTCGAATGGGAGCCAGCGGAGCTTTCCAGTAACCTGCACTATCTATTGATGGTCTAGGGCATGGCTTGGTGTCCAAATATGACAGCTGTCATGACTCCTGGGTTATCATTCCTGCTGGGCGTGGGCTGGTCTGCACATTCTAGGATCTACCTACCAATCACCAAGAGGCAAGTTGAGTACGCGCAAGTCATGTGCCCTGACACTGCGCACCAGCAGAATACTACTCAGAGTAGGACGCTCTAGAAGCACTCTAGAAAGCCTCGTTCCACATCAAATTGTAAGCATCTCATTAGTTCTCTATCCTGTATCTCGTAGTCTAGAATGCCCCTGTCCAAACGCCAGAGAATGCTCGTGAACGCCACCATGCCTAGACCCCTGATCCAACCCCAACTTGGACTACCGCATCACATGATGAAAGGAGCCTCAATTAACCATGTCTTGGTCTTGCGCCACTAAATCTAAGCGGTTGATCATGACGAGCATCTATTGAAGATCGTCCTCTGCGTGGCGCTTTCGGTATGGCCGAAAACATGACAGTCGTCTCTATTTGGGGGATAGGCCACATGATACCCGCGAGCTACGCCCAAAAGATGGCACTAGCCAGAGACATGCTGCGACTGCCCCTTTGCGGGAGATTGCTCTGGAGGAGGATACAGTGGAGGCTGCTGCATCGCGGCCGTCTTAACAGGGGGTGTCAGGTCCTGCAGACGTGGAGACGGCGATAAGGCTGCAATTGGGGGAAGGATGGCCGGCGTGGGACTAGCAGCTGTCTGTTGACTGTTGGCACCGTTGGTGCTATTTCCAAGCTGGCTGTGTTGAAGCGGCGGCGATGTCTTCGTTGGCGACAGACCACCGCGTGAAGAAGGTATCAACGGTGAGCTATCGGTGAAGCTCGCTTGTGGTTGGCTTGGGTTCAAGCGCGGTGTCGCCATCGAGGACGACAATATGCCATGCGGCTTCTCCGGACTAGGCTGGCTTGCAGCGAGGCCAATTGGCGGCGATGAGCCATGAGGAGAGAAGACAGGAGCAGTGGTCTTTGTTGAAGTTGGTGTCTCCTTTGATGGGGACGGGATCATCCCCACATTTGAACTCACGATTCCACTTCCGGCTTGTGGAGAAAGAGGCGAGATGATATTTTGGGAGTTCCCATTATGTGTCAATCGAGGAATTTCTTGTAGTTGGTTCTCTCGACCGCCATTGACAATAGGACTAGACTGATTGAAAATGGAGTCATACGCACGAGACTTGTTCGGTGACTGGTCAGGAGGTGATAAGTTCGGGTGAGGCGAGGAGAAAGGATTGGGTCCTTGACCGTTCAAAGACTGTCGAGGATTCGGGAAAGATGGAGGCACGTGGCTCACACTCGCGCTTGTCGAAATGCTCTGCCCAGCCACGTGGCCTCCGTTTGCCGTTGGCGGCGAAGAGGGTATACTAGGCTTTTGAGGAGAAGGCTGTGGGATACCATCCGGGCCGTTTCCAATTGAGGCGGCTGCCCCATTGGGCTGAGGAGACTTCGTGGTGGGTGCCGGCAGATGAGGCTTTGCCTTGATCTGAGCGAAGAGCTGCGGTGACGACGAAGGGATCCGAGGTGGAGGGATAGGCGTTGTCGAAATGATCTTGGGGGTTGGTGGTGAGCTCGCATCTTGTCCCTTCACCTTGATCTTGATCTTGGTGGGGCGATGCTGGTGCTCTTGCTCTCGACGGCGGCATGAAGGGCAGATGAAATGGAAATCATCGCGGTCAGCTTCCTCCTCCGAGATACCCAAGCATTTACTATGCTGCCAGATATTACAGCGCTCGCAGGCAACACTGTGCGTACCATCATCTATCTGACCATACGCCCCGCATATGCAGTCGAATATCCAGTCCTCTTCCTCTTCCTCTAAATCTTGCAGAGCACGTTTGTTCTTCTCAATTTCAGCTTGGAGACGACGCTCTGACATCCGACCAGTACCCGTGCTCTTGCTGTCCTCGGATAGTTGGGCAAGTTCCTCTTCGTGGAGCAACCGGCGAGCCTCGCGTTCTCTCAAACGATTCTCCCGAGACATCATGCGATTGTCTCTCTCCTTTTCGAGCTTGCGCCGCTTCTCTTCTTCCTTGCGTGCAAGCTCAGCCTCTTCACGGCGTTTACGTTCTTCTTCCCGGACATGCTCTTCCATTTTTTGGTGCTCCGCCTTGTTGGCAATACGGCTAGATCTCTTCGCGTGTGCCATCTTCTCGAGAGCAAGAAGCTCCTTCTCGCGCTGGAGAATCTTTCGCTTTCTTGACTCCTCTTGCTTCTCAAGGATAGGAAGAAGATGTCCTTCGAGTCCATCTCTCAATATCTTTTCGTTCGGATCTTTTGTTTTGCGAATCGTCTCTAGGAAGCTCTTCACCTCATCTAGAGTAACGGCGACACACTCCCATTTTTTGCCTCCCAAGTCATCGTCTTCAGCCTTCGCCGGCTCCTGATTGTCTACATTGTCGTCTTGAGAGGCGTCATCTGCATCGCTGTCTAAAGCAGCGACTATCCGTCTTCGCTTGGCCGCCCTTGCCGCGGCCCTCGCTTTTTGAGAGTTCTTCTTTGGCTTCGGGGCAGGCGGGGGCGAATCAGTCAAACGGTAGACGCGATTGTCGTCCAAAACGAAATAGGTCCGATCTTCGCGATCCCAGCCGAAAGGTTCAATTCTCTGCGCAGCGTCAGCTGTCGTGTTCATGTCGAAATCAAGATATTGACTTCACCTACCCAGCTGGCTTGATCCACGTCCTTCTGCTCTTCCATCTTCTCGCGAATCTTCTCGGGCTGCATCATGACAAATTGAGTCATCTGTTGGAGGATGCGAATCTGTGGAAGCATGGTTAGTGATATTTGTAGAGATGCTTATTGGGTAAGACTTGCGCACCTTGGTATATATGTCGAAGTCGGCGAATTTGGCAGGGGTTTCATCGGTGCCGAATGGGTTCCGCTCAGGCGCTTTAGCAACAAATTGTCTCCTTGTATACTCGTCAAATAGTTCGTGACTGGACAAGTCAGCTTGCAGCTAATAGGTGATGGGGAGGGGAGACGTTACGTTAGCCCTCGATGCGACGACAGATGCTTTAGCAAGCTGAGGCCTATCTCTTGTAGGACCATTGAGTGATGCTTTAAGCATTCGGCTTCGAGGTCCTGTGAGTCTGCATGTCAGTTATGATCGTAGTCAGGGGCGTTGAATGGTAGTTGTCGTACCTCAATGTCGAGATTGTCATCGATTTTGAGCGCCTTGCCGAATATCATGATCCACTGGAAAAGATTTGCAAACTGCCACATATTCCGGATGCGCATGAGCATCGAGGGTTCTTTGGGAGTGTCGACAACATTGTCGTCGACCTCGTGCAAGGCCCGCTTCCTTGCGGACGGCATGGCGATGGAGCTCTGATGGAAACTGCGACTTCTCGGGTACAAACAGGTTGGATTTCTGAGCAGAGGATAAAGAAAGGGATGGATCACGCGAAGGCGGCCGCGACTGTCATGACAGTTGGGCTGGAGCGAAGGGAATGGGCAATTCGCAGGATAGCACAATCAAAGAGGATGCTGATGGGGGAGCTGTTGTGCGCTGTCGCGATTGCGAGTGGTTGTATGGATGTCCGTGATGTGGATGGGCCAAGTCACTTGCAAAAATTCGCGGTTCTCAGAGGCTCGCCGTGGTGCAGACGCGCCGGAACGAAGCAGGGGTGTAAATTTGGTGTACCTTTCCGTCTATGATGCGTCGTTAGGCCCTGTAAATTACCACCAAGACAAAATTGGGGGCCTGTCAGTGCAGGGTGGCGTGTTGCAGGGCGAGGGCGATAAGATAAGAAGCGCACAGACCAGCATCTCGGTCGTACTGTACCTACCTGAGTAGCCTGAGGCATTCCGTACTACTTAGGTACACGACTTCCAAGCTTCAAACTACCAAGTTCAAGTCGCCTGAGGCAGTGAAATAGCTACCTAGTTTCTTACTTCGATGTAGTAAGGAGAGTAAGAAACCCAGCATGTACACTGTAGTCAGGGGTATCAGTAAAGGAAACACCCGGCTGAAAAGGGGATTGGGTCATACTGGGTAGAGCTGGAAACTCTGCAGGAATTTGTGTTGCGCATCCAAGGCACTATTCACAGTGCTCCAATCGACCGTGTTTCAGATCACTATTGTTGGTGTCGCATCCACAGTATGAGCCTACAACGCCAACTAGGCTTGCAAGTGTCCAAGACACTGTGACTCTGGCCATTTTTATCTTATTGACTATCTCATGTAAGTCTAGTACCCAGAAGACCAATTTATGATGAATGAGATGCGTCAAGTCCTATCTTCCAGGTCAAGCCACGGGATACCTGCATTGTTAACGCATTTCCAGGATATCGCAGGTTCTGAAGAGGAACGCGTCTCATCTTGCTTCTAGAATTGGTAACAGTGGGGGCCAATGGACAGTGCGTGGCTGGTGCATGAAAGGATGTACTTTGTCGTTCAGGAGCGCTCCACAACGCTGAGATAAGCACCTACAGTCTACAAACAATACTTCTTGAACATTTGTTTGTGAGAACTTCTGCCTCGTTGCTATAGTTCATATATAATTCGAATAGGTGGCCCTCTCTAGTATTCACTGAGAACCGTCGTGACCGTCACACAATGACTACTAGAACGCGGGAGCCTGGAGGCTCGGAGGCCCGGAAACCCGGAGGAGCGGCGCTCTAGGCCGCTTCTCAGTGACGTGTAATTTGACCGTGGAACATTAAAGTAGTCACTTCGGGACTACATAACAGCTTGATGTCCTAGTAGACATGTCCTGCGATCTGTTCGGTTTCTAGAATTCTTTCCATGGCAGACATTTAGAGATCGTCCGTCAGTTGGCTTCTCTCATCTCCTACAATGGTCTCTTACAAAGAGATTCTGGCTTCTAATGCTCTAATCAACGATGTCACCGCCCCTCGTGTTGCTGTCTTCGTTGGAGGTACATCGGGTATTGGGAAATGCACTCTGAAGGCCCTAGTTGCCACGGGTGTCAGTGTGAGGATTTATCTTGTCGGGCGGAAGAATTCTGAGGAGCGAATGAGTGCTTTCATCCAGGAGTTATCCTCTGTCAATCCCAAGGCTGAGGTTATCTGGACCGAAGGCGAGGTCTCGTTGCTTGCAGAAACAAAGAGGGTATGCGAGGATATCAAAGCTAAGGAGTCATACATCGACTTGCTGTTCCTTACCACTGGCTACGCACCTTTCGGCGCACGCGAGGAGACTCCCGAGGGCGTGGACATTTCCCAGAGCCTGGAATACTACACACGAATGCTTTTCGTTCAAAATCTCCTCCCTGTATTGGCCAAGTCCGAGGCTCCGAGGGTTGTCAGTGTTTTGTGTGGAGGATTGGAGTCGACGTCGTCGCTTAACTTGGACGACCTAGATCTGAAGCAGCCTGGAAACTTTAGCATCATGAAGCTGCAGACACATTACGGAGGCATGACAACCATGTTCATGGACAAGCTGGCCGACGAAAACCCCAACATCACATTCGTCCACTCGTGGCCTGGGTGGGTTGATACAGGCAATATCAGAAGAGGCTTGGGCCCTAGCACAAGTTGGATCATGGGCTGGATTGTCTGGCTTGTCCTTGAGCCCCTTGTTCACTTGTTCTCGTTTAGTGACGATGAGTCTGGACAGAGGCATTTATTCCAAAGTACCAGCGCTGCATTTGGTGGGCGTGGTACGCCATGGAAGGGCAAGTCGGGTGTGAACTCGAGGCAGAAGCAGACGAATGGGCTGTTCCTTGTCAATTTCAAATGCAACTGTACTCCGAACGCGAAGGTCGTGCCTCTGCTTCGAGAGAAGGCACGGGGGAAAGTTTGGGATCATACCCAAGAAGTTTTCAAGCCATATTTGTAAACTAGCAGCTCTGCTTCAGTCATACTCTACCGTACGCCACAGTAATAAACGTTGATTCTTAGAGGGGTGACGATACTCAATATTGAGAGTCTTGATACTCATAAGCTCTCTCATATTCTGTTTATTACTATAGGTCTATCGACTTCTAAAAAGGTATCAAGGCCTTACTGGGGAGGTAATGATACCCTTGCCGAGCTAACATTTCTCACCCTGGTGGAGGAGTATAGAATGTTGATAGACGGGCTCGTCATAGTACCACAATTGATGGTTCTGTTCAGCAAAACACCTACAGTAGAGTCTTGCCCCAACCTGGGCCATAATTACACTGTGTAACCCCTACCTTTTGGGGGTACTTTTGTTTGGCGAGGAATGGATGCAGCTGGTGTCAGCAATGCACTCGGCATAGCAGCATCCCCAAGGGGAGGGGGGGGGTGGGTTCGACTTACCGTAGGCCGAAGCTAATGCACAGCGTACCTCATTTCCTGCCATTAATAGGCTGGCCTTACAGCGCTGGCAGGCGGCGGGATTGGGCGCCGCGCAACGGTGTCAAGGGTGTTTCCTCTTCCCGTTCGTGCGCACAGTGCTCGAAACGGCTTAGCTGGAGGCTGAGCTGAGATCCAATCTGGGGGCATCAAGGGAATCCAGACAGTGTGGCCTGAATTCTCTCCCTCCCCGTCGACCCTGTCTGGTGGTGGGGACTCGGGACCAGACTAGTGTCCCTCCTTAGTGCACGTACAGTGCCTGGTGTTCCGAAAGTACACTAAGAAAAGTGGAAGGAAGGAAGACTGAGGGAGGGAGGACGACACGGACACGAACGACGAATGGACGGGATCCTGCTGCTGCCATGTGAATTCAATCCTCCAGACTGTTTCGAATCTGTCCAGCAACCACCAAAGACGGCAGAAGAACACCACCACCACCTTTCGTTGTCGTCATCAACATTCACGAATCTAGAATCTCTATAGCGTCACTCGTTCGCGTCCTCGAATTTTCCAGTTCCCAGTTCCATTTCAAGTCTCTTCTGTTTAGGCGAGGATCTACCAGCGGTCCCCTGGACAGGCCTCCTGCCCACGATTATCCCACCCTCGACGAGCGCAACGACCACCCGTTTCAGCTTATCATACCCACTTACCATCTTCGGTCTCCCAGGTGTATCCGACAATGCTCCCGACACGACCGTAACGACAACTCTTCGTGATTGCGCCTGGCGCATCTTGAAATCTCGGGGCCCTGCATATGGTACATGGCCTCTGAATATTACTTCTTCCTAATGTGCTCTGATATCCGAGTCTTCCCACCATGACGAACCCCCCGAACTCTCCGCCGCCTCAACAGCCTCCCTCGGCTCCGCCGCGGCAGTCAATTCCTCTCCAGAACCTCAACCGCCCGCCTGATAACCTCGCTCCTGGTCATCCTAGGTCGTCAACCGGGGGCAGCCAGGGCGCCTTCGATCCAGCACGACAACAAGATGCGCAGGACGGGCGGATGAGATACGAGCGGCTGTCTCCCACAACGGCTCAACTGGCTGCAAATCTACCAGGCATAACAACTTACTGGGACACTCCCTATCAACATCGTCCTGGCGAGGGTGTTAGCCCGGAGTCTCCCATGGACCCCACGGCTTTCCAGTTTGCCCTTCCACCTGATATCAGACAAGAACATCAGCCAATGCCAGGAGGAATGGACGAATCCATCGACCCATACGACAATCCCACGCCGTACTATGACGAGCCACAGAATAACGACTACTCTGAGTCAGATCGAGCTCCTTTGACGGCGGCAGCACAGCCGATGGCTGGCCGTCTGAGCGCCCCGGACGGCGCAACCGCTACGCCTAGAGACAGCTTCCAGACGGTACACGACCTAGATGCCAGTCCTCAGCGGTCTCGAGATACTAGGATGCTCGGGTTCGACCTGGAGCCTGGGTTCGGCTCGCGACGAAGCCACGGCTACGGCAATTCCTTGTCACCAGTGGGCCGTACACGGTCCCGATCGTCCTCAACGGCCGGGGCTCTGCAAAGGACCGCGTCCATAGTTCGCGCCATGTCCCAGCGTGTCGTTAATCTTAGTGGTGACGAGATCCTGGAACAGCAGGCGCGGCGGGACAGGTCCCGGTCAAGGTCGCCAAGCGTGGATGGGCGAAGAGAACACCATGTGTCTGCTCCGATGATGGTGGACACCTCTTATCCTCCGCAAGTTGTTCAAACGCCGCTGGAGAAGAAAGGAGAGCCTGAATGGTCGTTCCCATCAGATCCAGCCCCCCTCCCTCCGCGACCGACTCGTATGCCGAACCCTTTGAAGGGAAATTCATTGGGTATATTCCCACCAGACAATCCCATCCGCAAACGTCTCTGCGATATACTTGTATGGCCTTTGACGGAGACGATTCTCCTTGCTTTGATCGTGTTGCAAGCAATACTTCTCGCCGTTGAGGCTTCACCCAATGTCTTTGATCCAGGTAATGGCCGTCCGGATCGATGGGGTAGAACCCGAATTGACTGGGCCATCTTTGGCTTGTTCGTTGTCTTCACTCTGGAACTCTTCGCCAGAATAATTGTCTCGGGCTTCATATTGAACGCCCCTGAGTACAGTACCATTGATCGGAAGCGAGGCGTACGCGCAGCCGTCGTCGACCAATACAGAACCATCTTCCAGCCCCAACGGCAGAAATCTGTGAGAAAGGCACCTCAGGAAAGCTATGGCCCCTCGACATTTGTCCGCTCAGTCACAATGTTACAGGGTCAGCGTGTGCCGGAGACGATAGAAGAACAGCAGCGAATGCAGCTTGCCCGCAGGGCCTTCCTCAGACACGGCTTCAATCGTCTAGATTTCATCGCCGTCGTTTCTTTCTGGATATCGTTTGTGCTGGGCATATCCGGAAGAGAAAAGGAGCATCATATCTATATTTTTCGAATGATGAGTTGCCTGCGAATCGTCAGGCTTCTATCAATTACCAGAGGAAATGCTATTATTCTGCGGAGTCTCAAGAAAGCAGCGCCGTTGTTGGTTCGGGTGTCATTCCTTATTGCCTTCTTCTGGTTGCTATTCGCCATCGTCGGCGTGCAAAGCTTCAAGTCCAGCTTGAAGCGCCAGTGTGTTTGGCTGGATCCTCTTGATCCCAAAAACCTCAGTGCATCCTTCACCAATGATTTCGAATTCTGCGGTGGCCATCTGAACAACGACACCGGAGACACCGAGCCATGGGTTTACAATAAGCCGCCTGGTGAGTTGAACAATTTGATCAACGGAACGACAAGTGGCAAAGGCTTTATATGCCCACGTGGTTCGATATGCCTTCAGCAAGAAAACCCATTCAATGGCACTGTCAACTTCGACAATATCCTCTATTCTCTAGAGCTGGTGTTCGTCATCATGAGCGCAAACACATATTCTGATCTCATGTACTACACAACAAACTCCGACTATCTGCCGGCTGCGTTGTATTTCGGCGCTGGTATCATGATCATGCTCCTGTGGCTAGTCAACTTGCTCATTGCTGTCATTACTTCATCCTTCCAGGTCATTCGGGAAGAGAGCAGAGCTAGTGCTTTCACTGCTGACGAAGATAATTTCATGTCCAAGCGTCCAGACGAGAAGATCAAGAGGGTTTCAGCTCTGCAGAGAATGTACAACAAAACTCAATGGTTCTGGGTTGTTTGCATTGCATTCGATCTTCTTTGCCAATCCGTACGAAGCTCGAGGATGAAGCAAGATCGGGCAACATTCATCCACAACTCAGAGATCATCGTGACAATCCTACTCGATATCGAGATCATCATCCGCCTCGCCGCAAACTTCCGCCGCTTTCACCGCAACCCCCGAAATCTTGTTGATTTCACGCTTGCTGTGATCACCTCAATCATCCTCATTCCACCAATCTATAACTCTGGACAACCCTACGCGTGGCTATCCGTCTTCCAAATTCTCAGAGCTTACCGCGTGGTCCTGGCAGTACCAATGACACGAAAACTTATCCAGCTTGTGCTGGGTAATGCTACCGGTATAGGCAATCTAATGCTGTTCGTCTTCTTGATGACGTTCCTGATGGCAATTTTTGCCTGTCAGTTATTTCGCGGGGAGATTCCTCAGCAGGATTCCAGTGGCGATGATATTGAGATCACTTTCCGCTCAATTTGGAATGCCTTCCTCGGAATGTATCAGATCCTCTCAAGTGAAAACTGGACCGCAATCCTGTATAACGTCACTTCATACACCACCGGTTTCCACACAGCTTGGGTTGGAGGCGTATTTCTAATTGGCTGGTTCATCTTGTCGTTCTTCATTCTCGTCAATATGTTCATTGCTGTCATTCAGGAGAACTTTGACGTAGGTGAAGATATCAAACGCTTGGAACAAGTTCGGGCATTCCTGCAGCGGAAGGAACTGGGAAGCAATTCTAGCAACTTGGCTCTTTCAACTATCTTCGCCTTTGGACGATCGCGCAAGAGGAAAGATCCTTTGGATTACGGCCCGGCTATGATGGAAATGCTACTCAAAGAGGCAGTCGTCCGCGATTTCCTCGATGAGGCCATGGATCCTCTTCAGCAGACCCCGACCGAGGGTCAGACTCCATCATCACAGCCTACCAACGCTGGTAGTGTGAAGCCTGGTATCTTGTCCACGATTTGGGGCAAATTGGTTTCGACTTTTACCAGCAAGGATCCCAACCCGTTCTACTCAAATGTGCGATTTGATAGCAATAATGAAGCGCTTGATCCCCGCCAAATGGCTCGCCAGGTAGTCTCTGCTTCTGCTGAGCGTCGTAAAGCGCAGCGAGCGTACCTTGCTAGACATCCAACATACAACAACTCACTGTTCATGTTTACCCCAAAGAACAAGATCAGGCGTTTGTGCCAACGACTTGTTGGTCCAGGGCGGGGCACCGAACGTTTTGACGGTGTAGAGCCAAACAAGATCGCTTGGTATACATTCTCGGCATTTATCTACATTACAATCGTTGTCATGGTTGTCCTCGCTTGTGTCACCACTCCACTTTACCAGAGGGAATACTTCCAACATCATCCTTTCAGTGTAAAGAACTGGTTTGTGTGGACGGACATGGCTTTCGCAGCTGTTTTCACTGGCGAAGCGATGATCAAGGTCATTGCTGATGGGTTTCTCTGGACGCCAAATGCTTATTTCCGCAGCTCGTGGGGCATAATCGACGCTGTGGTGCTGATAACACTCTGGATCAACGTGATTACCCTTTTCACGAACGATGGTGCAGTTTCTAGGGCAGTCGGTGCGTTCAAGGCTCTGAGAGCGCTTCGATTGTTGAACGTCAGCGACAGTGCTAGAGAAACCTTCCACTCACTTATTATCATTGGATGGTGGAAGATTCTCAGTGCTGCCTTCGTCTCTATCTCCCTCTTGATTCCTTTCGCCATTTATGGTGTCACCCTTTTCAACGGCCAGTTGGTGCAATGCAACGATAGTGACGGTATCCGAATTCTTCAGAATTGCTTTGCCGAATTCAACAGCACGCCTTTCAACAGCGACTGGCCTATGCTTGCACCTCGAGTCGCGGCTAACCCTTACTTCAGCTTTGATGATTTCGGTTCATCATTGTTCATTCTCTTCCAGATTGTCAGTCAAGAGGGATGGGTCGATGTCTCTTTTGCAGCGCAGGCCATCACTGGGAAAGGTCTCCAGCCCGAGTTCCAAGCTTCTCAAGGGAACGCAGTGTTCTTCGTGGTGTTCAATCTCTTGGCCACTGTCTTCGTGCTCACCTTGTTCATTTCCGTCTTCATGCGGAATTACACGGAACAGACAGGTGTTGCTTTCTTGACGGCCGAACAGCGGTCCTGGCTGGAGCTTCGCAAACTCCTTCGTCAGATCTCGCCTTCCAAGAGCTCGTATGATGAATCGAAGAAAAAGTGGAAGAAGTGGTGCCATAAAAGAGCCATCGAAAAGAGGGGCAAGTGGTACATCGGGATAACCGTGATCCTTGTCTTTCACCTCATCCTGCTATTGCTCGAATTCTATCAGGAGCCTGAATGGTGGACCAGGACAAGAGATATTATCTTCCTTGTCTTCACTTTGATATACATGGCAAATATCTTGATTCGAGTCATTGGTCTGGGCTGGAGTCGCTTCCGTCGAAGCTCCTGGGATCTCTATTCGCTGGTCGCGGTTACGGGAGCTTTTGCCACATCAGTCCTCTTCCTCACAAGGACACACTACGATACCTACATTCAACTCCACAAGTTCTTCCTTGTGGCTATCGTGTTGCTCCTCATCCCACGAAATGATGCGCTTGACCAGCTGTTCAAGACGGCTGCTGCTAGTCTCACGACTATTGGCAACCTACTGGCAACTTGGCTTGTATTCTTCCTGGTTTTCGCCATCGGTCTCACTCAAACATTCAGCTTGACACGATTTGGCGAGTCGGAGGACAATAATGTCAACCTCCGGACCGTGCCGAATGCGCTTATCCTGCTATTCCGCATGAGTACCGGCGAGGGCTGGAATCAAATCATGGAAGACTTTGCAACGGTGAAGCCTCCTTTCTGCGTGGAGAGCTCCGAGTTCTATGACAGTGATTGTGGTAGTACTGCCTGGGCTCGTGTTCTTTTCATCGCGTGGAACATTCTCAGCATGTATATCTTTGTCAACTTGTTCGTGTCGCTCATCTACGAGAGTTTCTCGTATGTGTACCAGCGCTCGAGCGGCCTAGCCGTCGTTGATAGAGATGAAATTCGACGTTTCAAAGAGGCTTGGCGAAGCGTTGATCCCGCCGGCACAGGCTTCATCAGCAAGGAGGCTTTCCCTCGTCTCCTTGGAGAGCTATCTGGTGTCTTTGAGATGCGCATCTACGATGCGGAAGACTCAGTGAGCCAGATCTTGGAAGACGTACGAAGCGATGTCCGGACATCAAGACACACTTCAATTGCCACGCAGAGTGCCTACTCCGGCGTCGATATAGTGAAGCTCAACCAGAGGTTAGCTCAGATCGATGTCGCCAAGGTGCGGGAGCGCCGTCGTCGGTTCAACATCTTCTTTGAGGAAGTCATGGTCTCCGCCGATCCGGACAGGGGAATTTCTTTCACGACTGTACTTATGATCCTGGCTCATTACAACATCATTAGCGACAGCAAGAGCTTACGGTATGATGATTTCATCCCCATATTGATCGGTCACTAGCTAATACATGAACAGACTTGAGGAGTTCTTGCGTCGCCGTGCCCGGCTCCAGCGCGTTGAGGAAGAAGTCCGTCGGCGAATCGTTCTCGGCTTCTTCGACACATTGTGAGTTGTACTTGGTTCAGACTCGATCATAAGCAAACACTAACTCTTGCCAGGTATTGGTCTAGGAAATTCAAGCGACACATGGAGAGCAAGCGGTCGGCACGCATGACAGGTGTTCCTCAGCTTGATGTCCCAGACATCCTTGTCGACGACGAGGAGGAGCGCGAAGCCAGGAAGTCTCGGCAGCAATCAGTGGCATCCACCGCAGGCGAGGCGCCGCACCGAGCATCCTCAACCTTCCTCAGCCCGGAGGAAGCTCGGGCGCATCACAGGACATGGTCTGGAGCCAGTCAGGATCTGTCTCTCCATGATACCAACTATGCGCACCCTCTGAGTCTTCCTCGGGCACAGCCCATGACACCGGGTGGTCAGCACCGCTCTACTGTTTCCGCCTTCAGTTTTGAACTGCAAGAGCCAAACTCCGAGCATAACTCGGCTGCTAGTAGTAGACGAGGGAGCGCGGTCAGTCCGGCACAGGTTAGAGAGATGCTAGATGACTCGGTGTGGGTTGAGAGTATCCGTCGTAGCGCGACGATGAGGCGGCCGCCTGACTGGGGTGGCTATAGGTGAACACCCCAGGGAGAGGACGAGTTACAATGACTGGAGCGACATCAAGAAACTCATGGCCGCTACACAAAAAGCTCATGAAATTCGTGAGCTCCAAACTACGATTTGCTTTTTTATTTATTTACTTTGCGGAAGGTCGAGAAGACCTGGCGTTTTCAGGACTGATAAATGGGTATTGCTATGAAAGGTCTGGGCAGACCAAAATCTCTTGCCTACTCTTATGTCAACTCTACGAACGAAAGAAATGCGGAGGAGGGCGGTAATACGGGCTTGTGCATGGGTGGCATGAAAGCCCAGGAGGAGATACCATGAATGGAAGGAGGGTTGGATAAGGTCTGACGAGGAGAAATGCTCTGATTGAAGTGTGGTCAGGGGGGTCTACTCATATTACACGGACCGGTCGTCACATGCACGAGACCGATGAGGGCCGGCTTTTTGTTTATATGTCTCTTTTTCATGTCCCTATTAAGGCACGGCGCTGTGGAGAGAGGATTGTATCCATAGGTTTTGCATAGAGCGAGCGAGTTCAAATGAGTGCCGAGTATTCAAATGCGTTTGAAAACTGTGAGAAGCTCCTTGCAGGCGGTCGAGCATTCTATTCGACTACGCCAGATGTCTGTCTTTGGATGTCAAGTAGTAAAATGCCATGATGTGATGTTTTACTCTTATCACATACGCTAGAATGACGGCCCGCGCCTCAGGTATAATACGTGAAGCCACGATCGCTCCTTGATGGTGGTATTGCTTGATATAGCAGCTACATACTCGCAACATCAAATTCCTTCGACCATGTGAACTCTCCCCTGTATATACGGTTTCTTCAGAGCCTATCGAGTTTCCCCCGCGACAAAGTTCCTGATATGTACCATCACGTCGTGCCCAACTCTCTGTTATCCAGACCAAGTACTGTATAATAACATATTATCGGCGGCGCGATCAATGTAAGAACACCAAGAATGAGGCTCCATCTAGGCTGGAAATCTTCGTCCTCCTCACTCTGAGGCAGCCAATACCACCAGCTAACACGACGCGTTGCGAACTGGTAGAACGCCAGCTTGAGGGAGCCGGTCAATGTCGGGAAGGCCATGATGCCGGCACAAGCGACAATTGTGTCCCAAAGTAGTGCCAATAGCAGGTACGTGATCAGAGAGACCCGGGAGCTCGTCCATAAACAGTAACACCTGCATGATGAGTTGATATATGATTAGAGCGAAGGCATATTCGGCTGGTTCGGCGAAATCGCTCGGCTGTAACGCGTCTCCGTCCCGGCGTGGTTTTGTTGAGGCGAGCAAGGCAGAAAAGAAGGCCACTGGGAGTACCCAGAACTGAGTATGGAGAGTTGACTTGCCAAACGGCCTAGAGAAGAGATCGAAGAGGTGGACCAGCAAGCTGAGACATTCTGACCAGACCAGTAGGCCTCGAGCGTAATAGTCGGGCTCGGAAGGTAGGAATGGGAAAGCGACGAGCGGTAGCAATACGCTCATCGTGTTGAGCGTTTCCGGGCTTGGTAAACCCGCGGTGGGGAACACAGAACCGGAGGTGAAAGGGCAAGTATTGTCCAGCGGTCCAAATAGCGACTGCGTGTGCGTTTGCGAATATACTGGTGCCATTTGGTCTTATATGAGCGTTGGCAGCCGGAGGCTGACGTGTGATTATGAATGTTATTGATGGCTCAGGGAATACTCAAGCAGCTTGCGACGGCAGCGCCGCCTTTCATGCCCATGGTGATGCCCAGCTTTCTCCGATGGTTAACAGCAGGTCGTGGATTCTGAAGATTGCCATGTGTGGAACTAGCCACTTGAACCAAGGTTGAACCACGGTTTCGAACGTCCATTGCCGTTGTAAGTTTGACAGCGTTGATCGAAACCCACTTAAGGAACGTCGCTCCTCGGTAATTCGTCGGTTTTGACTGAAAGAGCTTGAATCTGCTAGCCTCTTGTGATTGTGCTATATCCCATATCAGTTCAACTGACTTGCGCAGGAAGGTTCTGGCAAACAGGAAAAAGAAACGATCGCTCTCGATTCGTAGTCATAGACGCCCGAATTTAATCGTTCGTGAAAATCGAACGGAGATACGCTGTGGATGACTTCGACACTTCGATCCACGCTCGTCATCGAACAACGATTGTCGACTTTCGCAAGGTCACACGAACATCGACCTATGCAGCTCGCAGTGATCTCGATCGTCGATAAAGAGACTCTGCACGGAATGGAGGGATAGGCGGTCTCGATGACTCAGCTCACAGGGTGGGCGATGTCGAATGTGGTCGAGTAGAGGGCGATAATATGGGGATATTGAGTTGGGGGACAGTGGTCCTGTCATATATCAGGCTTGTAGGGCTCATCAGATGACAGATAGAACTCCGACTTGTATTACTCTCTCTAATTCATCCACCATCTACTCACATTTACAACACAGTAAAGCGTGGATCACAGCACTCCAGTCCAATCTTGTATAGATCTGACCACATCGATGCAGCCGTCAGTCACAGGGCCAGTGTGGTCGGTAGGTGATGAAGCATTACAAAAGGGATGAAGAAAAATATATCAGATCAACAAGAGAATGGCGAGCTCATTGCCCTGTCGAGAGTTGGAGGGGTCCTACGCAGCCTATCCATCTCTCCAGATACCTGGGTAGTTGTTCAAAATCCAATTTGCCATTGCCCGTCCAATCTCGAGCTTATTCATTATCAAAGATTCATGTCAGTGGTGTTGAATTACGCTGCGACCTTTGTGCCGCCTCCTCCCTTATCTGCGTGCTTACATTACATTTGTTATTCGACTACTAGGAGTCGGCTCTTCTAGGGAGCAACCTGGTCACATGATAGAGATGTTGAGGATCTTGGCTAGGGTTGAGCGAATGGGATGATGTGGCTCTTAGAGAAAAGTTACGAGAAGTTGGTACAGGGCGGGTCCCTCTCACAGCCACGCATCTAAAGAAGACGCCCTCAGCAATTTTGGTAACTTCGAGGAGACTTGTCCTTATGTTAGGAGTTGGACTCGATATAGGATTCTACGAATTGAAGAAAACATGAACCCCTCTCCACTTCTGCCATTCGTTCTAATTGAGAGATGTCTTAGATGCGAGAACAGGTCTCGGGCCTAGGGTCGATCTTTTGTGTGATCGACGAGGCAGCGAACGTTGGGTCGGAGAGGCATGAATGGAACCACTCGAATCATCACCTACCTCTATCGCACCCCGGACTCAGCCTCTTGCATGATGGAACTTTGGCAAGAGGAGGCGGTGCTGTATTGCGCCTTTATGATATTGTATGCAGCGGAGAAGCCACGCAAGCTCAGTACGTTTTCAATGGCGTACATGGACAGCTTTGAAGACATTCTATTGGATCTAAATTCCAAGGCCCATGATAGATATCCAGTGATTGATCGTGAAGAACTGGGGAGCCGACGAATTGTCCATTCCAGTGCGGGGATCCAGCAACAGTTAATGCTCCTTGACAAGAGACTTCCCGTAGTAGGCTTCCCTTGGATAAGTAAAGGGATGGTGGATCTATTGCGAGAAAACAGAGTCAAGCCCGGCAGTTGCCATCGAAGCAAAAGCTCTCGATATGAAGAGGGGGGAATGGCAAGTCATGTGGTGAGAAGAGAGTAATCAAAATGTTCACGTCTTCCAGAAAGCTTCGATACGTGGTGGACATTGGATGGATAGCAGCGGTGATAATTGTTGACTGTATCAGGTCTTATCAGCGAAGGGGGTGAGGTGCAGGTGCAGGTGGTGATTGAAGTGATGGTGGTGTTGAGGGGACCCGCACTCATTGTGTTGTGAAACAGCCGTGCAATCCTTGCCCAACAGCCCTTCGAGACAGTGGGGTGGGGCCCCCTGGCGAACCCCTGAAAAGCCGGCGACGGGCCCTGGACCTGGACTTGCTGGACTAGAGCTCCACCCTGCATCTCGCCCTTCTCCCTCGTCTGGCCCTTCAAGGTTCTTCTCGATGACGATCACACAACGCCAACGCGCATCAGCTCCAGCAGCTAACGTTATGCATCCAACGCAGCTCTTGCATGCTCCTGCTCCCGCTCCCCCTCCCCCAGGCGGCTTCAGCCTCTGACGGCCTTGATACGCACCAGCCTGCAGAGCCCCTTCCCTCTCTCAAATCTCAAAAGCCCAGGGCTCGCACACATCTTGTACGTAAGCAGGTCTAATCCCCTTTGGGCGACCCCAGGGGCTTCTCTGGCTTCTCTGGCTTCTCTGGCTGGCAGTCGATTTTGTTTCACCACTGCTCTTTGCGAAGTTTCCTGTCCATGTTCGCCTACCAAGCTAAAACAAACTCGATGCTTCTTGTGCCTGTCCAAGACTCCGCGGCCTTGCCACTGGCTCCACCGTGACCGGCAGCAGCACGCTGGTCCATCACCGCTTCCGAATCATGGGCGTCCATCTCGTGTCGGGACTTGGACCATCCTCTCGCCCGCTGCACTCCTGTCGTGTTGATGCTGTCACTCTGTCACTCAGTCACTCAGTCACTCACTCAGCAACGGGGCTCTGCTGGTGATGCAACGCCAGCTGTCTGTGACTCTGCAGTGAGCAAGTCCCGGTCCCTCTCGCTCCTGGGCCCGGCTGCCTCTGTGCGTATGTGCGAGCATAGCATTGCGGATGAGATGGCTGTACTTCTGAATATCCCTGGTCCAAGTGGCCCCAGTGGTCCCAGTGGAAAAAGGCATGCCATCCTCGCATTGAGTCGTCGTCCCAACATGGCAGAGCTTGCCGGTGATCGCATTAAGCCCTCCCTGCGTCACCCCCCTGACCTGCTACTGGTGATATTGAGCGTTCCCTTCAGTCTGCTAAGCGGGCCCTACCTTGTCTCGCCTGTCCTACCCCCCCAGGCAAGGCCTGGTCAGAGATCGGTAGCCCCGTCCATTCCACTCTGTCTCTGTCTGTGCAGCGTGTTTTGTGAGGAGGTCGTTCTATTTCCATCCAAGAAACTTGGAAAGGCCCCGTCTCCTCGTCTCCTAGTGTCCCTCGCATTCATTAATCATATAATACTTAAAGCAAAGAAGACACGGCTCTTCCTTCCATGCCAGCCCTTCTCTCGTCTTGTCTCCCCCAGCACCTCGCGCTCCGCCTCAACCCACCGAGTGTGTTGACGACGACGACTGTCGATAGATCCTGCTCAGCTATTTCTCTCTCTCCCTTGCTAAGCTGTTCTTCATTTCTCCCACATCCCATGATCTCCACCCAGACCAGATCGTCCTGTCTTTAAACCATTCGCTTCTCGTCCTTCGCTTCACTCCGGTTTGCAACCCCCAGGCTGAGCCTTTTTGATACCCCGACTTTAATACTCCGGCCATACCCCCGGGACTTTCTACAACCACCACTTTTACTCAGCCAGCCTGCCTGCTGCTCCAACTTGAGCCACCACCATCGTCATCGTCAAACCCTCGGGATACTATCGAACGAAAAGAGCTCATCCCCACCAACCATCAAGATGCAGTCCTCCCGCTTCCACGCCATCACGGCCCGCTTCTCAGCCCACAACATCAGGACCTCCTTCCGCCGGTCTTCATCTGCCTCCTCCCGAGCAAGCAGCAACAGAGGCTCCTTCTCCTCACAGGAGTCATCTCCGGTCTCCACAATCAACAGCATCATCTTCCGCCAGCCGTCACTCGTTGACCTGGAGGAGGAGCGCAAGAGCTTCGGCCCCGAGCTGAACATCCTCGAGCCGAGGCCTGTTGTCTTTTACGGCAGCCTAGAGGAGCGCATGGGCAGCTTCTAAAGCACCAATCTACAAAACATGCTCAGAACCAATTGTCGAGTACGATGGAGCCTTCTATTCTTGAACCAAAACTTTTACCACAAATATTCGGAGTTACTTGAAGACAGAGATACGGCGCAGGATTTTAAACCACGATAGCAACATTGGATGTTGGATGGAATGGGACAATCGCCCACGAGAAGAGAGTTTCGGTGCATCGTCATGAAACGGAGGGGGGGAGGTGTGGTCTAGAGACCCTTTTTTTTGCTTACAGGAACGATACAACTGCACACAGCCCACTAGGATATCGGAGGATCGGCTAATGGCGTAACACGGGCGTTCTCTTCGAAACGATTCAGCTGATTGCTTGGGGGAGGAAATCATGAGATCTGATGTTCGTACGACCCAAGAGCGAGATGAAAAAGATGCTCAAATGAGAATAAAGAGTTCTGGTGTTCACCGCCAGTCTTTACCTACAACTTGCTTCTGTCCCGTCCTTTCTGTGCATGTGTTGTTCGGTTTGTGGAATCATATAAACTAGCTTCTTCACTATACACACCAACTACACGACGGTGACTCAAGAAAGGTCCAGCAAGTTTTGGGGCTAGTCACCATCGTGTTTACTACTTGTGTTGACCTCACCAAACTTGTCGGAAGTGTGCTTCCCGTTCCTTGTTCGAAGAGTTCTTGGCAGGGTTTCATCTGACATTGTGAGTGAGCCGAGTGGATTACACACTTACCCCTGGCTCGTTTCGTGTCCTGGCCATGGGACCTTCCACCCACATGAGCGTCTTCTGCCTTTACTGACCGCCTGTATTTGTTTCTTTCTCAATCACCAATCGCCATCGTTGGATATCACTGGAGGAACTGGCATGTGTGGTTGTTGGCTCGTCGATCGAGGGTGACGTCAATGCCACTATTCCCAGTAGTTGGAGCATCGGATCAATAATCCTCCAAACTGCCCATGGAAGGTGAAAACTGGGGAAATTGCCGAAGACATTCGGTGATACAACCGCATTGCCCAGCTCATAAATACTTCTCTTCTCATCACTCCTGAGTATCTGTGTATCGGAACCCTTCAGGGGCTCTGTCTCTTTGCTAAGCTGCTGTATATCAAGGATAGGAATATGGGTTTAAGGCCAGCGTTAGCTGCATGGGCATCAGGAGTTGACGCATTCTTTGTAGGATCTCTCACTCGATGTAGAGCGCCATCCAAATTGACACAGAACCTAGTTTTTAAGTGTTGATTCGGCTCTTAAACACATAAGAAAGATAGGTGGTGACCAACATCTCGCTTGGCAATGTTACCCCTTTCGCGTACCTGTAGATTGCAGTCTCTCCATATTCCCTTATATTAATGTGATAAACCTTAATTTTGCTCTATAATTCATCAGCACATCAAAGTTTCTTGAATATAGAACTTCAGCTCTCAGGGCTCAAGTTCCCTATGAGGAGCTGGCAATGTTGATTCAGTCTTCAATGCTTTCATCAGCGGCAAAAGAATCACCAAAAACCAGGGCAAGTGGCACATCTACAAGATGCTCTCGACCAAACTCGTCATTGTAAATTGTGCCGTGAGAATCTGTAGCTTACTTGTATTACAAGGTAGCCAAACCACTTATCTGTGTAAAACTTTGGTGACTCGAATGGGATTCGTCTGATGTTCTAGAGCTTCTGTCTTACATTGAAGCAACATGCTCAAAGAAGCTTCCCACTCACCAGCAGAGTTCACATGAGATGACGACAAACAACACAAAAATATCAACACGTCTTTTCGCGTCACTCAAATTTGTATCTGGCCCCCCAAACTTTTCTTTATCTAGTCGACTGTGCCAATACAAAATCTACTGATACTTTCCTGACTTTTTTGAATGGGTCTCAGCTATAATTCACAACTCCCACACTTCCAGATATCACCCAGAAGACGATCAGAAGCATACTACAACAATCAACAAACATCCTCAGTCTGAAATCATGGCAGAATTGCGAGACACTACGCTCCCAGCACAAACAGGTTCACAAGTTTCTTGCTCTTCCGACAAGCAGATAATGACAAAGCAGAGCAAACCCCTCCCGCACTTCTCAAAACTCTCCAAGTATAAGGAGGCCATGGTCTCCCGAGTTCCTTCTATCGATGATCATGCCATGTTGGAGGACGACGAGGACCTGTCCCCCACGCTCAGCGAGCTCGAAGCTCTCGGTGATGTGGAGGTGGACCCTGAGGACAAGACCCCGAACCACCACCATATCGAATGCTCTTGCACTGGAAGCGACACACTCAAGCCAAAACCTATCCCCACGCGCAAGACGAGCAGCTTCTCCGGCCTGTACGACGCAGAGAGCAGACTTTCCCAAGCGTGGTCCTTCATGACCACATACGAGCGCGTGGATTGGGACCGGCCCGAGTTGCTCCAAGCAGAGCGCCCGCCGCCGACACGAGCACAGCAGATCCGGGATTTTGCGAGACGGGCGATCAGGAAGCTGAGGGAGATGAAGCGGCAGACTTGCCGAGAGGCCAAGGGCTTCAAGATCCTGGACTCTCCTCGGCTGGAGGGCCGCGTGGGCGCCTGACCTTCTCTGTGTCCCTCCATCTGATGATGGCGGCTCTGCCACGCATGAGACACCAGGTGTCTTGGCTGTCATGATTCACTGTACAACATAGCATCAGTCACTTTCAGGAAGGCGACAAAAGAAGCGCACATGAAGAGCGAGAGAGAACCCGTCTAGTCTTTCTCGTACTCTCCGTCCTCGCCCAGGCCTGATCGTCACATTCCGTCAACTCAGGAGGCGCCCTCTCCCAACGTCCTGGCCACTCACTTTCAGGCGCTACACACCACCACCGGCTCTCTCGCCATTCTCCCAGCATCCCAGCGATGTCAGAAGAAGCCACCGGCGAAGATTTCTGCCTCGATGGCCCCGTGCCTTTCAAGATCTGGTGGCTAGGCGGCGGAACGGGCCGACCTCCATCATGGCAAGGTTTCCTACGGATGACCCGCGAGCGAAACGAACAGCGAGCAGCACAGAAAGCGTGGAAGGCAGCAAAGAAGGAGGCGCTGCGTGCTACGAAGGAGCAATGGCGCAGTGGTAGGAGAGACAGAGATCTGCGACGCTGGCACCGAGAACACATGGAGGGCCAAGTCGTGGTTCACGAAGACAACGGGCAAGGGACAAATCAGGATGAGAGCGATTCCGATCAGGAGAATGGTGCTCCGGGAGGAGGATAGGGAAGTGCTGCTGGGGCATGTTGGCCGAGCCTGAACGGACGGCGCGGCGAGTATGTCGCACTTATTACACGTCAACTCGTCGGCAATAATACATAATTCTCACTCAAAGCATGTCAAGCTGCCAAGATGTTGTTGTTCAATGCATTTATTTCATTCCATGCCAACCAAACGTGAACAGTACGTCAGTGAATACTCCAACAAATAGTATGTACAGTTTTTCCTTGACTCTCCGTCGCAAACATGTATACGACACAAAATGCTGTTTGCCAATCTTGACAATCCAATTATCCCTCGAGCCAAGCAAGGTATTATAGGATGGGCATGGTGCAAATCCTCACTCCGCAGGAGCGAGCTAGCCAATGTCCAAACAACTCAGGATCTAGTCAAGATCAGGCGGCAACAAGTTGAGCGTGTTCCTTAGAGAAGAGCCAACAAGGCAAAGAATATTGAAATGTTAAGCATGCCTGGTACGCCTCTTGCCGATGGAACGCCGGACGCCGCCGCGATGACACAAGGTGCGGAATCCGACAGGAGAGAAAAAGAGAAATAAAAATCATTGGGTAATAATATCCTGTCACCATAGACTGGCATCCACGTAACGATTTGTCCGAAGGTCGCCAGTCGACCCGAGTCGTGTAGATACTCCAAACAAGTCTAGAAAGAGGATGACTGAAACAGTGGCGGGGCAAGGTGAAGTGGATGTTGGAGTGTGGTGGGAAGAAGTTATCCATTTATGATTCATTCATTGCGTGTCGTGAAATTTTTCTGCGCCCGTATCCTGAGACTCTATCACTCTGGAGAATCTGTCCGACCAGGTTGATCAGCTAATCTGGTCAATGGACAGCTCAGTATCTGTGATACCAAAGTGGACCGCGTTCTTCTTGGCCCACTGGCGGGTTAGGATGGAAGCCTTCAGGAACTTCTTGCTAGCATACTTCTTGAAGAATGCCTCGTGAACGATAGGCCGAGCAAGATAGTCAACCATCAGCTGGAAGACAGGCTCGATCTCTTCCTCAGTGTAGCCAGCATAGTACGACAAGGTCTCGTCCCACTCGCCGCGATCCAGAATCAGACGCGCCAGGTACATAGCACCGGCGGCGACGTGACTGGGGCGGTAAGCCATGAAGCGGTGGTCGAGAAGAGATATCTCCATAAGATATTTTCCGATAGTTCGTGACTGGATATCATAGTTGTCGGCCTTTGAAATTCGGCGCAGGAAGTTCATGGGGTTGGGATAGCTGAGGTCGTAGTTGAGGGTGGTAAGGATAAAGCGTTCAGCGCTGAGGATCTCAGATTCGCTGAAGCCGTCGTCGGCGACGTGACGGAAGTTGGCGACATGGGGAGATAGGACCTCCTCATATTTAGACGCGATGAACATGGCAGTGATGCCGACAAGCTGTAGACGATCAAGCTGGACGACCTTCTCGGATAGGAAGCGGTCGATGACGTTGATGGCTAAGAAGAGTGTCTCGGGTAGGAGGTGGAAACGCGTGTGCACCTCAATCAGCCAGTCGATGAGGATACCACGAGTTTTCCACTCAAGGTCATCCTGGTGTGACATGTACTGCGGGTTAGGAACGGAGTTGCACTCGAGATCGCGTAGATACTCGAAGATCTCGTTCGCGTACTCAGCAACCATGAGAGGATCATCGAGATCCTCGCTGTCCAGGTCCTTCACGCCCTCGGGGTACACTGGTTGAGCATCTTGCAGGTCGACAGCAGACACGTTCTTAACGGACGTGGCCGACTTGCTGGCAGCTTCCTCTGCTTTCACACGCTTCTCAGACTCCGTCGTATGAGCCTTCTTGCGGAGAGGCTCGCCCTCCTCAGCGGGAGTGTTCTCCTTGACACTCGATGTCGCAGAAGCTGTGACCTTTCTCTTCTGAACAGCACCAATAGCACCGGCTCCCGATCGCTTAATCTCCACCTTCTTGTTGGTCTCCTTGGTAGAGAGGGCGGTTCGCGTTGTGGTAGGCCTCGAAGTGTTCTTCTGAATACCAGACGGCTGTGCAGCTTTGGAGACTAGACCGGCCTTGCCTGCCTTCTTGCCATCATTGACATCGGCCTTGGTCACATTGGACACATCGCCCAGAGCGGCACGCTTTCGACCTGCTTGGGGCTGGGCATTTAGAGTCGACTTCTTTGACTGCAGAGGTTTTGATGGCAGAGAGAGCTCGTCTCCATTAAGGGCGGCAGACTTGGCTCGCGTCATCATTCGCGTCGAGTTGCTGTTCTCGTCATTCTCGTTGGTTACGAGACGCCTGGTGGCGGGACGTCCCTAAGACGACAGTCAGAACGAGCTTAGAACGCGATAGGCACGCTTCAATCGCGTCTGGAGACGGCATGGGTGATGTCAAAGACTTACAGGGCCCATTGTGGCGGTGGAGAAAGAGACTGCTAAAAGAAGGTCTCAAGGGAGTACTGTACTCGAGTCAGAATGTTGACATCTCAGAGCATATCAGAGAAGGTTGTGATCTGTGGTAGTGTTTTCTTATATACCATTTTGGGTAGAAGGTGTTGGGGTTATGTTGAGGGTGCGAGTTGCCTGGGAACGCGCGGTGGAATAACACGCCTCCCAAAACAAGGCAATGGCTCCAAGTGGAAGCTAGAAGAGGAAAAATCACTGACATTCAAGGTATACGGGAAGAGATGCTCAAAGAGGAGCTATCTCGTGTATGTTGTTGAGTGAATATGGATATGCCTGGTTGATACTGCGGGATGATCAACAAGAGGGACCGAGGCAGGGCGAGTTCGGTGCAGGCGTGGTAAAGGGCTGGGAGGGATCGAGAAGTGTGTTGATCCTCGTGAAGAAGAGAATTGATGTTCTCGGAGGAGAAGAAGAAGTAGTCAACTCCCGGCTGCCCAATGTAGGAAGAATGACAAGAGGTCGAGCAGTGGAGAGGACTTGGAGAGGATGATGTTTATGTGCAGAGGAGCCCTTGTTTTTAGAAGTGTTTGGTGGTGGAGTGCAAGAGCCAGGCCTTGCTTGGCTTGGTCGGCTGGCGACGAGACGTGTAGGAGTGGGACAGACAAGGTACCGTGCTGGCGTGCCCGGCTGGGATGATGTACCTACCTACCTCAGGTGTCTTAGCGCGAAATCCACGGGCTGGCGACTCGTGATGGAATCCAGGTGCACGATCTTAATCTCCAGGCTCGACTGTAGTATGTACCTCGGGACAATTGAGAGCAGGAGAGAAGAGTGTTGTTGTTGGTTGAGGCTTCTCGTTGAACAGGAATTGTCTCTGCAAACACGTACGTCCCAGGAAGAAGAAGAAGAGGAGGAGGAGGAGGAGGATTAACAAGAGATCGCGGTGCAGGGAGTAAGAACAGAGGATGCGCGTATACAAGAGCAGAGCATCAGTAGCTGTAGCTGTGCAGGTGTACAGTAGTGTAGTGTAGAGATCTGGTGGACAAGCAAGATCGAGAGGTGGAGGAGCTCTGGCTGGCTGGCAGAAAGGTACATGCACCTGGCGCCTGGTACGCGACGAGCTACGTAGGTACTGTCCGGGACGACTGAGACGGCCCGTAAGAAAACCCACAGTCAATAATGGCAACCGCGGGGCAACGGCCTCCTGACTGGTTGCCACGGCTCCACTGCTGCAGCAAGCAAGGGAGACGCTGTTCCTTCCGTGTGTTGTCGCGCTCTCTCCTGTGGCTGCACGCGAAAGTGGACCTTAAGCCACACGGACTTGCTGACCTAACCATTGAGGCTCAGTCGTCGTCCACAAGTGCCCAGTCCTCGGCTCCGGACTAACATTGCCTCCTGACATTTTTCGAAGCTCTTCAATGGCTCGATTTTGAGGTAATCGCGACGACCATCCAGCTCTCCGTAGAGCGCCATTGCTGGTCAATTGCCCCTTTGCGACCAATTCATCCTCTCTGTCTGTGGATGGCTCAAGGCCCAATGTGGTTCTATCGTTACTAAAGCCCTGCAACCACATACAAGCTCCATCAAGAGCTCTCTCCCCGGGCACGCCATGCTGCAGCCACGGTTGCGGCCATTGGCCTCGGGCAAGGCCCTCGCAAGATCGACTTCTCTCTACCGAGTAGTCCGTCGAGGGTATGCCACGCCGACCACTACGACTCAAAATGCCCCATCCGATCGCAGCGCTGCCCCCATGACCTTTGGCGCTACAACCAAGTCCTCCAGCGATAGGGGTACCATTCAGATGCGAACATACAAGCCGCGGACGCCCGGTACACGACATCTCAAGCGACCCATCAATGACCATCTGTGGAAGGGAAGGCCGTTTCTGCCATTAACGTTTCCGAAGAAGGGACATGGCAAGGGAGGCAGAAACAATACCGGAAGAATTACGGTGCGACACCGAGGAGGTGGTGCCAAGAGGAGGATACGAATGGTCGACTTCGATCGTTGGATTGCCGGACCGCATCTTGTCGAGCGTATCGAGCATGATCCTGGCCGCAGTGCACACATTGCACTAGTTACCGAGCAGGCAACTGGTAGGAAGAGCTACATTGTCGCCGCTGAGGGCATGCGGGCAGGAGATATTGTCCACAGCTATCGCTCAGGTATTCCCCAGGACTTGCTCGACAGCATGGGCGGTGTCATTGATCCTGGTATTTTGGCGGCAAAGACTGCATTCAGAGGCAACTGCCTCCCTCTTCACATGATTCCGGTCGGCACGCAGGTCTTCAACGTTGGCTCCAGAGGCAACGGACCGGCCAAGTTTTGCCGGAGCGCTGGTACCTACGCTATTGTTGTCTCAAAGGAAGAGGAGACTAGAGCAGACGGCACCAAGGTCATGGTCGGAAAGTTTGTGAACGTGAGATTACAGAGTGGAGAGATCCGGAAGGTCAGCAAGGACGCTTGCGGTACCATTGGTGTTGCAAGCAACCCATATTACCAGTACAGACAGCTTGGTAAAGCTGGACGGAGTCGATGGCTGAATATTAGGCCCACCGTTCGAGGTGTGGCCATGAACTCCAGTAAGTCAATATTTGCAAGTGTGCTGTTGAAGAGTTGTGGCTAATGCTCGCCGGTACAGGTGACCATCCTCTTGGTGGTGGACGTGGAAAGTCAAAGGGCAATCGACCACCCGTCAGTCCCTGGGGCCAACCGGTATGTGATATTTCAGAAATTTTCTGATGTTGGGCATCATGACTGACACTATTTCATAGGCCAAAGCCGGCTTCAAGACTAGGAGAACCCATAATATCAACAAGTGGGTTGTTGTGCCTCGTGTACGCAATCACGGCAAGCGCAGAGACAAGAAGGCCAAGGCCTAAGTCAACCGGGCCATTGCCCTCTGCTGTAAACCTACGGAGCGATTTGTATCAAGGATCTTGTATAATACTGCAACATAGATCAGGCGCATGGCTGCCGACCATCGCCGTTGTAAATGTGACCAACCTACAATCTGCATGTCTACGTGCATTCACTCCTCTTCTTTTCGCGGCTTGAGACTTCAATAAGGATAGCGTCCATTACGTACGGACCATTTCTTATTCTTTCATGGCATCTCATTCGGCACGGGTGGAATGGGCTGCTCCGCATGCCGATGTTTGATTAAAGAGTTGTAGACGGCGTACCTGACTAACCAGCAACGACCTGACCGACCAGGCTGGCCAGCGGTCAAGCTTCGCTGGAAATTTCAAACGACAAGCGGATTCTGCATCTTTCGATACCAAGAATGGGCAGGCATGGCCTCGATCAAGGGGTGTATGGTGAACAGGTGAAGCAGAATGCCGCCAGTCCCTACCGTACAGGTAGTGCTACTGCGGTCTCTCGTTCACGGTAGGCAGATTCAGCCCTGGAAACCCCTGTAGCAAATTGACGATGTTCCCGTTGTCCAATAGCGGAGTTTAGCAGTACCCTGTCGTCCCCGTCTCCTTTAGGTAGGGGTCAATTAATGGACAGTTGCCGCAAATGGATTTGGAGCGCGCATTTGGACGTGCCTGATTGGCGCTCTTCACGAATTGCTCGCAGTGCTATCTCGCTTTCGTATTATAGACTTGAGGTAAATGGTGTTTTTGGTGCAGCTGTCGAACGCGCAAGGCAAGCTAACTAACACCCGCCCATGGCTTGCGCAACTCAGCTGTCAGACGATATACCACAGCCAGTTAGTTACCTGGACACAGAGAATCCCAATCACAGCCAGGCTCAATGCTGACGGGTAGTCGAGAAGATTACAAAGAAGGCTGTGCTGTGCAGGTGAGAAAGGGTTCGGGCTCGTGGACGGTCCACAAAGCCCGAGCCATGCCCCGAGTTGTGCAATCGTTCCTCTTCTCTACCGATCACCTACCTGCGAAACACCGAATGCTGAGATCAGCCAAGGCTTGGCCTGCGGCGACTTTGGTTGAAGCTCTCGGGTCCCGAATACTCGAGTGACGAGGCATCCGGGGCGTGCACACCGAAGCAGCCGTCATCTGCCACCCTGATGCACAGTGGACGAGGATGGACATGCGGGGGATCCTTTGCTGCCGTGAATGCATACCTAGGTAGTATCTAGTGAAGATGGTGAGATGCTGTGCCCCGAATCAACCACCCAACACTGCAGTTGTTTGCGAATCGCCAACCGTTTTGTGTTCTCCAGAGCTCCCTCTGTTCCATAATAAAAGGCAGAGCTCTGTCACGTCTCAGCCAGCTTTCGTAGGCTAGCCAAGGGGGGCGGTGCAGCGGGGACCAGCATGCCCCTTAGCCGCTTGCAGTAAGCCACACACACGATCAATTCCCCCATTCGTCTTGCTAAGCAGTGCTGAGACAATCCCATAAAAGCTTCCACGCGCGCTCTTGCCAGAGGGTGTATATCTGCTAATACGTGGTAAATCGCTGGAGCTGCAGGTGGGAAAAGTTAATTGACATTGGTGTTGGTGCTGTACCTAAGTGGCCCGGCATTCCGAGGTCGTCCCAAGACAAATTGAACATCTCAGCCAAGAATTGCCCAGGTCGCATTGTAGTCTCAAAAGTTACCCTGGACTCCGATAACGTTACGCCCTCTTTTCCTTTTCCTCTTTGTTCAACCAAACAAACGCAGCGGTGGCAAGAGCTTAGGTGTCTTTGTGGGTTTGACGACGACTGCCGCATTCGTACCCTCCTTCTTCTCCCTTTTCCTCTTTAATAAACTTTATACGGAACGGGGGGGTACTGGTCGACTAGCTCCCGCATCTACACTAGAACGACTGAGCCGAGCTACCTACCCTTCCTCTTGTTATTTATGACGACGATGCCCGAGGACTCCAACGAGTCGTGGCCCCTCGGACCTTCACCACCTCACCAGCCAGCCAACGCTTTCCCCCGTGGTCATTCGTACCACAGAGTGCCCGAGATGCGCTCGTCACTACCGCTACCGCTACCACGGCCTCGCCGTCGCGAGTTCACCCTCGGCCTCATATCGTCATACATCTTTGACTGGATCGTGCTCATCGTCGCCGGAGTCGCGGGAGCCATCCTGGGGAGGATAGACCCGAACAAACGCCCGTTCTCTCTCGAGGACCCAGACATATCGTCAGTCCTCGCAGCCCAATGTACTCCCGGATTAACCGGTTCGAATTGCTAACTCACTCGCAGGTTTCCTTATACAGAGCATGAGACGGTCTCAGCTCCTATTGCGTTTGTCATTAACACCGTAGGCCCCGTTGTCATCATTTTCATCATAGCGCTTGTGCTTGTCCCAGGCCGGACCGTTCCCAAAGGGACTCCTAAGTCCCTGGTCTGGAAACGGAAGCTCTGGGAGCTCCATGCGGGATGGCTCGGACTCGGGCTGTCAGTCGCCTCGGCCTGGTTCATCACACAGGGCATGAAGAACCTCTTCGGCAAGCCCCGGCCCGACCTACTCGCACGGTGCCAGCCAGACATAGCCAACATTGCCCAGTACGTCGTCGGCGGCATTGCCAACGTCAGCAGCAACGGACAGCTGGTGTCCGCCGCCATTTGCAAGAATACGGACGACTCGGTGCTGCAGGATGGCTTCCGCAGCTTCCCTAGTGGCCATGCTTCTTCGTCCACGGCTGGCCTGCTGTACCTGTCACTATTCATCGCCAGCAAGTTCGCCATTACCTTCCCCTTCCTGGCACCCGCCGGCTACACCGACGAGTCATCTTACGCGGCCTTCCCCTCGCGCATGATTCGCGGCGGCCGTAACAACGACAATGGCACCGAGTCGTTCGAGATGGTCAACGGCGCCCGCGGCGCAAACAGCTTCCCGTCCCACGAGGAGGAGCTCTCCGTGCCCAACGACCCGGCCGTCGCCAAGCGCTTCATGCAGCACCAGGCGACCCTGTCCGCCGTGCGGCGCCAGGCCGCAGCACCGCCCGTGTACCTCTTGGTCTTCGCCCTCACGCCCTTCTTCGTCGCCGTCTTCATCTCCTCGTCAAGATGGTTCGACTACCGCCACCACGGCTTCGACATCCTGTTCGGCTTCATGATCGGCATGATCACCGCGTACTTTGCCTTCCGCTTCTACCACCTGCCCATCAGCCAGGGCGCCGGCTGGGCGTGGGGCCCGCGCTCCGCAGACAAGGCGTGGTGGGCGGGCGTCGGCAGCTTCTCGTACGCCACGGACAAGGAGCTGTACAACCGCCCCGGGGACGAGGAGGAGGCCGTAGGAGGGGCCGGAGGCAACCAGGCGGAGAGGACGGTCTCGGACGCGGATAGTGCTGCGAAGAGGCGGCCACCGCCGAGCTCGAGCACGGGGACTAATGTGTAAAGACTCGGTTGTACAAGGGGTTGGCAAGATGTTTATAGATTAGGAGGAGAGTTCATCGCATGGCACGGTTACGGCTCGGCATGGGTCACCAAAAGGGTTTATTAGGCTGGATGTTTGATTATGCAGCGTCCAAGGGCCAGGCGTTTAAGGGGGATCAAGGCATATGTCATTCCAAGACTGTCATTGCACATAGAGGATGGATATACATAGATTCGCTCATTCAGCACGTATATATCCAATATATTACTCATTCAAGCACTATCAAGGGTTTGCTGGTGTATCACGAGAACAATATCAAGCCTTCGTCAGCCTTCAGAGGTTCATGCTGAAAATCATGCACACTAGGATAAGTCCAGGGCGAATGATCAGTATATCGTAGCTTGAACTATAAGACCGTAGCTCCTACGTGGGATCGATTCACAATAATGTTAAAGACAGGTGATTTTACAAGTTTGACGGGGCCTTCTCAGCCATTTATTATCTCTCGTTACGACCGTGATCCTCTGATATGTGCCATCCTAACGCCAGGGTTGTAGAAGGGGGTCGGAAAAAAAAAACATCAACAGCAAATGCCTACCAGTTCCCTATGCCATTTCGTGGTGTGAAGAGGTCTAAGACAGAGAGAACACCGTCTCGTGTCCGGAAAAAAGAAACAAGGATATCAACAGCCACAAGAAAAAGGGGCAAAGTCCAAACACAAGAGCCAAAACGCGATCCTAGCGACCGACGTCTGTGCCAATGGGCGGCGGGCTACTGCATGACATCTCCCGGCTGCACCAGGCCGGTCTGGCCGCCCTCCTCAAAGTCGAGCTCCTCATCCTCCTCATCCTCCTCAGGCTCGTCCTCGACGTTGTCGTCCTTGAAGCCGGACTCGACCTCCATCTTACGGAGGCGGCGGCGCATCTCGTCGCGCTGGCCGTTTTGCCAGCGGATGAGCGCGGCGGGGGCGTGGACCTTGAAGCCGTAGACGCGCGGGGTGTAGCGCTCGGCGGACTTGGCGGGGATCAGCGCCGGGTAGACCTGGAAGAGGATGTTGTGGAAGGAAGTGCCGAAGTAGGCGCCATCGATGGTAGCGTGGCGGCTCGACTTGGGGTTGTAGGTGTCCTCGCAGCGCGCGCAGTACAGCTTCACGGGCTTGAGGTTGGGGATATCGGAGAGGCCCATCGGCAGCAGGGGATGGGAGTTGCACATGACGCGAGGGCACTTTCCGAAGTCGGCCTTCTTGTACTTCTCGAGCTGTAGGGCTTTTGGTCAGTAAGGAAGGAAGAGATAGATAGAATGATAGAAGAGAAATGGACGCACCATCTTAGCCAGGCCACGCGTGGTGACAATGTAGCGCGCATGGACAAGGCCGTACAGGTGGCGGGCGGACTTCTCGATGGTCTCGCGCATCTCGTCGTCGCAGTCAAGGTCGAAGACATCGGTAACCAAGTCCAGGGCGTACTGGTAGTACTGCACCTCCGTGTTCAGTCCCGTCAGGTTGAATCGGTCGGTGAGATAATCCTCATCGATCTCGCAGAAGTACTCATTGCCTCGGGAGGAGATGAACTATGCATGAAGGCATTAGCAACTGTTTCTTGCGAAGCATATTGGAAGCTGAGAGTCGCATGAGAAGCAAGGTGAACCAGTCCAACATCTGGCAGCTCTAGCGATAGCTAGACCAGAGATGTGGTCCAATATCTTGCGATCAGCCATGGCTCGAGGCACTCGTTATTGCGCATAACAGCCGTCAGCGAGACGGTGGAGGCGCGTCTTTATGCCCAGCGAGCAAGATGCCCCATACAGCAGGGTACTCATCGCGACAACAGCTGGTGCATGGGGGCCATCAAACAGGATCAGGGAGAGCAAACTCACCCAGTCGCGCCAGTAGCTGGTGTAGTCACTGTCGCTCTCGCTCACGAATTCATCCATCACGGTGTCGGCGGGGGTGGGAGCTTCGTCGGTGGGAGCGCGGCTCGAGTCTATGAGGATCGCATCGAGGTGGTCAGCTTCAGGGGCGTGTCTCGCGAGAAACGCTGATCTGCAGGCGGCTCGCTTGGAGAAGGACGGAGAGAAAAGGAGGGTAGGTAGTGTACCGTAGGCTTGGTTGGACGTGTGATGATGTAGCGGGGAAAGGACAAAAGCGGCTTGTGCAGGTAGCAAAAATGGCGGCTGCGAATTTGGGCAGCCAGCAGCTGAGGCAGATCTGGTGGGGGCGGGGCCAAGGTAGGCAAGGGTTCCAGCGGGTTGGCTGGGTGGGTTAGGGGTGCTGTTAGCGAGGGTTTCCAAGGTCTCAGTACGTACTGTCCGCCGTCAGGTCGGGCGTAGCCACTGCGGGACCCGGCGCATCGTCGTCGCTCGGGCCGTGATCAGAGTCGGTGGTAGTGGAGCCAGGCTCGGGGGTGCCACGCTCGGTAATCGTTCCGTCGTCGTCGTTTTGATCCGGTCCTCTGTAACATATTGAAGTCAGCTGTTGCAATAGAAAGACAATGAAGGGGTAGGTAATATCTGTAGTAAAAATGGAGGAATATGCCAGGTACCCTGGGGTTTTGGTGAAAGTGAACTCCGACAGCCACTTACCGGCCGGCCTCTCCTCGAACATCCAGGAAAGGCACGATGGGCGCCTCATTCGGATCCAACATAAAATACTGTCGCAGATCCTGATGGCGATCCCACCAGCACGGGAAGCGCATGCGACGCTTCTCAGGCGGGCCTGGAGGCGGAAGATAGTCTGGCATGGCTGCTATCCTCCACACAACGTTGCGTGGGCGTGTTGAGGGTGAGGTTTGGCGATGGATGAAAATATTTCGAGGTAAACAAAGCCAAAGGAAGCAAGTACCTTGTATTTGCAGCAAGTCATGGGTTAAAGCGGATCCCTCATCTGGGAGGGCATGAGGGCATCGCGAGCCCCGTTCGGCATGGGGTGTGGTGGGCGACTTACACGAGAACGGGGCGACCTCTCGCTCTTCAGTCATCTAGGGAGGCCCTTTAGGGCCTTGGTGCCTTTCAAAAATCACTAGGTAGGTAGAACTAAATTAATACTACAGCTCATAGGTTCAGAGTATGGGAGTGATAAAGATGAACTCTTGGAACCAGGGCGGAAAGGTGGGTTGAAGGAAAGGCACCTTAGTTCAAAAGTTCGTAAGTCATTTCATTGAGCCATCTATAGTATCTATATTGTCTTTTACATCATTCATAAACCACGTCCAGTGATGGTATCCAAAAGGGATTCTTTCAGGGGTATATATACACTCAAACAAATAGATCGTATGGCATCATATCCGAGTCAACCCAGGTCTAGGGGTAACTTGAGAGTCTCCGTGCACCTGACGGCTATTTAGCAGCAGCTCCATAGTCTCAATATACAGCTCCCTGTTGCTCGTAGTTGCCTGCACATGATGGTTGTTCTCTAGGGCATCAACCCATTGTTGCCATCGTGTGCCTGGTGCCGCATCAGTCCACTCGCGCAAGGGTTTCAATATGCTCGAGAGCCGGATCGCAAAAGGTGCGAAGTGGATATCAACAAGGCACAAGCCTGGCCCAAGGAAATAAGGGCCCTGCTCATCTGCAGCTTGGACCAGCGCAGTTATATCATACTGGAGCTTCTCGATGCCTTCATTCTGCTTCTCTGGGTCGCCCGCGTGGAGAAGATAGTAGAATGATGGCACGATCCTTGAATTAATATGGTCGATCCACAACCTGCAATTGGCTTTTAGGCGGGGCTCAGTCGGGTAGAGCCGTATGCGACTGTCGAGATCCTCCAGATACTCTAAAATCACGGCGCTCTCTCCGCATGCCCAGTCTCCCTTCCGGATTGCTGGGACCAGGCCTCTTGGGTTTGCCTCTAGGAGCTGTTGTGGTTTCTTAAAGGGGTCGATCTCACAGTACTGATATGGCAACCCTTTGGCCTCCAAGGCAATCCACACTCGCTGCGAGAACGGACAGAAACAGGCCGCATAAAGCTTCATATCACTGTCCTTCAAGTGTTTCTTCGCTGTCACTCCAGCAGCGCCTGTCGGCTTCCGTTGGAAGGCCTTCTGGGTCTTCTTTGCCTCCTTCTCCTGGCTTGCTACCCATCGTTGCACGCTGCTCTTCTTGATCTCGTCGCTCTTCTCCAGTGTGTGCTTGTGCGGTCCAGCCACGCCATCTCCTTTTCCGTTACCGCCGTTTCCATTGACTCGCTGTATCGTCCAGAAACGCTGCCCATCAGTCCCCGCGCTGGAGAACGTTGAGGGGGGCAAAGACGGCATGCCTTCCCCTGAAGAGCCCATATCCAGCATGTTCAAGGTCGCACCCGCGAAGTATTCTGTGATCTTGATCTTGACGTCGCAGAGGTCTCGCTCTCGTGCGTGCCTTTTCCTCTTCTTCTTGTTCGGGTCGTCTGATTTCGGGGTACCTGGCGGCCGGCCTTTCATCCGACAGTCCCAGTAGTGGGAGACGAAAGGTTTTCTCTTATATTTTTGCGTCGACCGGTGGGAATACACGTTGTCGATGTGGGGGAAGTAGGTCTCAAACTCCTCATGGCTGAGGATGATCATGTCGTCCACGTTGAAGAGCTTCTCGCGCCAGTCTCGCAAGTTTGGCGGATTCACCACAATCTTGGTGCTCAGCTGGCTATTCGACCGAGCTTGCTGTCCAGGCCCGTCACCACCGGCAGCCTCCACCGAGCCCTGCGTGGCGGCGGCATATCCATCGTCCTCCTCTTCCTGCTGGATCCGCACGACGGCACCGTGCGACGGGACGGTAGTCGGGGTCAGGATGCCGAATTGGCCACGGGCATGGCCGTTTGGCGGGGGCGGGGCAGAAGCCTGCAACTCGGGGACGGATGGTCGACCATGAGGGGCAGCACTCAAGCCAGCACCTGGGCCCACGCCGCCAAGGCGGGCAGGCAGTCTTGGAGATTCGGCTTGGGAGGGGAGGTGAGGTCGTGCGAGCGGGAGGCCATGCACGGGGGACGGAGCGGAGTGAGTGTGCGGCGAGCCGTCAAAGGCGTGATGGGTGGTGTTTTGGTGGTGGGAGTGGCCGAATGAGTCTTGCAGACGCTGTAGGTCGGCGTGGAAGACATCAGCCTCGAGGTCCGGGACCTGGAGGGGATGATGCAGGCGGAAGTGAGAGGGCCCCGCGGGATGAGGATGATGGCCGTGGCCATGGCTATGGCTATGGCTGTGGGCGTGCGTATGGGCGAGGTGCGGTAGCCCGGCCGAAAAGGAGGAGTCCATCGCTCGCTGCTTTTATGAGGCCGGCTGCATCTTGTGGGCAGTAGGGGATGTTCACTAGGTTGTGCGCTCACAGAAAAGGTGACTGACTGACTGATTGACGGACTGGCAGGCGGCGCAGGACGATGGGCCAAGTCTGACAGCAGCGACGTGGGATGGTGGATGGCCACGCGAGAGAGGCGGGGCTGAGCGGGACGACGATGTGGGGGCCATTTAGGCTTAACGTCGATAGGCGCTCCAGCACACCTGCCGCTGTTATCGTAGCGCGCTTGCTCTCATCCATGAATGTCTCGGGAGCTTCAGCACCATTGGACCGCCATGTCATGTTGTCGACCTCACAAAATACAGTGAAAATTGACTTGATCTCGGATCGTTATAAAACAGAACACAGACTGTCATCGCATTGACGATTTCTCCCAATAATAATAGAAATGACGATATCACATTGAAGGGGTGGCATATGCCTATAGGTAGGGGCCATGTCCCATGACAATCGTACTAACAACCAACCAAAATGCCTTCTCTGAGCCCATTGCTGACGACCTATTTGATTAGAAGATCATTTTGTCTCTCTGTTGATTCACCGTCTTTCATGGAGTTTCAGTTTTAAGGGAGCCAATTCCACCACGATGAACTGCAAAGTACTGGCAGCGCGAGACTCCATTGGTCTGGCACTCCCCAGAGCAGTCGGCAGTGCGCGTCTAATGGGAAGGATCCATGCCCAAACCCGCAACGGCCAGCGCAGCCTGTGGCAGTGCCCGCAACCGCAAGAGGCTCATATCGCTTCCCATGATCCTTTGGTCGGAACCCTATGCTGGTAAAGAATTGAAGCCCAGTGTTCCCCACACAGCTATCCGTTGGCTCTTCTATTTACTGCCTCACTGCAAGGATCGCTTGTGGGCGCTCACAAGGCATCAATTGAAACCACCTAAAAATGGCAGTTCCAGTGGGCTCAGTTAAGATTGACGTTGATGAAGTCGCAAGCCGATCAATGGTGCCATGTTGATATATAGGAATGATATTCCGAACGCCGTGAAAGAGCTTCGTAGATCGCTCTCATTCCCTTGGAACTGCATCTCTTCTTTTACAAGCCATGCCTGCCACAAATCCGATTGAGTTATACGGCTACAGGCCAAGTATCATCGCGAATGGCTTCTTCCTTGCCCTCATCTCTCTATGTCTCCTAGCGTCTCTTGCCATTACCTTCGTGACACGGAGGTGTATAGCTTTTAGCTTCATGGCGCTCTGTGCACATGTCTTCGCGATAGTCTCATATTCAGAGCGTATTGTCGGCTGGAGCATTGGGCACTATATCATCGACAATATATTCGCTGCAATGGCCCCGTTGTTCTTGTCAATAGGGTGAGTTCCAATTTAGATGTGTTCACGAGCAAGAGAACTTCGAGGCTGACCATCCTTTCAGGATCCAAATATGTGCCACCAAAATCATTCGTGTTCTCGGGGCAGAGCACTCGCTCCTCAAGCCCAGACACTATGCCCGCCTTTTCATAACTCTTACTGTCATCGCCGGAACCCTTCAAATACTTGGGCTGGCGATATCCTTCGCCGATGCGACGCTGTATGCCCTCGGACCACTCGCCAACGGTGGACGCTGGATTGTATTGAGCGGCGTTGCGCTTCTATCTGTGAACCTGATAACTTGCTTCGTCCTCCTCGGCGTCGTCTTCGTGCGTGCCGCGAAGGCGCAACGGCAGTACGGCTATACCACCTTCCACAAGGAACAGGGCTACGTGCCTCTCAGCTCGCGCTTCAAGACATTCCTGGCCGTGCTGCCCCTGGCGGCGGCAAGCGTGTTGGCGCGGTGCCTCTACAGGGTGGTTTTCTTCTATGGGGGATTAAAGGGATCTGTCGCCCAGAACCAGGCGATGTACATTGGATGCGAAGGAATTCTGCTTGTCGAAGCAATGGTCGCCTTGACTGTCTTCCACCCTGCCCTGTGGTTGGACGACGGCAAGAGGATAGGAGAGGACGTGGACAGCCGGGGCCACTCAAGAGACGTTGAGGAGAGTTTGGGCGAGGTCAGCCGCCTGATCCTCAAGGCGAATGCTATGGCGGCTCCGTCCGAGACGTCCTCAGAGGAGAGTGCCTTCGAAAGGGCTGCATTGACGCCATCGGACGAGTCTGAAGTATCGTCTGAAACTTCATCTCATTATTCACGTTGAAAAGCATATAGACTAGATACCCGGGCGTTTGGGCGGAGCGTTTTGATAGAACTTATTCAATGCAGATACTGCCATACTTTCTAAATTGTTTTCCTAGTCGGTCTGTTGACTCCAAAATCACGCCCCCCTGCTTCATCTATGACAGTTCTGAGTCCTGCTCAGCCTGCAGCTAAGGTGACCAGCCATACTGTTTCAAGCAACACACAATCATTCCTTATTGTATCTTGCGTCATACTTTCGAGACTCACAGCGCCTTCGGGTCACTTCAATCATCCAGCCGTGGCCTCTGGCTTTATCATCCGTGGCAGCCCCCATCCCCACAAAATGATTCCAAACCAGCGGCATGGGACCGTCAGACCAAGATCTGACAGCGAATAAGAACTCAAAATTTCGGCATTTGGCCGATTACCCCTGTAAGACGTGCAATTGTGGCCTATCAACGTTTTGACTGGACCAACTATCGAATTCCTTGCTTGAGCCTCGTGAGAGAATTCGCGGCAGCCCCTGAAGTTGGCTTACATCTGGATCGCCCCAGATTCTTGGTAGCTGACGGCGTGCTGCAGCTATCTTTCCAAAGGCGGTCTTCAATGGTCCCCAAGACGTTGATATCGCCTAGACTTAACCTGTTTTCTATGCACGATGCCTCAAACACTCAGTGCAAAGCTGGGTCTACCATGAGCTCTGGGCCTAGAACACGGTCGACAACGCTGTCGAATGCACTCCGCTCAATGACAGCACCGTAGTGACTAGTACACCAAGTCAGCGCCTTGCTTGTACGGACTCTTTGGAATGGGTACTCACGGGCATTTCACGACACCTGTGAACTCTCGTTTCAAAGCATTAACGATGTCTCCTCGCAGGAGAATTGCCATGGGGTACTGGTTCGCGAGCTCGAACCAAGCCTGGACCGGCGTCAAGTCCTCGTCCGAAGGATTCAGTGAGCAGGCGAGGCCGTACAGAGACTGGAGCGTCAGGCCGGATGCTTGCCACGAAACATCGGTGGGAAAAGGCGGTGGCTCGGGCTCGTTGCCCTTCAAGTTGGCCTTCGCCTGACTGAAACAATCAAAAACAGATGTTGGGGCAGTCCTGAGAGCGAGGCTGGTCGCCATCAGTGTGTGTCCGGATTCTACGCCGGTCGTGTCTGTCGTGGGCACGAAGTCAGAGGACCGGAAGTGATCCCAGCATATGTGCTCTAAGCTAGATATTGTGAGTAATCTGTAAGGGGTACTTGCTCCGACGAAGGATGAACCCACGCAAGGATGAAGTTGATTGCCTGCTGGTTCTGGTCCGCCGTCATGGAGGATACGCCTCCAGCATACCTCGGGTCTTGACCAGCCACGCTCGTACTTGAACCTTCGCCGGCGTTTGACCCTGGGCCCGAGAGGCGAAAGACTGGGCTGTCCATGATATCATCGATGCCAAAGTCAAGCGTGAGGTCGTTCAAGTCAAAGTCGTGAAATTCTGGAACAGTAGTGGGAATGTATGTGGGCGGCAGATCTCCTCCTGACATTGGATTCTCAGCCCGTGTTAGAACATTCTCCAAATGTGTCCTGATGGCGGCGTTCTCGTTCATCAATGTCTCTCTGTCTCTCTCTGCTTTTGCAATCATATCTCGAATGCCCGCAATGTCGACTTCTAGCTGCTTGACGTAGTTCGCCTTCCGTTGACGGTGCTGGATCTGGGCTTTCCGCACCTGAGCTCGACGGACTTGAGCCTTGTCCTTCCCTGAGGCGTCTGAGGATGCGTCGCCGCCATCTCTTCCAGATGCTACTCTCAAACGTTTAGCCTTCTTGTAAAGCATCGAGCTAGGGGACAAAACGAAAAGGGGAATGATGGAGAACGTAAGTTGCGTCTTGTGAAACCAAGAAGCACGTCCTATAGATATGCAACTAGGCGCCTTCAGATATGCCGTTCCAAGCAGGATTGGCGAGCTAGGTCAAGTCTCAAGGAACGCCCGATGTGGCATACTGGTGTACGGATTGGGCAAGTTGGTACGAGCCTCCGCGTGACTTCGCCGACATGACAAATCTTATTGATAGGAGTGGGAGACGAATAGGCTAGCCCACTGACCACTAGAGACGAATATCATATAAAAAGGAATATTCACCCACCTTCGTTCGATTGACTGAGGTTACTCTGCACAAATGTGATCCGCTTTGCCGTGAAGCTGTCTTTCGATCGCTTCCAGAAAGATTCGAAATTTGGACGGTCAGGATCTTCCTGGTCCGCCATATTGAGGGTTCTAATAAGTTATGTACAACAAGTTGCACTGACAATGGATCTATACCACAGTGTTTAGCACAAGGTTAGTTCGTTCGAGCTGTCGAGTAGAGACTTTATGAACAGCACGTCTCATCATAATGAAATGCTTTGACGACGACAGGTGGTGATGATGATGATGAGTAAGATATGAATAACAACAGGAATCTAAATATCCTCAGTTTTCGTAACTGATTCCATAACAATTAGTTCAGCTCCTGGAATACGACGATTACCCATGGCTGATCGGGGTTTAGATAGAAATTTGTCATCATATGATTGGTATTCCCGTCACTAGACTGCATCGTAATCATACTGAAAAAAGGCAACTTTTTGCGTCAAAGAAAAAAACATAACAGGGGCGCCGTGAAGGCTCTCGGGACGCCGAGAAAAATATAAAAGGACCCGGACGGAGGCATTCGGTGACGGACTCTCAAAGGAGCAGGCTCTCTCCGGAGTGATCCATACCGCGCCGGTCCTCCTACTTGGCACGCTCAGGACCAGACAGAGTTGGTGTGTGTCTCCGGGACTACCGGGATGGATCCCGGACTGGCAATTGCAGTCAGGTGCGTCCTCACGAGCACCGGTAAGACGGCGTAAATGGGGGCCGATCTGAGTCTGCTTAGAGTCTGCCCGAGTCGGCGACTCGTCTCAGCTTGTAGGCACCATGTAAAGATCCTGGAAACTGTAGCATTGGGCAGTGCCAGCTCCCCTGTTCACAAGGGGCTGGTCCTCCTGATGCTCCCCAGAGAGCAGGCTGGCAGAGCACCTGGACCCTCCGCCAAGCTCCAGCCATCAGCGCCTTTTGGAGCGCCATCCGAAGCCATCCACCACCACTTGATATGGGAGATAGGAGGGGTCCTGCAGTAGCAGGGCATGTGCAGTCAGACCCAGCTGTGAAGAAGGAAAAGGTGACGCCAGTGAACGCGCCAGCAATTGTTGCCATTGGAAGAGAAGCCGGGACGTTCGCTTCCCGGTATCTGTTCGGGGCGGAGTCATTCTGAGTGCCATCTCGTGTCTCGCGAAGACCTGCTAAGCACCTCACCTACCTGGGGCCGGGACACCTCAAAAGGGTAAACGGAGGAGGAGCGGCAGTGGCCACGTTTCTCCTCCCAAGTTAACGTTCATTGGGGAAATCGCACGCTGTGACGGTGCGCTCCCGTTGCAACATTGAAGGTGAATCACGCCCTTTTTTTCCCTTGCAATTCACCGAACCTGACCCGGCCGTGTGGAAGGCTGCAGAATGCCAGGGCCATCTGTTCTATTAATAATCGCCTAGGGGAGCAAGAAACGGTTGCCAACCAGGGCAGATGTGCAAAGAGGCACTTTACGCATGAAATTAAGCTACCAAGACGCAACCAATGGCTTCGGCAAGAGTGACCGAAAGAAGCATTGGCAGGCAGCATGGTTGGACGACACAAGCACAGGTGGCTTGAAGGAGAGAATCCCAGCATTCCTCGGCTTTCTTATTATATACACACTTGATCATCTTATTACGGCTTTCGTATATTCAAACGGTGGCTGCAGTAGGTAAAGTCTACTATGTAAGTCAGGACGACGGAGGAAGGGGGGAAGACGCTGGAGGCAGTGGGGAAGAAACGCCGAATGGACGGAGGACGGAGAGGGTAGGCGGCGGGTCGGCACCTAAAGTTTGCGGTGCGCACGCATGGAACGAGGTTGGCACACGTTTCCCTACTGCTGCCTGAGTCTATGATGCTAAGAGCCTGCAGACCGGGCTAAGGCGGTGGACAAGACTAACATGACTCTCGACTCTTCTCTTCAAAACGTGGGCCACTCTCCTCACTCCTCATGAAGGATGCACTTGTTAGTGAAAAGCTAGAGTATCTAGGCTCTCTAGGGTAGTAGGTACTTAGGTAGTTGAGTTAGTTTCTGATCTGAAGTGACCTGATCTGATCTGATTGCGTCTTTTGCTGTCTTTCTCTGCCGGGCTGCCTTATCCATCCTAACGACTCCATTCTCTGCCACCTCCATGATCCCTCCTTCATCAGATAAGAGACCTGCCGTGTAAATTACCTAAACTAACTAGCTGCCCTACCTAAAGCTGCTCAGCCACTGTCGCTCACCGTTTCTTCCCACAAGGGCGCGTGCATTGGCCGTCCACTGTGCCGTTCCCAACCGTTTGAACCTTATCACCACCGCCCTCCATCCCACTCTGCCGACCCGTCAAAGACACCAGATCGCAGAGCTGAATGCAATCGCATCCACGCCTGCTGCATTGCTGACTGACTCTTCACCGTCTGCGTCAGTTCTGAAAACTCTCACGCGACAGAGTCTTCCGAGCGTGCACGAGGAAGAAGGAAGAAGCACACGTAGTTGAGTCTCTTTACGACTGCTCTTCATTCACGCTTTGTCTGCCTTCCAATCTCTTCGTCCGCCGACATCTCCGTTTCGTCCGTCAGCTGGTGTGTTGATAGACCCTGAGCGCGCGATCCGTCGCGAAGGGTAGTCCAACTGCTGCCAGCCTCCGACAGCGCCCCCCGGCTAACGACTTTCACCGTCGCCACCGTCGCAATAGCCGTCCGGACCGGAAATGTCGAACGCATCGCCGGACACGGCCATGAACACCGATTCCAGCGGGGAGAAGGGATCGAATGGAGCAGAAACGAGCCGACCGCCCGAGGGCGACAACTCGACCGTCCCCAAGCCGAAGCGCCTCGCATGCATGATTTGTCGAAAACGGAAATTGAAGTGTGACGGGGTCAAGCCGAGCTGTAGCACATGCACCAGGCTGGGGCATTCGTGCGCATATGATGAAGTGCGAAGAAAGAGTGGCCCCAAGCGGGGATACGTGAAAGCACTCGAGGAACGATTGAGTAAGCACATTGCCAGCTTATATCCACTTGAGAGGCATCGTACTGATGCGCTGGGTACAGAACAAGTAGAGACTCTGCTCAAGACACAAGATCCCGTCACGACGACCTCTGCGGATGCATCCAAGGGCATCGCCGTCCCCGTCAGCAATGGGGCTAAGACCAGTGAGAAGGCAGCCGCCTCAGCCAACTTCAACATCACCGACCCTTCTATTGGGATTGCCAGCAGCAGAGATATGGATCGATGGCACTTCAGTGGCGATACCTCACCGCAGCCTGCTAATATGGACAACTTTGACTTCAATAGCACTATGAACATGAACAATGTTGGCAACAACTTCACCTGGGAGATGATCGGGCTTGGGCTCGATGAGCCTCTCCCGCCCCAGGAAACTATAGATGAGCTGTATGGCTTCTCCAAAGCCTTTTGCCCATCGCGATATAACTGACTGGAATATAGACATCAAGTGTTCTTTGAGAAGGTCCACCCATCGATACCGATGATACATAGGTACAGATATTTAGCCGCCATGAACCTGTAAGTCTCGCTCACCCCCATCCCACTTTGCCTTTCCGTTCAAGAGGGATTGGGGCTGACCTGCCTTCCAGAGCTCCCAACCAAAGACCTCCTGTATGTCTTCGTTATGCAATCTGGACCCTAGCATGCTCCGTGCTAGATAAGTATGCCGACCTCAAAGATCTATTTTATCAACGTGCTCGAAAATATGTCGAGGGAGATTACATCAAGGGGTTCGGAGAACATATAATATCAGTTGCTCACGCACAGACCCATGTCCTTCTTGCATCTTACGAGTTTAAGATGATGTACTTTCCCCGTGCTTGGATGAGCACAGGGTCGGCCGTGCGGCTATGTCAGATGTAAGTGTATGACCGTCACATAGGCTTGGATTTTTGCTTACACTTCAAAGGATGGGTTTACATCGACAAGACGGATCCGGTCTCGATGTCAAGCAATGTCTGCCAGAAGCTAGGGATTGGACAGAGAGGGAAGAGAGACGAAGGACTTTCTGGATGGCATTCACCGAAGATCGATATGCTAGCATCGGTACAGGATGGCCGATGACAATCGACGAAAAAGACATCCTCACCAACCTCCCCGCTTCAGAAGATGCTTTCGAGATGAGTCGACCTGAGCAGACACCATCGTTGCCAGAAGCGATGAGCCCTGCCGGCGCAGGCAAGCTATCCAGCTACGGCGGCATTGTTCTAATGGCATGCCTTTTTGGCCGAAATCTCATCCACCTTCACCGTCCTGGTGCTGACGACCGCGATCATGATCTCAACGGCGAGTTTTGGAAGCGGCATCGAAACATGGACAACATTCTGCTCAACACATCCCTTTGCCTGCCATCCCATCTCAAGCTACCCAGCGGGCTTGGAAATCCTAATATTGTGTTTACAAATATGTGCATACATACATCCACAATATGTTTGCACCAAGCAGCCATCTTCAAGGCTGATAAAAATCGCCTCCCAGCATCCGTGAGTGCGGAGAGCAAGGTGCGATGTATCACTGCTGCAAACGAAATTGCCAGCATCATGAGGATGATCTCACATTTGGATCTGTCAGGAGTATGTATACAATCCGATGAATTTTGAAGTCTGGTCGATCAAGGCTAACAAATGCATAGATGAACCCATTTATATCTTTCTGTCTTTATGTGGCTGCAAGAGTGTTTGTTCAGTATCTGAAGAGTCGACCTGATGATAGCCAGACCGCGGACTCACTCCGGTTCCTCCTTGCTGCCATGAACGCTTTGAAGCGGAGGAATCCATTGACGGAGTCATTCCTTACCCAACTCGACGTGGACCTTGAAGCATTGGGCATGCGCATACCGAAGCTCAAGTCCGCATTCCCACGTAGTGCAGACAGCGTAAGTTTCGAAGGTCCTCTACATATGAATCGCAGTCCACTGACATCGCGTAGCCGAATCCTCCATACAAATCCGGGGCTACCCCACCGGGAGCCCAATGCGATAACCCGGAGAGGGTCAATGGAATCATGGCTTACCGTAATGAATGCGTTTTTCTTCAAGGTGAAGGTGACGACGGCAATCCAGCTAACGCCGCTGACCTAGCCGAACCTGATAATGGCGCGGGCCAGCCTCAGATGCAGCTCAACGGCTTCGGGGGCGCTTTCCTGGGTCCTGAGACGCAATTACCTAGCCATGTTCGAAGCACTGGCAGCACGCCGGCGAGTTACTCAATGGAGGGCATTTCACTTGCCGCTCCTACGGGCTCATTGAGGGGTCCGAATAGTGCCTCGATGTCCGGCTTCCAGAGCGAGAGCATCGGCACAAACGACATGTCAACCTCACCAGACGGCGGCCAGTCCGACCGACCAACGCCGAACTCGTCGTCGGCGTCTGATCGACAGAACTTGAACACGGGCCGAATGAGCTCCGGCGGCAACTCATTCGAGACCAGCCCCGTTACGCAAACCCAGAACGTGAGCCAGAGCGACGTCGACCGCAATGTTGCCGCATTCTTCAACGACCCTACGAACGGCTTCAGCATGGGCACCGGCATGACACCCGATCAGCGGTTCACCATGCCAGACACGCCTGGCGGTGAGTTCACCGTGCCGCCGGGCTGGGAACTGCCCGGGCAGACTGGCATGACGCCGGTTGCCGAGGGCGTGCTGCGAACGATCATGCAAATGGGGCCGATGGAAACGATGGATCTCGGATGGGATCATAACCCCTGAGATGGCTCTTTGACATGACGCTGTTGATGTGTATTTACGACTAATCTGCCACCTTGGTTACAAGACCTCATGGCTTGGCTTTATGACGTGTTTGGGGATTTCCTGTGATTTATTCTTGGATACCGGGATAAAATGGGGATTTGTTGGAGGGCTTTATTTGTTCTTTTCCGTCGATACAGTGGGTTTGCAATTCGGAGTAACTCTCCGATGTTTCTGTATTTGTACAGTTCTTTCCTAAGGAGAACAAAGCGGCGGCGGACGGACAATCCCACTCTCGTGTCGCAAGAGCGGCCATGGCTAATGTAGACTGCCTTCGGGCTCACGAATCACAATCATGATTTCAAGACGACTGAGCCTTTATCTTTTCTTCGTGAGTTGTCCGTAAGATCAGTCTCAAATGTATGTGCTGTTGGTGGCATGAATGTAGGTGAAGACTACAGCAACACGGGCCTGGACCCTGTCGACATTTGACTGCTACACCATGAGACTACTGGTCAAGCCTAAGAGCGAAGAGAAAGTGTATCTTGTCAAATTATGAATTATGCAGTTAAAACGCTCCTCGCCCAGCAAAATGTGGACGAGGAGAACTAATGTAATGCGGGTATGGATAGTAGATAGCAAAAGTTTTTGGATCCTCCTGAAATAGGTCTCTATAGCCATGAGAAGCAAACAATCATTCCATATCAGGCGCCCAGTGGCGGTGTCTCTTCTTGACATTTCAATCCCATCCCATCGTAGCCCCCCTTTCTCCTCCTTCCGAATTCCCTGGTTTCCCTCCGCCTGACCCATGTGAAATAGTGTCCGAGATCATGCATGAACTCCGTCGCTTGCCCAAATGATTGTGATGTGTGAAATCAGCACGTCTCGTACTAGGCTTGTATGTATATCTGTAGGGCCTAGACGGTGGTTTGTACTATGAGGTAGTTCATCCTAACGTCTATTCCTTTCCAAGACAATAGGAACTATGTATTACTCAAGATTTTTGGTATGAATGAGTGATTGGTATATAGAGAAGAAAAGACAAAGACGACCGAGTATTTACACACCCGGGCGAGAGAAGTCGTCACCCGCGGGCCAGTTGCCGAGACCGGCCGGGTCACCGCCTATGCGGACGTACACGCCGACGGCCGGTACTCCACCGTCGAGGACGAAGAATTGATACCATCCTGGCGGGCAGACGTTGGCATTGGGAGGAGCGTCCAACGTGCACGAAGTACCAGTGCAGGTGACGATGGGCTGCAGAGTACGGGCACCCATGGAGTTACCGTGAGTGCTACCGACGGCACCCAAAAGGCTGACAGTGATTGCGCCGTTCTTAGCAGCAGCACCCAAGGTGAAGGGAATGCCCGCGGCGCCGTACGCCCAATCCTTGTTGGCAATGGTGAAGGTCGGGCGCGGTTTGCCGTTCAGAAGGTAAGGAGGGTGGAAGACCTCGATACGGTACTCCTCAGGGTTCTTGCCATCCTCAGGATTGGATCCAGAGATGAGAACACGGCCATCAAGCAGGGTGATGGCCTCGCTGTGGTAGAGACGGGCGACGGTGGTGTTAGCCATGACAGTAATGCGAGAGCCAACAGCCTTGGTAGGATCGTAAAGAAGTGCGTTCAGGTTGGGGCTAGTAGCCAAACCGAAACCAGCAACACCGTGATGAGCACCGTTGGCAATCAGATAGGTTCCGTCAGGAAGAGGAGCCATGCAAGGCATGACACGAGGCGAGGGCATACGCTCAAGCACCCACGACGGTGAAGCCGCATCAGGGTATGTGGTAACGCAGTTGTCAAGAGCGTTAGACACACCATTGGTGGACCCACCGCAAATCAGAACTCCAAGGTTGTCATAGTCAGGACCCTTCTGGGGAAGCAAGACAGCAGTACCCTCGAGAGGATAGGTACGGCCACCAAGATCATCGTTGACAGCGCCAGGGGCGTTGGGCAGAGTCTTGATGGTGTTGAAGGTCTTGGCATCTAGGATCCTGGCCTCGTTCCAGTAGGCAACGAAAATGCCACCGCTGGGGAGCACGCAGACGAAGGGGTATAGGTTGTTGGGGTTAGTGCGGTCGAGCCAATCCATGTAGAGAGGAGCAGTGCCAGTGTAAGGCAGGACCTCAATTGAAGGCACAGCGGCACCGTTGGAGCCAACCTCACCACCGATGACCATGATAGAACCATTGGCCATGACCATAGCGCTTGGGTACCACCGACCAACCTGCAGGCTGAGCTCATTCACGTTCTCCTGCCAGTCATGGGTTCCCCAGGTACCCTCGGAGCCATCAGGCCAGTACAAGCGGACACCCTCGGTTGAGTCACCAGACCAACCACCGACTGTCAATTGACGGCCGCCCTTATCCGGCAGCGTGATCCCGGCAGCGCAGAAGATATCAGTCTTGACGTGCAGAGGGCGCCAAGCCTTGCTAAAGTCGCTCAGGAGAGAAAGATCAAGCTCATAAGCACCAGTCTCGTTATTAGGGCCGGTTCCCCACTTGGATAGGAAGCTAACCTTGCCAGTGATGGACTGCGATGTAATGAGAGGAATCGTGACACCGCCGATGAGGAATCTGTATTCACCAGCGCGGTAATCTTGAGGGAAATCCCAAGAGTAGAACGGCGTGCCAGTCCAGAAGTAGGTGGAAAGACGGCTGCCACCGCCACAGTAAGCAGAGCCATTGCCAGCGCACACGATGTTGCACTCAGTGTCTGGACGCTTAGTAGAGCCGACAGTAGCGATGTTGGCAGGGTCACCGCAGTAGCACTCCTGACCATACTCAAGGCCACCAGCCGCGTAGCCAAACTTGGCACACTGGTCCAAGCACATCTTAGGGGTCATGATGCCATCGTAGAAGATCTGCCAGAAGAAGGTGCGCTGATCGTCGATGTTGTCCTCGTAACATCCCTGGTATTGCCACTGACCAACAGTCTGCTGGGTGCTGGGAGGGGCATATACAGATGGCTCGCCCTGAGAATAGATAGTCATTCTTCCACCAGCACCGCACATCTCAGCGCTGTTGCCTGAGCAAGGAGTGTTACACTCAGTCTCGGTGGTCTTAACACCTCCATTGACGATCTGGTTACCACAGAAGCACTGCTGAGCCCACTCAGTGCCGGAGATGGTGTAGCCAGCGGCCTTGCAAAGAGCGGCGCAAGATTGTTGAGTGAGAGTCTGAGAATCAGGGGCCTGGTAAGGAAGGATACGACCAGTAACACCGTCGACCCAGCAGCCTTGGTAAGACCATCCAGTGGGGAAGCCAGTGCCAGCAGGAGCAGACGAGGTAGAAACGGCGGTCGACACGGTCGCCGAGACGGTACCAGTGCCAGCAGTGGAAGAAGCAGGCTTGGTGGAGCTGCTACTACTCTGAGAAACGCCGCCCAGCGAGTAAACCGACAGACGATTGCCCGCACCGCAGTACTCCCACTTGTCGCCCATGCAAGTCATGCTGCACTCACTTGCAGGAGCAGCGACGGATCCGGTGTTGAAGGTACTGCCGCAATAACATTCGCGAGAGTATTCCACACCGAAGTATGTGTAACCTGTGCAGAAAGAGGCGCATGCTTCGAGGGTCATGGTATCGGCAGCGAATGTAGACTTATCCAGAGCTCGCTTGCCAGTAGCCTCTGTCTGACAACCATACCAGCTGTAGGCACCGATCTTTGCAGGCTGAGAAGGCGCGGTGGGTGTCGCGGCGGCACTGCTGGACGCGGCAATTGAGTTGACAACAGAGCTGCTCGTAGTTGCGACCACGACCACGCTAGAGCTTGAGCTGGAAGCCTTGGTCGTAGCAACTGACGAAGAGCTCGAGCTGGAAGCCTTGGTTGTGGCAACCGAGGAAGAGCTTGTGCTGGAGGCCTTGGTCGTAGCGACTGACGAAGAGGTTGCGGCAACACTGCTGGAGGTAGCAACACGAATGGTCGAGCTAGCCACGGCGCTGCTTGAGCTGCTGGAAACAGGGAATTGCATCATGTAGTCGTATACATTCAAGTGGCCGGCTCCTCCGCAGATCTCAGTCTGGTTACCGTTGCAAAGCATATCGCACCCCGAGGTAGCAGCAACGGCGCCGTTCTTGAGGGTGTTGTCACAGTCTATTTGATCCTATTAGTTGACGATGTTTTATCGGGTAGAGGACAGTGCTCACAGCATTCGCCGCTGTACTCGACACCAGCCAAGATGTAGCCAGCCGCGTGGCAAGCATTTGTGCAGCCCTTCACCGTCATGTTCTGGCTCGGGATGGAGTTGACTACATATGTTAGAGCACGACCAGTAGTTCCCTCACTAGTATACAAGTCAGACAGGTAACTTCGAACATTGCGGGAGGAGTGTCACTCACGAGTAACAGCCGATATGGCTGAAACCATTGACACCGGGGTTGGGCTGAGGTCCAACGGGCTGTGAGCTGTAGTAGAGACTCAATCGGCTCCCTCCACCGCAGGACTCGGACGCATTTCCTGTGCACGGCGCACTGCAGTCTGTCTCAGCAACCTTCGCGGTGCCCGCAGCCAGTGTGCTTCCGCAATAGCACTCCTGGTAGTACTCGGTTCCGGCATACTGGAAACCCTTTGAGGAGCAGAAGCTGATACAAGTTTCGATTGTCATGCCAACATTGTCAGCGTAGGCGGCAGCGCTAATTGTTCGCCCAACATCTCTATTTCATTGTCAGTCGATCCTCTTGGATCCAATTGGACGTGGTGAGAACTGATTCGTACGTGTAACAGCCTTGGTAAGTCCAGGCACCGGGGAGCGTAGCTACAGGAGCACGCTTCGAAACTCCAGCATTGGCCGTGGAGAGCTATTATATGGTTAATATGGAGATTGTACGGGAACTGAGCAGCAGTAGCGTCACTTACTCCGAAGAGGACCACCAAGGAAGAGAGAAGAGAATTAGATTGTGTGGCCCTCATGGTGAATAACTATTTCGCCGCGAGACGACCTACACAATATGCCTTCGATTAACGAGCGTAAGGGTTGGGTATCAAAACCTAAACACGAGAAAAGCAGAACATGGGAAGCGGGATTCTATATATCTCGGCCATGAGGGCAAGCTCATGCGAGCCTGGGCGCGCCCCCCAGCATAGGTACCTCCGGCCGCGCTCATAGAAAATACGAACAACAGGCCCATCATCAAATTGTACTCTGGGTCAGGTACTCAAGGTTAGGACTGGCCGTTCGGTACTAGACCAGGCTCCTTTTCTGCTTGGGAGCTGCATCAACAGGGACCCCTGGCCCCGATAGCTCACAGTCGACAGGGGGTCACGACAGAATTGGCTAGGCGCTGCTCTGCATGCATCTGTCGATGACCAGGGCCAGGGGGTGTGCCAGAGGTAGCCATCATTCGCTGCATCACTCAGCCGTCCAGAACAGGACGCAACATTGAGATTGCGCGGTAACATTAGGGCAGAACGGAAGAACGGGGAGGGCGGAGGGGTGCCTGTGCAGTTCAAATGACGCCGAAATGCACAATACGACGGATCACTGTTGATGACAGCTCTACAGTCTGTTCCAAGGCCAGCTAGACATGGCTCCCAGTGTAAAGACTCGCTGGACCCGATCGACGAGCTCGACTTTTCGGACCAGCGATCATCCTAGAAGCTCTGGTCTATCGATGTTGCTCATTGTTCGAGGCTCGCTGGCGCCTCGGCTTCTCGAGAAAAACCCAGGGGCAAAGAAAGCCTAAGCCCCCCGCGAACAGACGGCAACACAATAGTCAGCCATAAGGTGGGGAGGTGGTGGTACCGTAGTGTAGAATCCTGTGGAGATTGCACAGCTAACTTGCACTGCGGGAAGCCCAACGCAAGACCAGATAGCAGACTCAAAATTCAAGAGAGGCCGTTCAGCGCCAACACGTGTAGCGTGGGCCCTGAGGGCGGTACGTACAGTGGTCCTACTGTACCACGTAGTTTGTATCCCCTCCAACATGCAGGGACTCTAATTAAAGCACTTGCCGGATCTGTCCCGGGCAGGCGAATGAGAGCCGGGCTGTTGACTATACGAGTGGCCAATGGGTCGGAAGTGCCTATGAGGCTTAATGGGAGGTGCCCTCGCAGTCCAGATGAGCGGGGCGGCTCACTCCATGATGTACTCTCGGGTATCTTAACTCAGTCGAGGTACAAGTGCGGCTTCCGAGGATGTGAGTGAACGACTCCAAGACCCTTATTAACAAGCTTATCTAGAGGGGGGGCAAAGGTTCAAAATGCCGAAGAGGAATCATAGGGGTTTTCTGTCCTACGATTCAGCAGCCTGTCGTAGTAGTTGTTGTTGGGCAAGTCGATATAACACGGCACTGCACTGCTTTGTGCGAGACCAGATTGTGCCTGGCCTTTTTGTGTGTCTGATCAAATCTCGTAATGGCCAGCTTTTACAGCGCAGCTCAATCTCCACGGCGAACCGTGTCGCGTGCCGTCGGGGTCAGTTACCACCACCGACAGATAGCCCCTTTCGTGCACAAGAAATTTGGGGAGCAAAACTTCCGTTTTCTGCGTAGTCGTCGGTCGCGCTGAACACTGACTTAGCTCTTCTCAAGTCGGTACACTATGTCATTGTCCTGGATGAATTTGGTGTAGGTAGGCGAGGCACGAGATAGCCACAACGCCACTGTGTCCTGGATGAAATTTGGTGGACTCGAAAGGAGGTTCCAGCGTCTCGCCGGCCATGCCTATCGTGCTTGTTTAGGCTCGAATCCCTGCTTCCAAGACTTTTGGCGGCGACGGCTTTGGACCTGGCCAGCCTCGTTAATGTCTACTAGCACGACGGCTCTAGGAGAACCGTCCCTAGCTGGCCCCAGACCGTTGCGAACTATTGTTTCTCGATGATTCAGCTGAGGAAAAGCTCGAGTCTGGCCAAACAATGCCCTCCTCTTGGTAAGCGCGGAAGTCTCGTCTCCAGCTTCAAATGTGGCCGTTCATTTGGAAAGTTATGAGCCGAAAAGGCTGCAACTGACACGAGCATCCTCCCCGAAAGGTTTGTTACCTGTGTCCAGGCTGTTCCAAATTGATAGTATCTCCTATAGTACATTCAGCGCAACCATCTTCATCGCCATGAGAAAGCGAGCCTGCAGTGAGACTGCACCGCTAACCGATCCCACCACGCGAGTGCCGTTCGGTGCGTCACAGGGCTAATATGGCAACGCATGCGGCATGCGGAGGATCTTCATTAGCAAGACCCTGAACCAGCCATTGAGGGCTTTTTTTTGGCGTTTGTGCGACCTGCCACCTCCAGCTTCTAGAGCCGTCACAACGCCGAACCCCAGAGATTATGCCAAGGCTCGTCGCACAAGCCACAAACGCGGGCTGGGAAATGCCTGGCCCTGTCCAGGAGTTCTGGGTACGCGATTCCTTGTAGACAGCCCGAATATGACCAGATGTTGCGCGACCTTGCTAAAGGCGCAACTCTCACTTGGAGAAAGGCTATCACTGCGCCAAGCGCCCTGGATTGTGAAGCAATAAGCTGCATACGAAGGTAGGGCTCTGGTATTGTAGGTAACGGAAAAGGATGCCGCTTGGTCTTGCGGTGGTACCATACAAGGACGGACGGGGTCAGGCAAGGTATCTCGTAGCTTGTAGCTTGTAGGCAGGCTGACAGGTCGCAAAATCCTGCTTGACCGTTCAGACGCAGCAGGGTTCTAGGAAGCTGCGTGTAGGTGAGGCAAGGCCTTCCTTCCTCAAGTTACGAACTGTGGCTGAAAACACTCTGTTGGTGTGCCAGTGAAGAGTTTCTTTTTTGACAACGCAGTGTTTACCCGACTGCACCTAGGTTACTAAATTTGTCGTATTCACGATCGCCCTTGCTTCCTCTCTGCAGCTGCCGCGCTGGAGGGCAACCATCAGGAAAGCACTATCGGATCGTGCATAGTCTCCAACCTGGAAGGCGCGACCGCTTGCTTGACTACTGTACTTGCCTCCTCACTGCATCACTGCCGACCAACCAGCCGGCAATGGCAGCAATAGTACAACCTGCCGAGCTTGCAACGCGGACTCTGCTTACTATCTGATCTGACAACAATATATCCATCAGGTCATGCATCCTTGCTATCGATAAGCCCATCGTTCGAGATTTCCATATCGACTCTCTCGGCACCAGTCATGGTGTAAGCTGAGCAGTGGATGCATCGGTCATGATGCCCTGTCTGGAGACAGTATGAGCTCCACAGGAGCATTGCAACGCTGCTAAAGCACTGAGCAGGTCCACCTACCGATGGAGCCTGACGTGGGCTGCCCAGCCTGTCCTAGCCCTTACTATGAGTACTCACTTGAGGCGAAATCAGAGTCCCCGAACAAAGTTGAGCTAGCGATCAAGCTTATTGTCTACCTGCGGCTTGATCCGGATCTTCAGAGCAGCTGAATCTGCAAATTTCCAGAACAAATATCATCGATCTTGAGAAGTCCTTGCGCTTGGAGATGGTATCACAATGGCGGACTGCCAAGTCTCTCTGTACAACCTTGTGATGCTCCGTTTATCTTGCGATCGACACTTATCGATAAACTGTTCCCAGGACTATCCGTGTGGCTTTCACAAGCTTCTTACGCAGCTCGCGAGGCGCTGGCCGTATCATTTCTCCGGCAGTCACTGAGACCTCAAGCCACCAGTTTCTGCTATATTTGTCCAGCCTGCTTCTTTGACGAACTTCGTTCAGTCCCCCACGCCATCAGAATGAAGCTTCTGAGCAGGTGTGGCACAAATTGGCTTCTATCTTGTTGGTCTCCTGTGCTTGCAGCATCTAGCTTCGCAGCATTCATCGTGACTACCAATTATGAGTCAAGTTGGGGTCTCTTTATCGATAGCTTTAGAGATGGCTGGCACATAGGCCAATAGCTCCAGGTGAAAGCCTATTGTCGGCACAGCTGCAATAGCTATATTGTGTGCATCACTCTTTGGTTGCACAGCACCAGTGGTGGTGTCCTCTACAAATTCCTGCCCTGCCAAGCCTCTGATAATCATGCACGTAAGACTGCTCTATCTAGTCCACCGTTGGTCACGTTCTGTACCCTTTCCAGGTATGATACCAGCCCATCTGTATACTAACATGAAGCTTTAGAAGAGCGTAGAAGTCCAACTTGAAGAGAGGCGACCTCTGCCATGCAGACAATGAAGTGAAGACAGAATGCATTGCATACATAGCGCATGCATCACCGCATATAACTTGCTTGCACGCACCCCTCTTGGCCACAACTTACGCCACAGTGCCCAAGTCGTGTTGTGTTCTGGATCTCACGAGGGCCGCAAGTGCCTCGTCTTACCTATACTATTGAATCCCTCGCCGCAGGAAGAGCAGTCGCGCAGGATACCCGGTGTGAATGCATTTGGTACACTGAAGTCCGTCGGATTCCCGTCTGTAAAGAATCTTATTGTCAAAGCCTGCCGTGTTCTCAGAAAGCGTCCAGTTATGAGTGCAGCCACCGCCAAGAGAATCGTGAAATGAAGGGCCACGCTTAGAGAGAAGGCGTGTGCGCCGTAACTCACCATCGAGATGCTCTGAAAAGGAGTCTTCGCGGCTTGGACCGTCGCCTAGCCGCCCACGGCAGATTACGATGTGTCGCAATGGCGTCGATCGTGATGGTCTGTCAACAAGACGGACAGAAGACTGTAGACTCGATGTGAGACTTTATCATAGCGTCTTGAACGCAAGTCACATTTGATGGCGACTGTGCCTGGCCTCAGCTCCAATATTTGCAGCATATTGGCAACACCCGAGAGCCTTATCAACTACCCCATATTCTCATCAAGTGACAGCCTCATCGCCAAGCATTTCTTGTGTAGCCGTTGATCGTGTTGTATTCAAATGTGATCATGTGAATCATTCACTGTTATTACGCCTCCTGAATCACAGAGTGCAGCCCTGTATGGGACATTTGGGTGATTACCTAGCACCCCAACCCTAACGACGCATCGGTTTCCTGAATTCGGCCTCGTATTCCTGCAGGCCATCGCCTCAGCCGCATTGCATCTGCATAAAGCTAACACTTGGCGCCCGCCCTGTCAGCCAGTCACTGCTCGTCGAAATGGGCCATGTAAACAGCGGGATGGAAAGTTTTTCACTTGCAGCAGCCTCCACCGTCATCTGGAAAAGCGCTGCAAGTAAGACTCTGCGACTTTCGTCCGGCTCGGACTGAACCTGCCGGAGAAGATAGCCTGCTTATCTCAGAGTTATTGAGTCCATGACAAAATTGTAATCGAACGGTGTGTCCACAAATATTGGCATCCTCGTCTGATCTAGGCCCGTGGAATGGGTTAGCATCCCCCGATACAGCTCCAACTTGCGAGCTGGATACTACCTAGGTAGACTATCCGTACTCGAGAATCTTCAACGCATTGTTCCTAATACCGAAAAGCCTTGTTGCCTCTACTATGGCCTTTCCAGAATAGCATTATTGACGCTAGCAAACCTCCGTCGCAGCCAATGCTCTCTATTGCGACGAGCCAATCCGAATTAGACTTAACTCTGTACCTCGAAATCTACACTACGAGCCGCTCGGGGATTTCCCAGGGGCCACAAGTTAGTCAGAGGGAAGGTTCCGCTCCCCCTGCTGACCGGGTATGTTCGCGCACCCCTGAAATGTGGCTGGCGGAATGGTTCACGCTTTGCAGAGTGCAATTTCCACAACACCTGACAGCGGTCGAGTAGTGTCCTCTCGCATTGACGGACTCGAGCAGCTGCTCCCCAGACGCCAGACGGGCAGCAGCTGGGTAGGTAAGGCGGCCAGTCGCAGAATTTGGACACCTGTTTGCAGAGAGTCTTCTGATAAGGCTTTTGCGGGGTGTTACACAGGGAGACTTCAGGACCCCGAATATGTCGGACCCATGACCCTGCCGAGAAGCAATGTATATCGGCGCACCAACGAAAGGTCTCAGAGTGTGAGGCAAAGACAGCTCTGTACTTTCAGTGAGCTCCGAGGCCTTGGATTTCGCGATGAGATTGTTCCAAAGATTTACATCGAGACTGTGTATCATCCAGAAAGTTCATTGTGCATCTATCTTGCTAGATAGGCAACGAGCTTCCGCCACACCTTGGCCGATGACCTGTACAGTAATAAACATTGGCCACGAGTCCTTCAGCCAGGCTGAAGAATGGCAACCAACATGTGTCGAGGCTTGATGGCAATTAATTATTGCGGTATAAAACTCATTATAGCCAAAGTTTGAACGACAACTTATATAGTTCAAGTTGAGAACAAAGACGGTCATACTCCGAACATCATATTGTTGCCCAGAATCTGGAAGCTTGAGTCTTGATAGTCGTACAATTTCTACGTAGATAAATAGTCAATACGACAATTTGCGTGCTGTGTACAGTCTCCTGAAGAGCCTATCGTATCCGACAACACCGGGTCACGGCAGAGACACGGACAAAGATGAACGGAGCTGGGCCGGGCGGGTGTTGCCCCCCCGGAGCGGCAAATGTGCAGTACAGGTGCAGGCCGGCCGGCGGGGCAACGGGCGCTAGGCGGCTAAGTTGAGACCTGGAACCCTCAATTTCTGACGACAATTTGACGAACTCTGAGTCACGACTGCGCCATTGTTTGCAGCAGCCACAGAAAGCGCACGAAATTGGGCTACTCTGCATTACCAAACATCCCATTCCACAGCAGTCGATGAGTCTTCTTTGCCACTCCTTCCTAATCGACATTGGCGAGGCGAGGCGCGGGCATTTCCGTGGCATTTCAGGTCATCCTAATTCAAGCGTGACTCTTTTGCATCCCGGGTGCCAAGGATTACTTCTTCATATCGACAGCTTCTACCAACCTTCATCTGAAAAGGACGCTGTTGTAACGCGGACATATTGCTGGCCTCAGTCCACGTTTCTCTGATTTCCTTATCTAATTTTTTCCAAAGTCGCTGTATTTCAAAGAGCGCATCAGGCCTAGTGGCTATCCATCCTGGATCAACAGAACTTTCACGGCACTAGCTTTCTATCTCGCCACATTGTCATGTCTGAAGCTCAGTCTGTTCAGACAACAGCTCCTTCAGCACCCAGAGGCCGTGGCCATGCAAATCGAAGGGGCAGAGCACAGAGAGGTCGCGGTGGAGGACAACCAAGACTCAATCACGGCCGTGGCGGGCATGTGCCGCCTTCGGGCGGTGTGAGCACCAGCACAATACCAGAGACTGAGCCATCAGAACCGGAAGCATCAGGTTCGAGAGGCGGCCGGGGTCGGCGAGGAGGACAACGACATGGCAGAGGCGGTGCGCCTACACACGCTTCGCACATAGCACCACAAAGAAGGTTTGGAGGCCAATTAACAAGTATGGCCCCGGAGCCTTCGGAAGCTGGCTCTATGTTGAGTGCAGCTGCTCCGGAGTTTGTACCGGGTCAACTTGCTGCTCAGACAAGGTATGATTGTCCAAGAAGTTTGATATAGATTACACAACTGACAGATACAAAGCTCTAGTCGTCCGGCAGCTGCACAAGCAAAGCCAGCTTCAAGACCAAGGCGAGAATCAAAATCTTCAGCGCCTGATCTGCCAACTCGCATTCATGATGATATTGACAATGGTCAATATGAATGCGTTATATGTTCCAGCGAGGTTGTGCGAACGTCTCGCGTTTGGGCGTGTTCTATCTGCTGGACAGTCGCTCACCTCCACTGCACCAAGAAATGGTACACGAGCCAAATGAAGAATACTGAACAGCCCCAAGGTCAAATCCCCACATGGAGGTGCCCTGGTTGTAACTCTGCTTTGACCGAAGAACCCGGTTCCTACCATTGCTGGTGCAGCAAGGAGATCAACCCAAAGCCAATTGTGGGATTGCCACCCCATTCATGCGGTCAAACATGCTCCAAACCTCGAGCAACTTGCCCACATCCGTGCTCACTGAGCTGCCATGCTGGGCCTTGTCCCCCTTGTACGCTCATGGGACCGAGTCAATCATGTTTTTGCGGGAAGCAAACTTCGCAGAAACGGTGCAGTGAAACTGACTACAGCAAAGGATGGAGTTGTCAGGAGGTATGCGGAGATCTTCTGCCTTGTGGAGAGCACACCTGTTCCCAGTTATGTCATTCCGGCCTATGCGGTAGCTGTGAGCTGCCTATGCCGTCTACGTGCTATTGCGGAAAGGAGCACAAGGAAATCCCCTGCGAGCAGCGAGACGATATTATCGAGTCCTACAACTACAAGCACATACTTGTCAACTCAACCGATGAAACGGACGAGCCCGAGACATGGTTCGAAGGCTCTTTCCAATGCGGCGCGGAATGTGGTCGCAAATTTGACTGTGACTTTCACTCTTGCGAAAAACCATGTCATCCTCAGGACGAAGAGGCAGCTCACTGCCCTTTATCCCCTGATGTGGTTACTCACTGCCCATGCGGTAAGACTAGTCTGGATGAAATCATGGCTGAACCGAGACAAACTTGTCAGGACAAGATCCCTCACTGCCAAAAGATTTGCGGCAAGACACTCTCTTGCGGCCATCAATGTGACGACACTTGCCATACTGGTCCATGCAGGCCATGCTTTCAAAAGGTGGAAATCTCATGTCGGTGCGGGAGAACGTCGGTTCAGACCCATTGTCATCAGGGTAATGTTCAGAAGCCAGAATGCTTTCGAACTTGCCGGGCCCAGCTGAGCTGTGGGCGTCATGAGTGTGGTCAACACTGCTGTCCAGGAGAGAAGAAGGCAGCCGAGAGGCAAGCGGCGAGGCGCAAGCAAAAATTGGCTCCTCTCAACGTGGATGTTGAGGACGAGCACCTCTGCCCCCGGGTGTGCGGACGGCTGTTGAAATGTGGAAAGCACAATTGTGAGCAGCTGTGTCACAAAGGGCCTTGTCCTTCCTGTCTGGAGGCCGTCTTCGAGGAGATAAGCTGTTCTTGTGGACGGACTGTCTTGTACCCGCCACAGCCATGTGGGACTCACCCCCCTGAGTGTCGCTTTGACTGCACCCGGCCACGGCCATGCGGACATCCCCAAGTTCAACATCACTGCCACCCTGACGATGTATCGTGTCCAAAATGCCCATTCCTCGTCGAGAAACCTTGTTTGTGCGGCAAGCAGACCTTGAAAAATCAGCCCTGCTGGTTTGGGGAAGTTCGGTGCGGTCTCCCATGCGGGAAGCGTCTGAAGTGCGGCACACATACGTGCAAGAAGCCTTGTCATAGGCCCGGGCAATGCGAAGACTCAGAGGTTGTAGGCTCGCATTGCACTCAGGAGTGTGGGAAGCAGCGCAAGTCGTGCGATCATGAGTGCACTGAGCAATGTCATGCCCCCTTCCCCTGCAAGGAAGATAAGCCATGCCCGCTGGAAATCTTCATCACTTGTGATTGCCAGAGACGAAAGCAGAAGGCCAAATGCCTGTCGACGAAGCTGAACCCAGGCGGTCCTCAGCGCGAACCCCTGAAATGTGATGACGAATGTGCACGACAGAAGCGCAATCGGCAGCTTGCTGCTGCGCTCAACATTGACCCCGATACTCACACGAACGATCACATTCCATATCAGGATCTGACACTCAAGTTGTTCAAGGACAACCTTGAGTGGGCACAGGCTCAAGAAAAGGAGGTCCGCATATTCTCCGAGTCGAACCTCAGGAACATTCGCTTCAAACCTATGAAATCAACACAACGGCAATTTCTGCATACGCTCGCCGAGGACTATGGACTTGACAGCGAGAGCCAGGATCCTGAGCCTCACAGACATGTGGTTCTATTTAAGGGTCCTCGCTTTGTATCTGCTCCGACAAAGAGCTTGCTACAATGCTTGAAGCTGTCTCGCACGGCGCCTCGACTTGCACCAGCTGCAGCACCACTAGTAAAACCCACTACTCAGCAATACTTCAACGCCTTGCTTCTATCTACGCCTCGGTTTGGCCTGATGGTCAACGAGGTTGAATCCGCCCTCGCTGGCGACCTGGCGTCTCACAATATCCCGGGACTTACCTTCACGACCAATTTCCTCCCTGCCGACGAGGTAGTAATCAAGGCAAATACAAAGACGACAGCGGCTAGCATTGCATCCGGACCCGTGCCAACACCTCTAATGATCGAGTCCGCCCTGGCAGCACTCAAGCCAAAGGTCGCCAAGACGGTCGCAAGCCTCAGCCTTGCTGGCGGTGTCGCCCTATGTCACGCAGACAGTTCCCTGAACATCACGCGGCGTGAGGGCGATACGGCCGCCGACAGTGGAGGATGGAGCACGGTTGCGAGCCGCGCAGCAGCTCGGCCGCGCCAGATGGTGTCCACGCCGGTGGTCCAGAAGGCGCCGAGCGCCTTCCTCGCCCTGAGGAAGATCAAGAAGAAGGAGGAGCCTGAGCCTGTTGACGACGACTGGGAGACTGCGGCGGAGAAGATCGAGGATGCTCCGGCTGAGGTTCCAGCGGAGTCATGAACATGTGATACGAGGACAGGGCAATGATTAGAGCACGATAGCATATTCAACTCGTAAGCAGATATAGAGGCTGTGATGCCTGCATGATGAAAACACCAAGATTCCTAGAACCTGAAAGCCATCGTGTGATACTCCAACTGCCTCCACAGGTACGAGCCTATTTCTGTGACGAAGCTGCTCGTCACTCCGTCCCCATATCAAGCTAGACTATTACGCCACTTCAGGCACTACGCCATTGATTTGAAAGCAAGTAGTTGAATCTATTCACTCTAAATGCTTACGGCAGGTGTTCAAATCCCAATAACCGGAATCTGGAATATTCCTCCCCGGAGTTCAGGCAAAGCTCCGCGACAGCATAATGCCACCAGACGCGGCCGTCTGCGATAAATTAATTGGCACATCAGGCACGGCGGTTCGTCTCGTGATGTCGCGTGGCGCCATTATGCTATCCTTCTTGTGCAGACATTATAGGCGGCTACGCCCACGGCATGCCGTGGCGGTTCACAAGGGGGAGGGTCCGATAAGGTAGAAAGAAGAAGGTGGTGGATGGGTGGGTGGTGTAGGTTACATACTTCGAGACTAGCACCAGGTTATAGGTATAGTCCGGGTCTTCTATTATTTTATTGTGATAATACAGATAGCATAGCTATAATAGTGGGTGTGGCACACGCGTACGCTTTCTTGCATTACGTCTCGTCGTGTATCAATCAGTTGTAGTAGGGGTATCATTTCCATAATAAATGCATCATGACTCCGTCTAAACTCATAAAGCGTTTGTCCGCCGTCTGACAATTCGATAACTTGCTGTTTGTTTGTGTCTTGCTTCATATCCCCGGATTATCCATGTCATACCTTCCATGCTGTGGCTTCGCTACATCTTCACCATGCTCGGATACTCCTCCGTGACCGACGCGATGAAGTCCGAGATGGCCTCGAAGTAGCCCTCCTCCACGACGCTGGAGTTGTGGTCTCCACCTGGGAGGGGCTTCCAGATCTTGTTGGGCGCGGCGGAGAGCTCGTACAACTGGCGCATGTGACTTGGTCTTTATGTGAGACATGACGTTAGCGCAGACTCGGGTGTGGCAGGAATATCAAAGTCTCGATAAGATAGAAATGCAAGACAGTAAAAAATCAGGATTTTGTCGTCAAGTGACGTTTGTTCAGCACCGCCGAAGCAGTTCACCTTTTGTGGGTAGTTATGTGATCATCATATGGCATCAAGCACACTCTAGAAAGAAGACGTATAGAAGCTTAGCACTTACGGCACGATCTCGTCCTGCAAGCCGCTCAGGAAGAGGATGGGGACCTTAGTGATAGTGGGTATTAGAGAGTCACTTGGCCACACTTGGTGACATAAAAGCGTCAGATACTTCGCCGGCGGGATGACGGAGGGTATCAGCTTCCGCATGCTGAGGAAGGTGTTCTCGAGGACCAGCCCGGCGATGTCGCCATCAGTCTGGTTCTTCGACACCAGCTTGATGCTCACCGCCCCTCCTAAGCTCTGGCCGTAGATGACGAGTTTGTGTCCACTTGTCTCGGCACGATTCCGTAGATAGTCCAGGGCGGTCTGGGCGTCAAGCATGATCCCAGACTCATCTGGCTCTCCGGTAGACATTCCGTAGCCGCGATACTCAAGCATGAAGACGTTGCATCCCGTCAGGTTGATCAGCATCCGCGCGATCGGCAGCCGGTGGCCAATGTTGCCCGCATTGCCGTGGAACATCAGCACCGTGACCTTGGAGTTGCGCCCCCCACGCGGACCCCGGATGTAGAAAGCCGAGAGCTTCTCGCCATCGTTGGTGGGGATCACGAGCTCCTCAAAGTCTTTGATGCCAAACTGTGAAGGTCGTGGAAGCTCTGTCCGGGAATTCGGGGGCATGTGAGACGGGTAGATCAGGGCCCTGGATGTGGAGCAGGGTCGGTTAGCCCCACGAATATGTGGTGTTGAGGTGGTGTCACGAGGGCACCAATTCAGGATGGTGTACTCACTTTTGCTTGAAGTAAAGGAGTGTGGTCAAGACAGCGGCAACGCCCTACGCGAGACATGGTTAGCATCCTGTCGGCCAGCAAGCTGCGACCCGACGTACGCAGTAGAGGTCGGATGGTGTTGGTGGGATAGCCGCTCGGCAAGCAGGCCGGCCTGAGGCGGAGCGCAGACCAGGCGGGACCATGGATGATGGAGGAAGAGGAGGAGGAAGCTTACTGTGGAAGCCAACGCAGGCAAGCGCATGTAGCTGGCGACATTCGATAGGAGCGACACGGTCTGCTCCAGGTAGGTTTGGTTTGACGAACTGGAAGAAGAGGAAGACATTGTGAAGAGAGAAGAGATGAAAAACCTGTCACGGCCGGACAAAAAGCTGTGCGGTGTTCCGATACTGTTTCTGGATCTGGATCTGGTGCCTTGGACATGCACAACACACCGACTCGACTCGACTTCAGCAGAGGCTAAAGATGACGGGTCAAACCGAACCCACAGAGGGGTTCGTGCACAGGGGCTGTTTGTTTCCGACAAGCCCAGGAGCCTCTTGTTGGAGACGGACCCATTCAAAACCTGTGTGCAGTGGGTATGGAGCAGAGGGAGCTTCGATGCTGGTCAAGGTTGTAACTGCTCTACGTAGCTAGCAAGGTGACAGAGCTCTGGAGCTACCTAGGTAGGTCCCTTCGGCCTCGACGAAATCGGCCACAGGTTCGTGGAAAAGCTCCTTCGTGGGTGCGTGTGATCCTGGTCTATCGATGGCCCCCGTTCTGGTGGATTCGCGGGATCTTCTTGTTGTCCGACCGGATGCCCCTGAGACTGTCCCTCTTCCTCTGAGCGCCGGCAAGGAGCGATAGTTGCTCGAATGCAATAGCGACGCGATACGCGCGAGAAAAGCGCGTGATACCGATGTGCTCTGCGGAGGTTAGAGAGAACAGAAGATAGCTGTCGTCGCCGGGCGTGTCGACCTGGTAGAGATAGGAACTACATAATTGGCCCAGAACATTATACAGAGCCCTAGAGCCATAGCAGGGGAAATTAACTGGAAGCGACATCCCTAGGTGGTCCGTGTACAATCAATGGTTCGTCCCCTCGAGCGTGGCTTAAGCGCCACATCGTCCTATGTGCTACCTATCAGCCCCGTCTCTCCAGCTAGATTGTACGCGCTAAGCAGCTGGTGAACGCGGCCATTTTAATTGGCAGCAGTGCAGTCCTCATCTCAAAGGGATGGCCGGACCTGACATGGAGCTCGGGACGATCCTCGCGCAGTGCATACAGGATGTTGGGGGGGACCTATTTTGAGGCCTGACCTTGCAGGCTCCGGCGCCAGATCGCTGGGAGGCATTGGATGGGTACAGCTGAGCAGAAACCAACAAATGCTCGCTCCTGGAGGATGCAGAGTGAATGAACCCAGACCTCGAGTGGTTCATGCTGTCGGATCTGGCCAGCCCACTCGATCATCCCGAGCATCCCAGAACAACACGAGCGTTGGTGGAGGATGAAACGCGAGTGGAAGCAGTCAGGAGGTCTTCGCTAGAGCTTCGAACCCCTGGGTGTGCGCCGCGCCACAGTCTTGGGTCGCTCATGAAGCAGCTGGCTTATACTGCATCTGGGCTGAATTGTCAAGAGACCGACTGTATATGCCAGGTCGTTTGACAAGGAGTGGTGTACAAAGTACTACATGTAGATATGAAAGTGAAGAGTCGTATCAAGAGATAGCTTCTCCTAGCCGAGCTCCCATGGCTGCTGTCAACTGCGTCAATAGCCTGTCTTTCTTAAATACATAAGACGACTTGTTTGGTATGTGCAGTTGCAGCAGAGAGCACATACTCTGGTTGTGTTCAAGTTACTTACTTACTTACTGTTGGCTCGGAGAGCGAAATCGTTCTGTCATACCTAGGTCCACAACGATAGCCATTATCGAAGCCTGCTGATGACAGCTTGGAGATCTAGGTAGCTCCGATGATCTGTTGCTAGATCTTGGCCAAGTCCGAATTCCTACAGACACAAGCATGGAAGTAGTAGCCTGGCCTCGAAAGATGATTGATGGGTGAGCTTGCACATGGCGTCGTAAGCCATTGAGATTCAATACTAGGGTGCACCCACGATTCGACGATTGTCCTTGGGTATCAAGTCTTTACTTGGGGTTATGAGGCTGAGCAAAGACTGTTCTGGGCGGTGGTCAGCGTCTTGAACTGCTCAGGTCTCAGTTGGCTGAGCGTATCCCATAAGCCGTATCCTGTCGTGGCCTGAACTGTCCTGAAGTTAACCGTTTGGACTGGGAGGCTTTGGAGAGCACACTACAGTACTCGAGCACATACTGTACTTGTTCGACCAGATTTGGACCCGGCATATCTAAATTAATCAACACACACGACGGGCAGCCAATGATGGGACACGAACGCGCCGGTTTCAGGTCTGGATTGTGTCAGGAAGCTGGGGGTTTCCGCGTAATGGAGGGGGAGGATGGTCAATTGAGGAGGGGGGTAACTTCTGCATGGGGTGTCCCTAGCAACCGTCTGCCGTCGATCCACTCTAATAACGTAACCTGACTGTCCATCAGTTTAAGTCAAGTCACCTCAGTCCAGCGTTTATGCATGCGCGCCCAACAACCACACAGATTTTTTTTTCTGGTCGTCTTCTGTGATCTTCCAAGCGTCAACATTGGGCAAACACAGATCACACGGAAGTCGAGCATTCGTCATAACAGTCACCTGCAGCCGCTTCTTCCCGACAGACCGGGTTCTTCTCTGCCTCTGCCTCTGGAAATTCTGTCTGCGGGCCCTCCACTGTGGAACGGACCGTTTTTCTCACTCCCATCGCATTCCATCTCAAAAAAGTCCAGGCAAGGATCCTGAGGCAGGGCGCTCGAGGTGAAGAGCCCCAGGGCTGTTTCGAACTCCACCCCCCGGCTAGCCAGCCAGTCCCGCCTTCAGGTATGAACTCGCCTGTCTCTCTGCCTTACCTCCATCCTCCAGTCCCTTACCACTGGATCTTCTCCGTTAGGTCTTGGTTTTTGGCTTTGGGTATTTGACGCCCAAGCTCTTCTTTACACCCATTTCGCAATCCCCAACAAGCAAGCGTCCCCATTCCTCGTTTCGTCCCGAAGAAGTCAGCGCGACAAGACAAGGAATATTTGAGTTACCGTCCGGTAGGTACAGTACTGCCACACTACCTGTACCTATCTTGCGTACGCCCACCCGCACACAGCACCCACAGCCCTTCTGATAGTTACAAAAAAAGGAACAATATCAGACAGGCCTGGCCATCACCCGTTGCTCACCTGAGGTTAGCGGGTTAGTGCCCAGTCTGTTCTGACCTTGACCTTGACAGACAGATACACACAGACAGACAGACAGAGAGACACATGCACAATATCACCCACATCCACATACATACCCGAACCGAGCTGCCACAGACCACTCGTTTGGGACCTTTGATGAGCCCTCTTTGCATCTCTATGCGGCTGCTATTAGACGCTACACATACTCCCCGGCTGCACCGTCTGGACCCCATTGCCTCTTCAGTGCTTGTCTCATTCTTCAGTCCTATCCACCTTGCCTTGTTAGACTAGCAACTGCGCAGGCTAAATTTGCACTTTTTTTGCTCGCGTCCGCGTTGTTTCTAAAGACTAACGACTCTTCACATTCCAGCCTGCCGTACCGACATCGTCCACGTCCAGTCAGCATCTGCTCAACTGTCTGCAGACTCACTCACCTCACAGCAGAAGAGGCAAAACTCGCGCAGGACCGCGTCCAGTCACGAACACAGATCTCTTCGATTCGTGCCGTCCCGAACCAATTGGACGCACCGCCTCTTCCGAACAACGCATCAACAGCGTCACAAAGCAGCAAACAAACAAGAGACAAGAGACAGCCGGAAATCATGGTTTCCTTCTCATGTGAGGTATGTTCATGCTCACTCACTCACCCACGTTCATGCTCCAGCCTCCCCAATCCGGGTTTCCCCCGTTTATTTACCGTTCCACGTCTGTTGTCATTGTGTATCTCTCACCCTCCCCCCCTCCATCCTCCTACAGCGCTCTCTCTGTGCGCGCGCGACAGAACATTGGGAGCACACACACACACACACCCCGGCTCCCCTCCTCCACCTACCCCTCCCCCTTCCCTCACTTATACCCTCCCTAAGATTAACTGACATCACTCCTCCCTTCCTGTCACACGCCCGCGGGATAAGGCCACTCCAGTCCCTCCTTCAAGACTGCCCCCCTTAATGCCCAGCTGATCCCTCCCCTACAACCATTGTCTCGTTGTCCTGCTGCCACTCTTGATACCCTTCCGACCAAACACATACACTCTCTTTATCTCCTGCTTCTCAAGAGTCCAATTGTTTCCTTCAATCTCGTTGCCCTTTCCATCGTCGAGGCGGGTCTAACCGTGTATCATTACTCACCTACAGGCCTGCGGCGACATCTTCACCAAGAAGAAACTCGACCCACACAGAAACCGCTGCAGAGGAGCCACATTCACCTGCATCGATTGTATGGTCCATTTCCCCGGGACTGAGTATCGCGCACATACGGTATGACACCATTGTGCTTCCTTCGTGTGTGGGCCATGGCCCTTGCTGACCTGACCGCCAGAGTTGTATGAGCGAAGAGCAAAAGTATCAAGGCGCACTCTACAAGAACAAGAAGGCCAAAACCACCGCAACCGACACCCCATCCGCTCCCAAGACCATGGCGCAGGCGGCTTACGTTAAGGACATCGTGGAGGAATATCGGGACTACGACGACTATGAGGACGACAACAGGTCTACTACTGACGCGCCTCCTCATGCACCCACGCCTCCACCAGCCGGCGATGGCCCTGTCAATGTATTCGACTTCCTTGTCGCAAACGCTACTCCCAATGCCTCCAACACGGCCTTGCCACAGCCTGCTCCGGCAGCAGAGCCCAGTCAGAGCCGGCAACTCGTACGCTTCGACTACCAGGCCAACAGCTACACAGACCCAACAGGATACATGGTCGAGGATAGTGAAGCACTCGTACAGTACGGCACGGGACCCATTCCAGCTGGTCGCAACCCCCTAGAGACTCCCGCACCGAAAGCGGACCGAAAGAAGAAGGACAGCGACCGTGAAGTCAAGAAGGACAAGAAGCGCAAGCGGTTACACATCGATACCCACGACCAAATCATGACCGACGCACCTCCAGTTCTCCATTCTGGCCTGACTGGTGGGCTCAATCGCCTTATGAGTAGACCACATGCCTTCCCACCATCCCCAGATGCTTCAGGCTCTGGCGGTGAGGTTATCGAAACACCAGCCAGCCCTCTCAAGAAGAGCAGACACTCCAAACATTCAAAGTCCAGCCGGACAGAAGGCGGCATCGGCAACAACCTAATGGCCATGCTTACCAACGGAGGATCGAAGAAGACAAAGAAGAGGAAGGCGGTCTCGACAACAAAGACTAAGAAGCACACCTCACCTCGCCATCGATCCGACGGCAAGGAGCAGAAGCTCATCGAATACCGGCCCGCATCTAAGGAGGGCGACAAGGAGGCCGATGCCAGCGCGATGGTGATATATAAGCCGCGCGCCGATCTTCTCATGAGTTTCATTGAGAAGGGCCCCGATAGCGAGCGAGGATGCAGCATGAACAAGGCCCTCAAACGTTTCCATCGGGAAAGGACTGCCTCTGGCAACAGCCTAGGCAAGCTAATGGAGGAGAAGGAGTTGTGGAGATCACTGCGGATGCGCAAGAATGATCGGGGTGAGATCGTCTTGTTCTCTATCTAGGAGAGTTGTGGTGGGGAGGGGGAGGTCATCGTCTTGCAAAAGATTTGATTGTCATTTTCATCTTACCGGAGTTTTGGGAGAACAGGCTACTGCAATGGGTTTTCGTGATACCTATAAACACACACATCTCGCATGGAAATGCTGGAGAGGAACATGGATATTCCTCGGATCATACAATGAAAGGGTCTTCTATTATTTTTGTGGGACATCTTCAATACATTCGGCACATGGCAAATGCTCTCAGCTGGACTTGTGAGCTTATAGAGCAGATGGCATGCGCATAGGGTTCATTATTTTTCTCGTGTTCTCTTCGGTCTGGTCTGAAGCAAGGAAGAATTTATCATTTTCAAAACTGTCTTGCTTTTCCATGTTCCGCTTGTCCTGGTTGTTTCTTCGCTCGCGCTGCGCTCCATCTCGTGTCTCTTCTTGGATCTGCCTGGCGAAGGGATAATGTGGTCCCCTTTCTGTTTGTGACAATATGTCTTTCTACAAAGATACATGTATGAGTATCACGGCTCTGGGTCATTTCGCAATGCCCCGCCGATAATCATAGCTCAGCTTTCAAAACCATAAATCTCAACTTGACTCCGCGCACCTGAATGCTGTTCTTGACCCGTCTTTCCCCGGCATCAACACTGTAACACCGTCGACATGGTCTCTCAACACACCCGCAACGGCAGGATATGTTGCGCCAGCGCCTCCCTCCTGCAGAGCGGGCACTCGGGCTTCTCGCGCACCCAGTCGCCGATGCAGCTCCAGCAGAAGATGTGGCCGCACTGCGTGGCAGACGGGTCGCGCAGCTCCTCGAGGCACAGCGTGCACTTGCGCTGCTGCCTTCCCTTGATCCAGCCCATGACGTCCGCGCCGCGGCCCAGGTCGTAGCGCGGGCGCTCGTGCGCCGGCACCGGCGTGTGCGCCATCGCGCCGATGGCCGCCTTGCTGCGCTGCGCGACCGCGACCGCGGCCCCCGGCGCGCCCGGCAGCAGCTCGTTATTGCTGCTGTAGCTGTTCTCGTCGAGCGACACCTCCAGGTCGCCGCGGGGCCCGAACGCCCGCTCCCGGATCGCGGCCTCGACCAGCGCCTCCTCGCCCGTGGGCGCCGCCGCCGCCGCCGCCGACGCGAGCGTCGACCGCACGTGCAGGTACCCCTGCACCGCGAGCTGCACGATCAGCAGCACGCCGAGCACCTCGTAGCCCGCCCGGTCCCCCTCCGCGCTGACCTGCCGCGTGAAGACGTACCGCAGGCCCGTCAGCCGCTTCGCCAGGCTGTAGTATGCGCCGCTGAAGTAGAAGACGGCCAGCGTCGCGGCGTGGACGTGCGCGCCGCTCGTGATGGACGGGAGATGTGTGAGGATGTAGCGCTTCGAGCGGTACTCCCAGCCGTCCGTCCTATGGTGCCGCGAGAGATGTGCCAACCGCTTCTCGAGCCGCGCGCGCAGTGTCGACCGCACAGAGGGCAGCATGCGGGACAGCGCGTAGGGCATCAGGATGCTGCTGCTGATGTAGGCGGCGCGGCGCGGCAGCGACGGCAGCGAGGGCCCGGGCGTGTCGGCGCGCACCTGCACGAGGTCGCAGTACTCCTCGCCGAGCGTGCGGTTGCCGAGCAGGGTTGTGAGGGAGAGGTAGAGGAGGTCGGCCGCGGTGCGCGACTCGGTGGCCCAGGCGTGGGCGGAGCGGGCGCCCAGCAGGCGTCGGTGAAGATCGGCTAGCTGGTTCGAGAGAACGCCCTGGAAGTAGGCATCTTTCTGGTGTGCGCGGATGATATCTGGCGCCGTTGCGAAGGGGTACGGAGAGGAAGCGTCGGTGATGGCGGAGGGTGAGGGGAGTTGAGGGGTGCTGCTCTGGGCAGCTGTGTCGGCGGTCATCTTTGGTTCATTGATGCTTCTGTAGTGGCGATTACAATTGTACTTCGAGAGAACGCTATTGTGGCAGCGATTCCTTCATGGATTGTCAACAGATCGAAGTTGGTATATTGACAGTTGTTGCGGGGGCTCAAGTTTTGCTCGGTTGGAAAACATGCAATTCGATGCTTGGAGGACGGGAATTGCCTCGGCTGGCGGCACGGGATACTCGAGTAGAAGATCGTGCTAATCAGGTCAGGGTGCAGGCATACAGGCTACCAAAGGGCTGAGCCACTAAATTTGCCGCTAATGCTAGACTGACATGGATGCAACCGTCTTGCTGATGACGTTCCCCTAAATCTAATTTAGTCCCACTACAGACGCGCAGTCCAGGGAGCGATGAAAATCGTCCACGTTTTCAATTCCATACGGAAGCCCTCGACTGACAATAGCTTCAACACGCTCCTCACGACACTCGTTTCCTAACAGTTCATATTCGCTTCTCCTGCTCCTTTATGAATATTAGGGTGCCCGGGAGGTTACGACCACAATGGACGGAGACCCGGCAGTCGCAGGGGAGCTGGACTCCTTTAGTCTGTCCTTTCCCCTGCCATATCGAGTCGCCTTCATCATAATAGCAGGTGAGAAGCCAAACGGTCTTGGCACCTCTCACAGGAACGCTAACATGTCTCTCAGCTGTCTGGGGATGGGGCATGAACCTACATTTTCTCTACCTTGTCAAGATCGACGTCCCATCTCTGATACGATATCCTCAACGCTCTTCATCACAACAACTTCCGCATCACCATTCAACATACCGTCTCGCAACCGCCCTGTCACTCACATTCGTGTTCTCGATCGTTACCTTCTGGGTCTTCTCCCACCGCGACCCGAAGCTTGTTATCTATTACGACTGGATGCCCATGACATATCTCGTCGTCCTTGCCGCTCTCTTCGTGATCCCGTTACGCAACTTTGCCATATCCCACGGTGGCCGTGGCCGGTTCCTTCACGCGCTCCGGCGCGTTAGCATCGGCGGTCTAGCGCAGGCGCAGGACGGCAAGTTTGGCGACATCTTGCTTGCCGATGTACTGACGTCCTATGCCAAGGTGCTTGCGGATCTCTTCGTGTGCATCTGCATGTTCTTCACCAGCGACGGGTCCGCCACTAATCGCCCGGACCGCAATTGTGGTGGTCAGGTCATCGTACCGCTAATCATGGCGGTGCCATCGCTCATTCGATTCCGCCAATGTCTTATTGAGTACGTGCGCGTGAGGAATTCGCCGTACAAGGAGAGTGTCGGCTGGGGGGGACAGCACCTTGCCAACGCCGCCAAATATGCCAGCGCATTTCCGGTGATCATATTCAGCGCCTTGCAGAGGAATCTGCCGGCTGATCAGGATCGCACGGGGCTCTATCGTGCATGGCTTATTGCAGTGATGGTGAACAGTTTCTATAGTTTCTACTGGGATGTCGCCAAGGATTGGGACCTGACGCTTTTCTCGTCCGCATGGGAGCGGAACAACCCTGAACATGCGCTTGGCCTAAGGCGGAGAATCATGCTTGGACGGCCGAAACTCTACTACTGCGTTATTGCGATGGATCTCATGCTGCGATGCACATGGACTCTGAAGTTGAGCCCTCACTTAGATCATATTAGCGACTTCGAGAGTTCGCTCTTTGTCATCGAATTTCTGGAGGTGTTCAGGCGATGGGTATGGATATTTTTCCGAGTCGAGACAGAGTGGCTACGCAACTCGACTTCGGGGTTGGGGGTTGACGACATCTTGCTCGGCGACTATCAGGGCAAGTATGATGATGAGGATTAATGGTCTCTTCAAACTGGGGATGACTTCATGAAAGGTAGTCCTCCTCTTCCAAGTACCCACTTACAGATGTGGGATATGCTGTAAATCATAGCACGGAGTTTTGTATGGGGCTTGAGTGGGATATAGACTTGCTCGCATATTATACCATCTAATGATAAATGTATGTTTTCTATACGGATGAGCATGCAGACTGATACTGATCAACTAACTGATGTTGTTTGCTTGATTTGATCAGAGGCCACACATCAATCCTTATTCAGGCATCATCGCGCATTCTTTATCACTATTACACGCATTGACAAAGACTACCAATCCCACACTGAGTCAAGCAATGAAAGCGCCAGTCGTTGTCGCTGGTGATATTCCCGCAACCAGTTCTTTGTCCCCAAAGTCTGCTTTAAAGGTCTCTTCGCCTCACACTTCAAAAATGAAAATGGAGCTTCGTCCTCATGAGATGTTGGTTTCGAAAACGAATCCAAATTAATTCTAAATTCTCGATTAAGATGACTGACGCAAGACATTGGGCTGATGAGACCGGCTCGAGTCACTCCCATATATCGTTCAGGGCTTTGGAGATTTCCATTCCTCCAGGCCACAAGCCCCCGTCTCCTGGTTCTGTCGCAATCTATGGGTCAAAGCCTCTACCTCCTATCCCTTTACGCAGATCGATAGCATCGTCTTTTGGCAGTGAAGTCGCACGGGCCCTCAAGACACCAAATCGAAGCGTAAATTCTCAACAGACCGATTATGACTGGGAGAAGGAGGGGACGGACATCCTTGCGATATTGGATAGAAAGGTTCCGAGAGGTCGAGTGGTCCCTAAGATAGATGTGAACAATATCCCGAACACACCTCCCGACGAGATCCTGTCTCCCCAGCCGAAACAGTCTATCCAGAAAATATTGCGCCTGACGAGCCAGAAAAGCCCAGTCACGAGCCTCTCACCCAGCTCGCCATCTTTGCACAACTCCTCTCAGAAGATCCGGCAACTCACGGGATTAGATATTGGTGCCGACGAGCCGCATTATATGGTATCCCCTGTTTCTCCTTCCTCGAGTGTCTATAGCCAAGACAACCTAGAGGCCAACATTTCGGAACCAGACCTGGACGTCTATACGGGGGATATATCGTATTTCCGTCCCAAGCAACAGTCTGGGCACCAGGAAAGAAGCTCGCCGTCCTTCACATCAGCTCCAGTCTCGCAAGACTTCCATACGGACAACCTCAGATACAGCGATCCTGTGAGGAGTCCAGTGGACATGTCAGCGGATGGCTATGAGCTGCATCGCCTTCGGGAATCAATGAGTCCTAGAAGATCAAAAGGCCGCCAGCTAGACTTGTATCATGAAACGGCAGCTGAGCTCGCCCAGAGCAGCCAGGCTCGCAACCGTAATGTCTCGTGGGCAGCTGGATACACCCCGGTGGCCGGCGCAAGTGGAGAGGAGACTGTCAACTTTTCGACGCCGCCTCGGAGGAAGAGCAGTCTTTCCAGCCGAGCACAGAATTTCAAGAGCAATGTCCCCGCGCCTTTGCATATTAAGAAAACATCAAGGGGAGACTATGGCACAGGTAATCACCCACCGAGGACTCCTTACCCTACGAAAAGCACATTTGACGATGATGAGATTGGGGACAAGCGCACGTCGATGTTGTCTTTGTCTAGGGTGTTTAAGCGCCACTCGGCAGACATTAGTTCTATCTTCTCTGACAAAGGCGGATCTAAGAAGTCTCGGAAGTTGAACGGAGTTGTTACACAATCACCTCCGGCCAGTGTATTACAGCGGACGAACGATGGGATCCAGGGCTTTGTAGCACAGGCGAAGAAGACTGCAAGTATGATTTCCAAGGCAGAGAGGCGCAGAGAGAGCCTGAAAAACAAGATACGGGTCATTACAGATATTGGCACACCGTCTCGTCCTACGGACAAAGATAGATCGAGCTGGATGTAAGAATGGGGCTGAAGGAACATATAAGTCTGCATATTTTAGGAGCAAGATTAGTGATACATAAGCCAATTTTTCCTTATAAGTGATAGGAAAAGACCCATGACAACCTGAAGAATTGTAATTCACAGGCTATCCATCAAGCGAGACACCAGTCTAGAATCGAGGTCACCGAAACAGGTATAACATATTTTTAATAGTATTCACGGGGACTTACATTGCAATACCGTGGGACCTCGGCGTCGGCAAGGGCTCCAATTACCCCACACTCCCCGCCCCGAAGAGGCGGCCCCAGTGCCGTCTGCCGGCTTTCTTGGGTTACTATTTGATCCTCCCCACCACCTACTTCACCGTCCATTGCTGCAAAATGACTGCATCCACGGAAGAGACGAGCCCAGCCGAAGGGCACGACGAGAAGCCCCCTTCCCCGGCCGAGATCGAGACCATCTCACAGGCAGTCAAAGAAGCTTCAACTGCAGCAGAGCAGGACGAGCAAGATCAGGCCCAGGTCGAGGAGCAGGAGAAGGAGGAAAGGGACGATCAGGGCGCTTACTACTGGGATGCGTCGACGATGGCCCCGCTCAACACATCATCGGCGGTCAGTACTTGAACCTCCGGCGTCGCATTGCTGAAGCAGACACCCATCTACGAGTGTGTGTCTGCAGCCCAACTCCCTTTTTGCCCACACAGATATACCAAAGAGCAAGATGAACAGGATACTTATGCGAAGCAAGGCCGCGATAGCACGCCTGCGCGCCTACAAGCCGCCCGAGTTCCCGGTGTGGGACAAGCTGCATGTCAGTCGGAGGGCGGCCGTCCTCATCCTGCTGTATGCGGATCGACGCGGCGACTTGCGCGTGGTGGTTACGATGCGCGCGGCGAGTCTGCGCAGCTTCTCCGGTGCGTTGCTGAGCGGATCGGCTCTCATTGTCTTGAGAAACGGACGGTTATGGCTGACAAGACTTACACAGGTCATGCGGCGTTTCCGGGCGGAAAGGCAGATACTGCAGAAGAAACACCTTGTAAGATGCTAAGATGCACTGTTGGAGACTAATTGACGGTTTGGCTGACCTGAAACCCCTCCCTCAGATCAAATAGCACGTCGTGAAGCATGGGAAGAAATTGGGCTTCCAATGGACGACTCGAAGATACCAAAACCCTTCCGCATTGAACACCTCTGCTACCTTCCCTGCAGTCTCGCCCGAACCGAGCTTGTTGTTCGGCCATGTGTGGCACTGCTACATTCCGACGACTCCCCTACATCGAAGACACCGGCACCGACAGTCGAGGAAACACTAATACCACGGCTCGATGCGAAGGAGGTGGCTGCTGTGTTCAGCGCGCCGTTTCACAACTTCCTAAAAGCCACGGACGAGCTGCTGCCGGGACAAGACCCCAAGGAGCTCCCGCCAGGCGAGTGGTACGAGGGGAGCTGGACAAAGTGGCACAACGAGCCATGGCGGCTGCATTACTTCCACGTACCGGTGAACAACCAGAAGGTCACTAAGCCGAAGGTGCGGGAGGGCGGTCTAGCTGCCATTGCGGAACAGCTCGAAGAGGAGGAGCAAGAAGTCGGGCGGTACATGGTCTGGGGCATGACGGGTCGCATGCTGGTGGATGCGGCACGGGTGGCATACGACGAGGAGCCGGAGATGGAGCATAACAGCCACTATGGCGACGAGAGCATGATCATTGGGCTAGACAAGAAGGGGAAGCTCGGGGCTAAGAAAAGAACGGCGCCTCCTGAGGTGAAGCAGGGGGACTCGAAGAGGACGAAAGATGCGAGCAAGATGTAAATATGATATAACGCTGGAACTAGTTGAGAGATCTTAGAACATGACAACGCAAGTCTGACGCTTTTATGATGGAAGGCTGCGAGATGTAATCGTATCCCTATTGCATAATTTTCTCCCTCTCTGCAATTGATTTCGTGATTGCAAGCTCGTATCAGTATTAGATTCTTTCCATGAGGCCTCAATGGCACTGCGTCTCCTTCGTAGCCGAGGTATTGTTCCCAAAGAGCAGATATCCGACAAAGGCTCCGACCGTTACCGCGACCATCACCCAACCGTTGTATGTCATGAAAATAAGCCTGTTCAGACACACAGTCAGCACACTACCAGGACAGGGAAGCAGAATAAAACAGATAGCACTTACATGATCATGAACGCATAAAATGTCTGTACCGCATATAGCAGCGCCTTGATGACGTGCGCCCTCTGACCAGCCTGCACCTTGTTCTGTCCTGTCGCCCAAGCCAACGGGGTAGTCTCAGTAACATTGTCACCTCGCACCTCTTAGCGACTCAAGTCCTCGCAAAGGGCTATGTTTGAAAAAGGGCGGTATAGGGTTCTGCACGGGGGAGGTTTGGGCTGGGGCTGAGAGAGGGACGGGGTCTGGCTTACTCGGGATTGCCTCTATTCTCCTGTTGATCGCGACTTCGTATCTCCGGATGCCTGCACGTAGTGCCTCGTAGCCGACGCCGATGGCGACGACGGCCAAGAGGGAGACGAGTAGGCTCACTGTGCCGCGGACATGCCATTGTCGGAAGACGATGCATAGGTTGTTGGTGTCCCAGGTGAAGAGCATCTACGGGCCAAAAAAGGCGCGGGTTAGTCATGTAGATCACCGGGAATGACTCGAAAAGAGAAGCTTGTGGTGCGTACATTCATGCTGCACATTGGGCCCATGTCGTGGCCGTCATGACCGGAGTGGTCCATGGTCGAGTGGTCCATTGCGCTGTGATCCATCATGTGGTGGGAGTGATCCATGCTGCTGTCAGAAACCAAGTGTAAAGCAACAAAATAGACGCCGTTATTGCAGTGGCTATGAACGGAATGAGAGCGTAGTGGTGTGTCGAAGACGGTTGATATTGAGTACTTGAGTACAAGGGGATTGTCGAGACTTGCTCTGTTATAAGTGTAGAGGTGTCGTCGGCAACATGCTCAAACAAGCGCAACGTCAGCTCATATGGAAGGGAGCTCGGGGGCAGAGTCGCACCTATCAGGGGGTTGGCCCAGGCTCAAACACGACTGTTTGAGGACGGGAGCGAAGCTAGGGCCACCCCCACTACACCTAGGATGCTGGAAGCTCTTCCGGATACAGCGGGGTAACTGCGGTTCGCACCCGTCGATAAGGAAAGACTATGAACAGACGATTCTGACGGGACCTAAGCCGGCGACCTCGGACAAGAACTAAAATAAATCGGCATTAATAATTCAGAGACTGTGAAAATCTAAGCCCTGCTGCAACTGTTAATCTCGGGCGCTCTGAGTCACTTGGATTCGGCCGAGTTACTTCATATAAGTCGTCACTTTGTCTGTTCCTATGTGAAGACACAACAAGCCCTTACTCAACTCGAAAAGCTTGAAATCGCCTCATCTGCCTGAGATCCACCAACAATACACAATGCTCTCGACTCCAGTAAATTTGCCAAAGTGGTCAGTTCTGAAGAGTCTAAGTTCATGACCTTGTGTCTCTTCACATGTACTGATGGGTCACAGGCTGGAGGAGAACTCTCATTTACTCAAACCACCAATCAACAACTACTGTGTCTACAATGAAGGCTTCACTGTCATGGTTAGTTGAGGCTCGTGCCACGTATGGAGAGTCTTACTGACCAACTCAGATCGTCGGTGGCCCAAACGCACGGACAGACTATCACATCAACGAGACGCCGGAGTGGTTCTACCAGTACAAGGGCGCCATGATGCTCAAGGTCGTTGACGGCGGCGAGTTCAAGGACATCATCATCAGGGAAGGAGACATGTTTCTCCTCCCGGGGAACACTCCGCACAACCCCGTCCGGTTCGCCAACACCGTGGGCGTTGTTCTAGAGCAGAGGCGACCTGAGGCGTCGGTGGACCGCATGCAATGGTACTGCCAGAACTGCCGGGAGCTCGTCCACGAGGCTTCGTTCCACTGCACCGACCTGGGCACGCAGATCAAGGCGGCTGTCGAGGCGTTCAAGGCAGATGAAGAGCAGAGGAGGTGTAAGAAGTGTGGCGAGATAGCTGATGTAGCGCCGAAGCCAGGGTCCATCAAGGACCCGAACTTGGAATGAGGTTTGAGTATTTAATTGGCAGATTTTGTATTCTATATGTTCAGAAGTGCACGTGCAATCCCAACTCCAGGTTGAATGCGCCCAGTTTCTCCAAGACACTTCCTAAGTTTCGCTGTAGACGTAGGCGCCAGTTGACTCTTCCACGGGGATCTCAATCTTGCCCTCCTCCAGCTCCTTGCCGTCGACGCGGATACCGGCGCGCATCACGTCGCCAGGGACGACCGGGCCGACGCCCTTGGGGGTGCCGGTCAACACGATGTCGCCCTCCTCGAGTGCCATGACCCTGGAGATGTCGCTGAGGATACGAGGTATCCTGAAGAGCAGCAGCTCGGTTGAGTCTTGCTGGTGATACTCACCGTTGACCTGCAGGAACAGCTCAACGTTGTGAGGATCGGGAATGGCCGACTTGGGGATGATGTTGCTGACGGGGAGGAAAGTATCGAAACCCTTAGCAATGTCCCACGGCAGACCCTTCTTCTTGGCCTCATTTTGGATGTTTCGCGCGGTCATGTCAATGGCCAGAGCGTAGCCTGTGTACAATCAGCGCTCATTGTCTTTTCACCAACTGTACGACGTGTAACTTACTCTCAATGGCGTCAATGGCGCCCTGCTCATCATCAGGCTTGAGGTCCTTGACCGGCTTGCCCATGATGAGCGCGAGCTCGACCTCATAGTGCAGATCGACTCCCTTGGGGCGGATGACTGGGCCGGCGCCGGGGAGGACAATTGAGGAGGCGGGCTTGAGGAAGAAGAAAGGCTGCTTGGGCCTTGTGTTGTTCAGCTCAGTGACATGGTCCCTATTGGTCAATGTCAGCATGCGCATGTTTAAGTAAGGCTGAAGAGCCGCTGGAGAGCGCAGGGTGTGGCTTACGCATAGTTGCGGCCAATGCAGACTACCTTGCGTGCGTTCTTGAGGGACGACATGGTCGTAAGGCCGCGCTTAAAGAACAGACTCATCTTGCTAAGAGAGACAAACGGGATTCAGGGTCAGCTAAGCCGCAAACTTATACACCTGCAGGTGTGAGGGCGGGTGTTGTGAGGGGTTCGGCTCGCGACTGTGCTGGCCGGCAGCATTTGCGCCTCCAAACCCAGAGATATCGTAAAAACGACGCCGGGCTCGGAGTCGGGGCTAGTTGTGATTGCCGAGCCCACGCCGGATATCAAGACCGGCAGCAACAGACGCTGTATAAAATTCAGAACTTACCTGTGTTTGTGAGCTTCGACAAAGCAAAATTCGTTGTTCCACAAGGACCTGCCGGGGTGGAAAGCTCTGTTTCTTTGCGAATGTACGGATGTAAGACCGGCTAACCTGCAGATGATTGGCCTGTCGAAGATGTGAGGTCTGGGGAAGGCGGTTCCGGTGTCGCGGGAGTCGAATTGGTGGTATTTCACTACGGAAAGCTACCTAATGCCTAACGTAGATCGGTCCTTGTCGCCGGTTGGGAGGTGGGAGGGCAGGTAGCGCGCGCTGCAAGGCCTGGAACGGAGAGATTAGGAAGGGGCCGGGCGTAGGAAGTCGGAGATCGAGCAAATCAAAGCTGCGCTAATTACCCACCTCAGGGAGCGCCTCACTTTCATCAGTGGCTTGTCTGTCGGCCTACGGTGGCAGCCACACCTCCTGTAGAGTACTGCAGAGTACCTGCTACAGCGTGGGGGGACCCTTCTTTAGTGGGCTCTGGCTAATCAAGACGCCTCGAACACAGGCGGGCAGTTGCCTTAGTTGGGCTATCTAGGTACGTTACTGCACACCTACCTACTACCTAGGTACGTTAGGTACTGTACCTAGGTACCCTGTAGTAGGCAGCCTAATGGTGCCGTGGCTGCCGTGTGCCCGACTGCGTGCACCCTGCAGAAGGGAATCGAGCTTCCAAATTGGATAGATTGCCTCCTTACCCCTCGCCCGTCCTGGCCGGTCGCCCTTGCCTTACATACGTTTGACTCCTGCTATCCTTATCCAGCAGAGCCTTTTAGGCGCTGGGCAGGCTGGGCACCCCGCCTTTCAGAGCCCCTTCACTAGAGCTCTCCCCACATTTGGATCAACTCAGTGAGCTCATCGCTCCTCCCCAGATCGCTGGGCAAAGCGCAAACCGGTCAGACAGCCTTTTTTTGGGCCTTTCAGTTCAGCCGGTCTATGATTTCCCCCAGAGAGAACAGAACACGACATCATCATCCGCATCATCGTCATCGCCATTTCCATCATCCTGTTTTACTACTTTCTGCTCGGCTCTCTGCATCGCCCATCTCCCCTGAAACAATATCACATCCCTTTATAATTCTGTCATACCTGCAGCTGTCGTCAGGCACGACACCACCACTCAAAACCGCCCGCATTTTCCCCCGCAGAAAACCCACCGCCTACCTAACCACTGCATCTTACCTATGCGCACCGAATATTGAAAAAAATCCACCACCAAAATGGAGAGCATACAGTTAGCCCAGATGCTCGCTGATCTCAGTGATCTCAATGCTGCCGTAAGCTCGGATTCTCGCATCTCGCTTCTCTTCGACTGTCGCCGCGCATTTCTGCGCCATCTCGCAACACTGTGATATCGAGACTGATCAATGTTGCAACAAATAGGAACCCCAAGCCGCCGTCGCCCTCGTGAGCGCCAACAAGACCATCACATCACATCCTCAGAATGAGCTGAAGCCTCCGGAGCAGCGACACCATCAGCGTGTCGCTTCGGCCTCAGCGACCGTTATCCAGCGTAACGGCTCGCCCGCGACCCGATTCGACAAGTTCGGGCGCAAGATCCTCACCCCTCCCCTCACACGCTCTAATTCGGCTCAAGGCTCCATGCCGGGCACGCCGCGCAGGGACTTTGACGTGAGCTCTTTTCATAATCAGCCTTCTTCTGTACTCACTACTGTGAGTGTTCTTGTCACTGAGAAATGCCGGTCACAGCCCGAGGATGACGTCGATCGCGCGAGCACGTTGATGGCTCTGTACGAGATTCGGGCCAAGCTTAAACAACAGGATAACACGAGCCTGTTGAAGGCTCGAGAGAAGATCAGTGCCTTGGCTGCAAGACAGCAAGCGCAGGCTGCTGAGAAGAAGGAACTCACAGCCCCCGAACACCGAGCGTCTCCACGATTCACATATCCGAGAACGACGTAAAGACGGTTCGCGACTAACGACTTGCTCTTCTCACGGCGTTATAGGTTGCAGCACCCGGGAGTCTCGGCGACTACGGTCTTGTGGCGTTATTGGCGAATTGGGTCAGTACATACGTGGATATACAGGACATTAGGGTTATGACTTGAGGGAACAAAGCCCCATGATCATCGGGTTAATGACGAGACCTGGAGACTACTGGCGGGAATGAATGGATGATCCCGTGGACAAGAATGGTCTTTAGGGTATGGCTTACGGTGTAACATAAGACAGAGACGGCTGTTTCTCAGGACTTTATATCCACCCCCACCTTCCCAGCTCTATAAAGAACTCATACTCTTTTAAAGCGTCCGAGTTGTCTGTGACACAATCATCATACGCAGTGGTCAGTCTAGAAGAAGGTGCATTGCTTCTCTCGTACACAACAGTAATCCTCATTTTAGCAAAATGTACCCCATGAAAAGACTTTAAAAACATCCTACGAGTGAGTATGTCCCCAAGTTCCCATACAAACTAAGTCTCAAAGGATTCTCAAGGTCGTACGGACTTCTGTGGATTCAATCGGTCTGAGATACCATGTTCCATGTACACCGTACAGACTTACGTATTTTCGTGAAGCCATACGCCACATCTCTGCTTATGTAGCCTTTGGGATAAGACCCAACTTCCAAATATTCGTAGTACGAGTGTTTCTTTATGGCCCATTGAGCTACTCACAGTCTACTCACCCGAACCACAGAGTTCTGGGCTGTTACTCAACCAAAACGCGGACAAAACGAGCATCAAAAAGCTTTGACAATTGTCATCGACAATTATTACGCAGCTAAGCGAGCTACCTAGCTCGCCGGCTTCTAGCGCTGCAGGGGTAAAGCCAGTGGATTCGCTAAGCCCTGGAGGGTGTGCCTAGAGGGGGGGCCACAGCTGGGTCTTAGCTCAGAAACTCTTGCCGGCCCAGCGCCTTTTCTCCCCGACGTCACAAGCGGTTTTGGTTTGGGCAGATTCTCCCAACTGCAAAGTTTAGCTCCAGCTTCCCCCAAGATGGCTTCAGGCGTGGACGCGAAGCTGCTCAAGAGCACCAAATTCCCTCCCGAGTTCAACCAGAAGGTTGACATGACCAAGGTGAACCTGCAGGTCATGAAAAAGTGAGTTGATCCGTCCTCCTGCGAGCTGATCCGCGTCTCGGTGCGGTCTCGTGTCGATCAATCGTACTGACAGCGGCTGCGCGTCTAGGTGGATTGCAGGCAAGATATCCGAGATTTTAGGGAGCGAGGACGATGTTGTTACTGAACTCTGCTTCAATTTGATAGAGGGCTCCCGATATGTGAGTTTCTTCACGCGTTGCCGCCTTGCAGGGCGTTGAATTGAATATTCGCTAACCTTCCGCCCTCGCAGCCCGATATCAAATCCCTTCAGATCCAGCTTACTGGGTTCCTCGACAAGGATACTGCGATATTCTGCAAGGAACTGTGGAAGCTATGTTTGAGCGCACAGACTAGCCCTCAGGGCGTTCCTAAGGAGTTGCTGGAGGCAAAGAAGCTGGAGCTTATCCAGGAGAAGGTACGCGCTGGGGTTGTCTGCACTCACAATCAAACCATGTTTCTGACAGCAATTTCTACAGATTGAGGCCGACAAGGCCGCCGAGGAAGCGCGTGTTCGACGTGAGGAAGCGGAACGCCGAGATCGTGGTCGGGGCCGAGGCGGAGGCACCCGCGGAGATAGTTGGCGTGGCGGGCGTGGTGACAGAACCTCTTTCAATCGTGGCCGAGGCTTCGGTCGTGGCCGGAGCCGCTCACGCTCCCCACCACCTCGTGGTCGAGATGTTCGAGATCGTGACTTCAATAGAGGTCCTGCGCGCCGGGATACATACGTCCCTAGAGACCGGCGGCCTGCACAACGTGATGAGAGGCGACGTCGGTCCCACAGCCGGTCCGCTTCAGCCAACTCTGCCCCCAGATCACGCTCCCCAGCTTCCAGTGCGTCTGGTAGTCGTCGATCGAGCCCCAGGTCTAACAGCCCTCCTCGGCGGCGCAGCCCTTTACCGCGCTCGTCACCCCCCTACCGCGAGGCTCGCAAGAGATCTCGCTCTCCACTGCGCGAGAACAACTATCGCCCGCGTAGGCGGTCTCCCTCCTTAGGACGAGAATCGCCCTCGCCTCCACCCAAGCGGCGGAAGTATTCTCCTCGAAGCAGATCTCCGGTACGAAGACGGAGATTCTCCAGATCTCCATCCTCGGCCGGATCTGATCGCTACTCCCGGTCTCCGTCCCGTTCCCGGGGCCGCAGCCCACTTCGAAGATCTGGTCGTGACAGCCGAAGTCGAAGCCGCAGCGCTTCTCGTGGAGGTGCACGAAGATCGCGTCCCCTTAGAAAGCGTGAACTAACTCACAGCAAGAGTCCGTCTAGATCACCAGCCTATCGGCGGCGGCCGAGGGCCCGCAGCAGAAGTGTCAGCCAAGGAGGAAGAGATGGGAGGTTGAGTCGAGACAGCCCAAGGGAGCGGAGACATAACACCTCTTCTATTTCTCGTTCACGAAGCCGCTCAGCTGATGATTCCGAAAACGAAGACAGGCCCAAACCCTCCTCCCATGAACGGCCTACATCCGCCTCTTCGAAGGTACGCTAAGTCTCCTTGGGGATGTTAGGGATTGAAGGTCATCGTTGGTCAAACGTCTAACTGACTAGCCATGAACAACCTAGCCGAAGTCTTCTCAGCAACAGTCGACCGAACAGCGCGAGAAAGAGCTCAAGGAGAGACTTATCAAGATGAGATCCTCAAAAAGCGGCTCAAGCAACGTCTGAGGCTAACCGGTTCTGAAGTCACGAGAATAATATGTACTCTGTTCTGGATACCTTATGTAATTGGCTACGGATATGACCCCGAAAGCTTCTAGCTATTCCCCGAATTTGCTGGTCAGTAAATCCACGTCTCATGATAGGGCTCAGAATTCCCAGACAGAAGTAATTGCAAATGGATACGATAAATAGGTGCCAAATCTTTATGGTTCTGACGTTATGTGAGACTTCTTCGAATTGCACGCATCCTTTGCCCTCGTATTGGAAGGCCGCAGGGGGCAAGGGTGGTAGATTCTCTTCTCCAAATCCTGCAACCACCTTGAGAAATATCTCGAGCTTCAATACATCCTGATCAATTTTTGCTCTTTCCATCATCGTGATATGATTCTTTTGGCAAGCGACATCTGATGTTATCCTGACTGAAGGCATTTCAATCAAGGACATCACGTGATATCGAAAAATGGCTAGCCAGGAAAACGGGCACGGCGATCAGGGCGCAGCCGCGAGCCAGAAGCCGCAACTTCAAATCAAGCCACCATCCACACCAGCAATGGCAGAGAACAATGCGCCGGCCGCGGGCGCCAACGGCGACGTGCCTGCTGGCGTCCCGTTTTACGAGAAGTCGCGACAACACCTCAAGGAGCTGCTCGCGAGGAAGCGGATGTTAGAGCGGACTCTGGTAAGCTACGGCGCCTCGCCTATTCCTCGCTGCGGACGACGTCTTTTGCGGTACATGGGGAATGCTAACGTGGGATTTGGTACAGGCCGCGCACGAAGAGGCCATCTTCCAGAAGGAGACCGACTACCTGGAGAACACGCCGTCGGGCAACATCATCACGGGGTTCGACGCGTACACAAAGGGCACGACTGCCGCGGCGGCGCAGAGGAGGCGAGCTGGCCTGACGGAGCAGAACCGCGTCTTCAGCCGCAGCTCGGTGTCGTACGGCGCGAATGGCGGCGGCGACGGTGCGGCGACGCCTGGCTCGACGCCTGCTAGTCACGCGCCGACGCCGGTGAGCACGAGCTTCGGCAACCTCAAGGACAAGGACAAGGACCACAGCGGCAGCGGGACGCCGACGAGCGCCACGGCGGGCGGGACGAAGGGCGGCGGCGGAGGTGGCAGTAAGAAAGATAAAGCGAGCAAGAAGAGTGCTGCGAACGCGCCGGTTGGCGAGGACAGCGAGACGGATGCCAAGGAGACGAAGAAGGTTAGGACGAACTTTGGCGCTGTGAGGAAATGAGCCGTTCGCGCGGTCCACAGTCTCACGGTCTTCAAGGCCGCAGGCTATCTGTACCGAGATCCTTGATTGATCCTTTGAGGTGACTTGTTCATTGGGATTCGCATGTTGGCTCACATGCTTGCTTTGGCGTTTGGAAAAGGGTGAAGAGGACCTCTCAGCATGGTGTTCAGGAGTAACTGTTTCTCTAATATATGAAGACCTATGCTGCGATTCTCTTCCTTCATAGATCCATAGGAATCGTAGAACAGAGGAGAGAAGAAGCAAGTCTTTTGAGCAATCAGATTAATTCCTTGCTATGTTCATACCATCAATTAATCGGCTATTGGAAGGTACCTCAAGTACAGAGTCTAGACTCTCCAACTTCTCGCAAGACCTCCTCCGAAGGGTGTGAATAGACCTTGAAATGCGTACCTTGATAGGTATAGTGAGGGGTAAGTTCCGGGCGTAATATGGAGGACCTGCCCCTCTCCGACAGCCCTACGATGACCCAGTCCAGCCAGTAAGGCGGGGCCTGTCAGCCACCGACTTTGCCCTGCTTAACCTTACAGCACTGGCATAAGCTTAGGTCCCTGGTAGTTGGAGGATGACGGGACCTTCCTCGGCGGGCAGGAGCTTCTCGTCTCAGGTCAGGACCTTTGCCACGCAGGTTCTGAAGATTTATATTCCTTTCCAACCTCCCGTCTTTCCTCGGCGAAACATCCCCTACATGTTTTCCGAGAAGAGTACTAAGAGATTTACTGCCTCAAGTCCGGCCAGCATGACTATCCAAGCTGCAAAGTTCACCCCTGAGGTGCTATTGTCTGCTCCACGGCGGTCTGCGGGTGTACCCAATAGCACCGGTGAGCTTGCTCTGTTTACGGTAAGAGCCCACTCCTTCTCAGACTTCAATCTCAAGATTAGGTGTGTAATTGGGAGGTTGTGATGCTAATCAGGCTAGGTCTCCACCTATTCGTTTGAGGAACACAAGAAGACATCTCAAATCCGTGTTCTTGACATCAAATCTGGCAATTCCACCCTCTTGTTTGAGGACCTAAACTACAGTGAGCCAACATGGGTTGGCGAGACCGAGTTCATATTCTTAAAGAGTGGTGACAATGGCCGTACTTCGCTCATGCTTGCAGATGCTTCAACCCCCGGTTCAGAGTTAGCGCCCACGTGAAGAGTTTCTGGGAAGTGACATGGCTAATATAATGACAGACCAAAGGAAATCCGCTCTTTCAAGGGCGGCATTTCCAACTTGAAGGTGAAGGAACTCGAAGACGGAACGATTGCACTTGCTTGTTCGGCATTAGCCACCCCTTCAGGCCATATGTACCACTCCGAGGATGAAAAGAAGTCACATTCGACTGGCAAAGTATACACAAGCCTCTTCGTCCGGCACTGGGATACGTGGGTCACCAAGAATAGAAATGCAATCTGGTACGGCGCTCTCAAGAAGTCGGATGAAAGCTTCACCCTACAACTTCCGGACCTGGTGAACGTTCTAGCTGGGACACCTCTACAATCACCTGTCCCACCCTTCGGAGGCACCGGGGACTTCGATATTAGCAGCTCCGGAATCGCCTTTATTGCTGCAGACCCAAAAGTTAATCCAGCAATATATACAAAAACCAACTTGTACTATGTGCCACTTTCCACCTTCACTGAGGATAAACCCCCAACTCCTCAACTAGTCAAGACCGGTTCTCTTCAGGGGTACAGTGCCTCGCCAACCTTTTCGCATGACGGCAAGAAGATTGCCTTTACACGTATGAAGAGCAACCAGTACGAGACGGACAAGCCCCACCTGCTTCTTATCCCCGATGTAAAAGATCTCGCCAGTGTACAAGAGTTCTATGAAACTGATGACGGCGAAGGTAGTTGGGATCTCAAACCTGATACAATCTTATGGAGCAAAGATGACAAGGAGCTATATGTCACGGCCGAAGATGCGGCACGGAACAAGCTGTTCAAGTTGCCTGCTGATCCGCTGCACGCGAAGGCACCCCCAGAGCTCATTCCAACTGGTGACGGTTCCATTGGTGACATAAAGCCCCTGGGAACTGATGGAAGCAAGGTATTCCTGAGTAAGAGCTCCTTGGTCGACAACTCCATCTACACGGTTGTGGACGTGTCCGAAAATTCCGCTAGCATTGTCTCTTCAAACACCAAAAACGGCAAGACCTTGGGGTTATCACGCAGCCAGGTTGACGAGATCTGGTTCAAGGGCGCCGGGGGCTATGATGTCCACGCCTTAGTGGTTAAACCTTCAGATTTCGACGAGAACAAGAAATACCCGTTGGCATTCCTCATCCACGGCGGACCTCAAGGCGCTTGGGGCGATAGCTGGAGCACACGGTGGAACGCTGCTGCATTCGCAGAGCAGGGCTATGTTGCCGTGCTGCCGAATCCGACAGGCAGTAGCGGCTACGGGATGGCTCTGCAGAACGGAATCAAAGACGACTGGGGTGGCAAGCCGTACAACGACCTGGTCAACTGCTTTGAGTACATTGAGGGTAACCTGCCGTATGTCGATACAAATAATGCTGTCGCACTAGGAGCCAGCTACGGAGGCTTCATGATCAACTGGATCCAGGGGCACCCCCTAGGACGCAAGTTCAAGGCATTGGTCTGTCACGACGGCGTCTATTCTACGTTAAATATGTATTGCACCGAGGAGCTTTTCTTTCCTTGTCACGATTTCGGCGGTTCGTTCTTTGAGAACCGTGAAGGATATGCCAAATGGGATCCAGCGGCACATATCAATGAGTGGGCTACTCCAGAGCTTGTAAGTCTCCTCCATAATCTCACATTGACTCTAAACAGCCGAAGGAATTGATGCTGATGAAATACCTGCAGATCATCCACAGCGAATTGGATTACCGTCTACCGATCACCGAGGGTCTGGCTGCATTCAACACTCTACAGCAAAAGGGCGTGCCAAGTCGACTATTGATGTTTCCTGATGAGAATCATGTAGGTATTCGTGATGTATAGCCGAGAGACATTTTGCTAACACATGGGATCTAGTGGGTTATCAAACCAGAGAATTCGCTTGTTTGGCACAAGGAGGTTTTTGGGTGGATCAATAAGTACACTGGCCTTGATACGACAGGTTTGATCAACGAGACAGAAAATCTGGAGATGGACTAGGGAAGCGTGGCCACGATCTCGGGAACTGACACGATATTTGGTTTAAAATTTACGACATGAATCCCAAGCGGCGAACGCATGAAAAAAGTCTAAATATAGCGGATATCTAGTCTAATCTAACCCTTGAAATATGCTTCTGTGATTCGCGGTTTTCAGCGTAGTAATGGCTGAGAATACTCCTACTATTCGTCGTTCCTGCGCCAACAACGATGAGCCCTAGGTCGGTGAGAAGCTAGACACCTTTGAACGATATATCGTCTCCCTCACTTGGGTCCATTTTAGACCCTGTGAAATCGTCACAATTTTGGAAGCACCGTCTTGGCCTGCGGCAGCTGAGTTCAACATGACCAACTGGGGATAGCTCCGATGAAGAGTTCTCTGTATCTTCAGAGCTAGGCGTCTATCTTTAACACTCTTGATGAAGCTCCAGATGAGCTGCACGTCTGATTCGGACTCTTTCTCTTTGTGTTTCTTGTCGTATATACTAAAACTGCGCTTAAGCTTTCTGGCCCGCGCCTTTTGCACTTCTGAAGCTGAATCTCGTAATTCCACCGACGTCCCATCCTTCGAGAGCCGCCTTGTTTCGATGCCCTTCGCTTTCTCAGGCCGCATGACTGCGATTACTGATGTACTCTGCGGCTTTGGTGGGTTGATAGCATCTAGAACACCTTCCACGGAGGCGTCTATTGAAGGGCTTGCGGTGGGCTGGAGTGTGGAGTCGTTCTGCTCTGTAGCAGATAACTCAGGGGCATGCTGATTGACTCGCTGTATGAACTCTTCGAGACCGTCCTGATGATCGACCAAGTAATTAAGAAGTTTAATCTGAGCCGGGCATACCGCAGCAGCTCCATGCGTGGGCTGTTTAATCTGCTCTTCGTGTTTCTCGGCCTGGCGCGCTGCATCGATAAGGTTGGCTAACTCCTTCTCTGCTTTATCAAGTCGATCTCCATGATTCTTGAGATGATCTGCCGCCATCTCCGTAGGCTTTGAGGCATTGATGATATCGGTCTCCAGTCGAGTCGTGACTTCCAAGTCTTTGTTCCGGTCTTGGTGATACTGAAGCTTGAACGCGTCAAGTGACTGCTTCTGGCTTTCCAAGGCTGGCCCTATCTCTTCATAGGCGTTAAGTCGCTGCTCGAGCATGGAGAACTTGGTGGATACTGTCGTCTCGATCTTATCTAGTCCTTGCTGGATTTTGCTGCACATTCCTTCGAGCTTGTCTAAGCGCTGGCTCTGAGTACGTTGAACCTGTGAGTGGTACGAGATGCTCTGGCCGCGAACAATACTCTCCTGTTGAAGGGTGATGATCTCATTGCGAAGGTGCGCAAAATTCTTGTTATAATCATCTTTCAAAGATGAGAGGCAGTCTCTGAAGTCCTTTCTTGCAAAGAAATCTCTCGTGAAGAAAATTCTGAGTGCCGACTCTTGAACCTTATCATTGGTCTCGGGTTCCGCGGCAGCTGTTGGAGGAGGAGTAGATTGATACATTGTGACAAGTAGTATTCCTTTCTTCGAAATGACATTGTTCTTGACGACTAGCTCTGATGAGTAGCGTAAGAACGTTGATCTTGAACGGCTCAAAATCGGAACGACTGGGAAGTGATGCTAGATGGAGCGCACTTGACATGTCCTTGCCTGCAAGAATCTGGCTTTGGATGCCGCTTCCCAAAGCAAGGTAAATAAGCGTGTGAGGAAGGACCGAAGATAAGCCATCTTTGGATCTCGAGAGAGGGCAGGCACAGCCCAGCTCAAACTCCTGCCTTCCAGGACTCCGTCAATATTGCGGCTTGCCCCATCCACGTTCACCGATTGAATACGCGTGACAACACAGCAATGAAGGAATAAATAATAGAAGCACCTGGACAGAGCATATTTTTGCGCTTTCTGGTCAACTCCCAGCTTCACCATTCCGACTTGGAAGTGCAACCAAATCAAAACACCAAGACCGTCCCGGTACGCCTGCCAGCTCATATCTACGCTAACTACCCTCGATACCTACCTAGATACCTACCCAAGGTTGTCTCGTGATATTTGTCCATATTTTCTTCTGGATATCACTTCGGCGCTGTGGTAAAGTCAGGGCACCTACCACTTGACGAATAAAAGACCTCGAACATTCCTTCAATCACACGGGTCGACGCGACGAGCACCCTCCCGACGGCATGGACATATCGTTTCCCCTAGGAGACCTGACCCAAGCGGTCAGGAGACTCATTCATACTCAGGTTGGTAACAACTTTTCATTAACGGCGCAGGCGTGCTGTAGTTCGCTCGGCCCCATATCTATGATGAGGCGACCGACATGCTGGGTCAGGCCAGGCGGCGTTATTACTAGGTATCTGGGTATGTCCAAGCCTCATGTTTCACTTATTTCTCGCCTAGAACCTAATTGACAGCGCTGCACAGTACCTGCTGAGTGGCGCTCCTAAACCTATCAATTTAGGTACCTCTAAGGAGCTCTGGCTTGTCTACCTTGATTGGTCAAAAGCTCTGACTCCGCCGCGTACAACCTAAGGTATCCCCTGAAAGCTCCCGCTATAAAACGTTCAGCGTTATCTACCTCCACCTTGCATTTCGTTGGCAATGACCTCCTGCGACCAAACTCAACACCTCCGCGTCGGATCTCTTACAACGCAAGCCGAGTGATTTTGAGTGCGAGTCGGTCTGACTGACTCGTTTTCTCTCTTGCAGAACTTCGCATCCGCGAGTATTCCCTACCGTGCCTTATGTACATACGATCCTTGGTCCCTGTCAAGGATCTGACGCGCGATCGACTTCATGAGACACGCTTCACGGGCAAGTGATGGAAATCACCATCGCCATGTGAGATTCAGTGCAGCCCTGCCCGTCTGCGGCACATGATCATTCCACGATCTCCGAGGCCCGCTGTTACCTGCCTACGCATCTTGCCATCGATGCACTCATGAGCAACCTTACCCAAAAGCCTCCCAAGACGCGTAGGTTTTGCTGATATCGGGACAACCCCAAAGTGTCAGATTAGCAACGGTCTTGCGATGGCTAGGCTTGTTGCCTCACTACGACATTGATGTCCCATGGCAGGCTATGGGTGTCATGGTCTACCCCAAGCTAAATTAACCTCCACAACTTCATGATGCTAATTCTCAACAACACGCCTGCACATCGTCCTGGGCAGGACGTTAAAAGGCCCAATCGTTGTCCAGTCACGCGATGAGTGCTGGCGACAATGTGACGAGAGATATCATGGATTATGACCCTCTCACGACGAAATGACTGCAACTTAGACCGGTCGCAGGCGAAAACATGGCGTCATTTGGTATGTTCTTTCTTTCTATTTTTCGCAGAAACATCATAGCTAAGTTGCCTCCCAGGATATGGCAGCTAGACATGGTTCATCCAGGAGCATCTCAAGCTCTGGAACGAATATTGGACGATTTACGATAATCAATGACCGGATGGATGATTAGCACTTGAATGTGATCTCAACCGGCGATTTTTGTGTCGTTGACGAAATTGCTCTTCCGCGGAAATTCAACGGAAGCCAGCAGAAATTCGTATGTTACATCCATTAAACCAAATCTCACACCAACTGACCATGGGTTAGGGGCTACTCGCACGGGTGCTCGTACAAAAGCTTGTCCTGGGCACGACATTAAATGGCCTCCTTCACCTGGACACTCTTACCCGGCAATTGCGGGATGAGATAAAGGGTTGCAGGCGGATAAAGAAGGACAATTCACAATCCAAACATACAGGTGGCTCGTCGGCAAATGGCCATTACCGGAGCGAACAAGTGCTCAAGACGGGGCGTAGGCCTACTTATGCGAAATTTCGCAACACGGATGACAACGAGTATCCTCGTACTCAGGATTTCGATCCTAAATCCTTAAAATTAAGGGAGTACCAACAGCTGCAAACCTCACAGCAGGGTTCCTAGAAAAAAACTGCCCAATTGGCCTTGTACAGGGATTGAAATGTGAAAAAGTTTCGCGGCCAGAAACACTGTGATTTGCCGCAAAAGGCAGGGGCCGCGAGGCCTACTTGGGACGGGGATGGGAACATCTCCAAAAGGCTTCTCATCTAGCTGTGACAACTGGATAGTGTTGATTGAGGGGGATTACAACCGCGGCGCAGACAAATGCGTCACCGCCGTCGGGGCAGCGTGGATCGAATTCTGAGTACGACTCTCTGTGGTCTGATCACCTTCGAACTTCGGCTGCCAGTCTCATCAGGCGGGGTCCTTTCTGAAGGGGATAAGCGTAATAGTAAGAGCGACATGCCACGATTCTCGTTCATCAAGTCAAGATTGTGAATGAGATGACCACGGCAGAGGCTACTTTGCCCCGAAGCCAGCGTCTCGGACTCGGCCGAGGAGGATCTGGCTCACCATCCTGTCACCGTTCTGCAAAGAATGCCGATGGGTGAGTCTAACGCTTGTATGGGAGGGAGGCTGTTGTCTCTCGAGCTGGGCTGGTTACGTCTCCTGGGGATAGCTGTGCTTCCGTCACGCTGTCTCCAAAGCTCCCCCCTCAATCCCAGGTTCGGAAGCTATGAGAAGTCACTCTTGACAATGGGGGACTACGGGTGGGGGATTTATGTCCAGGAGAGATGACGTTTGATTCTCGAAAGTTAGATAGCTGGACATCTTGAATTCAAGCCCGACCTTGTCCCCAATATCAGTAATATGCATTCGTGAACTGCGTGACCAAGTCTGATAACAAGACCCTCATCAACAAAGTATTCATCTTAATGCCATGACCAGAACTGATTAGACCCGCGCTTGTAGTCGAGCCAGTAGGTTGGGGTAAGGAGATCGAGTTGCGGTTCGGTGGGTTTCAATTGGCTGGCAAATCATCTCGCCATTTCTTGGGGTTTTTGTGGGCTATCATGAGTAATATGACATCGAAGTCACGCCTCCAATCTCAATTTATCACAGCAACAACGCGCTGAATCACATACTTCCTTACAAGATCGATTAATGTGAAATCAAAATGGGCGGATCAGCAGTCACAGAGTTTTACATCATACAACTCAAGTCAAATAGTACCGTCGATGGAGCTCACGAAGCCTTGAAGAGCGCTATCGCGGGCGTAAAAAGTGCCGATGGTTCTCAAAAGGTACTCTTCGGTCGCCAACTAGAAAATCCCAACGTGGGCGTGCTGTCTGTTGGTAGGTGGAGGACCTCATTACCTGGATGAAAAAGTCGTTGTCGACTCAAATGGCTACCGAACCCTGATTGTCTCAGAAGTGTCTTCCTTCCGGGATTGCTGACCTAGTGGGTTTAGTATGGAGCTCCTGCGATGATGCGAAAGCGAACCATGCGTCGCCGGCGAGCTTCAGTGCCGTGGCTGACAGCGTCGCCTCGCATACTTTGAACGCGGATGCCACGGCCGTCTTGGAGGCCCCCACCACAGAGATCTTCACCGGCTACGGGGCCGAGACGGGCTTTGCGGAGAATGTCAAGGACTTCAGCGAGAAGGTCGATGCCGAGAAACCTGAAGGATACCTTGGCGCCGTGCACGGAGAGGTGCTGGAGGAGATCTCTCAGGCACCAGATGGACCGAAAGGAAAGGCTGTCAAGCTGGTGATTGGGTGGACGAGTAAAGATGCTCATATCGAGGCAAAGGGAAAGCCCGGTGGTAGGTGAAATTATTCGAGAGTGTCACCCTTCCAGAGCTGACTGTCTATCTAGCTATTGCAAACAATATTGGTCTTTTGAGAGAATTGCGGTCGGGAGGTGACATGTTCCACGTGCAGTTCAAGGAATTGTAATGAGACTGGTGTGAAAATATAACAAGATTCTGACTCATTACTCTACTATTATAGTTGAATGGTTACCAAATCAAACCAACGCTCTACTTTAAGTCCCTATGTCTATTCCAATGTCTAATATGCCCGCTCTATACCCCGCTGATTGTCTCAAGCAGTCGTTATTCATTAAGTTTCATAAACATTAAACAGTCTCGCTTGATGGCACCTTCTTGTCTTCTCCATTAAACAAGTACATGGCCGTGACGAGGAGTTTCCCTCCGGCAGACACGAACAGAGCGACCGCAGAGCCTGCTGTCTTATAGATGTAGGCACCCAGGAGCGAGCCGAGCACAAGAGAGGCGAGGAAGGCAACACGTCTTGTCCTTGGGCGGTTCTTCAACACGAATAGATTGGGGTCGATCATCAGGTCGACCCACGCCGCTGTGGCCATAGCCGTGGAGATCTCAGTCATCTGCAGCGACCTAGATTGGACAACTTGGCTCCCGGCAGCGAACGCCAACAGTCCAATGACAACCAGGGTTCGTGGCCCTGTGAGATCTGTTCCATACACATGTTGGATCGCACCGGCCGCGAAGACCAGACAGGACTGGATGAAGTTGCACAAGATCAACCACCCTCGACGCCGCGGGCCCACGATGTGGCTCAGCTGGCCTGTGAGCCATCCAGCAGCCAAGAAGAAGCCGAGGGCGACGCCAATGTTGGCTGTTATGAACATCTCGCCGTCGAGATGAGGTAGTATGATGGCAAGCATGAGAAAGACAGTGTTACCCGTTTGATTCGAGGCGAAGCAGTGGTACTCGGGAAAGGATATAGCATCTGCAGTACTTCGGGTTAGTGTTTCATCGGCGGGGATAGGGGTGTCTAATAGACGAAGAACTGACTGACCTTGTATACCAGTACAAAAAGTCAACAGTATCAGTTCGAGCTCCGCAAACCCTGATGGACGGACGGGAGCTGCGAGGTGATCTCTCGCCCTTGAGAGGACGTTCGGAGATGTTGAGCTGGCTTCGGCTTTCGGAAACGAAGTGTTTCGAGGAGGCAGATGGGTGCCCGTTTCTGCCTCATCAGGGCTTCCTTGCAGAGTTGTCTCTGACATCTCGGGGGCAAGAGTTACAGGGGTAATGTGTAATATCTTGGATTGCAAGGGATGAAGTCTTCGTTAAGGTAAGAATGAGAGAGTTTGCAAGTTAATCACGTTGACCACAATAGGGGCTTTGTTGAGGGTTGGAAGGAAAAGGAGAGGCAAGAACTTAGAATTTGCACATTGCACGAGGAAAACAAAGTATTCTGCACACTGGTGCGAGTCACCAAGGCAATCCCGATGGTAACGGCAACCGGCCGGGACCAGAAGCTTGTTGACCGCCCTTAGTGTCTTGGTTTGCAAGAATTCTTGGTGGTGGCCACCCGGCGTCATGATAAGTGTCTCCACTCCGACTCCCGGGCGAGAACGGCCGGGTGGGAACGGGGAGGTGACAGGAGCCAACGAGATGCAACTCCATCTCCTGAACACCCTGACACAATGCAGGGGCCTACGGACACATGCATAATAAGAAAGCCTTAAGTTGTGATATTTGATACCCAAAGGACGCATCTGGCGGTCTGTACCTGTGGTGTTGTGAGCGGTCAGGCCTTTCGCGAGGTGCCGTGAGCGATACGGATGAAAGCATCATGGAGATGACATGGTCTGTAGAGTGTGGTGGAATAAAAAGCGCTGGCATTCATGATGACATTGCGATTGCCAAGTCCTCTAAGATTTCCATCGATGGCGAATTTTTCCCGTAGGAGAAGTAGGCATGGTCGGCGGTCGGCCTGTTTGATACTCATACCGGTAGGCGATGCGGGAACACCTGCCGGCCATGATGGCGGGACGGGGCTCGGGACGGGAAAAGTGGATCCATCTTAGGTTGAAATCGGGGACCGACAACCGCCGACAGCCGCTTTAAGTTGTGCACAGCGATGGCTTTCCTTGCTGTTGATATTTTGCTTATGGAGAGGCATCAAGTCTTATGGGGGAGGCCGGGGGAACCAGGCATAGATATCGCTCTATTTTTTGTGGTTGTGAGATATAGTGAGACTCCAGTGGCCTTGACATCTCTGCATTTGTCAACATGGCTGCCCGTCGGGTGCGAAGGGGAAAATACCATATTTCTACAGCAGCGAAGGACCACTGACAAAGTAATATCTTCGCGAAAAACATAAATGTGGCAACGACATCCAAGGATTTATCGTTGGCTAATCATCTAGAGGAGCACTAGAGATTCAATTGAGGCTGGCGCGAACGTTCATGCATTGGCGATAGAGTACTACTCCGCCAGGGTAATAAATAGTAGTTCGGCAATGGTATCATTGTCTCTCAAGGAGGGATTACTACCCATCTAGTGATAAACAGAAACTTTGAGGCCTCAACGAGCACCATGTCTCTCGTCACTGGATATCTCTGCTCTTGAGGAATTGCTGTTTTTTACCTAAGTACTCTGGCAGAGCAATAGAAACATGCAGGATCTGGCATTGTATTGGACACGCAGGGACATTCATTCTGCATGTCAGATTTCAGGAGATCTGCAGCCAGAATACGAAGAGGTGTCGGTTCCAGAGCCCTGGGAACGAGAATGCTGTCGAACAATTGCTCTTCGACCTCTCAAGCACTCTTGGAAATGGGGGAGAGAGAGACGATATTTACATCTCCGTAGCGCGCCGGTACCTGACGATTTGGACATCTCCGGGGAAGCTACAGCACTAAATATTCGGCTAAGGAGCCTGGAACTTGCAGCAGAGCCTCGACTTAGCATCCAGCGGAACCAGCGTGGGGGCCTTGGGGGCTTGCCAGTCCCTTGGCCCGTGCGCCATTGATTAGAGGCCATTACACATTTTAGTTGCTCAGTGCCAAGAAGCAAAGCGGCACTGAAGGTACCAGTTCAACGACATTGCTACTTTTGCCAGCCATGATCGCAGGCCAGCAATGGCAGCAGCTTGCTCTGATGAAGTCGCCGGTCCAAGTCAATCTCTGAGTACGCCCTGGGACTCAAGTCTGCTTGGCCTGCTTGCCATCAGAGGAGCCAAGACCGCCACAGTCGAGCGACAGTGGCTGCTTGAGATAAAGAGAAAAGTCGAATATCCGGCTGGGAGACACTGGGAGCATATGAGGCAATATCGGTATCTGTGGTGCACAATCAAGACAACCAACAGTCATTACAGAGAGAACCTTCACATTTACAAGTGCCGCGGAGATCAACATACTTGTATAGCGGGAGCAGCCAGCGTCTTATCTCTCTCAGGGCGGGCCAAGTCTTGTCGCTTGTGACATCGTCTCGCTGCTTATCTCTCAGCCTGAGTCGACCAGACCAGCCAATGCCAACCTTGCACCACCACAGCAAGAATCCTTGATATTCTTGATTAGTTCTAGTGAGTCCGAGTGCTCCAATCAACAGTTGTCAATTTCAGACACTCTCCGATAAGGCCAAGGTGCCTTTGGTACAACTTCACACTACGTGCTTCTACAAGCTAATGAAGAGAGATGATCTGCTCTAACAGTTGATCCAGCGATTAGCGGTTCATGCTAGTGACTTATGATCGTTGCGATACAGCGGAGAAACTCCTCACGCATCCGGAGGGCGTATTCGGGACTCTGAACATTGAGAATCACGGTGGTACATGCTGCGCAAGGACACGGTTCGGACTCTTCAATGGTTGCACGGTTGCTTTGCTTTTTCTACTGCCCCGGTCGTCTCAGAGCTCCCGTTGTCTCATTTATTACGCCGCTTCATTAGCATTCAGGACGAAGAATCTGCTTGGATTCTGCATGCCACGCTGGTGCCGTCTTCGACCCATCTAGCACGGGTCTTCCAACAGGGAGTAGCCCACGCGCACTCAAACTGCAGCGACGATTGCCTGGGAGGGTTGCGCAGTTGTGATTAACAGCACGCTGCAGCTGAGTTCGTCATCTTGCATTACGCCTGGACCTAATAAGATCGTGTCATCGGCCACTTTCACGGCCAAACGTCAACGACTTGAACACTATTGTTTTCTTATAAGAGATTGTTGCTAGCAGTCCGCCTAGAGCCCTATCGCCTAGACTGATTTCTGGGACCCATCCATCCACAACTGACAGACCTACTACTGTGGTACTTGTTTCTCCGAACCGCAGAGAACCCCACAAGGACAAGCAAGGGTGGTCCGCGGAAGTAGTCCAGTTTTGTAAGTCAACCCAGAATCCGGAGATGCTGGCTTTGCTGGAGCCATCGCTGATATGGTGTATAGCATATCACACAACGAGGACTTGTATGATCTGGTCCCGTATATAATCAAGCTGGCGTCACCTGGCCAAACCCCCCGCTCATCAACATATTGAAACTGCCTTGAGCATCTAGTCATTGTTCAGCATATCTGTGTAGACAATCGCAACAATGGGACTCAACTTCAAGTTTTCGGACCTTTACAGGGTACCAGATGTCAATCCAGTCAATAGAAAGGCGCGATCCGTACCGGCCCTCAACCCGATCAACATGTACGGACGCGTGTTTTTCTTCTCCTGGTTCGGATTCATGATAGCATTCTGGGCTTGGTACACGTTTCCACCACTGGTACGAGATCTATAAGTGCTGAATCGAACGGGAACATCTACTAACCAGTGATTTTACAACAGTTGACGCATACCATCAAGGCCGACTTGAAGTTGACGCCTGCTCAAGTAGCAAACTCGAACATTGTGTCCCTATGCGCCACGTAAGGTTCCCAAAAGCAGTATATATTAGATTCACCTTTCTAACCTGTGCCAGACTTCTCGTCCGTGTCGTCGCTGGTCCGCTATGTGATCAATTTGGACCTCGCTTGGTCTTTGGTGGACTTCTACTGCTAGGATCCATTCCCATGGGCTTGGCTCCTCTCGTGCAAAACGCCAGTGGTCTATATGCCAGCCGCTTTTTCATCGGTATCCTAGGCGGCTCCTTCGTGCCTTGTCAAGTTTGGTCTACTGGCTTCTTCGACAAGAATATCGTCGGTACAGCAAATGCCTTTACTGGTGGCTGGGGCAATGCTGGCGGTGGCATCACCTACTTTATTATGCCTGCTGTCTTCGATTCCTTCGTTGCTCATGGCCATAGCCCGGATAAAGCTTGGCGGCTGACCTTCATCGTTCCCTTGATCATGGTCATTGCAACTGGTGTCGGCCTGCTTCTCCTTTGCCCAGACACTCCAGTCGGGAAGTGGAGTGAGCGTAAGACCCACGTACAAGAGAACCTTCAGGCCCATGGTGTCCTCGAGAACCCACTTGTGGATGTCCCTGGAAGCATCGCGGAGAAGCCGCCATCAGAGCGTGACACTGGGACTACAATGGAAGAGCAGGACAAAAAGCCTGTGTACGGTGACCATGAGGCACCAATCCCCAGAGAAGAGATGCTTCAGGCTGCTCGAGGCGAAGTTGTCGTGAAACCTACAACAAAAGAGGCATTGCAAGTCTCTATCTCGCCACAAACCTGGGTCCATATCTTGACCTATTCCTGCTCGTTCGGCGCCGAACTTGCCATTAACGCCATCCTTGCGAGCTACTACCTAAAGAACTTTCCAAAGCTCGGTCAGACCGAGTCCGCAAACTGGGCAGCCATGTTCGGCTTCCTGAACGTCGTTACCCGCCCACTTGGTGGAATCATCGCCGATCTCCTATATAACCTGGGTGGACACAACCTCTGGCTGAAGAAAGGCTGGATCCACGTATGTGGAATCCTGACTGGTCTCTTCCTTATCATCATTGGCAAGGTCAACCCTAAAGACTCGAGCACCTTCTCCGGACTTATTGCTCTGATGGCCATCTTCCTCGAAGCCGGCAATGGCGCAAACTTTGCCCTGGTGCCTCACGTCCACCCCTTTGCTAACGGCATTGTCTCGGGTCTCACTGGCGCTGGTGGCAACCTTGGCGGTGTCATCTTCGCCATCATCTTCCGCTTTATGGACAACGGGACCAACTACGCAAAGGCATTCTGGGTCATTGGCTGCATTCATATCGGGCTGAACGTTCTCGTCTGCTGGATCCCGCCTCTGCCTCGTGGCCAGATTGGTGGTCGCTAATACTACGACATGAGTTATCCGATGCATGATATATTTTTATGAGAGGCGTGTGTTTGAGCGAGTCCCGTCAGCGTAATGAGTCTTAGCGATACCATCTTGTTGTATATTGCAGCCAATTCATTGAATCTACAATCGAACAGGACTGTTAAAGGCTACTAAAAAAGGAGGTAGAGAGATAGACCGTCTACACTGTTGATTTTCGGAGCTACTAGGCTAGGGAGTCGGAACGGGCGATACCTGATACAGCGATTTGAATTTGCAATTGAACTTGGCCGATTCATAATGACGTCTCTGTTTCCTTTTGCATCGTGATAACTGCGAGCTAGAGCATGAACTTCATTGATTGTGTACTTGTCCTCAGAGCGACCGATAACAAATGACGTCCATGTCGAAGATAAGGTATGTTGGTGGGTGGGTCCCGAGAGCTGCATATCTGCAGGTGGCTTGGAGGTGGAGGGCAACCGAGACCACCCTTTTGCATCTTCAGCTCACAGTGTACAGGCGCGAGATCGATCAAGCGTTGGCCAATGCTTTTCTCGATCTTATGGAGATAAGGCCTGCTTGTTTGATCTGTTGTGTGAGGAAAGTGTACGCATGTCCCCGCCTGCCGATCACTTCGCAGACGCTGTGGAGCCCGAGATAGACGGGTTGTCACAGAACTCAACGCAAGTCCTGGTTGATGACATCTGCCGAAGTAGGGCTCGGTTCTTTGTGAGGCTCTCATCTGTGCCCGAAAGTACTCAAGCAACTAGTGAGCTCCCGAAATCGCCCTCGTCATCCATCGGTGCTTGCCTAGACAAGCTTAGAGAGCTGGACGATAGTCATAGCTCTCAAAGGCGCTGTATATATACGAAAGCAGCTCCATGAAGCAATCAAGAGGATGCAGTCTAGAGAGGGCGCGTGTAATCGACATTAGGGCAAACGGGATAGTCATTTAGGGATGCAAAATGTGAAGTTTAATTTTTGATGTATAGCAAGATGTAAGAACTCCGAAGCCGATTACCGACATATCTAAAACAATGTCCCTTGGTATTCACACAGGGGGGGTAAACCAGACAGCCAGAACCAATTATCCCGAGACGATGATGACGATGATTGACGATTGATCAATGATCTTTTTGAGAGCCCCCTGTGCCCGTTCGCTATGTGCAAAAAGATGAGAGACGAACCCCCTTTCCAGGGCTATTCCAACAATCATGCAGATTGACACACTTATAGCAGCAGAGCAGCAGCAACCAGGCCGGACAGAGCAATGAAGCTGCCGGTGAGCTTGGCGGCACCGTTGTCAGTGACGGTAGTTGGGGAGGCGCTCGCGGAAGAGCCAGTGCCGGAGCCGGACGGAACGACAACGGATGTGACGGTAGTGGCGGGGGAGCCGGTGGTGGACAGGTTGCTGCTGGCGGTAGGGATACCGCTCTCGGATGTGATGGTAGAGGTGATGGTCTCGGCCACGCTGCCGGTGGAGCTGGAGCCGGAGGTGCCAGAGGCAGAGGCAGAGGTCACAGTGCTGGTCACGGTGGCAGTGCCGGAGCCAGAGGCCGAAGAGCTGGATGAAGCGCCGCTACCCTCAATGGCGAAGGGGAACGAATACTGGAAGATAGTCTCATCGGAGTCCCACTGGATCTTCAGGCCGTATGTGGCATCGGCACCCAGATCCGAGGCGATCTTCCAGTCATACTCGCCCGCGCTGTTGTCGATTGAGCCTGTTCCTGGTTAGCAAGCTGTCTCGGGAGCCGTAGAAAACCAGGGGTGCTACTCACTGGCAACAGGGTCGAGGAGCTCTAGGGTATTCTCGGTCTTGCCGCCCATCAAGATGATGGTCGCGGTGCCATTGTACTTGTCAACAGTCTCCCAGGTGATCTTATAGGTCGAGCCGGCGTCAAGAGTCTCGCCCTCGCCAGGAGTCAGGATGGGATCGAAGTCCGCGGTGGGGTCCTGGGCAAGGACCTTGGCGGCGAAGGCCAGGAGGGCAGCAGCAGAGACGGTGAAGCGCATATTGAAGGGCGTTCGGTGTATTACAAGTTACTAAGACAAGAAAGATGAAAGGACGCAAAGGTCTGTATGAAAGAGTGTGGTGGAAAGGGTTGAAGAAGGGCTGAAGGAAGGGTAGTCAAGCACGCAAGGGCGGGCAGAGATTGACTATATGTGTTGTAAAGAACGGCTGGGCGCGGCTGGACGGTGAGGCAGACACACGCGGTTTATAACTAGTGAGCGACTTGTGGGTGGTGAGGAATTGAGGATGAGGTAGTAGTGAGGAGGAGGTAGGTAGGAGAAAAGGAAGGGAACGACGACGAGCGCAGGTCAAGCCGGATGGAGAAAATAGCAACACCACCGTGTTCCTCCTTGGTCTCTGACTAGGTACTCTAGACCAGGTACTTTGCTCTTACCTGGCTTCGGATTAGCGTAACGTTATGCCGCCGGTGTGATGCTGCGCCTTTCGCAACCTGTCAGGAGCTGGATTGGCCTGGTCCTCTCTGGGTACCCCCTTCGTGGAGGGCCGTGTAAGTGTAAGTAGGCGAGAGAGCCTGCTGGGGCCGGCCCCGAGCTCCTCTCGCGCCCGAGTAAGAAGCAGGCAGGCTCTTGCGCTTGACTTGACAATGCACTGGCACTGTGTGTGTGTAGAAGCCTATTCGAAGTCCAGGGGGCGGCACGACATCGTGGGCACTGGGCACGAGTCTGGCGACGGAAATTAATGAGAGAATCGGGCAGCACGCGCCATTGGCTGGAATGGGGCCGTGGCCAGGGGGTTGCCCGTCGACTTGCAGAAGTGGTGTCTCTGATTCGGGGCTAGCGGGCTGTCTAGGCCAGCAAGCGAACTGCGCTCAGCCTCCGTCTCACTGCCAAGCTTCATCCCCTTGACAATTGAGTTTTCAGCCTGGGAACCAATGGCGTCGTCTGTGGGACTCGTGCGGCCTCTAACATTACTATGCAGTAACCAACAGTCAGTCACCGACTGGTATGACGGCAGCAAAACGGAGCCTGCAGGGTTAAAAAAGAGCCAACAAGGGAACAAGGGGCTCTTTTGGTGCTGCCAGCCTTCGGAGAACACTTTGACGTCCCAGGAGGGCTGCCCCCTTTGCCCCTCAAATTCCCCTGTGGCTGCCTGGCCCTGGCGATCTCTAAACACTCGATCCTGCTTTAGAGTTTCTCCCGCAGGGTTGAGCGAGATTCAATCTACCCCCGGCCAAGCGCTAAGTGGAGTGACGGATGCCAGCGTGAACAATGGTCTCTTGAAGATCTTCAGTGGCAAATCTAAATAATAACATTGCTGCATTTGCTATCCTTTGCTGCACGGCGTCTCGATCCGAAAGCTGACAAGCGCCGCAAGGCTATGGATTTGGATGAGATAATAATATCTGTTAGTCTCGCCAGTCTGCTGTGGGAGACGGATGAGTAAGGTCCGACAAGCAGCCAGAGACAGCTGTCGTGGATGTATGCGCGCATACTGTGGTACCACGAGAGCACAAGATCGTCCGCTCCCAGGCGCAGCTGCATTTTAGAAATTCAATATTACGACGCTGGAATGTGGAAGTTACTCTTGTAAGACTCGATTAGGTGTCTTCCAGTCACCAGCGCAAATGCCAGTCTCAAAATGGGGCCACACACTTTGGGCGTGAAGGCTGACTGGACGGCGATGACGGGGAACTTGTAGGGCTCGCGGCTATACGCCACATATGCAGCCTACGTGCTGCATTTCTCAGCTTAGAGCGCGTCGTCCGGTCTTCTGTGGGGAAGAAAGCGTCGATGGCGCCGCCCATTCAATTCCAACGGCCGGCAGTCCCGTCCTTGTAAGTCCTGGTGCCATTTCCGTGGCCTCATGGTAGCTATTCCGGGTATCAACATTCCAGCATTCCGCGAGAACCTCATGGCATACACGGCTTGAGCCATGCTCTTCCAGTGGTGAGAGCACAATGCCTTTTCCCTTGGATCCCCGCACCCCGCCTTGACACACGCAGGAATTACTGCAAAAGGCCACTCTGGGGTGTCGGGTCGATACGAGCAAGTGCAAAACAGCGGTATCACAGATCTGACAGGAGACGGGTCTTCGCATGTTCTGTACTGCCGGGGCTGAGTCCACTGATCAACAATAGCCGACAGGAGGGGGACAGCCGTTAATTGAGCTTCGGCTCACAGCCCTACCACCGTGTGCTGAGATGACATGCGTTTGGCCCGTCAGAAGTCTCTTGTTAATTTAGATGAACACGGCATGATTTTCAGGTGTGCACAGCCCAGCCAATTCGCCGAACTCATGAGTACCCGGGAATCGTGAGGTGACGAGTTGCCGCTGAATCACATACTCCGCATAGTAGAGAATACGAGTAGGATCACAATTTGCATGCGGACAATGGTCGGCGTTCCCTTATCACCTCTATGAAGCCTGGCCAATCTGATCAGAATGATTGTGACAAGGATTGCCAGGCTGAAAATCAACAGTATTGTCGAATCCCGTTAGATTCTGCGAGATGTGATGATTACATTTTCGTGAATTGATAGCATCTTGAAAAAAAAAGAATGAAAAAAACCACCATTTCATCCGCATCGAGCTATAACCTGCTTGTCTCGAAAATATTGAGGATGACACTTCTCATCTCGGCCAGCGCTTCTATGTCCTGGTTCTAAAAACGGATCTCATCCAGGCCCGTTTCCAAGTCTTATACGAGGGATCGACGAAGTCAAGATTGGAAAATGAGAGGATCCGTAGCAAAATTCACGAACTGTGATGATTGACCCGAGACGCTGTGAAGAGGTTTGTGTATGGCCAATAAATCGCCCTCCAACTGTCAAGCCTCCCGAGTTGGAGGTCGTCTCTTATCGAACGGGGAGAATGAGTCGAGCACTCGGCTCCAGTGATACAGATTTGGTGGATTGGCGGAAGCGGCGTCGGTCCGAAGCGCTGAGGAGGAACCTACGATTGCCTTCGGGCACGTGCAAAGTCACTAGACTACGCGGTACTTGCGGGTCGAAGGGGGACGCGCCGCGCTCCACAACGTGGGGCTTCCCGTATCTGTGCAGTTAGCTAGGCCACAACAATGAGCAAACGGAGCATCGTGAACAACTTCAAGGCATCACAAAAGTACGAAAGTCCTCAATGCAGCAGGCATATTGCTGGAACGTCGGTTCCAACTCGACTTAATGACTCGGAACAACCTTGAGGACCATCTTGCTTGGTTGTTGCGCTGCATAGATCTCTCGACGCCCCTCGGGCCTGAGCTGCCTAATGCCACCGAACCACTGGACAGCCCAGATACTCTGTTCCCCGTCTCTTCTCAGGACCTGGGAGCTGGAACGAACAGCTCGGCAGTGTCATTTCTGGACCCCAATCCCTCGCCAGCAGATCTAGAAGTGGCACTTATCACCAATGCTGGGACGGGAAGCAGGACGGGATCGCAGGAAATTGGACAAGACTCCGCGAAGATCGGCACCATGGGAAGACTGACCTCTTCAACAAAGTCCAAGAAGCCTGGCCTTGTGGTTACGCAGAAGCAGATCCCGAAACCAGCGTCTTCACCCAGCGTCGGCCGCCTCCAGAAGGCATATTCGGCCTCTCTGCACACTGAAGATCTACTGACCAAATCTCGGGACATAAAGTCAACCCCAGCAAACAGCTCAAAAATTCGCAAGCGAAAGACTCTGAAACCAGTTCTTGACATTTCAGAATCCGATAACGACAACCTGGACGCTTTAGATTTAACGGCGGATGATAATGCCGATTCGTCTTCGATTGCCTTCGACGATTCTGATTTCCTATACGGCGGAGACTTCCTGTCACGAAGCGACCTGGACTCTCGACGTGGCAAAAAGAGAAAGAGCGATGAAATAACGAAAATATTGCACGAGGAATATGGCGAGGAGGACGACGAGTTCCCTGACATTTTCGATATTGTCCCTGAGCAAAAAACCCCCTTGAGTGTCCGTCGTCCAGTGCCAAGCTCTACACGTCCAAATTCCATTAAACGTCGTCCGCCGATAATTGAGACTCCCGTTCTGGAACAACGCATGGTTACTCAAACCATCAGTAGGACTGAGACTCGGATCCGCAGGGCAGATGATATGGATAACTTCCCTAGTTCAACGACCACTCTATCACAAGGCAGTTCGACCAAAGCAGCACCCCAAAGAAGCTCCACCCCTCGACGAATAAAGCACAGTACCCAATCGTCACCTCCCCTTCCCAAAATGGAAGGAGGAGACGATCAAATACAACCAAGTCCAGAGCCGAAGCTCAATCGAAAAGCTAAACGTAGCGATATTATTCAAGACTCTGACGAGGAGTTTGTAACTCCACCGACCCATCACGTATCATTCGCCACATGCGCAAGCGAGTCCAAGACTAAAGTCGAGTCACCTACTTCAATGGCCATGGGCCAGTCCAGTTCGGTGGAGGGTGCTTTCCTAATTGAGACGCCGTCTAAGCAGCGCTCAACGGAGCTCAGTGGTCAGATTTTGCATGCCACGGAAGATTCTCAAAGCACAGAAGATGATATCATGGTAATTGATCAAACGGATGAATCATTGCTGCCCGCTGAAGGAGAGGACATCTCATCCAGCGCTGAACCAGCGGAATTAAGTCTGCTTGTGAATAGCTTTCTGAACAAGCCGGCAATTGTGAAAGCCCGACGGGAAATAGTGCAAGGTCAGCTTCGAGAAAATGCAAAGAAATATCTTGCGGCAATAAAGACAGGCTCGTCTTCTAGCGCGCGTGAGCGAATCAAAAGCGAGAAGCCTCCTTTGGTGGCTCAACTCAAAGCATTTGATGTTCTTTTCGAAGCGTACAAGGCATACAAGGACTTAGAAGAACAGCAGAGGGAGATCTTGAACCGCATAGAATCTGCGTATGGAGAAGACTTAGACACCACCGAGGATGAGGAACGTATAGAAGTCTTAAGAGATGCAATCGGTCTTAGCAGGAAGGCTTTGAGACGAGAACTCGTGGCTGCTGGTATCGATGCTACGGTGTTCCAAGAGGCTGAATATGGTGCAGAGGATCCGCAACAGCGTTCACAAGTTGTATTGGCAACTCAAGCACCAGAACCTCGCCTGTCCTCTTCCTCAGCGAAGACAAATGCGTTGATTCCTGAATGCGCTTCCCAAATCATTCTTCAGACACAGGTTCCTGCTGAGCAATCACGTCGCGTCGCGGCGTCCCAAACTCTTGCTCCACCTGCCACTGAATACACCTCTACAGTGCAAAGCAAAGGGAGTCCAAAGAAGCCACAGTACGAACCAGATGAGGACTTGTTCCTCGATGACGATAATTTCTTCCCAGAACTTGAAGAACCAAATTTTCAACACTCCAACGAAGTTTCCGCTACGAGAAACTCCTCGGCTGCAGTGCATGGCAGCGTTTCCAAAACAATAAACCGACGATCCGAGCCATTCAGTGACTACGATGACGACATGGATTTTCATAACATGCTGGCCCTCGCTGAGGACTTCGATCGATGTCAAGCATCATCTGAGTCCGCGTTGAACAGATCGTCCACTACTGTGTTCACAGAGACCTCTGGCAATGCTGGTCTTACGTCCAGATCCATTGAAAGCTCAAAAAAGAACGCTACCCCTGGTCCAAAGGCGACCATTCCCAAAGAGTCAATGAGGTTTCCTTGGTCTGGGGATGTCCGTAGGGCTCTAAAGGATCGGTTTAGAATGACTGGGTTTCGTCATAACCAACTCGAGGCAATTAATGCTACCTTAGAGGGCAAGGACGCTTTTGTGCTCATGCCCACTGGTGGCGGAAAGTCTCTCTGCTATCAACTGCCAGCTGTTATCAACAGTGGCAAGACTCGTGGAGTAACGATTGTGATCTCACCCCTGATCAGTCTGATGCAGGATCAAGTGGATCACTTAAACGCTCTCAATATCATTGCGAAGCCTTTCAACGGCGAGATGAAGAAGCCAGCACGAGATATGATTCTCGGTTCTTTCCAGGAGAGAAACCCGGAACACTTCGTGCAACTACTCTATGTAACACCTGAGATGGTCAACAAGAGCCATGCATTCTGCAATGGACTGATGCTACTACACCGAAACAATAAGCTTGCGCGGATCGTCATTGATGAGGCACATTGTGTCAGTCAATGGGGGCATGACTTCAGACCCGATTACAAGGCTCTTGGGGAATTTCGACGGAAATTCCCTAGCGTCCCCGTTATGGCATTGACGGCGACTGCTACCCAGAATGTTATTGCAGACATCAAACATAATTTGGCCATGGATGGTTGCCAAGTGTTCTCGCAGAGCTTCAACCGACCCAACCTGTATTACGAGATTCGAAGCAAGGACAAGACTACCGTGGCAAGCATTGCTGACCTGATCAACTCACGCTATCGCAATCAAACCGGCATTGTTTACACCCTGTCAAGGAAGTCGTCGGAGACAATCGCGAAAAAGCTGAATGATGATTACAATATCAACGCACACCACTACCACGCAAGCATTGAGCCCGCTGAGAAGGTCCGCATTCAGCGAGCTTGGCAGAAAGGAGCTATCAAGGTGGTCGTTGCTACTATTGCTTTCGGCATGGGTATCGACAAGCCCGACGTCAGATTCGTTATACACCATCATCTACCAAAGAGTTTGGAAGGCTATTATCAGGAAACTGGCCGTGCTGGTCGCGACGGCAAGCCTTCGGATTGCTTTCTCTATTTTAGTTATGGAGACATTGCCACTCTAAGGAGATTCATTGACGAAGGAGACGGTAATACCCAGCAGAAGGAGCGTCAGAGAGAGATGCTAGACAAGGTGATCAGCTTTTGTGAGAGCAAACACGAGTGTCGCCGAGTTGAAATACTCCGCTACTTCGGCGAGGCGTTTTCACGAGAAGAGTGCAATAAGACTTGCGATAACTGTAAAGTCGGCGGTACATTTGAGCTTCAGGACTTCTCTCAGTATGCCAAAGCTGCATTGGAAGTAATTCGGCTTTACGGGCGCATGACTCTTGCCCAATGCACCGAGATCCTGATGGGAAAGAAACGGCCAGATTATGATGACGCAGTGCAGTATCATGGTATAGCCAGAAGTCTCAAGAAATCCGACGTCAACTCAATCATCTTCAAGCTTGCTGCAGAAAATGCCTTGGACGAGGAGAATACCATCAATAGGAAGTTCGGCATGGCGATTACATATTTTGTCGTAAGTTTGTCATCATCATCATCGAGGGCAAGAGCCTTATTAACCGCCTTTTCTAGATTGGTCGTACTTCCCGGGACTTTGTCTCTGGCAGACGCAAACTGCAGATAATGGCTCAGGTCGGTGGTGCCAAGACTGTTGTTCCCAAGCAAGCCAAGAAGAGATCGAAGAGAGCGCAAGCGGAAGCAGCCGAAGGGGTGGATCTACTAGATGCACCGCAGGTGCGAAGACCGCCTCCATCTACGAACGTCTCTTCTCCCATTCGAAAGAGAAAGAAGGCACGCGTCAACCAATTCATTGACGATGAGGCTACTGATGGAGATGAACAGGGGTTGGACAGTGCTGAGGACGCTGGTGGGCCATTGCACATCAATGGCTACGAGAAAGACAACTTTGTTGTTTCGGATGACGATGACGACGAGGATGAACATTTTAATCCTGTCCGCTATGTGCCACGACAGCGACAAAGGACCCTCGACGAGCTCGGCCCGCCGATTTCTAGAGATACGGCGTTTGCTGAGGCTAACATTCCCGACATTCACCAAGATATCATTCATCACTTTTTGCCGGAGGCGAAAGAACTGGAGGAGAAGATTCGCAATGGCAGAGGCTTGCAAAGAATTCTCTTCACTGAACAGCATCTGCGTCAGATGGCGATTAGGTGGACAACTACTCTGGACAAGATGCGGCAGATCCCGGGCATAAACGTTGATAATGTGGACAGGTATGGGTCCAAACTTGTCCCATTAATCAAACAATATCATGGACAGTATAAGGAGATTATGGGAGAGGAGGTCGAGGACGATGAACCCAGGGTACTCACACGCGCACCGGCCGCCAGACAAATTCCTGGCCCGGTGAGACCCGAAGTAGTTGAACTTCTTAGCTCTGATGAAGACGGGTTTGACGACGCGGAAGATGAAGATGACGACCTCGAATCTTCCAGGTTCTTTGGACAAGGCGCGAGCGGCAGCGGCCCCCCAAGCCGGGAAGTAGAGAAGTGGCATGAAAAGTTCGCTCAGTTGAGCCAACCATCCGCAAGTAAGAAAGGGAAGCGGCCGTTCGCTCGCAAGGCCTCCGGGAGTCGAAGCAACTTCGCCCGTGGTAGGTCCAGCGGTGGTGTCACCAAGCGCAAGGCGTCTTCGGGAGGAAGCAGACGGACGAGTGGTGGCCCAAGCAGGACTAAGGCGTCCAAGGTGGGTGCAGGGAGGGGTTCTTTTAGCGGCATTGGTTTGATGCCCCTATGAACAGGGGCTCTTTCTCGTGTTGCCTGGGGATCAAGTGAATAAGGATCACTCTAAGTTATGGTGTATATATTATGTGGCTTGGACCGTTTGGCAGCGGTAGTAGATGCATTTGCTTTAGCTAGGCGCAAGAAGGACGGTACGTCGCTAGCATTATTATGGCGTTGGCAGGCTCCCGGCACTGCATTCAGCGGATACTTTAGAAGTTCATCAAGATAAAAATTAACGTCAATTTACGCCTCAGACCTATGCTACGGGTATAAGTAGTGTGAAGACATCAAAAGAATATGGGGCCTGCGTCTCGTCCCCCAAGCTGCACTGAGCAGCGGCAGTACAGTATCAACAACCCCTATGCAGTGAGATATGCTGGAAAGTTCTCCAATCTCCCCCATATCAAGTTCTCTCTGAACTTTGAAAAACAAGCAGAAATATGCAACGAATGCGGCAGGGGAATAAATAGCTGATAAGTTGTAGTTGTAGCACATCAAGTCATAAGTCCTCAACATCATCCCAGTCTATCCTGACCAATTCACCGCCTTTCCTGATATTAAATTTTCCGCGCCGAGAGATCACACGAGAGCCATGGTGCCTAGCCCTGAATCTCGCTCGTAATCTCCTCGCGAACCTTGCGGCACCACTTGAGCACAGCATCCTCGAGGTCGAGCCAGACATCGGGCTTACTATTATACACCACGCCAAGGGCATCGACGCGCAGCAGGACCTCCCAGCGCAGCTCGGCAGCCTTGAGCCAGTAGCGCAGATTGTCGGCACAGCGATATGGCTTTTGTGTGTCCGTATGGAAAGGGCCGATGGCGCCAAATCGTCGCTTCGACTTGCGGACCGCGGCATTATGAAGTTGTACCAACCGTAACCCATTTTGCAGGCTCTTCAGGAACGGCGTGGGGACACTTTGCGCATCCAGGGACGCCGACCGGTCAATGGGTGTCCACTCGGGAAGCGGCTCCACCTTCATAGTGCTCCCGTCCGGAGCGGGAGCGCTAGTTGTGTCGCCGTCCAGCATGCTCAGCAAGAACGCATACTCCCGTTGTATTTCAGTGCCGGCAGGCCAATCTTCGTCACGCACCCACGTCCAACTAGAGCGCTCGGCCTTCTCAGCCGCTTCCAAGTCTTCTTCCTTCTTGAGCATCTGATATAGGCCGGAAATCCAGGCTTCCATAGCTTTGAGCTCATCATCGCGTATGCCCCCCGTGAACAGACGACTTGCCATGCGTTTCAGCACATCCATGACGGCGAGAAGCTCTGATCGGATTTCCTTCTCTGACTTTATAGCGTCTAACCTGTCGGGGTGTTCATGAGACGTGTAGTACACCTTCGCAGCTCGAATCGCCAGTGTCATGACGTCCAGAATATGCATGCCCTGTATCTCATACCACCCTGGTGTTCCCACTTGCGCGTCGGCCTGCTCCTCTGTTGCGTCCGGCGGAGGGGGCAGGCTTTTGTTGCCTTTAACGTCGTTGACTGCTTGGGATGCAGCATCCAGTGCAGATTTTAGATCAGCCTTTAGCTCAGCTATTGATGGTGGCTTTGGAAGGGGCTTTTCCCTATAATTGTACGTGCTCGCCGTCGGTGGTAGCATGCCGGGATCGGGCTCCTCAAAATCGTCAGAGTAGTACTCGTCTTGGTGATCATTGTGCTCCTCCTGAATGGGACTTTCCACCATCTGTCCGGCACCGGTGCCGAAGCTGTGCGCCACCAGATCGGGGCTGCTCCCCATGCTTGCATAGCTGGAGTCTGTGTCAGAGCTAGTGACAATCTTGGGTGTCGGCAATGCTGACGAGAATGAAGCCGTGTCTAACGAGCTGAGGTCCAGGGTGCGTGCCTTCTGCGCCCTCTTCCGAGCTAGCTGTCCGCCTTTTCCGTCCAGTAGACCAGTCCGCGCGAAATAGTATTGTAGATGCGCTATGCTTCCCAGGCTCAATACACTTTCCCGACTCTTTGCACTATGCGCAAACTCGGTCCCATGCGGCCGCATATACCCCCTTCGCTTGCCCACAGGCCGGTCGAAGCTGCCGGTAGACTGTCTACTAGATGCGGAGAGGTTGCTGACGTCCGAGCGGCGGGACATTTGGAAGCTGGCTGATGAGTGCCGACTGTAGCTCGACATATCGCTACCGAGCGACTCACGTACGTGTGATGCATCGGTAGTTGCTGAACCGTGGGATGCCGAGGAGGCTGTGGAGAGAGACCGCGAGAGCTCCAAAGATGCCCCTAGAGCTGGCGTTGGCGCAGTATCGGGCGACGGTGAGTCGCATCGCAGTGTCGGTGGCTCGTCGTGCGCGGCGGCCATATTGAGTTGTATTAAGGGGTTAGGATTAACACAGAAGGGAGCTAAATTGACAGCTCGATTGTCCACGTCAATACCACAAGTAACAGGTGACCTGCGAAGAGATCCGTCTCGAAACCTCGTGCACCTTCCAGTTCTCGGTGTACCCGTATCGTGGCCGATCAGTCAAGGTCGTGATGTAGGCAAATTATCGCCAAGTAAATAAATGCGGGTGATTGGCTGGAGGCACGTCTCAGGAGGCAACCGCAGCAACGAGACCAGCGTGGAGCTAGCGATGTCTCACACAATGAAGCTTTTCGTGGGGCTGCACAGCAGCTACAGCTTCAGAGGAGCTTTCGTAGTGCAGCAAAATGCTAGTAATTCGTAAGAGAGTGACTGTAAGTACTCTCCGTTGTGCAGAGGGCGGGCTGGATGAATGAACGAGTGGTTGAAGTTGCAGGAGAGACAGGCTGCCGTCAAGCAGAAGAGATGGATGGATGGATTTCGTGAGACACCAAGAAATGCAAGAGGTGTGAGTGGGAATGTGGATGCAAATACACCAGCAGCTGGTGGGTGAATCCAATTGGATTGGAGAAGGGCTGGCAAAGACGGGGGATGCGACGCCAGGGGGTTCGTTCGTTCGTTCGTGACCGTGACAACCTCCTCTTTGCCTCCAGGCACTTTTCTCCAATTTGTGCAGATTCGCGTCGCCCCCGAGCAAGCAGTGGGGTCGAGGCCGCGGATGGACGCGTGAAACAAACGGCCGGCTAGATTAGATTAGGCTCCAGATGACAACCACTAGCATCAGTGGGAGATGAACCAGTCAGTGCAATCCAATATCACGGTGTATGCCGTCGGACACTTTGAGTCCGCAGGGTATGTGAGGAAAGTGAGCAAAGCAAGCAAAGCGTGCATCGGGAGTGGCTGTCTCCAGCGATAAATATATCTTCACATTTCCAAACTCGAGGGTGTCGCTGTCCAGCTCTTCAGGTCCATGATCCATTATCCAGCATCCAGTGACACCACAATGTCGCCACGCACTGCATGAAAGCATATCAACAGTGTCCCGGGCAACGCAGGATTGAAAACGAATCGGAAGCACTGGAATTGTAGAGGTCCAGGCAGCGTAGCTAGCTTGAGACAATCACCGTCTTCACTTAGCACTGTGAATCACGAACAGGAACAGCTTACCTAACCCATGGAATTGATCGATGGTCCTAGCCGGCTTTACAAGGGAACCGTTGGCATCAAGTCAGCTTGTAAGAGCGTTATTAAAATATGTGGCTTGTTGTAAACAAAATTCATCTCTTCACTAGATTTCAAGATGTGTTGTTGTTCCGAGCCCTTTTGACCTCCCGTTGCTCAATTTGGCAAGTACCTCACGCATCATGTTCCCGGTTGTTGAGCAGACTGCACCTGCCCAGCTTGGAAGCAGACTCTACTTAGAATTCCTGGAACTCCAGGGGAGGCATCGTGATATGTTGAATTAGTACTGCCGAGTACTCGTTCTCGTGATTCACTACATGATGAAGAGATGGTGCCTTTGCATCAGCCACATATGCAAGGTGGTTAGGTCATAATATGGCCAGCCTAATCAGTGATGCAAGCCTCATGCATAACAAGGGAAGAGAACATTCGTTCCTGCATAAGGCCAAGTTGCTACCACACCAGCCCCTACACTTGCATACGGCACGCAATTAAACATGCCCGTGGGCCGACAAGCGAGTTCTCGAACCCCATTTCAGAGCACATTTGATTACTTTGAGTGAGTTGTGAAGCTCGGGGAGACGTAATGTTTCACACTGCTTCGAGGCTTTATGCCGGGCGATGTTATGCATGTCGGCATTTGCTGCACTATCCTCAGCTACCCTGCTTGGCCATCTCACGTATTACTATCAACCATCTCTCCGCTCATTCTAGCATCAAAGGAGAGCCGAAGCTGGACGTAGACGAGGGGTCATAGCAGAGGGAGGTTCTGATCACAAAAGAGCCTGGCCCTGCAGAAATAGATCACCAGTCATGCGAGATAGAGCTGCCCCAGGTGCAGGGTATTCTCTGTCCGAAGCTCACGCCGCCCCTGAACTAGACTTTATCATAGGCCGATGATCTGAAGGATCTGCTGTGTCACTGGTGTATTGGAGCCACGGGCAACGACTCGTTTCTGTTGCCGTCTCGTCAACCTCTCAAGTGTCGCGGATCATCTGAAGACCTCTGCTTGTCTCTTGTTGCTGTGTGGTAAACAAAAGATCATCCGTCAAGTCGATTACGGCGTTTCTTTGGCGATTGTATATGAATGCCGGCATCTTGATCTCAACTCGTGAAGGGTCTTTCCCAGGCTTTCCGGTGGTCGGGCCACGGGCAGAGCAGTGAGACAAAAGCCCCCATCTGGACCCTGGCGGTTTGGCACCTCGTGGCGGCCGGGGCAGCTGGCCCGAGGGTCTCGACCAAACTGCAAACGGCTACAAATTACCGAGTTGATGGTCGGCGACCCTTGTCCAACGGACCAGGGGCAGTAGCCTCTCGAGCTTTGTGCACATCTGAATAGCAAGCATCGAGTTACTGTGTCTGGATGACCTCTTGGCTCTGTTCTGTTTAATTCCAGGCTGGCAAGGCTCCCCAGGAGGGGCGGCCCATTGGTGTCATCACTACAACGCTGTAACTTTGATTTGGATGGATCTTCCCCAAGTCCTCGAGCTCCGCTGCGCCCGACCTCCTGTTGTGTTTGGTCGCGAGGGAACCGGTCGGCAGGTGGCAGCTCACCGGCGCCCAATGAATGCGACGGAAGCCCAGGAGCTGAGGTCGCTGGCGTTGCTAGAAGCACAGGAGAACACGGCATCTGGTGGCACGTTGAACGGCAGACCAGTGAAGCCAGGCGCACTTAGTACAGTCGTAGAACAAGAGGGGTCGGCTTCAGAACGAATCACAAGAGCTAAGCTTGGAAAGGGGAGGCGGCTTGCTTCGCCCTAGATCTGATGTGAAGTACGGTAAACTAAGATGCTGTATCACACGCCTGCGTTTGTCGTTATTTGCCTTCGAGCAGGCTAAGGCAAGGTTGGCCGGTGGTGATGGGCTGGAGACTCAATATCATTTCCCTCTCCGTTGCCTCCGAGCTGCATCCCACAACTCTTCACTGTCTTGTCTTCTAGTCCTGATAGCCTCTGTGCGCTCGAAAAGTCCATTCTTGATAACAAATTTCAGTCCAGTCTACTTCTCTTGTTGCCTCAATTGGACTTGCTTCCTGAAGAACGAGCTTCTTGCAACTGCCTAGGCTAGAAGGTGCCCTCTTCATCGTCCTTGCCTACTTCGACCCAGACGGCGCCGCCCCCTCCCTCCCTCCCTTCCTTCCCTGGTCGGTCTGCCTTACATTGCCTCACTGGGGCTCTCTCCACTCTCAGTCTCTCACCAGCACCGCCAGAGACAACAAACGAACGGGGCTTGTTATACGTTAATTTCCTTCTTGCCTTTCAGAGTACGGATACAGCACCACGCAATTGCAGCAAATAATCATAATAATTACAACGGATGCTCTTTCCACACTGGTTAGCGATACAAGACGATCACAACGTCCAGCAGGTCGAAAGCCGGCTGTGGTGAAGCGCCTGACACTTCACTCCCCCCCTGCTGCATTCCATTCCAGTCCAGTCGAGTCGAGTCCAGTCGCCGCTGTTTGCTCCGGTGTCCAAGTTCAACGTCTCGAGTCTGCCGCCGCTCTCTTCACTTTTCTTTTCTACTGCTTCACACGGGACTCCTTTTTCTTTCCCTTCCTAGACTTCCCCCAGAGCCCGATCGAGCAATCTGTCAAGGTGTCATTTCTGTCTATACGTATACCGCATTCGTTTCTGCAGCCTCCAGGAGGACGAACGCACCGCACAGCTGATTGACTCTGACTGTGCTTCGCTACGCTGCGCTGTCGCCCTCATCCTGCAGCTCGGCTACTGCATGCGCACAAACCTCTCCCCCAATCACTATCGAAGTCTCCGCCAAAATCCCCCACAGGCTCTCATGAATGCCCAGCTAATCCTGTGAGAACGAGGAGTGGCCGGCCAGCATCACTCGACCCCGACTGCCTTTCTGAGCTCAAGTCCAAGTACAGCACTTCTGCTGGCCTTGTTGACGAAGCTGCTGCGAATAGGCGGGGAGCGGATACCACTAGATAGCTTGAGCAGGCATCAGCTTTTCCCGTGCAGCGCGCATCCCAAATTCAAGCTCCGCTCGAAGCCCTCCAGCCCCAGGGGATCGGGTCCTGACCGCTGCCGTGGCCTGTCTGCCAAACCCAGTGTTTCCTATCGATCCACCGCCGTTGCAGTGGCAGGACACATCCTCGTTGGAGTAAATGCCCGGCCTAATCACTCCAGCCAGCAGCGCTACTGCTTCTCCTGCCGCTCCTTCATCGCATTCTCCGCGTCAACATCACAGCCAAAATGTCGAGCCAGCTGCCGTCCTAGCTTTCGCGGACGTCTCTAGCGACCTTTTCCAGCTGCGCCCCTTGGATGCCAGCACCACCGCTGGCGCTGCTAACAATATCAACAACTCCGCCAAAATTTCCAACTCACAACCACAACTAACAGAACCACCCGCGAATGACAACAACCTGACTACGCGATCAGGCGGACACCCAGCGCACACACCACAGCCTCGAAAACCATCACCCGGCCTAGCAGCGCGATTGAAAGCTCTCGGATTTGGCACTGCAAGGAAAGCCTCGCCCCCGCCGCCAACGCAACAGGAACGCGTCGGACGCTTGAACGAAGATCAATTAAGACATCTTGACCAGAAACATCAGACAGGCTCAGCGGCTCCTGTTATAGAACGGCGGGGCCGCCCTTGGAAGGGCGCTATTGTCCGCATACCTTCCAAGGCAAGCTTGAGGTCTTCCAAATCAGTCAAAGCTTCCACAGACGAGGCCGAGGAGACCGTCGCTCTACCCGATAGCCTTGACGTGGAGACGCCGTCCAACTTTCTTCCCGAGATCGAAACCTCGGCGCCGCTCGATATGGATACGCACAAGTATCGGCTGCCCGATCATACAAATGGCAATGGTACAAAGGTCACACTAGACACGCGGCGGGAACATCTAGAAAGAGATACGAGGCCACCCGCGTCGCCTGATATCCCTCCACCGCCTCTCCCTAAGGATTCTCCCCCACCGCCCGCAACTCCGCAGCAAGAGTACATTCCTGATTCTTCGTCCTATTTCAATCCGCTTGGCCTACAGCGTCCAGGTTCAATATATACCATCTCGCGCGCATCGTTTGCAAACCAACTCGCACAACTCACGTCACTACAACTTCCCGATGCAGAATCGCTTTCTGGCAAAGTATCTGCCATCCCCACGGCTCAAGCAGCTTCGAAGGCATTGATTGGTGCCGCCGACCAGATCCGTAGCTGGATTTCCAAGGCGTCAGAGGTAATAGATGGACTCGATAGCGACGACGACGTCGAGTGGGCTGCGGCTGGAGGTAGGGAGGGATTGGAGGAAGTGGAAAACGCTATTACTCGATTCGAGGAGCTTATTAACGTTTACGTTTCCGCAATTGAGGAGTTGCAAGGACGGGATGACATCAGCAACGTTTCTCCTGACGACCTTCGAAGGGCTGTTGAGCAGATGGAAGGCATCATGCTGGAATGGGGTACAATTCGTCTCACCCTTCACAGTGTGAAGGCGCAGGTCGAGATCGCCATGGAGTGGGAAGAGCTCTGGAACATGGTGCTTGGTGATATCCAGAACGAGATGGATGAGCTCAGCCGGCTGGTCTTTGAGATGGAAGAGAAGAGGCATAAATCAGTAATGGCCATTGCGAATGGGGACGGCGTAGACATCGGCGATTTGGAAACCATCGTGGAAGAGACACCACCTGCCATGACTAGGCTGCAGGTGAACAATCGATTCAGCCTGCCACCATTCCCTGCTAGTCCTAGTTCGCCTGGTCCGAGTCTCTCCCAGGACGACTCAAGTCTCCTTGCGCTATTCGCAAGGATGCAACCGTTGCGCGCTTCCTTAGATTTTCTCCCTATGAGGCTCTCGGTTTTTGAGACAAGGGCACAGCAAGCATTTCCAACTGCCTGTGAGGAACTTGAGATGAGAAGAACTGGTCTGGATGCAAGCTACAAGAAGCTAGAGAAGGATGCCGAATCCCTACGTAAAGAACTTGGCGAGGATCGCTGGATTCTTGTATTTCGTGGAGCTGGTCGACAGGCTCAGAAGATGTATGAATCTGTTGAGCGAAGTCTTGCCAAGCTGAAGGAGGGAGTCGACGCAGGTATGCACTTGACTAATCAGCCAGTCATGGCCAAGAAGATTGAGAGCTACGAGGCGAAGAAGACGCACTATGGTCCAGCAATCGAGCGGGTCCTCCTGATCATTGACAGAGGAGTGAAGGACAGACTTACCGTAAACGGGGAGATTCTAAGACTCCACGCCGAGATGCAAACGAAATGGGAAGGTCTCAAGAACCAGATGGCTGACATGGACATGACTCTCGAGGAGATACAATCCGACAAACGGAGTCAACAGCTCAGGGACTCAATTTCGAGCATGCTCTCTAATGACCGGTCCACCATTGGCAGTGGCGTCGAGACACCAGGCAGCTCACCTCCGTCTTCCGTCATTATGTCTGGCTTGGGTATCGACACGACAAAGCCGGGCCCTAAGAATATGAAACAACAGCGTCGAGCATCAAGCAGCCTCGGTAGCCACCTGCCGCAGCCGTCCAACCGAAGAAGCCTTTCAGGGACAACCCCATCTCATCTGCCACGGAAGCCTGTTTCTCGGTTGTCTTCCATCAGCGGGCTGTCAACCCCGAGTCGTGAGGGCTCCGAAACCCCAACCGCACGGGGTGCTATACCGCGCCCTACATCTACGCTTGGCACTCGTCCCCGATGGAACTCATCCACGACTCATGTTGATACGGGACACCACTTCAAGCCACTCAGTGCAACCACTCCCAGCCCATACGCGAAGGGCACGCCAACTCCCACTCGCTCACACTCTGCTTTGACCCCTGGTTCTTCGGCGTCCAAACTGCCCATGCGGAGTCCTCTGAGGGCAGCTTCCTCCTCTCCAATACCTGAGGACACCCCTTCCAAACCTGCCAATCGTCTGTCCTTCCGGGAGCGACTAGCATCACCTGGACCATATGCTCAACAGCCCCTTTCGAAACCGCGTCTGACATCCCAATCGTCAATGTCTGCGCTCACAAACCGACGTGCGTCCCTACAACCGCCCAAGCCTACTACTGAGGGTGCTCCCAGTGCAGCACAACGGCCTGCCAGCTCCCTTGCATCATCTCGGCGGGTTAGTCTTCTGCCGCAGCCGAAGCATAAAAA